ATGTCGATAAAGTTGGCAAAAAAAATCTTGTAATTTTTATCGTTTTTTATCAAAAAATTTTTTTTTTGAATTTAACCGTTCAGATTTGTGAAATCCACAAATTTATAATTTCACTTCCAATTCTCAAAAAAAAAATATTATTGATCTGTGAAACTCCCAAGCATTCTTTGAGCCCCGTCAGTACTCTTTAATCTGATAAACATCTCCAGTTTCATGTCATGAATAACAAAAGTGCATAGAAAGGGCTGAAAAACAGACAGACCGAAGTTCTTCCGGCTTTATAGGGTATTTACTCGCCAAATATTTGGGGGTGGCACGTCTGCCTACGTCAATTCGAAGGGAATTTTGAATAAACAAGGTCAAAAAAGGCCAAATTTTTTTGATAAGAATTTTTTTGAATTTCATAAAAAAACAAGACTTTTTCAAATTTGCTATCTAAATTACCGAGTTGTGAAGTCACAAGGCGGTAAATTTGATTTAATTCCCCTAAACTAATCAAACTAGGGAATAAAGATTGCGGAAACTCAATTTTCCCTAATTGGAATTCAATTCAAGTCGATGAAATTAGGTGTAAAATACACTCTAGAAGGCTAGAAAATAATATTTGACCAGGAAGCGACAAATAAAAATTCAATTTTTTTGAGATTTTTTTATATTGCACTAGAGCGGATGTAGCAAAAAAAATATTCTCAGATTCCCTTCAAATTTGCCTTGGATATTTCTAATTGGCCACATATTGATTACTGAAAATTTTAGCTTTTCAATTGCAAGCGTGGCGGAGATATTCAGCAATTATCTTTTCGAGAGAGCACGCAAAATGAGGAGAGACGGTCAGAGAAAAAATATGTTTTTTTAGCTACAGCTACGTGAATTTTAAGGAGAAAAATTGATTTGTTTGTGAAAATATTTTACTCTACACTTGCGATAACACATAACATTTAAAAAAAATATAACCAAAAAAATGAGATTTTTTTACTTTTCGGAAAAGTTTAGATAGGTCTTAAAAAACTGTAATGTAGATTCGGGCCAAATTATCTCAAAATCTGAAGTCTACAAACATGATTTTTATAAGAAAAACAATTTTTTTTAAGTTTTTCCAAAGCTTAGTTCCATAAATTTTTAATAACCTTGACATTTGCTGACATTCCGAACTCCATTACTTTACAAAAAAGACTAAATTTATAACAGATTAGAGGCCATTTCAAACCCTTCTGGAAGTGTTTTCTAATTTATTAATGGAATATTCGATTTCTCGCTGAAAATAGCGAAAAACGGATTAGTTACTGTTTACCGCTCACACAAAGTAAATTTCAGAGATTGAGGAAAGAGGATTAAGAGAGCTGGGAAATAATGATATGCTATTTTTACTATTTTTTGGCTGAAATTTGCAGGAAAGTCATAGGCAAAGTAAATATTTAATTTTTTGACCGACTCTCCTCTTCTTACGTGTCCCTAAAGAAGATTAAATTTCTTGAGTCCACTTGCAAATTATAAGCTGAAATTTCCAGGATTTCAAACATAACCTATTAAGTGTACCAAGCCAAAATTTCAAGTAAATCGAATCATCGCTCCAGCAGTTATGACCATTCAAACTCACCAACTCCTATCTCTCCCAAAGGTCAAACGATTACGCAATAATCTCTCCGATCAGAGAAAAAATCGGCGCTGGAACCGATAAGAATCTCATGGGTAAATGATTGGGGAAACTATTGGAGAAGAGGATGGGAACGCGATGGGAACGAATATTTGAATTTGATCAACAAATAATCATCGATTTTTTGAAAAAAAACTGTTGATACAGTAACCCCAGAAGAGATGGAAAAGTCTAAATTGGAGAGAATAAAGCTTATTGCATGTATAATCGACCAGTAATAAGTTTACATTGTAAACTCTCCGTGTTAGCGAACAAATTGACGTTATAAGCAAGTTTGAGCCAATCGTTGAAGATGGCAAAAAGTTCATCGCCAAAAAACATTAAAAGTGGCAAAATTAGTATTGGAAATTGGTTGTAGACACTTTTAAACTGAAGAATATTCATCAAGGTATCTTAATTAGGTACGTAGATATCGGCATTTACCGAAAATTTTTTAAAAAATAAAAAATCATCAAAAAATTGATAAATTTCCAAATTCTCCAAAATTTCCAAAGTTTTTTGAAGCCAAGAAGCAAATTCTCATCATTTATACGTCAACTGCACTATGATTCATTCAAAATAAAAAACAATATTTGATTACAAAGCAAAAAACGAAATTTTTTAATCGATTTTTCCTGTTTTTCAGCGGAAATCCGTGAAAATCGATAATTTCGGGTAAAAGCAATGCAAATTTGGACATAAATAAACCTCTGAATACCACAAAAATGCCGGTACTTTGACAACGAACAAATTATTTGCAAATTAAAAGTAATTTTAGCCTAAATTCCGCTCGAAAACCGAGAGAAAATGGAAGAAAAATCCCATTTTTCCCCAATTTTTCGCTCTTCAGCAGCCAGCGCGACGAAAACTCGCTGCGCTCTGAATTCCACCCGAATCCCCGTCTCCCACACTCCCCGCTGTTTTGTTGATTCGGATCAAGTCGGGGGGCTGCGGAGAAGAAAGAGATTTGGAGATGGAAAGACAGAGGGGCGAAAGAACTGGGTCGGAGAGAGGAAAGCGAGAGAGTTCGAGAAAAATGGAGCGATTTCGGGGGGAAAATGAAATAAAAAATTTTGATAATGAGCAATGATGTGATAGTGAGTAGTCCGTAAAGTTGTTGCAGTCATTTTTTTTTTTTTTTTTGAGACATGCACTGTGCAGAAAAAATGGTGCGACAGCCCAAAAAATCGTATTGCACGGTGCAAAACATCGAAAATTACACATTGCAAAGTGAAATTGTGTTTTTGCACAGTGTTGTTGCAGAAATCACTCCAGCGACTTTACGAACAGACTAGTAGTATTTTCAAAAAGTGCGCCGCGCAGAATTATTGTAAATATTTAAAAATGGTTGCCAAACCGATCAAAAATTTTTTTTCACAAGCTGATTCCATGCGTTAATAGGTTTTCAGACATGCTCTTTCGAATGGTATTAGCAGTTTTTCGATATCTCTTACCAAACCCTAGATACTGCAATTTTCCATAGGGTAGGTATATATTTTCGTAACGGAGTGTATAAAAAACTCGAGGCAAAAAAGAAGATCCCTAACTTTTGTCTAGATATCATTCATGCGAATACATGTAAAGCACCTCAAAAAATGCTTTGTCAGCCGGTTGGCTGAACTAGATTCATAAAAAAGCGGGTGATTTTTTATGCGAAAATCGGGGCGCAAAAAGGAAAAAAGTTCTCTCAAGGATGGTAATATCAAGTTGCAATGACAACAGCAGAACCTTCAGAAGAGTAATTCTAACTTATAGTTATTTTACAGTAAAATTATCAGATGTTGTGGGTTTATCCGAGCACGTTAAGAACTTTTGCACAATTTTTAGCAGTTTCGGCATGAAAATATTTTTCAAAAACTTATATTTCAAAAACTGAAGGCGTAAAAAGGTCAATTCAAAATATTTTTTATTGGAATTTCATTGGTTGGAAATGGCGGGTCTCAGCTCCAGAAAAAACCAAAATTTTAGAAAAATCGGCGAATTCTCCGCGGAGAAATCTAAAAAAATGAGGGAAGCCTCGAGTGGCCCACTCTGTATACTATATGATGAGGTCAAGCAGAAATCCAGCTTCAAATTTATGTATGCGGTAACACCATTCCACCCAATTTTTCATGTGTATCATTTTAGCAAAAAAATATTATGAAGCTGAAACAGAATGCCAAGAATTCTTGACGGGATATTTGATGACTATACGGTATGAACTTTACGCTAATCGCTCCCAAATTAATCCAGAAACCCCATAAAACAGCCCATTAATTTTCCACTCCTCCACAGCTAACCTATTTTCGGAATACGAAAAGAAAAATAGATCTGGTCGTAAGATGAGTGGGGAGACGTCGCGAAAAGTCGTTTCGTCGTCTTTTTCTCCAGATCCGCCGTGAACAAGGGATCGCGGCGAGAAATCGAGAGAAAACGGAACTCCGCCGAACTTACCGGTATATCCCAGCGAAATTGAGGGAGGAAAACAAAAAATAAGGAAAAAAAAAGAGAAATGAGATAATTGCTGACAAATAGTCATATGTGCGAGGCTCAGGTTTTCTTTGAATTTGCAGAAAATCGGCATTCAGGTACGCCTATTCTTGGCCATCCTGGTCTGGAGTTCAGATCCGTTGTACTTTAAAGCTGCTTGAAGGTCAGTTCCTGAATCGTACGTCTCCTTGGAGGCAATAACAACTAACTCTGTAAAGCAACTTGAGTTTCGGACAGTTGACCACATGGTCTTCGTTGGCCGTAAAATTTGTGTCCTTGAGATAAATATACTCTAGTTTTGGAACGTTTCGAATGAAGATGCTCTTCAAAGGATTGCTTACCAAATCGATCGAGATCATTTTGAAAGTGCTCTGAAAAAGTTCGATTTACACGGAAAGGGCGTCATGTGAAAGTTCTGCTGCTGTTGTTTCACTTTTATGGGAAAAGTTTTGCATCCGGGAACTGTCAAAAATGTGGCAAAATGCTTCCCTCTCCAAGTGAAGGGGCTCCGATTTCGAGAGCTTTTTGCAAAGGGCGCGCCCTTCAAACCGAAGTTTTTTCACTTGGAGAGGGAAGCATTTTGCCAAATTTTTGATGCTTTCCGGATGCAAAGTGGTACGTTTTTTGCCACCGGATCAGGTCCGTCACTGTAATTTTTATTTGTCGCTGCAAAATTTCGAAGGAAAAAATGATAAGACGGGCTTTTCTGGCCAGGAATACGGTAGGCTCCTTTCTGATCGGCAGCTATCAAAAAACAGAGCATCCGGTCCAAAAAGCGACCTTTCTGTCAATCCGCGTCCCATGACTTTCCGGACCGTTCGATTATCCGTTTCCATTTGGCTCCTGTTTTTGTTCGGTGTTGATCAGATCTCATCTCAGACGCTGTTTTATTCATAAAATGTCGGATTATGAAGTGAAAGGTAATTTTTGTCGTTGTCAAACAAGTATATGTATCGATTATCCATCTGTCGGGAAAATCATGAGCACAGCATAAAGTTTGCTGCGCTCATCGCGTCGCTGAAGCAAAAAGCAATTTTTTATTTTACACAATTTATTTTCTGGCCGGAAATGCGACTTTCAATACGACATTGCGTCCATTATTTTCCCCACAGATAGATAATATACATATAAGTTCTCATAAAAACGTCTTCATTCCAGCCAGCTTTGATGACGATGTTGAGCAGCCTATGACCCGCTACAAGTGTCTGCATTGCTTGAACAGCATCGTCGCAACAAAGGTTCCCAGCTTCTGCGAGCACTGTGGATTCCGGCTGGACCAGAAGTGCAGCAAGTGTAGCCAGACCGTCAAGTAAGTTGGCAGCTTTGCAAAAATTACAGCAAAAAAAGAAATTTTTCATGTAACACATTGATTTTTTTGTACAATTTCCGAGCTAGAGGCATACCAACTCCTGAAAGTCTTCGCTCGCACTTTTGGCACTACGACTTTTTTGGGGTCAGCGACAGTTCGGTACGATACTATGGATCGCGTCGGTGCGTCCTTCTATGCATGGGCAGGCTAGGAGAAGGCTTAGTTAGGGGAAATAATAAGTTTCATGGGGTCCTAGAACAGCTATCCTTATTTTGAGGTAGTTTACATGCACTCACATCAATATTATCAAGATAAAAGTTAGGGATCTTCGCTCTTTGCCGCAAATTTTGGTCTTTGATATGTTATAAATAATAACTCAGGGTAAAGAAAGATAACGTCAGTAATAGCTAAAGTTACAAAAAGGTGGACATTTTGCAAGTCTTGTCCAAGTCTCCGCCGAACGTCCGCCGAGCGCCCGCCGACCATCCAACGGCTTTGTCAGGCCTCGTAGACACTTCCGAAGATGTTTTTGGGGCATCCACCTGCCCTACGCCCCGTATCGATCGATTTTGCGTTCTCCCGAGCAAAAAAAATGGAAAATTTTTTACAGCTTCTGATCGAAAACTTCCAGATTCAGCCAGAAATTTTGCTCTCATTGCGGTGCCAAGAACTTGGCGTATGTAAACTTCCCGACTCCATCGAAAATGTGTTGCGCCAAGATGTTTGTCACCTTGATTGTGCTGTTGGCCCTGATCGGAGCCGTCGCCGTCATCGGCGGAATCGCTCAATGGTTCAACATGGAACAGCAGAAAACTGATCCTTGGAGACATCATTATTAGTACTGATTAAGCATGTTGTTGCAATAAATACCTTGAATCGTTGTGTCGAACTTCTCAATGTTCTTTCTTATCAATTTCGCGGCGAGTTTTTGTCAACCCATGCAACTAGTTGATGAGAAATTTAGGGAAACACAGCGTGGTATATCCAAAAACTTTTTTTGATTGATCTGAAATGTTTCGATTTATTCAATTCACAACAGCCAGCTGACAATGTCGTTAAAGTATAAACAAACTTTTTTGTAATTTTCAAATTGCTTATAAAGAGTATAAACTGTTGATGCATTGTAAAAATGAATTTTTCGATTCTTTATCCACTGTTGTTCCCAACGGTAATTGCGATTCTCGACAAATGTTATGACGGTCACTGCGCTCCAGCGGGCTGTGATTACGAAAGAAATTCGATTGCATGTAAAAATTTGTCAAAGCCACAGGTCGAATGTTTGATAGGAAATTTGGACAAGATTTTGGTAAGTCTTTTCTTGCTTACTACAGTACGTATGTAACAAAAAAAAACACCTTCTAGTCGGATTACTGATCCGTCAGTGAAGTCTCCGGACTAATCTTTGACTTTTGCACTGTGCAAAAAAGTGCTATCGACAGCTCAAAAAACTCATTGCACGGTACAAAAAGCCATAGACAATTCAGTCCTGCATTGTGGGAAAACAAAAATTCACTTTGCACTGTGCAATTTCTGGCTTTTTGCTCCGTGCAAGTGCGTTGCGGCAGAACTCTACCCCTTTTCTGAACTCTCCCTCTTTTTGAACTTTCCCCCCTCAGAACTCTCCCCTTTTTTGAACACTCCCTCTCATTTTGAAAATTGAAAATAATAAGGTGTGACATCTTATACGATGAAAATTCTTTTCAATTTGAAAAAAAAATTCCATCGTATAACATGTCACACCTCGTTTTTTTCAATTTTCAAAATGAGGGAGTGTTCAAAAAGGGAGAGAGTTCAGATTTTTTGGCGAAAATCAAAAAAGGGGTAGAGTTCAGTTTGGGGGAAAGTTCAGAAAAGGGGGAGAGTTCAGGCTCAACCTGCAAGTTGCTATTTTGAGCTATCGCTCTTGACTTCTTTCGCACTGTGCCAACGTCAAAATTGGTTCAGCGGCTTTTCGGATATACCAATATTTCCCCTGTACGGATAAATAGCCATATTTTCAAATTTTATTGAAATAGACCACAATTTTCTAAGTCATCACCAGAGCTCCTATTCAGTCAGTTCATATTCATGTACCTTTTTTCAGGTCGCAAATCACATCGAAATTTCATCAATTTATTTCTCCTCCTGCATCGAGCCTCTGAAAGCTTTAAAATCCGTCTTCCCTCCCAATGTAAATTTAACCTATGTGTCTATTGAACACTGCGGCGTAACGTCTCTCACCCCACACATGTTCCACAACCAACCAAATCTGAGGGAAATATCGTTGAATTATAATGAAATCGAAGACTTGCCAAGATTCCATCTCCCAAAACTGGAGGCTTTCTACTTGGAGGACAACCGTGTAAGCTTTGGCAGACTTTAGGGCAAAGGAACTGCGATGCTCAAGATTTGATGAAATTGTTTCATTAGGGAGATTCCGCATTATTTTCCCGACAAAATGATAATCTATTTTTCACTACAAAAACGCTGAAACGTCTTACAAGGGAATGGACTTTATGTGTAAATCGATTTTGGCTTGGGACATAGTCAGATCGAAAGGTGTGTGGTAGTCGATTATTCACTTGGGGGGAAATCTCTGCGCGGGGCTTCAAAGCCGAGAAAATCGGCTTCAAAGTTTAGACGAAAATCGAAGGATAGGGATCCCGAAAAAGGAGCTATAAAAAGTGTGAAGCAGTGGCCGAGTGGTCAGTGCGCTCGCTTTTTGCGCAAAAGGTTGCAGGTTCAAGTCTTTCCAAGCTCAAATCATTATTATCGTTTTTTACTTCTGCTATCTTCGTGCTAATCCGGCTGTACATTTAAAAAAGTGGTATAGAGAAAAAAGTTAACATAATGGAAAGTTGTTTTTGAATACATCAGGTTGATGTTGTGCCCTGCGCTCTAAAACTGTAAAGGGAAGGTGCAAAGCCGTTGAAAATGGAAAGGTTGCGATTAAAATATACTTCTTGAATCGATAATCGAGTTCAAGGGTAAAAAATTAATAGAAGTTTTTGTTTAAAAAAGTTATGAATGGAAGCAGATTCGAACTTGCGACCTTTTGCGCAAAAAGTGAGCGCACTGACCACTCGGCCACTGCTTCACACTTTTTATCGCTCCTTTTCCGGGATCCCTATCCTTTTCCTTTGATTTTCGTCCAAACTTTGAAGCCGATTTTCTCGGCTTTGAAGCCCCGCGCAGAGATTTCCCCCCAAGTGAATAATCGACTACCACACACCCTTCGATCTGACTATGTCCCAAGCCAAAATCGATTTACACATAAAGTCCATTCCCTTGTTAACAGTTATTCTGTTTTAGATATCTTGGGTAAAAGACGGAGATCTTGCCGGTTACTCAAGTCTTAATCTGCTGAGCTTGGCATCTAATCCAATTGGATATCTAGAACCGTAAGCAACAAAATTCTTCACGACGCAAACACTTCAGAGACGCCTTGCGCAAAGCGCCCATCACCCATTTATTCATCGACCACTGCCGTGTGTTTAGACTCTGGACCAAATCTTTTGCCGGTGCAGAAGAACTCAAAGACATTCAATTGCATCACAATCAGATTGAGACGGTGCCCGAAGCGAGTTTTGTCGACTTGCCGAGCTTGGAACTGATATGTTTGGCGAATGGCAGAATCAATTACTTCAGTCCGGAGGCTTCCTGGAATGCGCCAAATTTGAGGGCCATTAGCTTGACAAACAATTCCTTGAGTTCATTTGAAATGGACGGAAAGGTAGGGAAGATAGAGAGGAGTGACGACCGAGACCCCAGGAGTCGGGAGCTATACTAGTCGCGGAAAAAAGTCCTGGGATTTTTCTGCGACTCTGCACTGTGCATGAACCCGAAAAGTGCTTTTGCACAGTGCAATTTTGTTGATTTTGCCTTATTGTCGCGCGCGATTCCCGCGACAAATCAACTTTTCGGAGCGCGATGGAGTTTGGGGGGCGCGAGAAAATCCCAGGACTTTTTTCCGCGACTAGTATCTTAGGAATGAAATTAAGCTAGGAAACAGCCGTAGGAAACAAATGTGACCTTTACTAGTCCGTTCGCAAAGCCGCTGGAGTGTTTTCGGCGACGCGCACTGCGTAAAAAAGTCATGATGCGAGCGACACCCAAAAAAGCTTTTGACTGTGCAAAATGCGGGAAATTGCAAAGCGCAAGGTGAACTTTTTTCTCCCGGCGCCTGTTTCTGACCAGCGACTTCCCTTTCCGGACGGTCGAGCATCATTCTGAACGGCTAGTCTCGGCTGGCAAAAGAAATTTTGCAACGGCAAATAAACGTGGGTTTCCCGAAGGACTGAAAGAACAGCAACAGAATTTTCACATGACACCTTGCCGTGTAAATCGTAAATCAAACTTTTTCAGAACACTTCCAAAATGATCTCGATCGATTTGGAAGGCAATCTCTTAAAGAACATCTCGATTCGAAACTTTCCGGAACTAGAGTATATCTATCTCAAGGACACAAATTTTACGGTCAACGAAAGCCAGGTGGTCAACTGTCCGAAAGTCAAGGTGCTTTACAGGGTGAGTTTACCATTGCCTACAAAAAGTACGATTCAGGAACTGACCTTTAAGGAGCTTAAAGGTAACATGAACCCGAACGCCATACCAAAATGGCCAGGAATCGAGATCCCTCAATATGCGATAAATGAAGTGATTACGTACGATGATATCTTAGAATATTCAAAAAATCAACATTAAATTTTTTGTGCAGCCAGGATAAGATTTTTTTTAGCATACATCGCGATTGTGTCGCCTTTTATACATAATAGAAAACCAAGTCGGCTGACTTTATCAGTGTCTGTGATTGCGTCTAGACGCAATCACATCGAATAAGAAGAGATTTGGCCATCTTGTTGAGAATCGAATTTAACACACGTAGACTAAAAAAATTGTAAATACGATCATGCAACTTGCACTTTTGGGTTGCAGAAGTTTTAAGAATGATTTTTTTTTAATTCTCATTGCGAAGTTTATGCGATGGGGTTCCGTACAATATTTGTATTTTCTGAAAGCCGGCTTCTTACTCTACTGCCGTGCCAAATTTTAGCCTTCTAGCTCAAACGGCTAGCGAGATATGGAGAGGGAAAGCAAGCGCATTCCGAAAAAATAGAAAAAGTCGCGGAGATCGGTTGTGTCCCAAAAGTACAGAATGCCGTGCGTCTTGAAGAAGTGATTTTTACCAAAATTTTGAATTTTCAAAACATCAGTTTTATTTCCAAAATGCTCTCTCAAATTCGGTTGCTCGTCCTGCTGTTCAGCGTTTTCTCCTTCGGCTCCGAAGGCTTCCTGTCTCGACGGTTGGATGAATTACATCGATACAGCTTGTTTAATGCATTGGAAACGCTGCTGGAAGAGAGGAAGCACGATGGCGCCGAAGTCTACAGTCGATGTATGCGATATTTCTAATTTTTTTCATACTCTTAATTTTTTTCTTTTTTTGTCAATTGCACAGTGCGCAAGTTTTATGATCTTGTGGTGCAGAAAATAGGCAGTCAAAATTTGCGCAATGCAATATAAAAATATCATAAATTTGTAACAGGACTTGTTTTAGCATGCAATTTCGAGTGCTTCACCTCTTTGAATCAAGTCTGTTTTCAAGGGAAGTGTTATGAGCCCGTTCAAAAAAGTAAGGTATATTTTAGTAACCTTTACAATATCGGATTTCAGCCTGCGAAAAGACTGACGATTGTTCGGAAGGATCTATCTGTATCAGCCACGACTTTTTGGTTCGTTCCTGCTTCAGACCAATCATTGAATAGGCAAAAGTTGAAATATATTATACTTGATATAAGAAATTAGTTACCAACGTCAAATAAACGTTAATTAATGATTTATAGTTTACTAAATCGTTTTTAATGGCGCCTCAAATCTTTATCGACTGAATGGAGGTATTCTCATTTGAATTCCCGCAAAAGTCTCACAGTTCTCGCTGAAGTCAGGGCGCAGCTCGCGTAGGGTTCTTTCGCAAGAGAATATTTTCTCTTGTTTCGCTGGTAATTTTCTACTCTGTTTTAGGGTTTTCACCTGTTTTTTGACAATTTCGTTGTCGTAAAATGCGCGTTTGAGTCATTTTTCGGGAGTGTCAACTTTTTGATACCTAGAACAATATTTTTTACTTTGAAATCCCCGATTATCCGGTGTTCGGTCCGATAAATCCTTGTATTCGTAAATTTCGGATTTTTTACGACGAAACGAATTCATGTTTCGACTATTTGGGTCACAGATTTGCTTTTTTCCGACTGATTTTTTTGGGGGTTTACCTCCTAAAATAAAACCTTTAGTAACTTCAATTTGATCTGCGGTCTATGCAAATGAATTGCTTCTGAAATTGGTATATAATCTTGACCTCAGTTTGCTTTCTTTCATTCGTCCATTTTTTTAGCAAATGGCCCGCGATAAGCAAGTCGCTCGGAAGCGACCAACCAGCCAGGACAGCTCCTACAGCACGCCTGTGTTTGGCATGGCTGTCGGAAGGAAGCGAATGCCAGGGAAGACGATGAAGCTCATCAACCCGAAGAAGAAGCATGCACCGTCGAAGAGACTCGTCAGTAAGTATTGTTGTAGCTTTTGTTTGGTTTTTAGGTATCAACCCGGAATGGATAATATCATGGCTCAGATTGATGTAGTTCGGCTTCTAGATCAAAGTTCCTTGCTTTATTGTATTCAGTCTGGTTTTTATAGGCGTAGTGCGAAGTTTTCGTATAGATTGAAATTATTTTTCACGGACCTGGATGGGTAATATAAGTTTGGGTTGAATTGTTCCTATTTTTGATGTTGGTGAACTGAGGCTCTATTTCAATTACAACGTCTTGACCTTTTGCTGCCAATATTAGTGCTGGTTTCAAATTTGAGATCATTTTGTGATTCCAGAATCTTATATTATCCTTGGATCTGTCTATGGTTAATTGTGTTGTTTTTTCAGAGCGAAACGGAGTCCTCAGAGATATCAAGCGCCTTCAGAGTACGACCAACCTTTTAATTCCGCGAGCATCTTTTCTCCGACTCGTCCGCCAAGTTACTGCGTCATTTGCGACGGATATGAGATATAAGGTGGAAGCGGTCATGGCATTGCAGGTGAGACGATTTTCCTTTTGCTTTTTGTATTTTAGGAATCTTTATGATTTTTTGAAAGCTGTTTGGATTCGTCTGAAATTTGGCTCAGTTCTGGTTGTGAAGTTTTCGCCGTTTTTTTTATATTACACTAGACAAACGCCTGATTTTATAAAAGCATGTTTTCAGGAAGCGTCTGAAGCCTTCTTAACTCAACTCTTTGAAGACAGTAACCTCTTGGCCATCCACGCTCGCCGAGTCACCCTGATGAATCGTGATATGACATTAGCCAAGCGGATTCGTGGTCTGGATAACCTGTTCAGATAAATAACATCATAATTCATCGCTGTTTCTTGCCTTCTATTTATTTTGTTCCTTCTGACCTTTTTAGTAGAACCGTAGTGGTCTTACATTCCGCGTGAAGACCAACGGCCGGCTCGTTGGTTTCGAATTCCTCCGTTTAAACTTTCCGAATCTATCTAGTACAATATATTGGACAAAGTTTTAGTTTGTATGTTGGATAAAGTCTAAATCCTCTAGTGTAGGTTAACCCTAGTTCCGTCTAATTTTGGTTTTTATTGTTTTCAAATTGCATATTTTGCGCTAATTGATATCAGTTGACTCAGGAAGAATAAGTTTTAACGAATAAAAAGTTTTGTTTCTATGTCTGACGATGTTTTTTTTTGATTGTTGTATGCACAATCAGAAATATTTTGTTTGATTGTGACACTGGAATAATAAGATTTATGAAAACAAGTTGTCATTGATAACATATTTTTTGTTGAAAATTGATAGTTGATGGCTGAGTGAAGGTGTGTGAAGTTGGCTATGAGCTTGTTAAGGGATAAATAATATACAAGATCTATGAAATTCAACTTTTTCGGCAAAAATATGGCAATTCAAAAAGATTTATTCGGTTACGTACAGTGGGGGACCTGCTCCAGTGGCAAAAAACGTACCATTTTGCATCCGGGAAGTATCAAAAAATGTGGCAAAATACCTCCCTCTCCAACTAAAAAAAGTCCGATTCCAAAAGCGCGCCCTTCAAAACGGAGTTTTTTTTCACTTGGAGAGGGAAGCATTTTGCCACATTTTTGATGCTTCCCTGATGCAAAATTATACGTTTTTTCCACTGGATCAGGTCCGCCACTGTAATCTGGCCGTCTTTTACTTTTTTCGATCCGAATAAACACTTTATTGTCACTCAATTTCCTTCAAAGCCTTCGAGATCGCCTCCACACATTGATCTGCATTGATTTTATCGATACACATTGGCGGCTTGATCCGTAAAACATTCCCGTTTAGGCCTCCTTTGCCCACCAAAACTCCAAAATCCTTGATTTTCTCGAAAACCGCAGCCACTTTGTCGATCGCGAGTGGTTTCACACCCTCTTCCACCAATTCCACACCAACCATTAGGCCTTTTCCGCGGACATCACCGATATGCCTGGAGGGTATCTTGGCCAATTCGCGGAGAAAGTGCGTCCCAACGACTTCGCAGTTTCGCTGGAGACCTTCTTCTTGAATTACCTGAAAAACGAGGGGTGAATTAATGGAAAAATACTGCTTTATAGCAGTTTTGGCAAGTAAAATATAAAGTTGATGTATTTTACAGCGGGGGACCTGATCCAGTGGCAAAAAACGTATCATTTTGCATCCGAGAAGTGTCAAAATGTGGCAAAATGCTTCCCTCTTCAAGTGAAAAAACTCCGATTTCAAAAGCGCACCTTTCAAAACGAAGTTTTTTCACTTGAAGAGGGAAGCATTTTGCCACATTTTTGATACTTCCCGGATGCAAAATGGTACGTTTTTTGCCACTGGATCAGGTCCGTTACTGTAGTCAATTTTTATGGGTGTTTGAGGTTATGAGACTCATTTGTCATTCTGTTGGGCCTCTTGAAACCATAGAGAAAATTTAAGGCGAGAATGACACAAATTTTTGACCCGAAATTTTGAGAAAATCCCGATTTTCTCAACAAAAGAAAAAGAAAAACCTTATTTTAGACCAGTTTTGCCCCTTTTCTTACTTCCAATGTCGCTTTTGCCACACTAGTAGCCAGCGGATTGCCTCCATAGGTGTTAAAGTACAGCGCCTTGCCCAGCGAATCGGCTATTTCCTTTGTGGTGACCACTGCTCCCATTGGGAATCCGTTCGCAATTCCTTTGGCCATAGTGACAATATCCGGCCTTGCATTTTGACTCTCAAATCCCCAAAAATGGGATCCTAGGCGTCCGAATCCGGTCTGAACTTCGTCGCTGATCGCTAGGCCACCTCGCTTTTGGACCCGCTCGAAGGCGCCGGACAAATATCCCTTCGGGTATTGGACTGTCCCTCCAACTCCTTGAATCGACTCCGCCAAAAAGGCGGCCGGCCCGGTTGCCTTGGGGAAATCATAGTCCAAGACTTGATCGAATTGCTCGAGATAGCCGCTTGTCGCTTTGCACTCATTGGTCGAACATTTGGGAGCGGATTTTACCTGAAAATTGGATTTTGAAATTTAATTTTTTTCGAACAAATTGCCTTAAAATTCTGCAACGACACTCTATAAGTGACGCAAATCAACCTCTGAAAATTTTGGCCCGTGCTTTCTAAGCTTCGCCGAGATATTCGACGATCTTGTTTTAGAGGGTTAAGTTTTGTCATGGTTAATTTAAAGGTCATTTTCTCGCCATGAGACGCTCCAATTTTCTTCAAATTTGGAACGGCAAATTTGGAAATTGATTTATGTATAAGGGACACAAATCAATTTCTGAAACGTTTAGGCTGTGATTTCCAAGCGTAGCGGCCGCCATGTTCAGCGATTTTTGCGGACGAGGCACTACGGAAGATGAGGAGAGATGGTGTGAAACAATTTTGTTGGCTTTATCTTTGCGAATTCTATGGAAAATCGAATGTTTCCCTATAGAATTCAGAAAGATACGGCCAAGAAAAGTCTTTCCATCTCTCCTCATTTTCCATAGTCTCTGGCCCTCAAAAATCGCTGAATATGTCCATTATGATTGGAAATAAAGAAAGAGAAGTTTCAGAAATTGATTTGCGTCTCTTTTAGAATATCAGTTCCAAAGTTGAAGAAAATCAGAGCGTCCGACGACGAGAACTTAACCTTTATACTAACCATGACAAAACTTATCCTTCTAAAACAAGATCGTCGAATATCTCGGATAAGCTTAGAAAACACGGGCCAAAATTTTGAGGGATTGATTTGCGTCACTCATAGAGGGTCGTTGCAAAATTTTAAGGCAATTTGTTCGAAAAAAATTAAATTTTAGACGTCTAGCTTCAGCAGACGTCTAAAATTTTGCGCTCATCGAACTCGCTTACCTGAACTGGACTGTCCCTGCAAGAACCGCAGCGGTAGACTCCTTTGAATGGATCCGGGCAAAGCGACTTCAAGATCCCAAACCCATGAGGCAACGGCTGTTTCCAATTTCCCAAATTGGTGGCGCCGGCCAGCGCTTGAGTCATTCCATGATATCCATTGCGAAGCGAGAGAACGTCGAATCGACCAGTGTAAAGTCGGGCCAACTCCAAGGCCAGGTCATTGGCTTCGGATCCGGAATTGGTGAAGAAACAAACCTGAAAAAATGACATTCTTTTGCACTTAAAACTTTGAAAATTCCGGTAAATTCGAGTTAACTGGGGAAGGGGGAAGTACCCCAAGTGCGACACTTAGGTTTTGATGAAACTTGTCACAAATTTAGAATGATTTTTTCCAAGGTATATGCGAGTATTCTAGCTAGCACTTTGCAGAAACAATCGAGATTTCTAGATCGAAAATTGGCGAAAAATTGACACGCCTTACAGAAACCTCAAAGATTTTTAGATCGAAAGTCGGCGAAAATTTGAGACTTTTTACCGAATTTTGGCGCTAAAAGTTTCACACCTATTTCTAGCGTAAAGGGTAATGTTTCCACAAAAAAAAATAGTTTTTTTTCCGCACGAAACTAGCAAAGTTATGATAAAAAAGCGTTTTTCTCTCTGACCGCTCTCCGCGTTTAGCGTACTCTCTCGGCGGCAAAGATCGTTCAATATCTCAGTGGCGCTTGCAAAGGGCTAAAACTTGCATGAATCGACAATTAGTCTATGCCCAACGTGTGTGCAAAATTAAAAGCAAATCGAGCGACGCACTTGGGGATCTTACTTCTCTTGTAAGATAAGGTTTTTTCTTTCTTACAAGAGATAAGTTTGGTCTCGGAATAGTTTCCTCGAGCTTTGCGTCAAAGTTTGAGGCAAAAAATATTTAATTTTTGACTCCGGCTTACATTCAAATGTCCGGGAAGGGTACTAGTCAATGCCTGCGCGTACTCATAGACCGGTTCTGTAATGTAGATTGAGGTTGTGTGCCACAACTTTTTCATTTGCCTTTCCAACGCTTCATTGACTTTTCTGAAAAATTTGGATTATTTCTGGTTAGACGTATTTTCGAACTTACGGATGACAATGCCCCACGGAAACAGTGACAATTCCACCAAACATGTCCAAATATTTGTTGCCATTCGCGTCGAAAAGCCACTGTTTTTCGCCTTTTTCGATTATCAGAGGCGTTTTGTAATAGTGTAAGGTGTATTTGGGGAGGAAGTGGCGAAGATTTTGGATTTTCGACATTTTTGTCGACTGAAAAATGAAACATAAGCTTAAAAAATAGATATAAAATATTTGTAAAAAATCCAAAAAATCATTTTTTTTTTGATCTTTTTTATCAAGAAGACTATGTTTTATTCCAAAATAAAGTTTAAAATCACTTTATAAAAGCGCCAACTGTTTGTGCGATAAGAAAAAGAGGCCAATTTGAAGCGTTCGTTTGGGGAAATAAAGCGTCCGAATGGTCATTCGGAACAAAAAGGAAGATAATTGAACCTTCATTTGTTTCTTTTTTCTTTCATTTTTTGAGGGAAATTTTTCCACCGTCCCACATGCGATTGCACAGTGCAAAAAACAAAAAAAAATTTGGCCGCACTGTGCGAAATTTGTTTTTTTTTTGCACTGTGCGGAAAAAATTGGGAAAACGCACCGTGCAGAAAAAAATGATGATTTTTATTGTGGAGAGCTGGGTTTATTGGGCCTGGAAAACGATTTACTGCGCACATTAAATCATTTTTCATGTTGCACGGTGCGAAAAATAATCAGTTTTCCGACTGCACAGTGCGAAAAACACAAGGCAAAATTCGCACTGTGCAGTCGGAAAACTGATTTTTTTGTGCAATATTGGGCTTGAGGAACCAAAAAGATGGCCGAAATTGTCAAAGTAACACATCCAAAGAAAAATTTATTTAATTTTCGGTGACACAAAAAATGGGAAGTTCAAAACGGCGATTTTTGAGTTCTATTGTACAGTAAATAAATAAAACAAAAAACCATAAATAATAAAAAAAGAGAGGCTTTACGACGGTTTCTCCACAGGCTTTTTGGGTTTGCACCATAAGTTGAGTAGCCTGTTGTAGGATCTCATCAAAGTGTAGGGAACTTTGTTGTAATGTGTGGCAAATGGATATGGAAGTCCGTCCTCCGTACAACGATAGTTGGTTCGAAGCTGCAAGAAATTTTTTTTTGTTTGGAATTCGGCCATAACTTTGTTAGTTTCGTGAGGAAAAAAACAATTTTTTGTGGAGACGTTACCCGTTATGGTAGAAATAGGTATGAAACTTTTCGTGCCGAAATTCGTTAAAAAGTTTCAAATTTTCGCCGACTTTCGATCTAAAAATCTCGGTTGTTTCTGCAAAGTGCGAGCAAGGATAAAGACAAGCTTCATCAAAATCTAAGCGTCGCACTTGGGATACTTCCCCTATAAACCAAATTCACACGCACCCTTTCCCTTGCGCCCTGAAAATCGATGAGCGGAACTTTGGCGATTCGGCCAGCAATCCCAGTAAACAAAACGTCATCGATATGCAGTTTGTTGGCCGAATGCGAGGCCTCGAACAATTTCCCAACCGTTGTGGATGGCATAAACGCCACGAACCCGGTACACCAGTCCGGGTATCTTTCTTCGGGGTATTCGAACTCGGGGACGTACCTAAAAATGAGAAAATTTCGGCCTTCGATCTCCTACCATTTACTCCTGGGATTCCTAATTGGCCCTTTTCGGAAGACCATTTGGCAGATCACATAGTCCGTTTTATTGGTCGTTTTGCCGTCAAAATTTCGGTCGACCCACTTGAAAAGGCGGTCGAACAACACTACCGAGTCATCGTCCATTTTCACAAAATATTCGGCGTCTTTGCAGTAGGCTTGCTGCCATTCGTACATGACGTACCTGAAAAATGGTAAAAAATGCGAAATTAAAAAAAAAATTTTTCTCTGACCGTCCCTCTTCAACTCACGTGCTCTCTACACTCCGTTACAAAAGTATAAATACCCCATGGAAAATTGCAGTATCTAAGGTTTGGTAAGAGCTATCGAAAAACCGCTAATGCCATTTGAAAGAGCATGTTGAAGAACCTATTACCGCGTGGAATCTGCCGGCGAAAAATATTTTAGTCGATTTGACAACTGTTTTAATATTTTTGACCGTTTCAAGAGTATGCCTACCTCTGACGATTTTTGGCCAATCTGGCTCAGGTTTTCATCTAGCCTACCCCCATTTCATTCCATCGTGTTCTACATAGTACTAGAAAGTGTATTACATTCCATTCCGTTGCACATTACCCATGTATTGCCTTTGCGGGTCATCTTTGATCTTGTACATGAGGTTGATATTAATTTTTTAAATTAGACCAAATTTTTTCCCCGGCTGCTCTGATTCCATGCTGTAATAAGTTCTTCGACATGCGCTTTCAAATGCTTTTTGCTGTTTTTGGATAGCTCTTACCAGACCTTAGATACTGCAATTTTCCATGGGGTATGTATACTTTTGTAACGGAATGTGTAAAGTTCGTTGAACATCTCGGATGCGCCCGCAAACCGCGAACTAAAGTTTTTAAGAATCCATTTATAGACTATTTGGAGTCTGTGAAATTTGAGAAATCGAAGAATTACACTTTTTAAATATTGCTCAAAGTCCCCAAAACACACAGTAACCCACCACTTGATGAAATTATTGTAATAGGTATCCTCCGCGTCGTAGTACACAATATCGTTGTAATCCCGAATTTCGTGCTGCAACACATCCACCATCATGTCTTTCTGATAGCCCACGATAAACTTGAAAATAATATTGGAGTTGGTCTGATTTTGCAGAATCTCCCTGAGGGCGTAACGCTGACGCTTGGCCTTGTCGCTGTTCGCGACCGACATCACCATGACCAGCGCTTTTTTGCCCTTGCAGAGACTGGTGTCGTTCGGTTTCAAGAGCTTGTAATCCAATTCGAAATTGGCTAGCCTCAGGCGGAATTGGTCCATTTGAAGGGACGCCTCGAAGGCTTCTTGCTCGGGAGAACGGATGGGCTGAAAAAACAATCAATCTTTTCCGATCGATATTCAAAATATTATTTTATACAGCGGGGGGCCCGATCCAGTGGCGAAAAATGTGCCATTTTGCATCCGGGAAATATCAAAAATGTGGCAAAATGCTTCTCTCTCCAAGTGAAAAAAACTCCGATTTCAAAAGCGCGCCCTTCAAAACAAAGTTTTTTCACTTTGGAGAGGGAAGCATTTTGCCACATTTTTGATGCTTCCCGGATGCAAAATGGTACGTTTCTTTGCCACTGGATCGGGCCCGTCACTGTAGCAAAAAACCAATTTTTCTTACCCTATCCGGCATTGGCAACACCTCTGGATGCGAGCTGTCCTTCAAGTCCGATGCTTTTTGCAGATGAGTCAGGTTGGCGGTTAAATTTGCGAATTGATGGAGGGCTGCTTTCAGTTCTGAAAGTAAATTGGGAATTTCCGAGGTTCTTGTGGAGTAAAAGCGCTGCAAATTACCGGTGATTTTCGCGATGTCGACATCTTGACCATGCTCTTTGCTGTCCTCCTCGGGATTCGCAATGTCGTGCTCTTCGGAGTCGAGGGCGTCGGGAATCAGCGGGTTATTCGGGTCCTCAACGCCACGATTCTTTACAGTTTCGGCCGGCTTCGGCTCATTCTTTTTCTCTTCCAGGTCTGGCGGGGCAATCGGCTTCGCAACTTCGAAGGGCTGATTTTGATCGTTGTTGTTGTCGTTGGCATCGTTTGTAGGCCTTTTTTGGGCATTTGCGGGTTGTTCTCTGTTTGTGTCGTCTTCATTTTGACCTTCAGCCACGACGCGAGAGTCCTGATTTTTTTTTTTTTTTTTTTTTTTTTTGAGAACTTAAAATCCGATTTTAAACGGATTTTTCGCACACAATTCGCAGAAACGATTGAGATTTTTTGGTGAAATTTCGTCAAAAAAGCCCCACAAATTTTTTGAGATAAAGTTCGATCAAAAAATCCCGATTATTTACCAAATGAATTTCATTTTTACCTTGACGATCCCATCCAAATGCCCGATTTCCCTGGATCCTTCCCCCAAATCCTCCTTTTCCTTTCGAACCTCGGCTTCCAATGGCTTATCAACGACCTCCGCGGACTTCTCCAGCCCTCGTTCGCCACTAATTCCGAAGCCGGGCATCAAGCCCTCCGGGGGAATGAAAAAACTCCCTTTCGAAGAGAAAATACTTTTGTTCGGGGAGAGAATAGTAAATGTTGTCCATGTTAGGAAGGTTGCCAGTGCTGGAATCAAAAAATATTAATTTTTTTGTGGTAAAAAAGTTGTGTGATGGCCTTCAAAAAATTTTTTTTGCACAGTGCAGTCGATTTTTTTCTTAAAATTTGGATTGCACTGTGCGGAGAAAATATTTTTGCAAAAATTTTGCAATGTGCGAGAAATTTTTAGTTTGTGATTTTGCACAGTGCGCTGTGGAATATTTTTTGCACAGTGCACTCAACTTTTTTCCCCAAAAGCTAGACTGCACTGTGCAAAAAATAAAAAAAATGTTTCTCGCACAGTGCGGTCAAAAACTTTGAAATTGGAATAAAAAAAATGCAAAATGAAGATCACAACTTCGGTAAGGTCGGGATATACACCTACCTACTACCAAAACCACAAAACTCCGTCGGTTTACCGTAATCTTCGCCATAGTTTTCCGCAAAAATACAATCAAATTTTGGTGGAAGTTCAAGTGGAAAAGTGTTCCAAAGTAAATGCAATCACATCACATCCAAAAGTCGGCCCAAAAGCGGTAGTAATAGAGAAGTCAAGAGGGCTTGTTGACGATTCCATGCGATTCTAACCTTTGGATTTGCATGTTGATGGAAAAAAAGTCGAATTCCGCCCGCGAGACTCGACGTGGAAACATTCGAGGTTTCGTAGGGTCGGCTTTGAAATGTCTTGCCTCAAAAAAAAAATAAAAAAATAAAACGATTAACTTCAAATTGAATATTTTATTTATTTTCAAGAACATGCAGTACAAGACAATCAACAAAAAATTTTATATGCTTGAGTGAAGAGCGGACTTTTCTATTCCCATGCATCGGTGGAGCGGAACTGGTAAATGGTTTGGAGCTGAAATCAGGACGAATTTAAAAAAAATCATTTTGGAAAGCCAAAAAAAATTTTATTTTCCAATTTTTTCGAAAAAAAATCAGAAAAATCTCAAAAAAAAAATCAATTTCTTGCAAATTCAATTTTCTCAAATTTTCCCATTTTCCGTCAAAAAATTCAAAAATCAAAAAAAATCGACAAACTCACATCCTCCACTAGAGCAGCGACTCTCTCCATATTAATGGTGTCTCTGGCTCCCTTGTCCCAGATCTCCTTCCTCAAATCGGTCAAAAACGCGCCATGCTTCGGGGACCGGCTCATCAAACTCAGGGTTCGTTCCTTAATCTCCAGCGTCTTCCTGTAGCCGTGCTCTCCGGTATCGGCGACGTCGCTCCACGGCAGTGGGTATTCCAGGAGTTCTGTGCAAATTATGAACCACGACTGCATGTCATCCACCATGCTGACCGGCTCGCAGCGATGGGCGGGGATCGAGAGGTAGGCCGGCGCTCCCAGAACGGTCTTTCGGCGGTAGCCGTAGCGGCGAGCCAATCCCAGGTCGGTGAGGACGAGCTAAAAAAAATACAGTGACGGACCTGATCCAGTGGCAAAAACGTATCATTTTGCATTCGGGAAGTATCAAAAAATGTAGCAAAACGCCTCCCTCTCCAAGTGAAAAATCTCCGATTCCAAAAGCGCGCCCTTCAAAACGGAGTTTTTTCACTTGGAGAGGGAGGTATTTTTCCACATTTTTTGATACTTCCCGGATGCAAAATGGTACGTTTTATGCCACTGGATCAGGTCCGTCACTGTATTTTTTATACTCACAAATTTTGAGGGAAGAAAAAAAATTGGAAAAAAATCATTAAACAGTTTATTTCCTTAATTTTTTTACGGTAAATACTCCAAAAAAAACCAGTGAAGACAGCTCAAATTTCAAAACTTACATGAGGAGTTCCCGGCCGATTCAAATAATTTTTCGGCTTCACATTCAAATGAGCAATCTCGACGGATTGGAGCTGAGCAATCGGGCGAAGGTAATGGTAGATGAGGATGAATTTTTTCTTGAGTTCCATTCCTTCAATCTTCTTCGTGTCCATGCTTCTTCCAAGGCACGGCATGATCAAGTAGGTTGTGTCCAAAGTGCGGCCAATATCGACAAAGTGCATGATCAGCTCTCTGAACATTCGCGCATGCGTGCAATCAACGCAAAACCACTCAAAACCCTACCTTTTTTCTCGGCAATGGATCCTTTTGAAGTTGGCATACACAGTTCTGGCTTTCCTCATTGCCTTGGGATCGGCGGTTGGCACAAACTTCACGGCAAATTTGGTGTCCTTGCACTTGAAGCGGTACAAAACTCCGAACGATCCATCGCCCATTCGGTCCACCATTTTGTAAATCATCGGGTTTCCCCTCTTCCTTCGGCGTTTTTTGCGCTTTTCGTGCGATTTCTTCTTCTTTTCGGCCGGTTTCTGCTTGGAATCAGTTTTCGAATCCTTTAATTTCGAAGCCGTTTCCTTTGAATCCGTTTCCTTCGAAGCCGTGTCCTTTGAATCCTTTTCTTTCGAAGGCTTTATCTGTGAATCCCTTTCTTTCGAAGCCGTTTCCTTCGAATCCGCTACCTCCAATCCCCACATCCTTTCGAATGCATCTGTCCCGTCCCTTTTCTCCTTCCTCTTATCAGCATCCTCTCCGCCCTTCTTGCGCTCCCCCTCCGCGCCCAAGAGTTCTTCGTCGGGATCCACGATCGCCGGTGGATTGTCCTTCTTTTTGAGGGTTTTGGGCACTCGGATCTGAAATTTCTCCTCCCAAACAGAGTTCTCCGGCGTCACGGACTCAATCGACAGGTCGTCCAGCTCAGTATCGACGAGAACTTTCCTAAAATTGACGAAAATTTTTTCGTTCTCGGAGGATAGGTTACCCCTAACAAATAGGTTACCCCAGCGGATAGGTTACCCCACCGGATAGGTTACCCCAAGTTTCGGATAGGTAACCTCGGAGGATAGGTTACCCCGAGGATAGGTTACCTGAAAAAAAAAAATTTTTTTTGAAATGTTTTCGCTTCGGGACTTGGAAAAAAAGGATTTTTTGTGAAATTTGAAAAAATTTTGAAATGTTTTCGCTTCGGGACTTGGAAAAAAAGGATTTTTTGTGAAATTTGAAAAAATTTTGAAATGTTTTCGCTTCGGGACTTGGAAAAAAGGGTTTTTTGTGAAATTTGAAAAAATTTTCAAATGTTTTCGCTTCGGGACTGGGGAAAAAAGAATTTTTTGGAAAATTCATCAAAATTTTGAAATCTTTTCGCATCGGGAGTAGAAAAAGGGTGTCTGACTGAATATTAACTGTGGTGCCGCCAGCACAATTTGGCCTTACGGCCAAATTTGCACCTCGTACTAAATAGTACCAGGTAGTACTATTTAGTACCAAGTGTTAAAAATGTGTTTTTTAAGCAGTACTAGGCACCAAAACAACACCATTAACGTCTAAAAGTGTTATAAGTCGAACAAATTTCAAAAAGAATCCCTAAAGGTAGTAAAGTAACAGAAACCCAGTTTTCATATTCAGTCAGTTCATACTCAGTCAGCTCGAAAAAATTTCAAATTTTATTCAAATTTCACAAAAAAACCTTTTTTTTCCAAGTCCCGAAGCGAAAACATTTCAAATTTTATCCAAATTCCACGAAAAATCCTTTTTTTCCAAGTCCCGAAGCAAAAACATTTCAAATTTTATTCAATTTTCACAAAAAATCCTTCTTATTAAACTCCCGAAGCGAAAACATTTAAATTTTTTTTTCAATTTTCACAAAAAAATCCTTCTTTTTAAACTCCCGAAGCGAAAACATTTCAAAAAAAAAAACTTTTTTCGTTTTTTGGTAAGAGGTAACCTATCCGTGGAGTAACCTATCCGGTGGGGTAACCTATCCATGGGGTAACCTATCCGGTGAGGTAACCTATCCTCCGAGTTATGTGTTTTTTGGGGTAACCTATCCGGTGGGTAACCTATTCTCGGGGTAACATACCCTCCCCAAATCAAATTTTTTATACAAAAAAATAAAAAAAATTCTAGCTAAAAAATATCAAAAAAAAAAAAAAAAATAAAATAAAATAAAAAAAAAAATTTAGCCCGTTGACGTACGCATCAACCCGCTCCTCGACAGTGCTCCGGGCCGCCTTCCTTTTCCCCATCAAACCGTACATGACCTCCATTTCTCGGATGGCCCTTTGCTCCACTTCTCTTCCAAATTGCTTCTTTTTATATCGCTAGAACAAAATTTAATCAAAAAAGTGCAGTAGAACGCCTATGAGGATCCAAAAATTTGGATCAAATAGCCATCAGCCCGAAATAAAATAAGAATCTGACTGCACCGTGCAAAAGTAAGCCAGACTTTTGGTTGCATAGTGCGGTAAAAAACATTTTTCACTCTGCAAACCCGAAAAATTTTTATTGCAGTGCATTCAAAATTTTTCTTGAAACATACACAAAACCACCGCATCGCGATGATAAAAATGTTGATAAAACATATCATGACCCCAACAACGACGCCAATGCAAACCAGCAGATCAAATGACGACTCCAGTTCCTCGTCATCAGCTGAAGCACGTCTGGGATGTCTAAAATATTTCAATCTGTACCGGAAGGAAAGCAACAGCATGGGAAAAATTAATGCAAAAAAAATGACAGTTTCGCAAGCATAATTTTCCAATCTTTTTTGATTAAACTTACTTTAGAGGTGTGAGTTCCTCGTCGTCAAAATTGTTTAAACCCAAGCCGTACTCATATTTGAGCCACAACTGAAAATACAAATTACTTCTCTGGACATACTCAAAAAAAATCGAGCTGCTCCCGAAAAAATCTGCTAAAACCCCAAAACCCTTATTCAAAATTTAAATCAAGGTTAGGCAGCTTGGAAAAATATTTTTCGAAGTGCAAGAAAAAATAATACTACAGTGGGGACCTGATACAGTGGCAAAAAACTTATCATTTTGCATCCAGGAAGTATCACAAAATGTAGCAAAATACCTCCCTCTCCAAGTGAAAAAACTCCGATTTCAAAAGCGCACCCTTCAAAACGAAGTTTTTTCACTTGGAGAGGGAAGCTTTTCGCCACATTTTTGATACTTCCCGGATGCAAAATGGTACGTTTTTTGCTACTGGATCAGGTCCCTCACTGTAGTTATTCTCGTGTCAAAAAACTGACCAGTGCACCAATCGCCGTGAGATCCATCTGTGCTCTTCGCTGTTCGAGCTGAACAGACCGCGCCACAGAGTTCGGTAAAAATGAAAAAAGACAGAAAAGAGGGATAGCCGTGGCTTTTATATTCGAAGCTCAAATTTTACCAAAATGCTACTTTATTAGCTAAACTGCATAATATGTACCAACACTGTGGATTTCGGAATCAATGTAGAGTATGAAGCTCGGTGAGGACTTGTCGAGAATTTGGATCCACTCTTATCGCCGGATTGACTTGAGAATGCTCTGTTTCGGGCAGCCCAAGTGGCCGGTCAAGATATTCAGCGTGTTGAAGAAGCTCGATAAAGTGAGGAACAGTCATGCTGAAGGAAATATGGTCAAATTTATTTTAAAAAATGAATTTTAGGGGAAACCGATATCTCGAGCGGGATATCTAGAGGCGCTTCGATTTTGTTGAAAATTTGAAGAGCTCTTCCTTATAGGTCGCATATCAAGCCCAGAAAATTTTAGTTCCCAGTTTCTAAATAGTCATAGCTGAGGTATTACACACACGAAAGATCACCTAAGTTTGCATAGATGGACAGAGAAAAAACTCGGCTGGCCATAACTTTCAAAGTATGTATAACCAAAATTTTTTCGTCTATCCGTTCCTCCTTACTTTACGTAACATCTCAATAAAAACCTTGAATACTAATGGTTCTAATTACAAGTTATTTCCTAATCTTTTCAGAGCCAAGTTTTATTTCAAACTTACTATTCAATTCCATGGAGGACACCCTCATATCCACAAAGCAGAACAGACAAAACCACCAAAACTATTAATTTAGTCATCTTTAGCTACAAAATGAGAAACAATCAGAAAGCGGGTTTAAATAATAAGTGACATTTAAAGCAATGGCCTTCCTTTTAACATTCCACTTGGTCAAGAATTGAGCGTGCTCAGCGAAAACCGGTTCAAATTACTCTTTGATGACGTCAGAAGTTAAAACAGTTTTTTTCAGTTTCTTGCAAACTGTTTTATAGTTTATGCCCAAGACTTCAAGCGGTCAAGTAATACGAAACTGCTCAAGATTAGGCGTTTAGATCTTTTCTCCTTTTTCTCACAAACAACCTCTATAAATCACAAATCAATTACTCAAAATATCAGCCCGCGCCTTGAGAAACAAAAAAAAATTCGGCACGGTCCATAATGCGTAGATGGGTCATCCTTATATCTTTCTAAACACTATGTATTCCCACCTGTTCACCCTCAAAAAGACTGTAAAAATATCTGGGATGCTACAGTAACTCGCCAGCTGAAACACAAAAACTCAAAATCTGTTCGAATCCGTTGATGAAATGCCAAATCAACTTTCAAATACCAAATAAATCGGTTTATTTTTGTACTTCAAATAAAAAATAATGCATATGGTAATCTAATTGACGCGTTATCTACTGACGGTATTTGGCGGGATCAGCAGCAAGGATGCACTTAGTCATGTGGCTGTTTTTGTAGCAATTGGCGCGACAGTTGGCGTGGAAATCGTCTTCCTCCTTGAAGAGTTGGGCACAGGAGACGCACGTGCGTTCCAAGAGCTCGTGGACTCTTTGCTCTTCAAACTTGTCCTAAAAGGAAAAAATGGAGAAGGAAACAAAAAAAATGCTAAAAACCACAATTTTACAAATAAAAATTTCGAAAAACAAATCTTGAATTAAACCTTACAATCAAGAAGCTCATCAAAAATCCTGAAAAACTCTAAATAAAGTCCATATCCTACCTTGCACTCCTCTTGAAGTTCGATTGGCTCCGGCTCCGGAAGTTTTATTTCTATGGCCACAGCGCCGGCGAAACAGATGGCCAAAAACAGAGCGATCAACTTGAAATCCATAGCGGGCAAGAAGGGAGAGATTTGACGACCACCGAACTCGAGGGCAGACAAAACACAACTGATCAAACGACCAAAGAGCTGCTTGAAAATGAGAATCGACCTTTGTTATTCAAATTTCTCGATTTCAAAATTGGAATCGAAATTTCGCTCCTTTTCTCGTCTTTTTACGAGTCCTCTTCAATTAAAACTTCTTCGCACTGTGCAAAAAAAATTGTTTCTTCCGCACGGTGCAGACGAAAACAAAACCATTCAAATCTATAAAAAATACGTTCCCGATCAAACAACGTTTTCTAGGCCTTCCAAACTCTCAAACAACAATCAATTTACATGCCAAATAACCATAAAAATCAACAATAACAACAAAAAATAACCAAAAATCCAAAAATTTTCAGTAATTCCCAGCATGAATGACCGCTTCGACGTTTTCTTTTCCGCAGTGAGTGCAGATTGCGTGGAAGGTTCCAGCGGGGATTTCCAACTCCTTGAGGTTGAGATGGACGGCCAATGAGATCAGGACGTAGACGGCTTTGGTTGGGGCGCCAAGACTGTTCGCGGAGGATTGGATCGGGTTTATTGGGCGTCCCCTTTCCGTTTTGGTAATGCCTAGTCTCCTGAATGTCAAAATAAGGTAAAAAATTAGCTATAAACCCACTTCATATCGATCATTCCATTTTGTCCCATATAAACCGTTGTTTTGCCTCCGAATATGCACATGCCGATTCCAATTTTGCTCCGAGGCTGCATTGCCTTGCACTGTGTCTTATATTCACTCAAATCTTCCGTCGAATACGAGCAATGGGTCATTTTGTGCGCGTTGGCGATGGCGTATGCGCAATGCAGGTACCTCATCACGGGTGTTGGGACAAACAGCAGGTCCCTTGCGTTGCATTTGCAGCATCTTGGGACCATTTTTTTCGTGTCAATCACTACCTTTTGGGTCTCCAAAAAGGTCGCCAGCTGCTTGTCGAGGGTGGCGACGGATGCGGGGAGGTCGATGACTTGGGCCGGAGGGTACTTTGCAACCAATTTGCCGGTGGTTAAGACCTTTACGGTCGGGTCGGCGTGCACTCGCATGTAATTTTTGTCCGTCTCCTCGGTCATGACGCTGATCCCGCACCTTCTCAGCAGCAACGAGACTTGAGTGCACATCGGGTCGGCGCATAATCGCAGACCATCCGGCTTGATGAACTCTTCCGCGGGGAATCGAGACTTCAGATCGGCGTTGATGGTCTAAAAACTCAAAAACAAAATGAAATGTCGCTTACCTCGACAAGATCGACCAGTTCCTTCTTGGTGAAATGATTGGACTTCGTTTTCTTTCCGGATTGGGTTTTATTTTCGGCCAGCAAAGCATCATACTTCTTGATGCCCTCAATCCTCGATTCCTTCACCTTTTCCGGGTTGAAAATCACTCTCAACGGTGGGAAAAGCTCATCGACATCATCTACTATCCCTCTGAAACTACAAACTTCAAAAAAATCCCTTAAAACTGAAACTTTTTATCAAATATGACATGCTTCGAGTTGTTGTCTAAAATAATATCAACATTGTGCAAAACCCACTCCAATTTCTCTTTGAAGAGTTGACCAATAAGAAGACAGGCCAGAGAGTCCTTCGCCGCATATACTAGTTGTCTCTTGCGGAGGGGGCGTTCGGTCCAAACACTGGCTTGTTCCATTTTTTCCATTTTCCATCCCAGTAAATCGACGGATAAAGATTGAAGATTCTGGCGCTCTGGGACCACTCCTGAAACCATTGCGCCATAAATTACATCATCAGACGGATCTACCCATATTTTGGGCAATTCAAAAAAATTTTTTTGTCGCACAGTGCAAAAATCCGATTTTTTTATCCTAAAACGATTTCGTCCAAAAAATACCCGTGCATAAAGTTCACACTCACAGAGGATCAACTATTTGACGCTTCCCATCTATTTATCTCACCTAAAAACGCAACAAAATCAAAAAAAAGTCAAATTACCATTGAAAATCGCATCAACCGCGGTCCTGTTGCTGCTGATCGCAATCATCGCGTTTCTGAGGCAGACCAAGTTCCCCATGCAGTCATTGATGATCTCCTCGATGCACGGGAAGTTGTGAACAATCGTCTTCAAATCGCTTTCGTATGCGAATCCGAAAATTCGTTTCTGGCCTCCAAAGATGGTCTTGAACAAACCCTGCCATCTTTCTTTCGAAAACTTGGCTCTTCGGAAGGCTTCGATATCCACGAGCATTGTCTGCGCTTTCGAGGAGAGCTGGATGAGCCCTAAGCTGAAGAGAAAAAATAAAATTTTATATTACCCATGGCACGATTAATTCCTCAAACGGTAAAAATTCCCCCTCGACTAAAAAATTGCCTTCCCCGATAAACCTACACTCCCATTTCGGCCGAATAACTCTGATCCCACTCCGCATCGAATCCGATTTCCTTCGACTTCAAGCAAAATTGGTTCAAAAGACTGAGACGCTCTTCGGAGTCGACGAGCAAAACTTTGTGTCCATTATCGATGGTAAAGCCATTCTTCACGGATTCGCATTCCGTGAAAATCCGTCGGTCACTAAAACAATATAATTGGGGAAAAAGACATTGGGAAAACAAATTGGCACCATCGAAAACCCCCAAATTTTTTTGTGACAAAAATTCGAAAAGTTACTATTTTACAGTACTACGGTGGGGGACCTGATACAGTGGCAAAAAACGTACCATTTTGCATCCGGGAAGTATCAAAAATGTGGCAAAATGCTTCCCTCTCCAAGTGAAAAAACTCCGATTTCAAGCGCGCCCGCTCTTTTTGTGAGCGAAAGGGCCCTTCAAAACGGTTTTTTCACTTGGACAGGGAAGCATTTTGCCACATTTTTGATACAGTGAGGGACCTGATCCAATGGCAAAAAACGTCTCCTTTTGCATCCCGGAAGGGACCAAAATGACTCCAAACCCTTCCCTTCTCTAAGCTAAAAACTCCGCTTTGAAAAGCGTTTCCTTCAAGGCGGGCTCTTCAAAGCGGGGTTTTTAGCTTAGAGAAGGGAAGGGTTTGGAGACATTTTGGTCCCTTCCGGGATGCAAAATCAGACGTTTTTTGCCATTGGATCCGGTCCCTCACTGTAATTCCCGGATGCAAAATGGTACGTTGTTTGCCACTGGATCAGGTCAAATCAACACCATCGATTATCCTGAGTTCGAAAATCGCATGCAAAAAATAATATTTTTAATTTTCCCCAAGTATGACTTTCCCCAGTTGTCAACTTCCCCAATTTCGATCCCCGAACTTTCAAATACTTTCAGTAATAAACAAAGTTATTTCAATCCCCAAACCCACTATTCATCGATTAATGGCAAGATTTTATTTCGCTTTTCTTCGGTCTCCGCTCTCTTCAATTTCAGCGGCCAATCGCTTCTCGGGATGTCGTTGTAATAAGCGAAGAACAGGGCCTCCGAAACCGATTCGTCCATGATGTAGACCAGGCCGGCGTATCTCATGTAGTAGTTGTCTTTGAAGTGGTGGTGGACCCTTTGTTGGAAAATATCGAAGGCAAACTCACCCTCTTCCTCGTTTTCGGCCTTCGCGCTGGAGATGCGGTAGTCGCGGACCGCAGTGAAGAACGCGGTGAGGTGCCGAACGAACGTCGAAAATTTGCAGTACTCGTCGGGTAAATCGAACATTTTCCGAAGCAAGAACACGGTTCTGGTCAAAGTGGACTCACGGACCGTTTGCAGGAGACGTTCCGCACAATCGGTAGACATTTTGTCAAACCCCACGTCGAAATTCGGCCGAAGATAGCATCTACGATTCCGAGCGCTCACCAACGCGCGGTCCAGGAAAAGAACCATTTGTTCGAGTTCGAACTTCACCTTCATATCTTTCTTTTTCTCTTCGTAATGAGGCAATAGGTTTGGCAACATGTTCTCGATCAATGCCAGAGTAATCAACTAAAGATGAAACCCATGAAAATAATTTTTGTCTTGTCCACCCCATTTGAAATCTAAACCAACAAAAGCAGGGTAGTCAACTCGAGATCCATTCGCATATTTCAGCGCAAAAAAGCACAACACACCATCTTACTTCATTCCTCCCCGCCAGAATATCAAACCCACAGAGAAATTACATTATCCATGAGATGGGCACATCTAAACACAGAAAACGAAAATAAAAACCTACTCTTTCAGGATGATGATTGGAGAAGAATTTCATCTCGATAATCCATCTCAACGAGTCTTTTCCGCGTTTGTAGAAGGTTTTCAGCGCCTAGATTTACATTTGCGATGAAAGTGATACTTACTCCCAAATATCGGTTAAACGCATCATTGAAGGCGCTAAAATTAAAGGCTAATGTGTATAGTCGATACCATTTTGAGCGGCAAATGCAATAGAGAAAGCGGTCCTGAAAAAAATTGAAGGTTCATAGATCAAACCCTCCAAGTTATATTATTTTAGGCCCCAGAAGAATGAACTGATCGATTTTGAAACAAAAAAGAACGGGAGATAATACAAAAATGGTTGAGAAACAAGAAGAGCAGGGTAAAAAAGCTCATCACAAACGTTTTTATAATTTTCACGTCAAGATTTTTCCATACATTGATTTAGGTATAGGTGGATGCGCAATGTCGCATGGATATCTAAAGCGACAAAGAAACAAAAGAAACCTAACTTACCAAGGGCCGGATTGTACAAAGCTCCTCTGTGGCTTTTTCCATCTCCTTTTCGTCGAATTTATCGACCGTCGCGCAAAAGGCGTCTATACATGTGTTGCACATCAAATTGAAGTCGTTGTAGTCCTTTTTCTGCACAAATTCCGAGTCGTACAGTTTGTTGATCCAAATAACAAAGTCCATAAACATGAGGTACAGCTGCAAGACATCGTTTTCCTTAGCATTGAAGATGTTTTCAAACATCTTTTCGTGAGCCTCGTTCTTCTCGCGGAAATCATGGCTGGACTGGCAGTTTTCCCAGATAATTCGCCGGAAATTGACAATTTTACGATTGGCGTTGGGTGGGAAACAGATCGAAGACTCGAAAGCTTCCTCCAGGGTCGAAAAGCGAGTGTCTTCGTGGGCGTCCACGAGGTCCGCGGACGAATTCATCACGTCCACAGTGGTCTGAAAATATTATTTTTGAAAAAAATAACAATCAACTCGAATTTAGCGAGCCACAATGCGCAATGTTGAGAGCAAATACGCCATCTTGCGTAGGAAAAAACTCCGAGATTCGGGATCAATCCTCGGAGAGAAAACATCGATCATTTTTCGAGTTGCAATATACGAAGTAATAAGAAGGCAAGTTAAAGACAATTTTTTGTCGATGAAATACAAGGAAATTGCCAAAATAGGTCGCAAAGAAGCTTTCGGACCATCTGGATCGTAAGTTTTCCACATCCGACATCCGCGAACACCAAAATCTCACCTGCAGACTGCGGGTCCATTTTATACGATGGACAGAAAACATAAAAGCGCGGCTTGCGCCCGAGTTGAAATTTAATGTGATATTAGAGAGTATTAGAGACTGAATTTATTTTTCCTTGATTCAGAAAAAAAGCCGACGGGTATTTATTCAAATATTTATTTGTTCGGAAACGGAATCTTAGCGGAATCTTCGTTGTGGAAAACCGAAAGACACTTGTAGAAATCCGGACTGGTGTAGCAATTCTTTCGACAATCAAAGTGCAGGTTCTTCAACGTATCGCTGAACATTTGATGACATACGGCGCAAATTCTGTCAATGACGACATGAAGTTCCCACTCGGCGGGACGTTGAATCTAAAATAATCCTTTAGTAAAAAAGACGGCCCAAATTTAAAACAATTTTTTCCAAGACGTATGCTAGACTCCTAGCTCGCGCTCTGCAGAAACAAGCGAGATTTTTAGGTCAAAAGTTGGCAACCATGCGATTTTTTTTGCAGACTTTGGGACAAAAAGTTGCATGACTATTTCTAAGGCGGAGTGTAACATGCCTACAAAAAATGAAAAATTTCCGAACAAAACTGGCAAATTTATGGCCAAAAACTAATTTTTCTCCGACCGTCCTCCACATTTCGCATGCTCTCTCGGCCGCAAACATCGTTGAATATCTCGGCTCTCCGTGCAAAGCGCGAGCTAAAACTTTCAGGAATTTATACCTGGCAAATGCCTGGCGTGTGCGAAAAATTAAAAGAAAATCAGAGGATCGCACCGAGGGGAATTCCCCTTCATTCTCTTGTAAGTACAATAAAAAATTCGGTTGAGCCTGAACTCTCCCCTTTTTTTGATTTTCACCAAAAAAATCCGAACTCTCCCCCTTTTTGAACACTCGCCCATGTTGAAAATTGAAAAAAACGAGGGACATTTTATACGATAGATTTTTTTTCAAATTGCAAAAAAAAGCTTTCGCCGTATAAGATGTCACACCTTATTTTTTCAACGTGAAAAAAAAATTCCATCGTATAAGATGTCACACCTAATTTTTCTCAATTTGAAAAAAATTTCCATCGTATAACATGTCACACCTTGTTTTTTCAATTTGAAAAATGAGGGGGAGTGTTCAAGAAGGGGGAGAGTTCGAAAGGAGGAGAGTTGAAAAAAGGGGAGAGTTCAGATTGGGGGAGAATTCAGAAAAGGGGAGAGTTCTGCTGCAACGAAAGAATTCCCGCCCAAACCTTGGGCGCAGCTCGGAAAAAAGCCTTTCGGAACCAAGAAAAGCCCCTTCCCTAGAAAAAAGAGAAAAAAAAAAGAAAAAGCAACCTACCAGACAGTTCTCCGGTTTGGACTTGTCGTTCAGCTTGGTCACGATACGATACTGTTCGTTGTACCGCTTGAAACAAGCCAGGATATACGGGTTATTCCAGCAGTCCTGTGCGCATCCTCTTTTGAAATCTGGATCCTCTTTTTTGCCGAATACCTCCGAGCAAAAATCGCACATGCGTTCAAAGTACTTGGCGTACCACACTCTCGACAGGGCACGCTGAAATCAAAGAAAAAATTGGGGCAAAATTCCTGCACAGCCCGAAAAAATCAACAGCCTTGAGGCACGAAGGACGGAAAGGTCCGCTGTGCGGAAAGGTCCGCTGCGCGGAAAGGTCCGCTGTGCGGAAAGGTCCGCTAAAAAAAAAGAGGAGGGCGGGGAGGGGGAGGTTTTCGAAGGCGCAGATTTCGAATATCGTATCCATTTTTTTTTGAATTTTACAATTTTGCTTATGCAGTAGTGTTAACTAGTAATTTTAAAAAAAATTTTTTTGAGTAATGGATTTAGGCGTAAGTTATATTGTACTTGGTGTTTTGATTTTTAGGTGTGACTAGTCTCGAAAAAAATTTTTTTTGAAATGTTTTCGCTTCGAGACTTGAAAAAAAGGATTTTTTGTGAAATTTGAATAAATTTGAAATGTTTTCGCTTCGGGACATCAAAAAAAGAATTTTTGGTGAAATTTGAAAAAAATTTGAAATGTTTTCGCTTCGGGACTGAGAAAAAAAAGAATTGTTTGAAAAATTCAACAAAATTTTGAAATCTTTTCGCATCGGGAGTAGAAAAAGGGTGTCTGACTGAATATTAACTGTGGTGCCGCCAGCACTAAAATTTTGTCTAAAACCAATGGTACCACCTGGTACTATATAGTACTACCTGGTACTCTATAGTACCACGTGTTTTTGGGCTCTACTAAGCACCAAACCATCATCATTACTGCCTTACGGCCAAATTTTCACTTCTCACTAAACAGTACCAGTTGGTACTATATAGTACCAAGTGATAAAACGTGTTTTTGGGTTCTACTAGGCACCAAACCAACGCCATTACCGCCTTACGGCCAAATTTGCACCTCGTACTAAATAGTACTACCTGGTACTATTTAGTACCAAGTGTTAAAAATGTGTTTTTTAAGCAGTACTAGGCACCAAAACAACACCATTAACGTCTAAAAGTGTTATAAGTCGAAAAAATTTCAAAAAGAATCCCTAAAGGTAGTAAAGTAACAGAAACCCAGTTTTCATATTCAGTCAGTTCATACTCAGTCAGCTCGAAAAAATTTCTAATTTTATTCAAATTTCACAAAAAATCCTTTTTTCCAAGTCCCGAAGCGAAAACACTTCAAATTTTACTCAAATTTCACAAAAAATCCTTTTGTTTCATGTCCCGAAGCGAAAACATTTCAAATTTTATTCAAATTTCACAAAAAATCCTTTTGTTTCATGCCCCGAAGCGAAAACATTTCAAATTTTATTCAATTTTCACAAAAAATCCTTTTGTTTCCAGTCCCGAAGCGAAAACATTTCAATTTTTTACAATTTTCACAAAAAATCCTTTTTTTCCCACCCTCTTCTTTTCCTTTTTTTAGCGGACCTTTCCGCAGCGGACGTTTCCGTACAGCGGACCTTTCCGTACTCAATCGCCTTGAGGAAAGGAAGATACGGTCCGTCATTCTATGCATGTGGGAGGCTAGGAGAAGGCTTAGTAAGTAGAAATAATAAGATTGGTCGGGTCCTAGGATGGCACCACGACATTTCCGGAATTTGGACACTTCCGGAATGGCGGAATAGTGACACTTCCGGAATGGCGGAACAGTGACACTTCCGGAACCGGGGAAAAATCAAAGATGAGGCTTAGACCTGCCATCTGAACCATCTGACTGGATTTATTGTTATTAATCTCAAAAATTTTGTTATTTTTTTTTCTGATTGTAGTAGTATTAAAAAGTAATTTTTCGATTTTTTTCTAAAAATACTCGATTTAGGGGTTTTCAAGGTTGCTGATTTCGAATATCGGGTTCATTTTTTCTGAACTTTACTAGTTTTCCTTAAGCAGTAGTGTTATAAAGTAATTTTTTGGAATTTTTCCAAAAATTCTGGATTTAGGGGTTTTCGAGGGTGCTGATTTCGAAAATCATGTTAGCTTTCCTCTTTATAGTACTATCTGGTACTATACAGTACGAGATGAAAATGTGGCTTTTGGCGTTAATGGTGTTGTTTTGATGCTTGGTACTCCTCAAAAACACGTTTTAAATAATTGGTACTGTTTAGTACTGTCTGGTACTATGTAGTACAAGGTAAAAATTTGGTCTTTAGGCGTTAGTGGTGTTGTTCTGTTGCTTAGTACTCCTATTTTCACGCCGAAACCTAGCTCCGCCGAGCTGCGAAAGCTTGTTTTCCGAGCTGCCCCCGAGATGCGAGCTGCGCCCGTGCCAGTTTTCCGACCTGCGCCCGAGATGCGAGCTGCGCCCATGCCAGTTTTCCGAGCTGCGCCCTATGATTTTCAGCAAACTTTCAGATAGCGCATTGGCCCCTGCAGAGAACATTTTGTACAATGAAGGTTGATTGGCTCAGATCGGGCGCAGCTTGGAAAAAATATTTTTTTTTGAGTGAGCTAGGAATATACAGGGTGGGGCATCTTTGTGGCCCGATTTGAATTGGCTATAACTTCTTTAGTTTTTGGCCAAATTTTAAAATTCTTTTTTTCCCTGAATCGTCAGCCAACCCCATTTTGTTTGATACCAAATACGTTATACATAGGTAAGTGTCATCTACAGTTATTGAATTTATTCTTGGAGTTCATTTTTTTGGTCGTTTTTCGGTTGTTTTTTCGGTCTTTCCCGGTGTGTCCGAAAATGGAGTCCGGTGCGGAAGAAAAAGCTTGGTCTGTGGTTTGGTATAGCAAGTACGGTTCGGCAATAAATTTTCAAACGGGGATACCGCATGAAATACGGACGTAATGCCTAACCTCCAGATCGCAAGACAATTCGACGTTCGTGGTATAAGTTCCTTGAGACTGGCAGCGTTAACAGGAAACAAAAAAAGCAGGAAACATGAGTTCGAACGGAGCTGAAATTTTAAGAAGTTTTGTCAAAATTCCGAAAAAACCCGCATATCGTACACGAAGCTTGGCCAGAACCGAGGGAATGCCTTCAGCAAGGACCATTCGACGAACTCTGGAGGTTGATCTTCACTTTTTGTTCTTATTCTCATCGTCGATTTTCGGGAGGGGAAATTCCACCGTATTTTTCTTCCACACCCTACTCCATTTTCGGACACACCGGGAAAGACCAAAAAACAACCGAAAAACGACCGAAAAAATGAACTCCAAGAATAAATCCAATAACTGTAGATATGCACTTACTATGTATAACATATTTGGTATCAAACAAAATGGGGTTGGCTGACAATTCAGGGAAAAAAGAATTTTAAAATTTGGCCAAAAACTAAAGAAGTTATAGCCAATTCAAATCGGGCCACAAAGATGCCCCACCCTGTATTATTTTCCCTCCATAAATTTTATGTTCTTGAGACCCCTCGGCTCTTTCAACTTCCAAAAATTTGAGTAAAAATTGGGAAATCATTTTCATCACGGAGACTACCCCTCCGACCAGTCGTTTTTCGTGTTTCTTCGAGTTAGTTCGGTGGTCATAAAATCTCTCCCCGTTCCCTGCGATGGGTTTCAAGTTGATGTCTCTGGTCTTGGTCATCTTCTTGGCCATCGGCGTTGAAGCGGGTCCTGATCAATGTGACGTGAGCTGGTTCTAAAGAGGCGATTTTTGTTTTGTTACCCGGTCTGGATCATATTTGGTCGAAAAATTCGTAATTGCCGGGCGCAGATCAAAAAAAACGGGCCGTTGACGGTTTATTGTTTCTTTTATTCTCGATATTTCCCAGGCTGACTACTGTTAGGAAGATGAACTTTCCAGTCAACTTTTAGACAGAAATCGGCTTCCGGTCTGTAAAGGAGGTATATTTTTTCAAACCTGCGCCGAGCCTTTACTTGGGATTGGTTTTTATATAGTTGAATCTTAAGTTAAAGAATTGATGTGTTCAAGTTTTTCGCACAATAAAAATGTTCTGGCCTATCACAGAAAATTTTTTTCGCGCTGCGCTAGAACTTTCAAGGAATTCCTTTTTCTGGCCGACCTAAAGAGTAAGCCTTGAAATTTGGCCCACGTTTTGGAGTGCTCTGATCTTTCTGCTCTCTGCAGCCAAACATGGGCGCACCTCGGAAAATTTTTTTCCAAATTTGTTAAGAAAATTTATTTTTGGTTTCTGAAATTAAAATTGTTCCTAACTTTTCCCAAAAATTTTTTGTTTCAGGCAAAATTGCGCGACCCGAAAATAAGTGCCCAAATGGACGGCATTTGCGACGCCTGTGCCGCATTCTTCCCCGACGAGCCCGATTTTGCGGCCGGATGCAAGTCCAGTTGTCACGAGAACGAGAACCGGGCCAGATGTGTGGCACACGTGCAACGCCGTCTGAAAGAATTATCTCCCGTGAAAGGTTGAAGAATATTCAATAAATAAATTGTTTTTGTTTAAAAGAGTGCGAAAATACATATTATGCAATGAAAAAAGGCTCGGGCGCAGCTAAAAAAAAAGAAAAAAAAATCCGGAATCGACCAGAAAAAAGTCGAGTGGCTGTCATGATTGTGGAAATGATTTTAATTTTTTTCCAAAGTTTTCAAAATTTTGAAATCAAAAAATTTGAATAAATCAAAGGTCGATTCTCATTTTTAGCCAAACTTTTAGCCGCCCGATCAGTTGTGTTTTTGTCTGCCCGCGAGTTCGTTTGCTCGTCAAGCGTGTTCCCCTGTTCCCCCGCTATGGATTTCAAGTTGATCGCTCTGTTCCTGGCCCTCTGTCTGGCCGTTGCTGTGGCCAAACCCAACAAGGCGTTGAAGCTGAAGCAGTTTCAAATGGAGGATGTGGATCCCAAGGACTGTCATGTAAGTTGGGGGAAATTCCGGGAAATGTTTGGCAAGCTGCGTTCAAGTCATAATTTTTGTCATTGTCGGGCGCAGCTTGCAAAAAAAATATACTAGTTATTACATACTTTGTTGATTGGCCATTATCAGGAAAAGTCTATGCGAGCTGCGCCCAGTTAAAAATACAAGCCTGAGCCCCAACCCTAATCTAAGCTTAGGCTAAGCCTGAACTAAGCCAGGAAACTTTTCATTGTATAAAATGTCTTCTGCAGATCGCACCCCCTGTCATTTCCCCGAGTCTTTTGATTTTTTTTGAGTGGTGGCCAGTCTGCGGAAGTTTTCCTAAAAAAGAAAACTTTTGAGAAAATGAAGGGACGCGACTTGCGGAGGACATTTTATACATTGAAAAGTTAATTAGGCTAAAAACCAACTTTTACTTTTCTTTGTAAAGTTTTTCGTACTTTAGGGAAAGCTGGAAGGTCACGAGGAAGACCACATGTACATGTTGAGGGCCTGCTTTAACTGCGGCCTGTTCTTCAGGGATGACATTGAATTCTTCCACCGTTGTGTGCAGAACTGCTTCGACAATGACGACGTCACCGTCTGCTTCAACAATCTTAGGGAAAACCATCAACTTGATGACAAATAATCAACTTGATGAAAAATAACCAATGAAGGTCGTATCCCGAATAAATTTTATCTGTATTTTTGTTGGTTGTCGTTTTTTAATGGTTTTGTTGTTTGCTTGCGTCACAGGGGATTTTTCCACGCTACGCCCGAGCCTTGATCTGGAGTGGCAATTCCAATGTCCGGTCTGAAAATACGCTGAAAATTTTGCGGGTCGAACGGGGCGAAGCCCAACCATTTCCATCCAACCTGAAATCGCAAACTGGCCCCATTCTGCAGTATTCTGGCACACACTCAACTTTTTTTATTTTTTGGTAAAAAAGCTTTTTTTGCCGGCTGCCGAATAAAAGGAAAAAATTAAGACGCAAATTTGGAAATTTCAGTGGAACGCTAGAAGCTTTCCAAGGAAAATTTCAGGTCTCAGAACTCCAAGGCTTGCTGACAAGGGAAGTACCCCAAGTGGGACGCTCAGATTTTGATGAAACTTGCACAAATTTAGAATAATTTTTTCTCAGATATGTGCGAGAATCCAAGCTCGCGCTTCGCAGAAACAACCAAAATTTTTAGATCTAAAGTTGGCGAAAATTTGACATTTTTTGCGGAATTTTGGCACGAAAAGTTTCATGCCTATTTCTGCCATAATGTTTTTCACAAAAAATAAATTTTTTCCACACGAGGCTAGCAAAGTTATTATCAAAAAGAGTTTTTCTCTCTGACCGCTCTCCGCGGTCAGCATGCTCTCTCGGCGGCAAAGATCGTTGAATATCTCGGCGACTCTTGCGAAGCGCGTGCTAAAGCTTTCAGGAATTGATAATTAGTTCATGACCAACGTGTGTGCCAAATTTAAAGAAAATCTGAGCGTTTGCACTTGGGGCACTTCCCTTGTAAAACTAAGCTCAAAGCCGAAGTTGGGGCGCAGCTTGGGAAAAATAATTTTTTTCAGGATGGCATAAATGAAATTTCCACTTTCTTCCCTGACCTGCGCTCTTCGCTTTCGCCATGCAAAATGTTCGCTAAACTTTGCAGATCGGAAATCGGCCCGCACGGGTGTGTTTTTGAAGATTGTGTTTTGATGTGTATTAGTAAATTGTCCTTGCTCCCAGAAAATATTATAAATATAATTACTCAGAATTTCCCAATTTTTGATCCGCTTTTCGCACAAATTTGCCTAAAAACAGATTTGAGGCCAAAGAATGCCATAAAAAGGCGCATTCCAAGTGCCGTTCACCTTTTCCGCCCTTCGCTCCTCGTCATTCGTTGCTCTTCCACATCGGCGGTTTATCTCCGTTGTTCGCTACGGTCCCTCATCGACTTCTACATGGCTATGAAGCCGATTGCTCTGTTCCTGGTCATCCTCATGGCTGCCGGCACCGATTCCGCAATCCATCAGCAATTGCGTCGTCATCGACTCACAAATGTGGTCATTGATGTTGATTTGGCCGACTGTACGAAGGTAACCGTGGATTTTCAAGACCTAGTCTTTGAATAATTTGTCAAATACCAAGTTATCATGTTGAATACAAATTTTCTGCGCCCCGAATTTTCGGGTCGACGGAACAACACAAAATGGATTGATACAAGTATGGCAGTTGGATAGCCAAAAAATGGTTGTAGTTAGTGCTTCGAGGCCCGGTGAAGTCGTTGGATGGTCGGCGGAGGCCCGGCGGAGACTTGGCGAAGACTTGCAATATGTCCACTTTTTCTAACTTTAGTTATTACTGACGTTAGCTCTCTTTACCCTGAGTTATTTTATCATATATAAAAGACCAAAATTTGCGGCAAAAAGCGAAGATCCTTAACTTTTCTCTAGATATTATTGATGCGAGTACATGTACAGGGTGTTTCAAGAAATTCCCCGGAAAGTAATCGTCGATTTCTCTGCGCTCAGTCAAGATATCCAAAAAAATTCTTTTGCATAATAGAGAAGAATATGGGCGGTTTTTTGCCTATGAAAATCATTTTCTCCGCCAACGCGGAAAGCAATGTATTCGGCGGAGACCTTAGGGCGCTTTTTTGGTCATCACACGAATTTTTAATGCTTTATTGCGACACTGAAGCATCCAGAAAGTCTTCAAATTTTTTGCACAATGCTTCAGATGGCCGGCTATGCGATCCGATTTTGCGACTGCACGGTGGAGTCGCTGCAACGTTGATAAAGTCGGAGCGCACCGTGCGGATTTTTGAAACAGCAAGGCAAAAGGAAATTTGAACAAAAAATATTTTGTTGTTTTCCAGTGAACCATGTCGTTTCTCGATGGCTAAACGTCTAACAAGGCTTGGCGACAAAATTTTTGAGGGTTTACGACACCTGCAGAGAATGCTTGCCAGACCGTAAGAATTGTGTTGGGCCATTTCTTGTCCATAGCTGAATTAAGATACGGCGAGCAGCTGCCATATCTTCGCCGAACGCTTGATAAACACATAAGTAGTAATAAGAGGTAGTTTCTGGCACTAAATTTTGCATCCACTGGAAAAGGGGGGAGGAGCCGGCGCGGGGTGCCGTAAATGAGAGAGTGTGGGATTGGAGGAGAGTGGGGAGAGAGGTGAGGGAATTTTTATGGTATGGTAGTACTGTAAAGGTGAGAGAGTGAGGGATTGGAGGAGAGTGGGGAGAGAGGTCAGGGGAATTTTGCGGTCAAATTTCAAAAAAGATGCGCGGGTGTCGTAATTGAAAGGACGCGATGAAATTGCGGTAAAAAATGAAAAAGATGAGAGAGTGTGGGATTGGAGGAGAGTGGGGAGAGAGGTCAGGGGAATTTTGCGGTCAAATTTCAAAAAAGATGCGCGGGTGTCGTAATTGAAAGGACGCGATGAAATTGCGGTAAAAAATGAAAAAGATGAGAGAGTGTGGGATTGGAGGAGAGTGGGGAGAGAGGTCAGGGGAATTTTGCGGTCAAATTTCAAAAAAGATGAGAGGGTGTCGTAATTGAAAGGACGCGATGAAATTGTGGTAAAAAAAAAATGAAAAAGGTGAGAGAGTGTGGGATTGGAGGAGAGTGGGGAGAGAGGTCAGGGGGAATTTGCGGTAAAAAATTGAAAAAGGGTGAGAAAGTGGGGAAAAGAGGAGGATTGAGGGTTGTTGCGCAACCTAGAGGTTGCGGGAGGGCAAGAGGTTGCGGGGTGTTGCGCAACCTGTTATGAATGTTGCGCAACCTAGAGGTTGCGATTTATGTTTGTGATTTTTTCCGGAAAAGCGGAAGGATCAAGAGTAAGTCTGGTACATCAATAAAGGTTGATGACCCTTCAATAAACTTTTCGACTCAATGATGATGAAATACTTTTTACCCTTTTCAAAAGGATTAAGAATCCAATAACTTTTATTCGTTTATTCAAAAAATCTTTTAAAGTCTGGAACAAGACGGAAAGTCTCTTCATTTTACGCAATATTTCGCCTTTCGTCTGACCCCTTCCAAAGAAACCTTCATTAAGAGTGATTTTTGGACACTTTCATAAGAGGGAACAGAACGCCAACTTATGTGTTGAAAGATAACCCTTTGAGCGCAAAATCTTGACGTGCATCGCAATCTTTCCACGGAATGCTAAAACCCTCCCATTTATTCGTTTATTCAAAAAAAAAACCGTCAAGATTAAATGTTGCGTAAAGTTCCAACAGATTCAACGAAGAAATAACCGAGATCAATTCATATAAAATTTTTATCCATAACAAATGAAAAAAGAGAGATAGATATGCATTTTCAGATATCCTCGGAGAGTCTCTTATGACTTCCCCTTCTTCGATAAAAAATGTAAAAATTGAAAAGGATGAGGATCACGATAACAGCTAGCAGCACCCAGATTACGATCACCAAATTGTTATTCTTCGAAACCAGCGTATCCAATCCTTCAAAATTTTTCGGCAAACATGTTATCGCCAAATTCGGTCTTTGGGCAAAAGACATACAGTCTTCATCTTCTTCACAAGGACCCGAAATACCACAGGAGCCATTTAAATCCCCCTTGAACTTGATCTGAAAACAGAATAAAAATGTCGAAAACAGCATACCATACGGGTACTCATGAAGCGCTCAGTATCCGGTGTCGACCAGAGTATGTTTCACTGAAAAATAATACAATTATAAGATAACCGAATGAATCGCGACAACAAAAAAAAAAAAACATTTTTTATTTCTCGACATTTTTTTCTTTGTATTTTTTTTTTGCGGTAAAAAGACACAATGCCATAAAAAAGTTTTGTTGCCAATTCCGAGGGATTTTCAAACTAACATTTTCTATTTTTTATACGCTGTAGGACATTTGAACGTTTCGGTTATTATCGACAAGCATTGTGGCGTCATATTCGATCATAGCAATCAGGCTAAGACCTGATTCCCCGACGGGAGTGTTAAAAGCAAGTCTTAACGAAACAGGTCCGTTTCTGATCAAGTCCATGCAGTTGTCATCTTCTAAGGTTGTTGTCATATTCAAGACAAAGATCGTAAAACCCTTTTTGTACATTTCCCTATCGATAGTGCATGAATAATCGGTAAATGCGAAACCCAAAGCCTCATTAAAATCATGATAGGCCCTAATAAAATTATCTTTTGTAAAATCCATTTCATAAGGGATGCAAGGGAATTGTTGACCATTAGCAGAGAGAGTAACGGATCTTAGGTCACTGTGTACAAAATTAAAGGGAGACTTTTTCGAAGAGTCTTGGACATCAGGGTGATTTGTTAAACCAAAAACAACCCTCCGAGGGACCTGGTCTGTACTTAAGGTTGTAACATATTCTTGTCTGCCTTGAGAAATGAAAAAGGATTTCAAATCCGTTTTCCTGATTGGATAGATTGCGGGATTTTTAATTAAAGTATTGGCAAATCCCATTCCCACACCATCGTTTAAATCCACAGTTTTCACATATAATTTACAGGAGGTTATGGTAAGACGGAACTGCGTTGCTTGATTTGTCACATTACTCTCAATACAAAACAAATTCTTTGCAGGCGTAATCTCCAACACAAGATCCGTGTGATTAAGCATTAATTTTGGAACATTTGCGAGCTCGCAGAAAAGCCTTGTTACAAAGTGCGCTTCCTGTCCTCCCACAAACATTGCGCGGCGCTTTTGGAACCCCGAGTCCGTTTCATCGTTAAATTTTACACTATCATACCATCCCAGAGAGGAGAGATAAGTTTGACTGGCAGTTGAGGGGAAATTAAGCAAAAGGTCAAAGTAGGTTCTCCAGCTTTGTAAAGAATTTGAATGGTAAACCTCCTGGCCGTTTATTAGTAGTCTCATATTTTGAATAAAGGTTGCCCCAATGCCTTGGATAGGAGCGACCTTATCATTGGCTTCAATATTTATCCAAGTTTGACCATTATCTGATGATTTTTGCATTTTCATCGATGTCATAAGAAAAGTTTTTGTCAAATCAACAAAAGAGCTTCCAGGCATTACTTTAAATTGGTAAGGAGTTTCAGAAATTGGGTTTAGGGTTAAATATTCACTAAATTGGGAATGAGACGCTGATATATTTGTTTCGGGGACATTGAAAACATCGAGAGATGACGAAACACTCTCTTCACTTCGAGCATCAATCTTCTTAAACGACATGTTAATAATGAAGCAGTAAGGCCTAATGTTCCTTTATATACTGTTTAGTACATGCCAAACACATCGGTCCTTTTCTTCTTTATCATTCCTTTGCGCCCTGATGCCTTTCGTTTCCTTCCCTCCCCTTTATGCAAATATTTATTTGAAGCCTTGCGCAACAAATTCCGAGCTCCTTGTGAGGTGTTGCGAACCATTATGGTCTTCAAATCTTCACTCTGTGGTTGAGCCATATCTCCGAGAATACGACTCCCCGTTTCCAAGGCTTCTTTTCCCAAACTCTGCCCCGCAGCTTTCAAGACAGGAGCAAAATAACGCCACACATTACCAAGAACTGATCCTAAGCCATGCCCTCTGTGTATTCTTCCCATCCCGCGATGAAACATTTTTCCCGCATAAAAGGGAGATGAAGAAAATCCAGAACCATATTGAAAACTTCTACCGTATTGAGTCTTGCCCTGAGGCGAAAAGTCGACTATTTTCGAAGAGTCAAAGGGTACAAGAACCATATCTAGTGTCCAAATAAGTCAAAACATACGTATTTATACTTTTATCTGCTTGCACCTCAACTGTAAGATCTATGACAAAACCAGAATCAAAAGTCTAGTGATTACAAAAATTTTTATTGATGATTAACATTTTGTTTTGGACACAACAATATTTTTTTAAAAACCCACAATGTTTTATTCGTTGATATCGATCTCCTCAATGACCTTGCTACGACATTGACAACATTTGTTCACACGGACCCCAATTAATCCTGAGCAAATGAGGATTAGAAGCTAAAATCGGTATAAAATGATATATTGAATTTGATCTTACAGTGAAGAAGAAAGCAACTATTCCAAGGATTAAGCTAGCCAAGGGCCAGAATTTGATGGAGAAGTTCAAGAAACAATTTTCATCGAGCGTCTTTCCAACATTATAATTAGAATCCAAGCATATAAGGGGTTCCAGATACCTTAAAAAGGACATTTTAAAAAATCATTAATGCAAAAAATTACCCAAAAGGACGATAACAGTCAAAGTTGTTGGGACACGTACAATTGGTCCTCAAGAAATCTTGAATTCTCAGAGACATTTTGAAGAAACGAGCGTTAGACGGAGCAGAAAAAGTATTTAAGACAGAAAAATTTTTGTATTTCGGGCTAAACAATGGCTTTCTCTGCTACGGAGTTGAAACTTCACCTACCATCTGGTCTTTTATTAGGAGGTTCTTCAGGCAGCGGAAAGACGTCCTTAATGCTCCAAATTATAGAAAATGCGCGTAAAATTTTTGATCCCCCGCCAAAGGATGTGGTTTATTGTTATGGAGAGTTTGGAGAACATGTTACACATCTAGCAAAACAGGGAATTAAAGTTGTTTCAGGACTCCCGGATGATGAGCTAATAAAAAATTCAAAAAAACCTTTGCTCCTTGTGTTGGACGACCTGATTACATCGATAGACCCTCAGTACCTCACAGAGCTTTACACAAAGAAGGCGCATCATCAAAACTTGGGTGTGATTACATTGAGTCAATCAATTTTCGAACCAAAACTCCGTGTTCCACGCATAAATTCCCAATATATCATTTTAATGAGAGCTCCGAACGCTGAACTTCAAGTACGAACACTAGGCTCACAAATTTTCCCCGGTAAAAAGGGATTTATGGAAGCATATCGTGATGCAACAAAGGAACAATTCGGCTATCTTTTAATCGATCTACATCCAAAGACACCTGTTGATTTGAGACTACGTACAAACATTTTTTCGACAGACTCCATGGTGGTGTACAAAGTATAAATAGCAAAGAGAACAACCAAAAATCTAGTTTATGAAGCTTATTCAAAAGCATGTCTTGTTTCTAAAAAAATTGGCGTCGTTCAAGAGTCCTGAAAGTCGAAAATTGTTTTTAAGTTCTTGCTCTCCAGAACAAGTCCAAGCAATTGTGGAGATCTGTTATAATCTTGTTCAAGGGAACATCCATTTAACTCCCCACCAAAGGAAAAAGTTGTTGCCATACGCTACCTTTATTCGCGAATTGAGTCGAAAAAGGTCTACCGCCTCGGGGCTTAAACATCTTCAGAAAGGAGCCGGTCTTCCATTTGCTGCCTTAATTATTCCTGCACTACTTGAAGCGTCGAGATTATTCCTAAAATGAAAAAATTTTTCCTAGTGCCAGAGGATTTTTACAATAATATTCTAAACACAACAACCTCTGAAGATTTTTCTCAATCAAATGTCAACAAGACCTTGCATCAAAAAGGCAATGTGGGCACAAAGTATTTGAAATATAATCAACAAATGCCTGATTATCTTCGCAGAAAAAGAGAGATGGATAATAAACCTGTTAAGGTTACTTTTGAAGATGGATCGACAGGGGCCAAAACGGGAAAATCAATCTCAAAAGTAGATGATGATGGAGCATACGAGGAACTGTTTGCCAAAATTTATAAGGAAGTTCAGAGAACTGCTGGGAAAACTCCGAGGGTTAAAATAAAACGTCGGTTTGTCCCAAAACATTCTGAGAACTGGGAAGAAGAACATGAGCCCAATTCAGAACAAATCCCCGACCTCGAATCAGAACAATCCCCTGACCCCGAAAACGAAGAAGGCCATGAATTTTTTACACCTGTCAGCCGTAGAACCCCAAAAAATACGACTCCAAAAAGTGAACGCCAACCCTTTACGGGTTGGAAAGCCCTTCCTCCAATCACTCCTTCCAAAGCCTTAGAAATTGCAAATTCTTTAAAAGGGAAACTCCGACGGGCCCCAGATACGTTTGGGATATCAGAAAAGGGATTCTTAAAAGATAAAAAAGGAAAAGCAACGACTTTTAATGCTGAAGCTCTTCTCAAACAGTGGGCCAAGAATCCTGTTGTTGGTGCTGACACCGTTCCCATCGATTTTCTAAATAAAATGTACAAGAATGAAGGTACAAAGGATATGATTCATCAACTTATGAGCGGACGGACAAAGAGGGAGAGAAAGCAAGTAGCCCGAGGAGTTTTATTGAAAAGAAGACACTACAGATTCAAGGTTCTTTCGTGGAAGTATAAAAGCACACCGAAAGTTTTGAAAAGGCATTAAATGGATGTTTCAGTTCCTGAACTTCCCGACTCTTGCAATCGTTACAACGAACTCATTTTTTGTGCTGTAAGCATAATTTACACTATTGTTTTGTTTGTATATTTTATTGTGCACGGACTTATAAATGGACGAAAACGAAATCCGAAGAATAATCAAGCTGACGCCCTCGCTAGCTTCGAGCTTCTTAGACGTGCTTTCGATAGACCAAGTCAGTCTTCCCCCAAGTACCCGTTTAGTGTCATATACAATCTCGATAAGAGCTATGAGCCAGGTTCACATTGGGTCGCTTTGTACGGTGATTCTCAAAAAAGAGTGTTCTATTTCGACAGTTTTGGAGATCCGCCACCACACGAAATTACAAGTAAATTTCCAAATACAAATTACTGGCAAAAGCCTGTCCAATCCTTGTTTTCATCAGCCTGCGGGCATTACTGTATTGCATATTTGATCCTCAAAAATAGAGGTTTTTCGGATACATCAATTTATGGTACACTCTCCCATATTAGTGAGAAACAACTGAGGAATGTGATTAGACGCCTCGAGGGAAAATGGGGAGTATAAAAGTGATAGTTCTGGTTAGAAAAGACATTTAACGTCTAAAAAAAAACGTCATGTCTTCTTCTGAGGAGGGTGGTTCGTCTTTTATTGGTATCCCCACTGATCTGGGTCAGAAAACGTAAGTATCTTTTAAAACTTTTTGTTTATTTCAAGTACTACCGTGTATCCGACGCCCTCGGGGCCATTCCTCTCAGTCCAAATAGTCCCAAACGAATCTTGGGCCATGTATGTATTTTACAATAATGGATCTTCACGTCATTTGATAACAATAATTTATTTACAAGAAGAAATGTATGATTTATAATATTATATAAAAAAAGTAATAAATAAATAATCATTGTACATAACCGAATGGAAGAATAGTGACGTCGTCATTAGCAATATATCCCTTATCACAAACACCTTGATAAACTTTTTGTTTATCATTTGTAGTGAAAACTCCAACGTTCTTAATGGCGCGAATCTCGTCGTAGACAGCTGTTAAAGATTCTTGATATCCATCCAAAATAACTCGGTCAACCAGACCAGAAAAGGAGTCATAGTTAATGATCGAACATGTTTTTCCGTTTAAACTTATTCCGCGGAGTTTCAGATCATATTCCAACTCCCCAGTCACAACGTCCCTATATTTTAAGGCATATTGCTTGGCACCAAGTCCAAGAAACTCGAGGATATCCTTCCCTTTCTTCTCCAACTCCATATCTCCAAGGTAGTCTCCAGTCTTCAGAGGATACTCACCCGAAGCCTTATCAAAGGTGAAGATCAGACTATCTGAAAGATTGTTGTTGTTTTGCATGCACACCTACCTGTATCATAATACAGAATTTTTTCGCCTTTACTCTCCACCTGTTCAAAGAACGAGTAGAGATAGGTCCGGGCTTGGGCCGTGATCCATGTAGGGATCAACAGATTTGAAAACTCCAGCGGGGTTGTGAATTCTTCAGAGGTCTTGAAGCTAATGTATATTTTATCATCCTCCACCAAATCAACACTTTTGATCACATTGGTGGAGTTGTTGAGTATCTTGTAGAACTCGGTGGCAGTGGAACATACCACAGTCTAAAAATCAGATTACAAAAAATGTGCTCATTCGTTACCTTGGGAAGATCCGTTCTCATACTCAATTTTCCCCATAAACTATTGAGATACAACTTGGAGATTGTTCGGAGAGCAGGATTTTTAGACCATTTGCCCTCGTCAATTTCAAACCCATATCTTCGCTTAATTTCCTCCTTGAATTGTTGATTTTTTGCCTCGTCATCATAAGGTTTTCCCGAAGCCTCAAGCTTGGTTTTTAAAAACCTATATACATAGGGTTTGAATAGGGCGTCCGACATTTCATTAAATTTCAAAATTTCGAATATTTTCTTGACTTTGTATCCCTTCCTGAGGGCATTTTTAAGTTCAACTGATGTTGTAGTTGTCAAAAAGGACCTCTCTTCCTCTCCATGTTCGCATACCAAGTTTTTGTTGTAGCTGGCTCCTTGATTCTCCTGAGCACATGAATAACATAGAGGGTAGATTAACTTTTTGTTACAGGTAATCGGGAGGACAGGAAGCGCGAGATTCTGAGGAGGAAGAACAACAACTTTATACAACCCATCATGCTCAATGTCTGCTTCAGATTCCCAATTCACATCATAATTTTGAATGTATAAGGGTGTAGGTATCCCTATGGGCATTGCATAGGTCGCCATGATATAAGGGTAAAGACTCTGAATGTCTGTGTATCCTATTCCTTTCCTTTCATTAGCGTTAAATTTGAGACATTGCGTAGCAGTTCGTCCACCATGGAAGGCATCTCGGAGTCTGATAGAACCCGCCGAAAAGAATCTCTGCTCAAAATAAGCAGACATTTCGTCGTCCTCTTGTAACATTTTCCTAATCTCACATTCCTTATAAACAAGGACTTCAAATCCCAAATCTTCGAGAGCTTTTACTCTTTTTTCTGTTTTTAGTAACCCTTCTTTTACAGATATTCCAGAGGGCAAACGGTCTCCGAGATCTTTACAACAATCTTTGCACCCGTGATAATAGCAACCATTTAGCTCCAATGCCAAAGGTTTCTCATTCTGCCTTTCCAAGAACCCATCTATCGAGATTTTGTGGACCTTTCCGTCGATGACAATCTCAACTCTATAAAAATTTTTTATTATTTTTGTTTTTGTTCTAACCTTTTTTCCCCATTATCCCTAAATTGGAGATCTTTCATGTCCTTTTTGTCTCTCAGCCATCTGAAGAAAAGTAATGCCACTTTTGATTGTTGTATAAAATCTCCAAACCCAATAGTAGGAGTTCTGATGACGGTCCTTTCCTCCAGGTCTAACATTCGCCAGATTCTCAGACATGAAGAAGCAAGGGTTGGACAGTAGTATAATACATCGTCCGTAGGACAATGCTCTTGAATCATACTTCTAAACTTTACTAAGGCATGCAGCAGGATTCTGGTGTCTTGAATTCCATAATCGTACAACTGTTGTTTGAAGTTGAAAGGTTTATCCCGATTTTCTTCGTAAAAGTCAAGCAACTCTTGTCTTTTGTTCGCATTCAAACTGTCTGGACAATAATATTGAATATCCGGATGATGAGGGAGGTCAGCTTGATAGTGAGCAGGAGTGTTAAAGAGATGGGGGAATGTCCCCTTGGAATCAACTTCAAGACCCAAAGCCTTTGGCATCGATCCGAGAGGCATTTGGAGGTAATTAAAAGAGTCTGTAAATTTGACCTCTGTGAAAGCTCCAGCAGTTCCAGCGACATTAATTGTGTAATATTTGGCCCCTGTCAAGATCATATCGATCTTGGAGATGGCTGAAAAAAATATTTGAATTTGTTGCAATGACCTACTCTTGTCTTTGTTTATTTCTTTCATGAGCAAATGACAATCGAATTTGCCTCCGAAATGTGCTATTGCGAGGACTGGTATCTTTTTTGCGCAACTTTTTAGATACTCCCATACGTCTTTGACAACATTTTCGGAGTCACCATGAGGAATACTAAACGTCTTTAGATGCTCTCCACATTTTTCACATGGAGTCTCTTCGTCTCTCCATTTACCGTTTGCCATACAAGTTGTACAGGCCTTGTGAATTGATGCGAAATTTACAGAGTGTTGACTTCTGTTCGAGTTATCGTTCAAAGGAGTGGTGGTAGTTTCAAAGTCAAAGGCACACAAGTTGTAGTTGACAGGTTTTTTAGGCACAGGTATGGGGTTGACGTAACACTCACTCCCGACTTCGTGAAAGCCTCGGCATGACACGCAAAAACTTAATCCACATAAATGCCCATTCTTTTTTGAATATGCCTGATCACATTTGTCACATTTTTTGTAATAAGAGCAAATGTTTTTCTTCAGATGGTGTTCATAGCAATCCTTGTTTAAAAACTTTTTTGTACATGCGGCGCACTTCTTTTCAAAGCCATCATCCTTACAAGGAAAGTCGTTTCCTATACGACAACACTTGGTGCATTTTTTCTGGCATCTAGCTGTATGATCGATTGATTCTCTCATCAATTTCCGACAACTGAAACATAAATTGGAGAAAGATCTGACTCCGAAGAAAGCAGTGGGACTCCATATGGAGTCGTAGTGATTGTCGTGGTAATAAAGCATAATTGGAGTTTTTACATCCAAAATCTCATCCTTCTCCAGTTTCGGGTAACTCCATCCGTGCTCAAAAGATCTCCGATCAAAAACTATAATTTTATGTGGAGCGGCTTCTGGGTATTTTTGGTCCATGAAAGCTTCCCAGAGGCCAACCGTGAACTCGATGCTTTCCTTTCCTGTTAAACTTGCAGCCTTAAAATGTTTGTATGCTTCTTTTAGTTCAGCACATTCTGTTGGTTTTGTAAATTTTCGAGCCTTGTACAATTTTCGTTCAGATTTTTTATGGCCCGGAAGATCCTTGGTAGTTGCAAGCCTAGAGATGTTTATGGATACAGGAAGACAATCATTCTTCTGAGTGTTAACATGGAAAATGCCTGTACTTGTCTCCAAAAAGGATCTAGTTGTCTGTCGTGTCGGGGGAGCGCCACCGATTCTGCCATATAGAACTGTTATGTTGAGTACAAAGGGTTTCCCCAACAAGCTTGGAGTTTTGGATGACTGTGCAATTTTGAATAATTTTGTGTAAAGATGTTTAGGATCGAAAACATTTCTTTTGGAGAAATGATTTAGAGGTCTCGTTAAGTTATCGGACGATACTCTCACACCTACATACATGGCCCTTTCTGATCCTCCTCTTTCAACTAGAAATTAAATTTGATTTTTTTTTTAAAGTGTTTACCTTCTCTGAGGCACTCGTTGACTGATTGTTCTACAAGCTGATTGAAACGTTTTTCAAAATCACTCATGTTTTCACTAATGTGTATATGGTACTTTTGTTCTCTTGAGTAGCATTTAAATCTCTCTGACGTTTTAACTCGAGAGGCTCCGACACGGAAGAATTGTATTCTATAATAAAATTTTTTGACTTTTTTATACGATTATTGCACTTACCCCCGACCTTTTTGAGGGAGAGGTCTGAAAAAATCGTCAAATTCAGGGAGGGTATCTGTGCCTCCTAAAAACCTTGCCATGTCAAAGCACGGATCAGAAACCAATATTTCTCTAGATGATCTTGACGAGGAAAATTTTTCTGAGAATTCCTTGTAAAAGTCGAGATCTTCCAAAAGTTTTTGCATCATCATTTCGCGGGGATTATGTGAAGAACTCGATGGGATGTTTGAGAGATCATCACTAAAAAATGAATCAGAGAAAAAAACAAGAGATACCTTTCGAGTAGCTGCATGTACTGCATGAGTTCTGCGGGCCCTAAGACCTTAAAGTCGGGCCTGAGAATGTCTTCAAGGGACAATGTATTATTTTGTTCTTGGGTTGTCATTTTTATTGATTCTTCATGATTGGAGTTTGTCTGCTCTTCCATAATGGTTTCCGAGCATTGGCGAAAATTGGGAGCCGATCTATGATAATCGACGGCCGGGTCTCTTATATTCGATAAGTCCCTCAGGGGTGTAAGACGCCTTCTCTTGGAAGGTGGATGATTGGAGTTTGTCTGCTCTTCCATAATGGTTTCCGAGCATTGGCGAAAATTGGGAGCCGATCTATGATAATCGACGGCCGGGTCTCTTATATTCGATAAGTCCCTCAGGGGTGTAAGACGCCTTCTCTTGGAAGGTGGTTGTTCTATTTCGTTAGTCATCTAAAAAATTTTTTTCTTTATTAATTGAATTAAGAAAGGTACGATAATAACACGCCAACAGTTCACGAAAAATATATGATAATAAGAGGGAATCAAAACATTGTAAATAGGTGTAAGGATAAGGGGAACATTTAACGATAAAAGGGGGTCAGTCGGATTTTTCTTCCTCGAAGACTTTTTCAATCTGTTTCTGTAGTTTACGAAGTGTATTCTTGCTCACATCTGTTGCCCTGTAAATGTCCATTAGTGTGTATTCTTCTCTGCACATGTAGTATAAAGTTGCAGCGATAGTTGAAAGAAGAGGATTTCTGAACATTTTTTATTTTTTAGATTGATATATGTTACCCCGTCAGCACACTTTTATTTTGAACTGTATGAACCATTTTTACTAGTTGAGCATGTCTTTTATAGGAGAGCCCTAGATAAGCGCAAAATCTGCTTGCATATTCCTCGACTCCAATCGGTTTGTTTGCATTGGCAATATTTCCGGGGATCTGTTTGAAACATTTATAGATCTTCTTTATGTTAACCGCCGACAATTCTGAGATTTCTAAAAAGGGAAAAATGAAACGCTTGGGTCATTGATAACCTTTGAAACTCCGTGGAACCCCATTTTTACGACATGTTATGTACAAGCAAGTGGCTAAAACATGTTTGTCACTAGTGTTTTTTACATAGTCTTTGATTCTGTCAAATAGGATTGAAACATCCTTTTCAATGCTTGAGGGCAGATGTCCTTTACTGGTCATCTCTTGTAATATTTTTGTATTCTCTTCAGACATTTTTGATGTAGGTGTTGTGGTATAAAAAGGCACATCATTTAAGACGTCAAAGATCCGTTCGCCGACAACGACGCCACACTCTGGGCAAATCAGATCTCCACATCTAAAATCTTCTATCAACTCCGCCTCTGTATGAAAGGGGCACGTCAAACGCTCCATGTCACTATAAAAACAAAACGGTTAGTGATTTGTATGTTAGATATGCGTTCGTCATTTTTTATTGTGCTTCCCAGCAACGATCCTAGTAACACCTTTGGGAAAAATACCCCTGCTGATTTCAAAATCGTGTTGCCTAAACCCTTGACATTTGACGCCCCCTATTTATGTGGTTTACAGAGCATTGTCTATCCTCATTCATGGGCTTCTATCGGGACCTTGGATGGGCAATATATCGATCTTACAACTGCTTACGCAATCTTGAGAATACACATCCCTAAAGGGAGTTTTAATACAATTGAGAGTTTGGTGACATATTTGAATTCGGTGGTTCAAGAAGAGCTTGAGAAGGGAGAGGGGCGTCGTAAAAGAAATGCTCCGGAAGAGCCAAAGGTTTTAAAAAAGGGTAAAAAGATGGATGTCGCATTAAAGAAGTCTGTGAAGACTGATGAGGGAAATCCAATCCCTTTGACAAAAGCCGCGGTACAAAATGTTTCTCTTCCAAACGTTTCTAATACTAATATTGCTGATGTTGGTACTAGAAATAATCCGGGGGGTATTCGAAATACTACTAGAGATACTGCTAAAAGTACTACATTTCCTCATGGTGCTGCTCAACCTAGCCCTTTGCCTCCTTCTAATCCGCCTGTTTTACAACCGTCTACTCTTAGCAATCCAATTACTACTAGCATAGCTACTCCATCTACAACAACACTAACAGGGGCACAACATACCGCTCCCTCTGCATCCTCAAAGGCCTCGTCATCACACCTTTCCAATAATATACAAAAAGGCAATTTATCTCTCGAAAATGAAAAAAAGGCCCCGAATAACAACAACTCCCAATCTGCCAAGAACAAAAGCGGCGCGACCTCCTTCTCCCCGGTTTCGACCGACCATCTGCCTACGCACAATCCTGCGATTGGTTTTATGGATGTTGAGTATCCCAGAATGTCACGCCCCCTTGCCCTGGTTGGCACGAGACGTATTGAGACTGAACCTTTGAAGGTCCCCGTCTATGAATTGAACCGCCCTCATAAAACGGTGAAAGAGCCAATCAAAGCAATGTATAACCTGAGACCTTTAAGATCTTCCGATTTCGCAATATTATACGACAAGAAAATTCAGCGTGTGAAAACACATGTTAATCATGAAGTAGTGGGGAAGATTGAGTTCTCACCCCAATTAAAGTACACTCTAGGGTTTTCGGATTATGGGGAAATTGTAAACGAAACTGTCGCTCCATTCTCTCCTGATCTCAGTGGTGGCATCAAGAACCTAGCCGTATACGTTGACGATTTAGTTGAACAGGTTATTGTCGGCAGTTTTCAAACACCTATGCTTCGTATGGTTACAGTAAAAGGCAAACCGGGGGATGTTGTGGAACAGATTTACGATCAACCGTTAATGATACCTGTTAGAGCAAGGGAGATCTCTGTATTACATGTTCAAATTAGAACTCTAGATGGACGTTTATGCCCTTTTGATTATGGCATTACTTGTTTAACTTTATGTTTCAAACCTCTGGCGGTTTTTTAAATTTATTGTTTAATAAATAATAATTGCAAGTTAAAGGGAGTATTCGTGAAAGTTCTCGTACAGCTGTAAGCATGACAAAAGGCTCTAATAACATCTGAAGGCTTGAAATCTTTTAATGGCAATGCCTCCACCTTAAACTCATCGAGATCCATCTCCCCAGAAATGTGCATAGTAATGTAATTGAAACCTATAACAATATGATAATTCAAGTTAGTCTCCAACCTTTTGAGTATCTGTCTACAAGTTCTTTTACAAGCCTTTCAATATTTCGAACAGTTGCATTCCGGGGTTTCTTTGTCTCGTACGAAGCAGAATATGAAAAATAGTTACCGATTGAACTTTCTGATGTTGAGGTACAGTTAAACAACTCCATGATAATATTTTTTCTACTATAAAAAAGAAACATTTATATACTGTGCACAGATCATGAGCATTTTAAAAAGCTTTCGTGATCTAGACGATCCCTCTGCATACACAGGGCCTTCTCGTTTGGCAAAAACAAAGAAGCTAAAATACGAAGATGTTCGGCGGATCTTGGCACGTGATTTTTCGTATAGTCTCCATAAACCGAGACGTCGAAGATTCAATCGTTTGAAGACTATCCCCTCAGGGTTCATGACGGATGTGCAAATGGATTTGGCGGACTTTCAGGCTCTTTCAAAATACAACAAGGGCTACAAATATTGTTTATTGGGGGTTGACGTAATGTCGCGCAGGTTCTTTGCTTGTCCTGTTCTCTCCAAAAAGTCTTCGGATATGCTCAAAGCATTCGAATGTATGTTCAGAAAAATGCCGCAAATCCCCCAGGTGATTTTTACGGATAAGGGCAAAGAGTTTGTTGCCAAAGATGTCAAAAACTTTTTGGATTCAAAAAACTTGGAGCTTCGCCATGGAGAAAACGCGGAGATCAAAGCAGCAGTTGCAGAGAGAGGAATTAGAACTTTAAAATCTCGTTTATACAAATACTTTTCCGCACAAAACACTTTGAATTGGATTGGTGTGCTGGACAAGTTTATTAACGCCATCAACAATACTGTGTGTAGGAGCACAGGCTTGAAACCTAAGGATATTAATAGCTCAAACTGGTTCGAAATTTGGAAAAAAATTTATCAATCTGATTCCCCAAAAGCCAAAGAGCCCAAGTTCAAGGTGGGGGATTGGGTCAGGATTTCACGGCAGGCCGGGGACTTTGATAAGGGCTACTGGACTACCTTTACAGATGAAATTTTCAAGATTACAAAAATTAATAGAACTAACCCCATTACTTTTGAACTTGTTGACTCGGAAGGCGAACCGATTGAGGGCCGATTTTACACCGAAGAACTTTCGCTGACTTCTGAAGATACTGAATATCGAATCGAAAAGATTCTCAAAACACGATTGCGTAAGGGCATTAAAGAAGGGTTTGTCAAATGGATTGGATTTCCCTCATCAAAAAATTCTTGGGTTCAGCTATAATTCCAAATTTACAAAAGTATGTTTATTTATAGCACGATTCCTTAAAAAAATATATATATATATGACAATTAAAGTTTTCTCTGCTTCAGAGGCATTTTCGCTCTTTTCGGTGTGACATTTTCCTTGTTTTTCTCATCGTAGTCCGGGAGTTTATTTACGTAATGGGGAAAGACGACTTCAGTCATCTTCCATTCGCCATTTATACATTGGCAGTTCAATTGACGAGAGAAATTTTTGATTCCCAGAACCGTGATCATAGAATTCGGAGTTATTTTGTGATGCACATCGTCGGCATTATGAGGAAATTTCTCCACATTTTTAAGATCATAAACATGTCCTTCTCGTAGAGGCGAGAACTTTGAGACGTTATTATGTGCATTTACATATATTACAATCGGTCTTTTGAACATGTCAGCTCCATTTATTACCATATCCGGACCTCCGTCAGCAGGTCTGTTGTTCTTCCAAATTCTCAGAATGATAACCGTCTCCGTATTCCTAAAAATCTTGTATTATACAAATCGTAACTTACTTATCTTCTTGACGTGCTTTTTGGCACATTTCATAAAACTCGCTTCTCTTTGTGGTTCCTCCAAGATGTTTTACAACAGTAGTGTCATCAACAAAAATTACCTTTTCGGCCAAATTTTTCTGGACCTCTGTATTATCCAGCTTCAGAAGTGTGCCCGGATATATTGCCTCACCTCCCATATTAAAATCAGGGAACGGCCATTCTAAAGTGATGTGATTGTTAAAGCAATCAGTTGCACAAATTGTCCTGGACTCCTCGCTGTTGAAGGTCTTGAGGACCTGGACGACTACAGTTTTGGATGTTGTCGTATCCATCATTGGGTTGATCAGAAAAGAGGCGCGCGTCCTCTCTTCCTCCGTCATAATAGGCGCAGCCATATCGCGAGGAGACAAAATAAGCAAATGAGGTCATTTGCTTATTTTCGCCTCGTGGAGTTTAGCCCCAATCTTTTTCTAGCTCCGCCCTCATGATTTCGATTACCCTTAACGAATATATCCGGAAGACATACGCCGTGTCCATTGATGGGGTCGATATCAATACTTTGAAGTTAATAAATTTTAGTGTAAGTTTTTAATATCATATATTTTATGTTTTTTTTTTTTAGAATTTTTACATGAAATTCCGTGGGCGTAAGATTTGTCGTCTGAAACCTGTTCAAAGCAAATGCGGTGAGAAGCTGTGGTTCTTTTCGCTGTACGATAAAGATGATGGATGTGAGAGCGACACTAGATGTCTCTTTGACGGAGATGAAATTCAAATTTATTTAACACCTGTTACCAAACGTCACACTGAAGTCCCTCAATCTGATCTTATTTTTTATACAAATATTTAAAAGATTTTTTTTTTGAATAAACGAATAAAAGTTATTGGATTCTTAATCCTTTTGAAAAGGGTAAAAATTATTTCATCATCATTGAGTCGAAAAGTTTATTGAAGGGTCATCAACCTTTATTGATGGACCAGACTTACTCTTGATCCTTCCGCTTTTTCCGGAAAAAAATCACAGACATAAATCATAAACTCTTTAACCTACCGCAACCTCTAGGTTGCGCAACATTCATAACATCTCGGTTGCGCAACACCCCGCAACCTCTTGCCCTCCCGCAACCTCTAGGTTGCGCAACAACCCGCAATCCTCCTCCTTTCCCCACTTTCTCACCCTTTTTCAATTTTTTTTTTACCGCAAAATCCCCCTGACCTCTCTCCCCACTCTCCTCCAATCCCACACTCTCTCCCCTTTTTCATTTTTACCACAATTTCATCGCGTCCTTTCAATTACGACACCCTCTCATCTTTTTTGAAATTTGACCGCAAAATTCCCTGACCTCTCTCCCCACTCTCCTCCAATCCCACACTCTCTCATCTTTTTCATTTTTTACCACAATTTCATCGCGTCCTTTCAATTACGACACCCTCTCATCTTTTTTGAAATTTGACCGCAAAATTCCCCTGACCTCTCTCCCCACTCTCCTCCAATCCCACACTCTCTCATCTTTTTCATTTTTTACCGCAATTTCATCGCGTCCTTTCAATTACGACACCCTCTCATCTTTTTTGAAATTTGACCGCAAAATTCCCCTGACCTCTCTCCCCACTCTCCTCCAATCCCACACTCTCTCATCTTTACAGTACTACCATACCATAAAAATTCCCTCACCTCTCTCCCCACTCTCCTCCAATCCCACACTCTCTCATTTACGGCACCCCGCGCCGGCTCCTCCCCCCTTTTCCAGTGGATGCAAAATTTAGTGCCAGAAACTACCTCTTATTACTACTCACATACATTGGCAAAAATCCTCATTTCAACCATCAGAAACCACAAATAAGCGTTTAAGATGGGTGTGATGACCAAAAAAGTGCCCAAAAGTCTCCGCCGAATTCACTGCTTTCCGCGTTGGCGGAGAAAATGATTTTCATAGGCAAAAAACCGCCCATATTCTTCTTTAATATGCAAAAAAATTTTTTTGCATATCTTGACTGAGCGCCGAGAAATCGACGATTACTTTCCGGGGAATTTCTTGAAACACCCTGTATAAGATACCTCAAAATAGGTGTATTCTAGGACCCGATAAATCTTATTATTTCCACTAACTAAGCCTTCTCCTAGCCTCCCCCATGCATTAAACGACGAACCGACATGATCCATGGTTTCGTTGAGCCGAATTGTCGCTGACACAAAAAGTCATAGCGGGGCGTAATCATAATGCAACCTAGTCGAACCCGAGTGCGCAGGAAAGGACTTCACGAAGAAAAAATAAATTTTTTTGGAAGCATTACACTCTACATTGGAAAAAAGTAGGAAACTTTTTTTTTTCAAAATTTAGCAAAAAAAGGCCACATTTTTGTCAACTTTTGACCCTGTTTAAAACACGATTTTTGAGTCACTGCGTCAGCCAGTAGTGGGGCCCGGTCTTAGGAAAAAATCGATTTTGAGATTTTTGGCTTAAAATAGTCGGTAGCACTTGTGGAAGAAAAGCTAAAAATATTTTTGCCCAATTTTGCCCGGAAGGCATATTTTTTTACAAAATACGTTTTTACACTTCAAAGCCTCTGGAGGCCGATGTGATCCGACCACAGAGATCAAACCTGGCATACAGGGGTTTTTGACACCCTGGAATCTGAAAATCGTAGCATTTTTACCGTCAGATTACTGTAACATGGTCATACTGTAATCCGGTCGATAAAAATCGACGATAACTTCTTTAGATCAAAAAATCGTGTTTTAAAAAACACGATTTCTGAGTCAGTGAAGCAGCCGCCAGTTAGGCCGTGACATAGAAAAATTCGATCTCGGGTATTTTGCTTCAATGTAACCGTACCCGACCTAAAAAGCTTGTGGCAAAACATTTTTGCCCATTTCGGCCGTTGACACAGTTATTTTTACAATTTATTAGTTATACAGTAATCCCCCATAAATCTGTAACGAACTCACAGAAATTCATGGAATTGTGAGTACTTATGTTTTCGCACTCGTAGATTTCAAAAAAAGTGGTTTTGACTCATTCGGATTACTGTAACATACCAAACTGCTGGTTCGGCCGCATAAAATCGGCCATAAAAAGTTTGTTTCTGAAAACCCGCAGCTGAATTTTACATATGTTAATCAGCATAAAATTCTGATATATAAACGTTAAAAAAAAGTGCAAAAAGTGGTGCGGCATTTTTCATGGTGTAGTGGTTTTTGGGCAGAACTAGTAATCTGACGTCCCGGGTTCGAATCCGCCTGGATGCAAATACCACAAATTAGACGCAAATTACCTTTAATGTAGTCTTGAGGTCTGTATGAGGGAGACTGAGTAATTTTAGACCTACATGATATCTCTATTTAAGGTAAAAATGGATTTTATATAATTTTAGAAGATGAATACGTGAAAAATAAAACGTCTTCAAAACGTTTGAAATTAACAACACAGATTCTAGGAATAATTATAAGAAACTTTTCTGTTAGATTTTTTTGATAGGTTACTGTATCGTGGATTACTGTAACATAAAACTTTTTTTTCTTAACTGTTGTTTTCTTCTAAATTCTTCTATGAAATTTTGATTTTTTTTGGTTAGCTTCTTTGAACGGTTGAAATCATGGATGAAACATATTTAAAATAAAATTCCATCTCTTTTCCAGTGTGTATTCGTATCATCGTCGATTGGTGAAATTGCCAGATCTTTCTCAGGTCTTTCGAATCCTACGGCCATGAAAAAATTTTAGTGTGCCAACCAACTCGTTCTCAACCAGACATGGCAAAAGGGGCCGGGCCGGGGGACCCCCGGGCCCCAGGCCCGGCCCCCGAAAAGTTGGGCCCGGCCGGGCCCTTTTCAAAATTTTCAAAGCCCGGCCCGGCCCGGCCCTGAAAGGTCCTAAAGCCCGGCCCGGCCCTTTTTTCATTACTCTAAATTTTGCATTTTAATTGCTATTTTTTTGTTTTAAGATGTTACCACGAAGTTTTCGGTGTCTTACTTGATACAAACGGCCAGCGGTTTCGATATAGGACCAATAATGATGAGTAATTCGAGAATTTTTATCCAGATGTCATGAATAATATAATTTACCTTCTCAAATGCTATACATTGGTTTTTTCCTGGAGTCTGGCGATGGATTTGACAATCAAATGGCCTGTCTGATGTTTTCAATTTACTTTCACGACCTTCTTACCAGTGATTCAATTTCCCATCTTCCAAAAAATCATCAAAAATCTCAAAAACGTGTAAAAAACATGAATATTATTTTTAAATTGTCAATCTTCTTGTGTTTCTCATATTCTTATTACATTTTCAATGACCTACAATGAATGTAATCATCGACGGCCAAGTCTACGAGTACAACAGGATGACGGGAAAGACAACGCCAATTAAAGAACAAGCTAAGCAAGTGAAACTTGAAGAAAAGGACCAATGGCATTTTCTGGACCAACAATACATCTTCAAAGACATCATACTCCACAAAAGCAACGTGTTCCAAGAAGAGATCTTGGAAGAAATGGAGAAAGCTGTTAGTACGGAGTCAGAAATATTGGTCCAAGACCAAAGCGTGCTCGAGCACCATGATTTAAGGTCGGAAATTCTCGACAGTTGGGGATTACTTTGGACAATATGGTACTATGCAAAGATGGTATGGTTTGTATGGGTGACAATCTCGTGTGTACTCCAAACATATGGAACTGTCTACGCAATCTTGGGTTACTACAAGCAACGGCAACCACAACCGCAAAACCCACCTCCGGCACAGCCACAGGCCATGGAAATGGTGACGTTCTCAGTGCATGGAAGTCCTCAATTACACATTCGAAGACCATTTCGGACCGAGGATCAGACACGACCAGGTTTGACGGAATCTCTTCTTCCTTAGGGCCGGGAGTGTTGCGACTCGACTCGCAAAGAATTGTAAAAAGTTTTTGCAACTATATTATTTTTATCTTTCCTCTTGTTTGTAAAGGGAAAAATTGTGAGCGTTCTTTACTCTTCATTTCTCTCGCAATTGTTTACTAAAAAGTCTCTTCATTTTTCTCTTCTTTTCGCGAAACGCGAAAATAACTCTCTTCGCTTTTTTATAACGCAGAAATTATTGCGAAACAAATCTATCGCATTCTAGAAACGAATTATGTCACGACATATTTGTCTAAATTTCGAAATTGTTATGAAATAATGTTTACATCACACTAACCCCACCGGTATATAAACCCGGCCCGAGCCATCTAAAAGAGGAGTCGCCTAGGAAAAGTGAAGCACCTTGGGAAGAGTCGCCTACGAAAACTGAAGTAAGATATATTCCTCTACTCTGGAATTGTATACGCTCGTTCTATTCAAATAAACTACTGTGTATAACCTTTTTGGACTATTCTTTCACCACTAGACTTTACTGACTTATTGCACGGGGCGCAATAAGATTTGGGGGCTCAGCCGGTGAGCCTTAACTGTGAACTGTATTACTGTACTACTACTGCTACTGCATCTTGCAAATCGAACTGCTCCCTGCCTTGGAGCTACAACTGGAAAACCTAAGCCACTGCAACAAACACATCAACTCACACTTGGAAAACGATGGACCCTAAGGAAATGGTTGAAGAAAAAACTCAAAGCCTCTCGAGCCACTTGCGACGACTGCTTGGACCAGCACTCGGTACGTTGAAAAAACATAAGGCTACATGCGACTCAATCGGCGACTTCGATGTGGTTACTGGAGAAACCCGATCAAGACTTCTCAAAACGAAGGAATATATCATTGACCTTGAAGGCCCCACACAGAGCCTTACCAAAACACTGGAAAGAGTTAACAGTTACATCGAGCAATGGAAGGCCATATTAGATCGGGCCAGCCTGGAGCAATATGAACTGGAGAAGAAGATAATGGATGTTTTTCACGAAAAAACGAAGATGCTTACTCTCCCGGAGGAAGCCGAGGAGAGTTTACTACGTGCACAGAAACAGCTAGCCAGAGCTCGGCTAGCAGAAATGGAATTGAAATTCAACATGGAAAACAATGCGAGCACCGCAAACCTGACAGCGACTCAAACCTCGGTGGCAATCCCAATCACTAACGTGAAACTCCCGGCGCTATCACTACCAACTTTCAACGGTGAACCAACTGCATGGCCACAGTTCATACAGCGGTTCCGTGGAACGATCCACCGACGGAACGACTTGAATGATGTCGACAAACTCAATTATCTCATTGGACTTCTGGAAGGAGACGCAAAGAAAATGGTACAAGGGTACCAAATCATAGATGAAAATTATTCTATTGTCATGGAGACATTAGAAAAAAGGTTTGGAGATGACAGAGTCATTGTAAATCAACTTATTCAACGACTGAACACGTTGACACCGAAAGGAACATCAATACATCACACCAAGGCATACCTGCTCGAAATGGACCAACTTCGTAATCAATTGAAACAATACAAACGATCCATCGGAGAAGACCAATACTGGTACCTTATAGAGTCAAGAATACCAAAATACCTCGTATACAAACTTCACGACCGAAAACGAATAACTTCAGAGTGGAACAACGACATTGCTACCAATGAGCTATTCGACATGATCAAGGAAGAAGAAGAAATGACCAAGACGCGAAAGGAGAACCCCTTCCCTGTTCGATCATATACTATTCAATCCGCGGATCCTCCAAAGGCAAAATTGTTACCATGCCTGTTCTGCAATTCGTCATCGCATCGTTCTTATCAATGCCACACCTGTCCCACAGTCAAGGAGCGGCGCGATAAAATCCGAGAACTTCATCGATGTTACCGCTGCCTACAGCCATTCGAAAAAGCACACAACTGCGGAAAAACTTGTAGAAAGTGCAATGGAAGCCATAACCAACTCATTTGCGATGGAAATCGACAACCAACTCCAGCTCGTCAATTTCAGCAAGATCGAGGAACCGGCCAGAAACCTGGAAGTATCCCGATGGCAACACAGCAACAGCCTCGACCATGGTTCAATAATCCCAAGAACCCCAACTTCACACCAATCAAAAATGTTAAGACGTTCACCACCACTTGCCAGGACGAAGAACGTCAAGAGACAGCGGTGAACTGCGCATTCAATACTGCGCCATCTCTGAAGGAAGAAAAGCCGACACTACCTGTAGTGCCGATTAGATTAACGAATGAAGACAGTGGAGAACAACTGGAACTGATGGCATTTCTCGACAGCGGTTCGGAAAAGAGCTATATCAGGAAAGAAGCAGCTCAAAAACTTGGCCTGGAAAACAAAGGAACGAAGGAACTGTACATCAAAGGACTTGCGGGAATGAACCAAAGGAAGAAAGTGGACGTAGTGGAAGCGACGGTGAATCATACGTTACCAGTGACTCTATTCGCTACGGAAACACTGGTCGGAAAAGTTGGGTACGCCGAACGTCAACCTGATGGATCGCATAAACTTCGCACTGTGACACCAGATTTATTAATTGGATCGGACTACATGTTCCAATTATTGACCGACAGTACCTGCATCGGCCCAAATCTGAAACAGTTTGAGACCGATTTGGGAACCATCATACTTCATCAACCACAACCTGAACGAATTACAACATGGACAAAACCAGCAATCACTGGAGACAATGAAAACTTGGATCACCAATTACAATATCTATGGAAACTGGAAAGTTCAGCAGCAAAAGTGGCCAAATTTCTCATGAAGGGACTACCGCAAATCAAGAACGTCATCATCTACTCAGACAGTCAAGTGGCCATTCAACAGCTATTATATGAAGACGATCAAACCATCTATGTCAGAAACAGAGTACGCGAACTTCAAAGCTACAGAAAGGAGATGGAATTTCGCTTTATCGATGGAAAACTCAATCCCGCTGACATTGCAAGTCGCGGAGCAAAAGTAACTGAGCTTATGCACAACGAATTATGGTGGAAAGGACCAGAATTTCTACTACAGGACATCACGGAATGGCCTTCAACAATGGTTGTCCCAAACCTCACAGGCATTCCCACCGAGACGACGACAACAGCTACCGCGAAATCCGACGAACCAGCCAGTCTCATCACAAAAGACATGAATTGGAAAAAGCTGATCAATGTGACCAAACATATCATCTGCTTCATCAACAAATGCCGCCCAAGTCGTACGCCAATACCAGAAACTCCTCAAGAGGCGGGAAGGCGGCTCGTCAGAGCCGAGCAAGAAATCTATCCCCCCACCCCAAAAATTCAAACGAGACGACGTCTCTACAAGGATGACATTGGCACGTGGCGAGTGGACACCAGACTGGCGAATGCAGAACGAACGGAAAATGCAAAGAACCCCATCTGGCTACCTGTGGAGAGTCCGTTAGCCCAAAAGATCGTTCAATACCATCACGAAAATAACCATCACCAATCGGCGTTGGCCGTAACATCACTAATAAGAGAAAATTTCTACGTCTCTTACAGGTATGTCAAAACAATGGTTAAGAGGTGCATCCGATGTCGCATCTACAACACTCGTCCTTACGAAACTCCAATATTTCCTCCACTACCAACAAGTAGAACAACTACCGGAACACCATTCGAATCAACGGGACTGGACATCTGTGGACCATTACGAACAAAGGATGGACCAGCATACGTACTGTTACTGACCTGTCTTCGTACCAGGTCAGTACATTTGGAGCTTACGGACTCCATTAAGACAGAAGACATTCTTAATGCGATGACCAAATTTTGCGCTCGTAGAGGAGTTCCGCGATATATCCTAAGCGACAACGCCACCTACTTTGTCGCTGGACGAAAAATGTTTTTGGAAAAATATGGACACCTTCAAAACATCACATGGACGCACACCACACCTAACGCTCCATGGCGCGGAGCGACCTATGAGAGATTGAACAGAAGTCTAAAAGAAGGAATCAAACGTACCCTGGGACGATCACGACCTACATACAAAGAACTGGAAACCCTTGTCATCGCAATCGAAGGAACTCTTAACAATCGTCCTCTGCTTCCGTTATACGACGACAACGACAGTTTTCAAGCACTGCGACCAGTGGACTTCTTACGACCAAACGGAACCAGGTACGATGAAAATGGTGATACAGCGAACGAATCAAGCGATCCAGACTTCGTGATAAAGGCATACAAAATCAATGAGCTACGACAACTTTACGACAAGTTCAATGAAAGGCTTGACAAGTTTTGGGCACGATGGAGAAAGGAATACCTGGACACATTGGCCGATCGTGGAAACTATCAAGAGAAGCAAACTCTCATTCCGAAACCAGGAGAACTTGTGATCCTGGAAGAGCCAGAACAACCGAGAGGAGAATGGAAAATGGCCCGGATCAAAAGAGCAATCAAATCCAAAGATGGGATCACGAGAAACTGCGAGATCATCCTGCCTAATCGGAAGACTGCAATCCGAGCAGTCAATTTATTACATCCATTAGAAATAGGAGGAGAAGTTGAAGGAGAAGAATTGGACTACAAGACGAAGGAGGACCTGGAGAGAGAGCAAAAACAACCTGTTCCGGCTAGATGTGGACGTCCAAGGCGAAACAAATTAATCGACTACACCCCTCTATTAATGTTGATAACATTGGTCATTGGAGGCGTCAATGGTCAAACGAATCAGCCCAAGTTGTGTCTCGGGAAGACCCGAGTTCTATGGAGGATGCCAGATGTGGCCAGTTGTGATTACGACTTGTCCGTCAACAGCGACGTTGGGAAGCCAAGACGGATAGAACTCTACAAAAGAAACACAATCGAATTTCATTCTCCGGCCTATGTATGCCGCTTGGAGGCAATGACCGTAAGGCAACAGACGCTGTTGAACGGCGTCCCAGAGGTTCGAGAAGAAAAAGTAAAAGGGAAGTCGATTTACCGGACTCACAACAAAGTTAGCATCGACCCACCAAACAGAATCATGACCTTCTTAAATGGAGAAAAAGTGGATGTCAAGAGAAACTGCCTCCTGCTGGAAACAAAAGTATTCGCCCACTACGGGAGCCCATCAGCAACGTCGGCAATGGGAGACCTATCTAGCTGCACTTATTCCGCTGGAATATGCCGTACCAAGGAAAACGAAATATTCGTGTGGAAAGTCAACCAAACGCAAAGGTGTGAATTTGTAAAGGCTTATCAAGGAGTTGGCGTGGTCACCGATAAGTCTGCTGTGATCGAAGATCTGCACGCCATGGTCACATTCAACACTACCATTTCGAAATTGGATTGCAATCAAACAATAATCCCAACAGATCAAGGACTTGGAATTCGTATCGGTCCCCCAATCAAAATTCGTGGAATTCAAGACGAGACTCCTGACTTACCAACGCCGGCGCCGTTTATCCAGCCAAAGGATCTACCAACAATGCCAACAACTACACTTCGGCCAACGAGTCGACCGACGACTACACGGACAACCCCAATACGTACAGAACCTCCGCGAAGAACTACAACGACAGCACCAACGAAAACAACACGTACAACGACAACGAAGACAACTCGTACAACTACAACTGGAAAAGGATCTGGAAATCCTTCACAGATGTTTGGTTTAATGGAGTTGCTAAGGGGAGCAACCAAGGAGGACATGATGGCAAAAGGATACGACGAGGAAACCATTGACAATTTCCTCGCTAAAATGAAGCCAAGATGGTCACGACAAGCAAATTTGGATGTATCCGATGAGGAATCGTCGGATTTGCAGTTTGCCGAATACTACACCCTCAAGCAAATGCGACATCTGGCAAGAGCGATGTGTGCCATGCTGCGTGAACATTCAACGAGGATTCGAGAAATCATATCCATCAATCCGACTGTTACTATGCAGAGACTGCTGAACCGGACGAACATTGTAGCCAACCGTTTGAGCGACGATATCGTTGAAGTTGAGATGTGCCACAGTCTGAACAAGAAGGAGTACCAATTCAAACCCAGTCCCGACGAATGCGTAATACCCATCAGGATCAACCAATACAACACAACATTGTTCCTAAATCGTCACACGCAAATTCTCCACCGTTCAAAGGAAACTGCAAAAGAAGAAAATTGTGGACCTACAATGAATGTAATCATCGACGGCCAAGTCTACGAGTACAACAGGATGACGGGAAAGACAACGCCAATTAAAGAACAAGCTAAGCAAGTGAAACTTGAAGAAAAGGACCAATGGCATTTTCTGGACCAACAATACATCTTCAAAGACATCATACTCCACAAAAGCAACGTGTTCCAAGAAGAGATCTTGGAAGAAATGGAGAAAGCTGTTAGTACGGAGTCAGAAATATTGGTCCAAGACCAAAGCGTGCTCGAGCACCATGATTTAAGGTCGGAAATTCTCGACAGTTGGGGATTACTTTGGACAATATGGTACTATGCAAAGATGGTATGGTTTGTATGGGTGACAATCTCGTGTGTACTCCAAACATATGGAACTGTCTACGCAATCTTGGGTTACTACAAGCAACGGCAACCACAACCGCAAAACCCACCTCCGGCACAGCCACAGGCCATGGAAATGGTGACGTTCTCAGTGCATGGAAGTCCTCAATTACACATTCGAAGACCATTTCGGACCGAGGATCAGACACGACCAGGTTTGACGGAATCTCTTCTTCCTTAGGGCCGGGAGTGTTGCGACTCGACTCGCAAAGAATTGTAAAAAGTTTTTGCAACTATATTATTTTTATCTTTCCTCTTGTTTGTAAAGGGAAAAATTGTGAGCGTTCTTTACTCTTCATTTCTCTCGCAATTGTTTACTAAAAAGTCTCTTCATTTTTCTCTTCTTTTCGCGAAACGCGAAAATAACTCTCTTCGCTTTTTTATAACGCAGAAATTATTGCGAAACAAATCTATCGCATTCTAGAAACGAATTATGTCACGACATATTTGTCTAAATTTCGAAATTGTTATGAAATAATGTTTACATCACACTAACCCCACCGGTATATAAACCCGGCCCGAGCCATCTAAAAGAGGAGTCGCCTAGGAAAAGTGAAGCACCTTGGGAAGAGTCGCCTACGAAAACTGAAGTAAGATATATTCCTCTACTCTGGAATTGTATACGCTCGTTCTATTCAAATAAACTACTGTGTATAACCTTTTTGGACTATTCTTTCACCACTAGACTTTACTGACTTATTGCACGGGGCGCAATAAAAAGCTAAAAATATTTTTGCCCAATTTTGCCCGGAAGGCATATTTTTTTACAAAATACGTTTTTACACTTCAAAGCCTCTGGAGGCCGATGTGATCCGACCACAGAGATCAAACCTGGCATACAGGGGTTTTTGACACCCTGGAATCTGAAAATCGTAGCATTTTTACCGTCAGATTACTGTAACATGGTCATACTGTAATCCGGTCGATAAAAATCGACGATAACTTCTTTAGATCAAAAAATCGTGTTTTAAAAAACACGATTTCTGAGTCAGTGAAGCAGCCGCCAGTTAGGCCGTGACATAGAAAAATTCGATCTCGGGTATTTTGCTTCAATGTAACCGTACCCGTCCTAAAAAGCTTGTGGCAAAACATTTTTGCCCATTTCGGCCGTTGACACAGTTATTTTTACAATTTATTAGTTATACAGTAATCCCCCATAAATCTGTAACGAACTCACAGAAATTCATGGAATTGTGAGTACTTATGTTTTCGCACTCGTAGATTTCAAAAAAAGTGGTTTTGACTCATTCGGATTACTGTAACATACCAAACTGCTGGTTCGGCCGCATAAAATCGGCCATAAAAAGTTTGTTTCTGAAAACCCGCAGCTGAATTTTACATATGTTAATCAGCATAAAATTCTGATATATAAACGTTAAAAAAAAGTGCAAAAAGTGGTGCGGCATTTTTCATGGTGTAGTGGTTTTTGGGCAGAACTAGTAATCTGACGTCCCGGGTTCGAATCCGCCTGGATGCAAATACCACAAATTAGACGCAAATTACCTTTAATGTAGTCTTGAGGTCTGTATGAGGGAGACTGAGTAATTTTAGACCTACATGATATCTCTATTTAAGGTAAAAATGGATTTTATATAATTTTAGAAGATGAATACGTGAAAAATAAAACGTCTTCAAAACGTTTGAAATTAACAACACAGATTCTAGGAATAATTATAAGAAACTTTTCTGTTAGATTTTTTTGATAGGTTACTGTATCGTGGATTACTGTAACATAAAACTTTTTTTTCTTAACTGTTGTTTTCTTCTAAATTCTTCTATGAAATTTTGATTTTTTTTGGTTAGCTTCTTTGAACGGTTGAAATCATGGATGAAACATATTTAAAATAAAATTCCATCTCTTTTCCAGTGTGTATTCGTATCATCGTCGATTGGTGAAATTGCCAGATCTTTCTCAGGTCTTTCGAATCCTACGGCCATGAAAAAATTTTAGTGTGCCAACCAACTCGTTCTCAACCAGACATGGCAAAAGGGGCCGGGCCGGGGGACCCCCGGGCCCCAGGCCCGGCCCCCGAAAAGTTGGGCCCGGCCGGGCCCTTTTCAAAATTTTCAAAGCCCGGCCCGGCCCGGCCCTGAAAGGTCCTAAAGCCCGGCCCGGCCCTTTTTTCATTACTCTAAATTTTGCATTTTAATTGCTATTTTTTTGTTTTAAGATGTTACCACGAAGTTTTCGGTGTCTTACTTGATACAAACGGCCAGCGGTTTCGATATAGGACCAATAATGATGAGTAATTCGAGAATTTTTATCCAGATGTCATGAATAATATAATTTACCTTCTCAAATGCTATACATTGGTTTTTTCCTGGAGTCTGGCGATGGATTTGACAATCAAATGGCCTGTCTGATGTTTTCAATTTACTTTCACGACCTTCTTACCAGTGATTCAATTTCCCATCTTCCAAAAAATCATCAAAAATCTCAAAAACGTGTAAAAAACATGAATATTATTTTTAAATTGTCAATCTTCTTGTGTTTCTCATATTCTTATTACATTTTCAACATGTCAACACTTTTTACGCCGCTCAATTCGTCCTAGCTCGGACGAAATCATCATGGATAATATCGGGGAAAACTCAGAAAATCGTCAAAAAATCAATATCAAGCTTCAGAAATAGTTCTAAGTCGCACATATTCTCATTCCCCAAGGACTGCTGGACATTTCCCACTAAAAATTAAAATTTTGATTTTTCTACAGTAATCCATCTACTACGGTAACTCATGGTATGATGAACGGAAAATTTAAAAAAATTGCACAGAGAATTTCCATGCCGTGAATTATAATTTCGCCAAGTTTCATCCAAATCCATCGACCGCTACCAGAGTTATTGAAGATTATATTTTCCAAAAACTCCTTTTTTGAACCTTCAAAATCGGTTTTTCATCCTTATAGTAACTACTGGGCACATTTTGGAAACCATATCTCAGGCATAAGTTGACCGATTTTTGATTTTAAAAAAGTATTTGGACTAATTCGAGTACTGCGAGCCAAGTTATGACGTTAGTTTTTGCCCTAAGGGGTCAAATATGGCCGGAAACACTATGCCAAAATATTGCCAAAACCGCTGGCCGTTTGTATCAAGTAAGACACCGAAAACTTCGTGGTAACATCTTAAAACAAAAAAATAGCAATTAAAATGCAAAATTTAGAGTAATGAAAAAAGGGCCGGGCCGGGCCGGGCTTTAGGACCTTTCAGGGCCGGGCCGGGCCGGGCTTTGAAAATTTTGAAAAGGGCCCGGCCGGGCCCAACTTTTCGGGGGCCGGGCCTGGGGCCCGGGGGTCCCCCGGCCCGGCCCCTTTTGCCATGTCTGGTTGAGAACGAGTTGGTTGGCACACTAAAATTTTTTCATGGCCGTAGGATTCGAAAGACCTGAGAAAGATCTGGCAATTTCACCAATCGACGATGATACGAATACACACTGGAAAAGAGATGGAATTTTATTTTAAATATGTTTCATCCATGATTTCAACCGTTCAAAGAAGCTAACCAAAAAAATCAAAATTTCATAGAAGAATTTAGAAGAAAACAACAGTTAAGAAAAAAAAGTTTTATGTTACAGTAATCCACGATACAGTAACCTATCAAAAAAATCTAACAGAAAAGTTTCTTATAATTATTCCTAGAATCTGTGTTGTTAATTTCAAACGTTTTGAAGACGTTTTATTTTTCACGTATTCATCTTCTAAAATTATATAAAATCCATTTTTACCTTAAATAGAGATATCATGTAGGTCTAAAATTACTCAGTCTCCCTCATACAGACCTCAAGACTACATTAAAGGTAATTTGCGTCTAATTTGTGGAATTTGCATCCAGGCGGATTCGAACCCGGGACGTCAGATTACTAGTTCTGCCCAAAAACCACTACACCATGAAAAATGCCGCACCACTTTTTGCACTTTTTTTTAACGTTTATATATCAGAATTTTATGCTGATTAACATATGTAAAATTCAGCTGCGGGTTTTCAGAAACAAACTTTTTATGGCCGATTTTATGCGGCCAAACCAGCAGTTTGGTATGTTACAGTAATCCGAATGAGTCAAAACCACTTTTTTTGAAATCTACGAGTGCGAAAACATAAGTACTCACAATTCCATGAATTTCTGTGAGTTCGTTACAGATTTATGGGGGATTACTGTATAACTAATAAATTGTAAAAATAACTGTGTCAACGGCCGAAATGGGCAAAAATGTTTTGCCACAAGCTTTTTAGGACGGGTACGGTTACATTGAAGCAAAATACCCGAGATCGAATTTTTCTATGTCACGGCCTAACTGGCGGCTGCTTCACTGACTCAGAAATCGTGTTTTTTAAAACACGATTTTTTGATCTAAAGAAGTTATGTTTTATTGTTGACTTGTTTATTCTTGTTTTGGTATTTTCCCCAGTTGTATCGTTTGGTTTGGATAAACTTATCACTCGGACGTGTTTGGCGAGCCATTTCTAGGAGATCCTCGGGTCCTTATCCTCACGAACTATCCCTCAAATAGTTCTAATTGGCGACCACCGGCACTCCACAATCTTCGGCGACGTTGGACGCGATCTTTCCGTTGGATTTTGAGGTGATTTTTTACCTATTTCTTTCTTGAATTCGGAAATATATTCGGAATATTCAGAATTTCGATAAATTTAAATACGAAAATGGCTTCTCGAACTCGTTTCTTCCCGCAAAAGGTTGTAAATTTAAATTTCTTCAACAAAATCAAGGTTCGAATGACTTATTGGATCAAAGAAACCCGGCCGAATTATCAAATTACTCGCGAATTGAAGGCAAAGGATGCAAATTTAAAGGATTATTGGATGATTTTGGTTACAACAAAAATTTCTCAAACGGAAAAATCATGAACTCCGGTGAAGAAAAAAGGAATGCAAACACTTTACACTCAAACTCTAAGACGAATATCACCTTATCTTACCAGAAAATCAAAGGAAAGGGCGCAAAATTTAAAAATTTGGGAATTATGCTAATTTTTACGGCGAATTTGATCGTGAACCGCTATCTAATTATGGAATTACCTTATTTTATTGTAGTATCTTGTATTATTTTAAAGGTATTTCTATTTTTGGTTCGTAAATACTCTGTTTACTTGTTTTTTTCCTACCCAAGTCAAATATTGTTTACATTGACTTTACTCGCAGACCTCGATGGCAAATTCTGAAACGCCGGGACGTCGTTTAGTAGAGTAGTGGGGTGGACTTAGGTGACTTAGGGAACAGAAACATTATTTTAGGGTTTTTATTTGAGCTTTTTAGAAAATTGAGATATTTAGTTAATTTTAGGTTTTAAGAACTCAATTTTATTTTTTATTTTTCAGATACGGGGACCGTATCTCAAAGAAGGGTGGCAAGTAGGACCTAGACCAGCACCTTGACAAGCAACCACGAGTTCAAACACATTTGGAGCCCGTCAACACTCTTGGAGCCAGTGGAACATCAAGAGCAACCCGCATGGATACCCGGAAATGGTCTCACCACGGAAACACTTATTGGCATTCTGCAGCAACTACAATAGGATACACGAAGAAGGAGGAATTCAGAGCACATTGGATAACGGATAGATGGAGGTATAGGACAGGAGGTCAGAGGTTGGAGACGGCCAGAAGGAGGACAGAAGAAGGACGCGCGAGAGCGTTAGCCCGAGTATTATCAGTTGATACAGTTGGTCTTGGGGTTTTATTGTTGACTTGTTTATTCTTGTTTTGGTATTTTCCCCAGTTGTATCGTTTGGTTTGGATAAACTTATCACTCGGACGTGTTTGGCGAGCCATTTCTAGGAGATCCTCGGGTCCTTATCCTCACGAACTACCCCAAATAGTTCTAATGATTTTTTGGAAGATGGAAAATTGAATCACAGATAAGAAGGTCGTGAAAGTAAATTGAAAACATCAGACAGGCCATTTGATTGTCAAATCCATCGCCAGACTCCAGGAAAAACCAATGTATAGCATTTGAGAAGGTAAATTATATTATTCATGACATCTGGATAAAAATTCTCGAATTATTCATCATTATTGGTCATAAATTGAGCCGGTTGCCCATTTATAACAAAGAACATACCAATATCCTTATGAACATACAGGTTTAAGCCAATGGAATGTCGGGGATTTGTAATGAAAAAAATATTTTAGGCAAAATTAGTCGAAAAATAGTGAAACACTATTCAAACTTGACTAAAAGTTAACTTTTAAAAACTTTTTCGATGTATTTTGTCATTGCCAGTAAGGTTCTAAATAGTAAATGAGGTTTTCCTGTCTTACAAACCGCTTTTACTGCCAAAAATAAAAAATTTCTTGCTCAAAACAGAATGCCAAAAAAATTGGCACCCCAATTTTTCGTTTCAAGACAAAAAATTAAAAAATTTTTTTTTGAAGGGGCCGGGCCCAAATTTTTTCAGGCCCCACGGCCCGGCCCGAAAAACCAACCCCAGGCCCCACGGCCCGGCCCCCGAAACGTTGGGCCCGGCCCGGCCCTTTTCAAAATTTCCAAAGCCCGGCCCCCCTGCCATGTCTGTTCTCAACCATTCCTATGATAAAAGTGCTAGTCCGATGCCTCTGCGCTCTGTGGTATATGAAAAATTAAATTGGGATTTTATGTTACAGTAATCCATGACACAGTAACCTATCAAAAAAAGCCAACAGAAAAGTTCCTTATAATTATCCCTAGAATATCTGTTATCAATTTCAAACGATTTGAAGACGTTTTATTTTTCACGTATTCATCTTCCAAAAATTATATAAAATCCATTTTTACCTTAAATAGAGATATCATGTAGGTCTAAAATTACTCAGTCTCCCTCATACAGACCTCAAGACTACATTAAAGGTAATTTGCGTCTAATTTGTGGTATTTGCATCCAGGCGGATTCGAACCCGGGACGTCAGATTACTAGTTCTGACCAAAAACCACTACACCATGAAAAATGCCGCACCACTTTTTGCACTTTTTTTTAACGTTTATATATCAGAATTTTATGCTGATTAACATATGTAAAATTCAGCTGCGGGTTTTCAGAAACAAACTTTTTATGGCCGATTTTATGCGGCCGAACCAGCAGTTTGGTATGTTACAGTAATCCGAATGAGTCAAAACCACTTTTTTTGAAATCTACGAGTGCGAAAACATAAGTACTCACAATTCCATGAATTTCTGTGAGTTCGTTACAGATTTATGGGGGATTACTGTATAACTAATAAATTGTAAAAATAACTGTGTTAACGGCCGAAATGGGCAAAAATGTTTCGCCACAAGCTTTTTAGGACGGGTACGGTTACATTGAAGCTAAAAACCCGAGATCGAATTTTTCTATGTCAAGGGCTGCTACACTCACTCAGAAATCGTGTTTTAAACAAAAGCTCAAATTTTTTTTTTCATGGCGAAGACGCAACAGATCGGTGGAAGGCCGAGCTTCGCTGCCGCCAATGCCATTCGCGGTGGTATACGGACGACAAGGACTACATGAAGAAGTGCAGATTCGGCTGCTACGCCAGCGGCACCGCATACAGATGCAACAAGCTCTATTACGGCGAGCCGCCGTAATCGTGCTTATTTGATGTGTCAATGGTTACGTGGAATAAATATTTTGAAATTGGTTTTTGTATAAAAATTTGAGCACTTCTATTAAAACAGGAGTTTTTTTTCCAACTTGCGCCCGAACTTTTTTTTTTAAATTTTCGGTTTTCCCAAAATTTTCCGGATTTCCCACGAATTTGCCTAAAACCAGAAGCCATGAGACCTCAAAACATTATAAAGCGTAGGTTCCCAAAGGTCATTTACCATTTTTACCCCTTTAATTCGGTGGTCATTCCGTTGCTCGTCGGCCCTTTGGCTCTCCGTTGAATATTGTTCCTCATCGTTCTTTCAATAGACTTGAAGTTGACCGCTCTGTTCACGTTCATCTTCACTCCCGCTGATGCAGCATTCCGTCCTAGGTTGTGTCATCTGCATTGCAGATTGTTCAAATACACTCGGAAATGCCTGGTAAGTCTGGAATTTGAGAATTTGAGTGCATCGAAGAGTAGTATTATATATAATAACCTAAGCTGCCTTGGCCCTAGCACAAATGTTAATCGAAGCTCCTGTCCCTTAAACTAACGGGAAGTGCCTCAAGTGCGGCGCTCAGATTTTGATGAAACTTGGCACAAATTTAGAATATTTAAAAAATATATATGCCAGAATCATATAATAGCTTGCGCTTTGCAGAAACAGCCGAGATTATTAGATCAAAAGTCGGCGAAAATTTGACATTTTTTGCCGAATTTCGGCACGAAAGATACATATTTCTACCGTAAAGGGTAATGTTTATACAAAAAATAATTTTTTTCGCGCGAAACTAGCAAAGTTACGGCCAAAAAGTGTTTTTCGCTCTGACCACTCTCCACGTTTAGCGTACTCTCTCGGCGGCAAAGATGGTTCAATATTTCGGTGGCGCTTGCAAAGCGCGAGCTAGAACTTTTAGAAATTGATATTTAGTTCATGCCCGACTTGGGGTACTTCCCTCGTTAGAAACTAAATTGAAAGCCGAAGTTCGGGCGCAGCTTGAGAAAAATAATTTTTTTGCGGATGCCATAAATGAACAAGGGGTACTTCCCTTGTTAGGGCAAGAAAAACGAACTTTACTGTGTAAATATACATATTATGCTCTAGGGTAGAAGTAGGCCTGAAACTTTTTGCGCCGAAACTCGCCAAAATATGGTGCATTTTCGCCGACTTTCGATTTAAAAATCCCGGTTCTCTATACAATGTTCAAGGACTAGGATTCTCACATACATGTATTTTAGAAAAAAATATTATAAATTTGCGACAAGTTTCATCAAAATCTGAGCGTCGCGCTCGGGGTACTTCCCCTGTCGGCCTAACCTAAGCCAGCCAACTTATCATTGTATAAAACGCCCACGCCGGTTGCGTCTTTTGCTTTTTTTGGCCTTTTTCAAAATGACCTCAATTTTACCACAAGTTTGCATAAACCGTGAGTTTTCGCAGCCAAAACCACTATAAAAGGGTGCTCTGCGGAAGCCATTTTACAATTTTTGCTTCTGGAGCTCGGTGTTCACTCGCTGTTCCTCGTTGGCGTTTCGTCTCTTCGTCGGCCGTCCTCCCCCATCGTTCTCGCAATGGACTTGAGGCTGATCGCTCTGTTCTTGGTCATCTTCGCGGCTGCTGGTGTGGATGGCGCAATGCGCGCACACATGCGTCATCTCCGTCTCGCGCAGGAGAAGAAGTTTGACAAAAAACCGCCATTTAACAAGGAAAAATGTGAAGTAAGTTTTTTAACATTGTTTTTTAAGACACTTTATTGACTTCCTGGTTTTGGTTTCCGAAAATGTTTTTTCCCTCAGCTGCGCCCGAGCTTTGACTAGGAGATTGTTTTCAGCGGGGAATTTTGGATGGGGATGAATTTTGAGGGCGAATTTGGGGGTAATGTTTTCTTTTTGCGACCGAGAGAGCACGCGAAAAGCGGAGGGTGGCCATAGAGAAAGACACTTTTGCCCATATCTTTGCAGTTTCGAGCGGAAAAAAAGTGTTTTTTGAGGAAAAACTACCCTCAGTTAATGCCTGTCAGTGTAAGGACCTCATCAAAAAATGAAAAGTCAATGCGATTGCGTCAAGTATATAAGCGCTTGGACTAAACAGTTTCTGTGAAATTAAAACCAAGTTTTCATCCAAAAAAGTTCGTTGCCATGTTCTAACAGTTATTTAAAAAATTTCTAGAAGCTGAAGGAAGACCCGGTTATGGTCGACATCCTCAACACCGCATGTGAAAATTGCCCGCATTCACATGACCCTCCCGCCACCCAGGAAGGATGCATGTCCAATTGCTGGGACAACTATGAAGTCATGGTTTGTGCTTCGAACGCTTATGAACTACGCAAACTTGATACTCTTCCTAATCCATATGACAGTTAGGTAATTTTTTTATCGGTCTTCTGGTGTGAAATAAATAATTTATTTATATTTATTGTGATTTGTGGAATATTTTATTGCGGCCTGCGCCCTGCATTTGAATGTTTTTAGTGGAAATCGAAAGATTTGGCAAGTTTTCTTTGTTGAATTCGGACCTCAGGGAGTAGCACGAAGGACGAAAAGGTCCGCTGCGGAAAGGTCCGCTAAAAAAAGAAAAGAGGAGGGCGGGTGGAGGGGGAGGTTTTCGATGGGGCTGATTTCGAATATCATATCCATTTTTTCTTACAGGAAGTACCCCAAGTGCGACGCTCAGATTTTCTTTAAATTTTGCACAAACGTCGGCCATCATCCAAATATCAATTCCTGAAAGTTTTAGCTCGCGCTTTGCAAGCGCCACCGAGATATTGAACCATTTTTTTCCGCGAAGAGAGTACGCCTTACGTGGAGAGCGGTCAGAGAGAAAAACGCTTTTTGGCCATAACTTTGGCAGTTTCGTGCGGAAAATTTTGATTTTTTGTAGGAATATTATCCTTTACAGTTGAAATAGGCATGAAACTTGTGCCAAGTTTCATCAAAATCTGAGAGTCGCACTTGGGGTACTTCCCCTGTTAATTTTACAATTTTGCTTAAGCAGTAGTGTTAATTAGATTTTTTTTGAGTAATGGATTTAGGGGTGGTGCTGATTTTGAAAATTGTTACGCAAAATTGTAAAATTCAGATAAAAATTGGTATGATTTTCGAAATCAGGGCCATCGAAAACCTCCCCCCACCCTTCCCCCCCGCCCTCCTCTATCCTTTTTTTGCGGACTTTTCCGCAGCGGACCTTTCCGTACCCAATCCAGAGGAGAAAAAAGGCAGGCATGAAGACAAGGCTCGGGCGCAGCTCTGGAGAAATGTTTTTTGGGCTGGGGCCAAATACGCTAATTGAAAGTTTGCTGAAAATGGTAGGGCGCAGCTCGGAAAAGAAGCTTTCGCAGCTTGCCCGAGCCAACTTTTAACTTGTTTTCGAGCTGCGCCTAAGACGCGAGGCCCCCTATGATCAGCGCCCTATGATTTTTGGCAAACTTTCCGTTAGCGCATCGGCCGCTGGCCGGAAACTTTCGCATAATTTTTGTTGAGTAAATTGATCGAAATAACTTTATTTTCTCGGCTTCACAACAAACTGTTCGAATACAAACTTTGAAAAAGTTGCCTACCAAACTTTGAAAAAGTTGCCTACCAAAAAAAAACTCTTTTGCAAAGCCTTGCAAAGACGGTCGTAAATGAAAAGACTCACATGAAAGAGCGTCGACTCGGATTTCCTTGCAATATTCCGGTCACAAAACAAGCTATTTACAACGTTTTCTCAAATTTTATTTCCCCATGGCGCCGAAACGTTCGGTCCATCGTTCCCTTTGCGGTAGCGGCGGCCGTCAATCCGCGGAACGTTCGGGTGTTCTCTGATAACGGCTGCAAAAATATTCGTTCGGGCATATGATCGTAGTTGCTGCTTCGTACACAGTACACGGTGATAAGGTTGAGCGTATAAAACGATAAGCGCGGTACAGCTGACCCGTTGTTTTCCAACGCTTGCAATGTTTCAAACGGGTGATAACGAGGGGTTGCTGAAGTTTCTTTGCTTTTACTAAGCTGGTCAAAAAGTCTTGTTTTAGTTTTTGCCATATTTCAGTCTGTCGGGGAAATAATGAGCACTCTGCCGCGTCACATCACCGACGAGAAAATGCGGTGGCGCCAGAATCAAATTGCCTTTCATTTTAGTGACGCAGTTGGCACAGCGACATTGTGGTCATTGTTTTCTCGACGAAGTGAGACTAGTCCGTCCGTAAAGTCGCTGGAGTGACGACGCACGTCACACTGAGAAGTCCGGTGACCGGAATAGACTCTTCGCTATCGGTTTTTTACAATTCGTCTTATTTCGCAGAGAAGACAGAGAAAAGACGCGCAAAAACGTACTCTCTCGCCCCAAAAATTTCCCATTTCTTCCCCGACAAAACGTTTTTTCGCGTCTTTTTTGGCAAATTGCCAATCAATTCACCGGACTGTTTTAGCTTATCTCAGTTTGACGTGCGACATGCAATGTGCAGAAACAGCCATAGTGCAAACGGCAGCTCAAAAAAAAAGCCTATTGCACATTGCACAGTGAAACTTTGGGTCGCTATGCTGTTGACCGCTCTCTAAATTTTGTACGCTCATTCCAAAACATGTAATTTTTACTTTTAATTCCTTATGTTATTCATTGTTTACAATGTCATTTCAAGCATCAGAAGTTCATTTCACCCTTGTTATCGACTTTTTATCATCTCGTTACCGTACATAACCTTTTATCATCTCGACCCCGAAAGCCGCTGAAATGATCTCTTGTGTTCGCAAAGTGCATTTCGGTGAACAAGAACCAGGGTGCAAATAGATACGGCTCTAGGACCGGGTCTGCCCAGAAGTTGGCTGAAAATGCTAGGGCGCAGCTAGACATGGCTGCCGGCCCGGGCCGGTGTTCGGGCCGGGCCGGGCCGGGCCAAAGCAAAATTGAAACGGGCCGGGCCGGGCCGACCTGTTCCGGCCCGCGGGCCGGGCCGCAACTTTCGGCCCGGGCCGGCCCGGCAAAATTAAAATTCTGAATTTCAAAGCGAAAAGTTGGGTTGCCAATAAAATTAAAACGCAAAGCCAAGAAGGGGGTTTATATTTTTCTCACAGTAAGCGTAATTTTATAAAAATAAAGCACGGAAGTACTGAAAAATGGCTAATAATAAGTAATTTTACTAGGAAAATCTATTAAGTCCTAATGTATAATATTAGTGTTTGTAGTAATTTTTTGAACAAAAACTCAAAATAAACGTAACCGACATCCTTAAAAACACAATTAAGAAGTCGTGTGAAGCAACACTATCATCTTGAAGTTGAAAACCTTGTTAAACGTGGTTCCACCCTTGCTGAATCTGTAAAATTGGTCTTGGGGCAATTTTTAATAGTCTGAAAACGGATCTCGGGAATTTTTTGATTAATTTTAAAAAGGCAATGCGTTGGTAAGTAATTTGATTGATGCGGGGCGTAGGGCAGGTGGATACGCGGAACAGGTTGCAGGAAGTGCCTAGGAGACCTAGTAAAGTCGCTGGATGCTCGGCGAAGGCTTGGCCGAGACTTGGTGAAGACTCAGGCTCAACGGAGACTTGCGAAATGTGTAGGGCAGGTAGACACCCAGAAAAAGGTAGTAGGAAGTGCCCGCAAGGCCTAGTAAAGTCGCTGGATGCTCGGTGGACGGACAGCGAAGACTCGGGGAGGCTTGGAGAAGACTTTCTGTATGACTACTTTTTCAAATTTTAGCTATTACTAACGATATTTTTCTTTACCCTGAGTTATTGTAACATATAAAAGACCAAAATTTGGGGCCAGAAACAAAGATCCCTAACTTTTATCTAGATATTATTGATGTGAGTACATGTAAAATACCTCAAAAAAGGTGATGGCGTACCCGACCATTTTTTCCGAGCTGCGCCCAATTTTCTGAAAATCTTCGCAAATTCCATTTGCTTCCGTAAACAACCACATGTACGTTATCACCGAATGCACTTTAACAGACTACAGTTATCGGAAAGAATTTGTTTATTTGTCTGCCTCGCTAAAAGGGCAAGTTTTTTTTGAATTTTATTGTGTCCTTTTTTCTTTTTGATGTCATAATTGGTAAGTTTACGGCCAGGTCGGCCTTATAAAAGGCAATTTTTGGCGAAGAAGGCGATCAGTTTTGTGGTATGTGTGACGTGAGACATGGATAGGTTTCCTTATTTTCTGGGGACAAATTAGTTTGCAAAATTTAAATTTTTTTAAATGTCATACTTCTTAGTTTTTTTAAAGAAAAAGAAATTTGAGAACTTGCGACAAAAATTCTACGCACTTTTGAAACGGCGTAGTATAATAGTAGCTCTCCCCATTGTCGTGCCACCTACGACATTCAAAAAACGGACGACGCGGTCGACAAAATCTCATATAATATAAGGGATTTGCGATTCGCCGGAGATAAGCGGCATTGTTTCTGGTTGCGTTTCCAACCGGAATGCCGCGGGGAATGAGGTCGGGATCTCATCAAATCATCATTTTAATGAGGCTCGAGGTGGGCACTCCGTTGAGGCGGCTTCATTTGAGGATTGTCTACTAGTCCTTCCGGAAAGTAGCTGGACAGTTTTTGGCTTGCGCAACGTGCAAAAAAATGGTGCGGGCGATAGTCGAGAAAAGCCTATTGCACGGTGCAATGAGCAAAAAAGTGCAATGTGCCGTTTTCGCTCAATGCATGTCGCAAAAATCACTCCAGCGACTTTCCGGAAGGACTAGTATTCGGCGCACAAAAAATGATGTGTAAAGTCTTGAGGCACTCAGATTTTTTCTTCAATTTTGCTCATGGGACTTGTACTTACCACGGCTCAATCCTCGAAAGTTTTAGCGGGCTATATCTATATCTATATGTGCATTGATCGAGAGCGCTTTTGGTCTATAGATTCAACGGTATTGTTTTCGAGAGAGCTCACGAAATGCGAAGAGTTGGGCCTTTACCATTTGCCGGTATTCCTCATTGATCCCGAGGTTCAGGCCTTTCTTCGTAGTAGACTTCCGCATGACCCGATGGTATCAGATAAGACTCGCCACTGTCGAGTTTCATTCGAGAGTGCAAATTGGGCGATTATCTGATTGCCTGACCCTCCGCCGCCGTCGAAGCCATTTTTTCGCCCCATTCTCGAGTAGTTTCCAAAAGTTTCTGCGGGCTGGAAAAAGGGCATATTCGGGGTTTATGGTAGAATTAAAATAGACGCTAGAGTGTTTTGATTTTACTAGGGAAGAGTCCCAAGCAAGATGCTCAGATTTTCCTTTAGGTGTTGGGCAACGGAAACATATTAATTTCTGAAAATTTTAGCCTACATTTTGAAGGCGTAGCCGTGATATTGAACGACCTTTGTGGCCAAGAGAGTACGCGAACCGTGGAGAACGAATAGAGAAAAGCCAAATTTCGATTTCTTTTTTTTGCTGAGTTAGTGTTCTCACCGTGTTGTATGTATAAGGCGTCGCCGATCTGGCGGGCAGCTGACATTTTTCGATTAGAATCACGATTTTCTTACCGTAATCCATGTAGTATGATAGAAATTTTGCATTGACAACTCCTTGGTACAAATACGTTAATTTTTTTATTCAATTTGTCCACCGTTTCTCCCCGGGTTTCTATGCTATGTGTTTACTCCATTTAGCCCGTAAAACAAATTTCAAAAACTTCTGGAGACTTGCGAGTGTAAATTTGGCGATTTTTAATTAGATAACGCATATTTGCCGGTGCCGCCGCCGATTTCGGGATCCCCAAAACCGCTCTGATTTAAACGTGGCGCAAGTGGGGATTACTGTAGAAAAATTGAGTTGGATTACTATTGGGATATTTATTGTTGGGTTACTGCAAACATACTGCACCAAGAGCGACGCTGAGATTTTGATGAAATTTGGCACAAATTTAGAGTAATTCTTTCTAAAACATATCCAAGAATCCTAGCTCGCGCTTTGCAAAGACAACCGGGATTTTTAGATAGACGAAAATTTAAGATTTTTTGCCGAATTCGGGTACGAAAGTTACGACCGTAAAAGGTAATGTTTCCACAAAAAAATCATTTTTTTTTGGCACGAAGTTAATAAAGTTATGGCTGAAGGGTGTTTTTTTTTCTGACCACTCTTCGCGTTTAGCGTTCTCTTTCAGCTATAAAGACCATTCAATATCACTGAATTGAAGGTCAAATGACGGGTTGTTTTCTCTGATTTTTAAAGCCTCATTAAATGGAAAGTTAAGACCGAAAAACGGATTTTAAAAACAGACATGATGAATGGCGGCGAACATTGATTCACACGTGATGCAGCCTTGATCGTCAATTGATAATCGCAAAGGTCAAGAGGTTTGGAGAGTTCGGAGGCAAAGCGACAGTTCGAAAGTTTGTAGGCACACAAAATACGGGGGATACGGAGGAATACTGTGACTTTTGTTTGAAGTGTTTGTATGGGAAAGAAAGTATGATGAGAAAATGAAAACTTTGGGATGAAGTTTATAGCGGATATAACAGTCCGTTGGGGAAGCTAAAGACTTGTCTTTGAGAGAGCGGTGAGCGGGCCCAAACTTGTGGGCAACCACTTTGCGGGCAGCTAGAAAAACCACGGAGTTTCCGCGGGCATGTTTGGAAATCAACCAGCATTTGCGAACAACAGGAAATCCAAACGATGGATTTGGCTGTTAGATGCTGCGAGTTAAGTTTTCAGGCGTAAAAGTGGCTTGAATAGTTAGCACAAGGCTAACAGGAAAATCGTAATTCTAAATGGTAAATCTCGGCCGCAAAGTGGTCGTCTCGCAAGACGTCTAAAAAATGAGGAGATTCGGCGGAGGAAAAACGATGCATTTTTATACCCCGTATTTTGTGTGCCTGCAAGAAAACGATTGCATTTTTTTGACTTGAAAATCTCGCAGATTCATAGAAATAGCCAGTGAAAAACTTTACATTTCCCAAAAAATCTGGTTTAAACTTATTTGCGACTAGACCTTGCACGCTGCAATTTTTATTTTTTTTCAAAAAAAATTTTTTTATACAGAATTTTCTGCGACAATTTTGTCTGCTTCATTTTATTTTTTAGCTATTGTTTTACAAAATTTTTTAAAATTTTTTAATTTTTTGCGTAGAAGTTATCAACACCTTTCCATTTTTTCATATACAAAAAATTTTTTGGCAATGTTTTGATTGGTTTTAAATCGATTTCTCATTAATTACCCCCAACCGTTCCCAGAACTGAACCTCTACCCACCTCTCTGCCACGGTCTACCCATTCTTTGAGAGCCCCGTGTTTTGGGGGCTCCTTTTTTGAAGGCCGTTTCCCGATTTCGATCAGTTTTCCCTTTTCCGATTCCGACGTTAACACACACTTCACGGGTCGTGTTTCAGCGCGCAGAATGTCAATCGGGTCCTCCGCGTCCCCATCGCTGTCCAGCTGCTCGTCCAACGGCGACTTAATGTCACCGCACGGTAAGTGCGTTTGTGCAAATTCTGGGGGTGGTGAATTTGGCGGGAGAGCTGATTTTTGAGGGAAAAATTGAATATTTTTGAAAAGAAAATTTTATTTTGAAAGTTTACTGTAGTAAAAGGAGAGGAAATTATAAAAAAAAAATAAAAAATGTACTAAAACTTTAATTTAAAGGTGAATTAAAGGAGTGAAAAAACTCCTAAAGGACCTAATAAACCGAGTATTCAAAGTTCGGGCGCAGCTTGGAAAAAAAAATTTGGAGTGCGCCAGAAAACGGAGTCTTACCTGTTATTACGCTTCCGTTTTTCTATTTCCTCTTTCATGCAAACCGGATAATCCGATGATTTCATCTGGATTACTGGTTACAAAATTTTTCAATCAATTTTATTATATTATATTATATATTTTCATCTAAATTCTTTTTTGACTCGCCCTGGAAACAGTTGAAACCTCAACTTCAAACACACAGTTGATGAATGATTTTTTGCTCGCGGCGTTAGTTCGGAGCTAATTTCAAGTTTTTCAAGGATTTCCTGCAAGATCCCAAGTGCGACGCTCAGATTTCCGTTGATTTTGGCGCACACATCGGGATGGGCCACAAATAAATTCTTGAAAATTTTAGCTACCAGCTTTGCAGAGATATGTTTACATATAGCTAGTGTATCACTTTTTTAAGGTATATTACCAGTACTCACATCAAAAATATCTAGACAAAAGTTACGGATCTTTGTTTTTCGCCGCAAATTTTAATCTTTTACATTTTAGATAACTCAGGGTAAACAAAACTAATTTTAGTAATAGTTAAATAAAATTAGCAAAAGTGGGCATATTGCAAGCCTTCGCCAAGTCTCCGCCGAGCCTTAGCCGAGCGTCCGCCGAGAATCGAGCGACTTTAATAGGCCTCGTAGGCACTTCCTACAACCTTTTCTTTGGGTATCCAGCTTAAAAGCCGAACTTAATTTTATGCGATTTTGCATTCTACAGTAGAAATAAGTATCCACTTTTTTGCAAATATGATACCTTCCCTTAAAATTTTTGACCAAAATAATGTAAAATTACAATTTTCATGATTACTTTTTTGTCTCTTTACTTCGAAAATTTGTCCGATAAAAAGGGAGAGAAACAACAATGATTTTTGTAGTTTAGCGACAGAAATGCTGAAAAGGGAAGTTGTAATACCTCATGATTCATTGTTATATCCAGTAATTTTTCTACAACTTCGAAAAAAATTTTTTGGACAATTTTTAAAAAAATAAAAAATATTTTTTGCAGTCTAGCTGCTGCAAACTGCATTCTTTGGGCCGCTGAAAACGATTGCTTATTTTTTGGCGTTTTCTACTAACCATAATAATTCGAAGAAAGGTCGATTTTGTAACCAAAAAGATTGCAAAAATGACGCATAAAGTCATCCTCGACACAACCATACCTTTCCTTACAGTTCTCTCTCCGCAATCTGATCACTATTCTCCAAATCAGTGAGAAATATGATTTCAGACATTCCGGACAATGCCGAGGAAGCGATGGCGATACAACCGTTGGTGGATAAGGTGCCCTGTCAGATCTGCAAACTTCAAGCATCGGCTGTCACATACTTCGGGGTCTCGGTGTGCTCGGGATGCCGTGCCTTCTTCCGGCGGTCTGTGAAGAAGAGCAAGAAGTATCAGTGTCTGAATTCGAGGCTTTGCGGAAAGAATCAGTGTGAGTTTGCTTATTTTAAACGAAATGTCAAAAAAATTATTGGATTTTTTTGACATTGGACGAAATGTCACAATATTTGAAAGTCGATTTTCCGCTTGAAAAAGCGTTGAAATTTAAAATCAAATAATAGTTTGAAAACTAATTACTGATGTTTTCGTACATTAGACGGAATGGCAAAAAATATTGGATTTTTTGGGGATTGGACGAAATATCACGAGGTTAGAAAAAAACAAGAAATCATATTTTTCTGGTTTTAAAAAACTTCAAAATGAAGCTGAAAAAAATTAGCACCAAATTAATACCAAAAAAGGAAATGGTTTATAAAAAAATTATTTTTAGTGGTTCCGAACCGTCGAGTCTGCAAATATTGCCGCTTCCAGCGATGTATCGATGCGGGAATGTTGGATGCAAGTAAGTCAATACCCGTTTCTTTGCCAATAAAAAAGGTTAAGGTGAATTCTCATGCGCAACTTGGAAAGAAATGCTTTTAAAAAACCTCGGGCGCAGCTTGGAAAAAATGTTTTTTTTTGAAAAAGCTCTTTTCTAGAAAAATTAAGACCAAATTTTCTATTCAACAAATCAAAGATAAAGGAGGTTTTGCGAATTTTTCTCGGGCGCATTAATTCTCGGGCGCAGCCTGGAAAAACTTTTTTTTTAATGTTCTAAAAAGCAAAGTTTTCGGTTCTTTTTTTTAAATTTTTCTTATTGACATGTATAAAGATTTTCAAAATTTGCTTGCAGAAGTCCGAATGACCACCCGTCTCATGGAGTCGACCAAAAACTTCGATTTCCCATTGCCATTCCTCCTCACCAGCCCCACCTCCACCACGTATTTGGACGAGGACACGGACAATGTTCTCTCGCGTTTCACGACGCTGAAGAAGCAGATTATCCACGAACGGAACCGAATGTACAGTCATCGGTTTGAGTCGCAGCTGTCGGCCGGCGCCTCGCATGACATGAAGGTTGGACTGGATGAGTACTCCATTTTCAATCGAATCATCGCAAATACGGACAACTTGTTCAATGAGATTGACAGGGATGATTGGGTAGGCTATTTTGAAACGAATTTCGAAAAAGAAATTTTTCGGCGATATACAAAAAAATGACTTTTTTTCGAGCTGCGCCCGATCTGTGACTTCAAATTGCTTTTAGCTAAATTTGAGAAATTTTTCTGAAAAAATTTCGTTTTATAACCGATTTTTATCCCGAAATATTTATTTTTTTGTCCTGCTTTTGGAATTTTTTTCGAGCTGCGCCCTACCTTTGACTTGGAATTTTTGTTTAGCCTAATTTTTAATAAAAAAAAAGTATTTTTTTTGATCCAGTTGGACGTAAAATAGTCTTTTTTGCCCTAAAAAATTGAAAAAATATAATTTTTCCGACCTGCGCCCGGCCTTGAGATCTTTTTTTCCTTTTTGCATCCGGAATTCTTTCAATATCCCATATAACTTCCTTTCCTTCCAGAACACCCTCAAGATGACGGAATACTCAATGTGGTGGTCGCTGACCGAACAACTCTCCACGACCATTCGCTACTACGGCCACGAGCACAAGCGCCTCTACAACATTGACGGCTCGTACGCGCCCCTGACCATGGAGCACACCCGCCGCCACTTCGGCTACATTTATTCGCACATCATCGGCGACCAGGACAGCATCTTCGACATCACCATGGAATACGTCTATCGCGTGCAATTGGCCATGGCCGAGACGGTGGGCAAGGCCATGGCGAACGCGAACCTCGACGACACCGAGCTGTCGGCGCTCGTTTTGCTGCTGATGACGCGGCACGGATGCTTTGAGAGTGTGAAACAAAAGACGAGGGATTATCTGACCTACCTGCGGAACGGGACCTTGAAAAGTTTGGGGAAATACGTGCGAAGAAATGGACGCGATGAGGACGAGCGAATCGCACAGATCATATTTTTGATCGCGGATTTGCAGGTCAGATTTTTTGCAAGATTATTTTTTCGAAAAATAAGCTATTTTGGCTGATCAATTTTCTTCGGTTGCTTCCAACAAAACTTGAACTATTTTCTCTTTTCAGGACCTCGGCCGTCTCATCAAGCACGCCATGCGTTTAATGATGGCCGCCACGGACTACAGAGCCCTCCCAGAGCACTTCTTCCGCGTCCTCGATGATTGCCGCAACTCCCTCGTCATGAAACCTCGTCCAACTTTTATCACCACTAATTAATCCGCGTGTACAAACCCCAGTCGTCATTCAGCTAGCGTTTTATTCGGTGTAATATGGTCCCGTAATTTTTGATTCTTTTGATTTTTTGGAATAAAGGTTAACTAACAAAATCCCACAAGCGGCTGTATTTTTTATGAACAGTGAAGGACCCCATCCAGTGGCGAAAAACGTACCACTATGCATCCGGGCAGCTTCAAAAATGTGACAAAATGCATCCCTCTCCAAGCGTAAAAACTTCGTTTTGAGGGGCGCGCCCTTTCCTTCACAAAAAGAGCGGGAGCGCTTTTGAAATCGAAGTTTTTTCACTTGGAGAGGAAGCATTTTGCCACATTTTTGATACTTCCCGGATGCAAAATGGTACGCTTTTTGCCGCTAGATCAGGTCCCCCACTGTATTGCACACAGTCAACATGTCAATTCCAAAAAACCTTGGCTCGGGATTTTCACGCGCAGCCCGGAGGATACGCAAAACAAGGCCAAAAACCTGTATCGGCTAGTCCATGTGTCGGAATAGCCGTGCAAAAAGCTAGCCGAAAGGTTGGATCCAGGTTTTTACTAGCCAATTTAACACAGTGAAGGACCCCATCTAGTGGCGAAAAACATACCATTTTGCATCCGGGCAGCTTCAAAAATGTGACAAAATGCATCCCTCTCCAAGCGTAAAAACTTCGTTTTCAGGGGCGCGCCACGGCAACCCGAAGTGTTTCCTGGCTCCTTTCGACTCTTCGCCCATTTTGTATTGGTTGAAATCAAACGAAATGTCAGAAAAGAATTTTTCGTGGGATTTCCGGCCGAAAAATGCTTTTCTCTAAATTATTTTATTTTTTTTTGTCGATTTTGACACTTCGTTTGGACGAAACTCAAAAGTGGGCGGGAAACATTTTTCTTCTATTTCGGGTTGCCGCGCGCGCCCTTTCCTTCACAAAAAGAGCGGGAGCACTTTTGAAATCGAAGTTTTTTCACCTGGAGAGAGGAGCATTTTGCCATATTTTTGATACTTCCCGGATGCAAAATGAGACATTTTTTGCCACCGGATCAATCCCCCACGATAATTTAGCCGTCATTTGCAACTTTGTGACACCCATTCAAAATTTTCAGCTAGCTTTTTTGAGGCTTTAACGTCAATCTGACAGCTTGGCAACCCGATCAAGAGCTCTGGCTATCCTTTAAAAAATTTGACTGTGATTTTAACTCAATGGCTAACTGGTCAAAAAATCTTGAAAAATAAAGCATTCAGGACAAAAAAGGCCAGGGGACAGAACCATCATGGGGACAAGACCGGCCGAGGGACAAAAAATAAAAAAAGTGGGGAGAAAAACGGGTCCAATCAGCCACGGGGAAAATCACTTATTGACCATAGTTTTGCGCTAAAAATGGCCTCTTTTTTGACCCGTTTTTATGAGCGCAGTGCAACATTTCATTAACTCAAAAATACAGAGACAACGGTTTCCAAAATAGAAACTTGTTTACAAAACTTTGAGACTGCATGTTTTCCTCTCTTCATTTTACCTCTTTTTTCAGTTTACACGAAAATTAACGGCATGTGTCTTTTCTTTTTCCACTGTTTGAAAGTTTGCGCAATTTAATTAGAAGCGTCATCAAATTATCCCTCAAATTTAATGGCCTCCGGTCCATTAAGGTCTCGATATAAAAGCAAAATTTGTCGGTAAAAGTCATTTGTTTCTCTCTTTCTTCGTACTTCGAGATGGTGTTGAACAAGCCCGGAGGACCGTTGCATTTTCTGTATGGGAAGCTGAGCGCCGACGAGAAGACCAAGTTGGATGCGGCTCTTGCTGAAGCCAAGAAATTGAAGAGGCATGAGGCCAAGAGCAAGATCGCCGCGTTTGTCGCGACCTTGAGCGATCCATTGAAGGTAAACGAAATTTTTTGATTTGGAATTGTTCAAAGACTTGAATAAAGATCAGTTTGTTGGGAAAATAATGAGTAAAATGTTGCTGCGCTGTTCGCGTCGCGAAAGTTGAAAAAAATTTGATTTTCCCACGATACTGTTCATTTTCTCGGCGGCAATGCGACATTGTGCTCTTTATTTTCCCGACAGAATGATACTATTATAGTCCGTTCGAAAAATCGCTGGGATTTTGACGACGTGCGGTTTTGTGTGAGGTTTTGTTCTTGCACAGTGAATCTCGCCGAGCAATACAACAAACTGCTTTCTCACAGCGTTAGCGCCAAAAAAGTCACTTGACCAAACGAATAGGATAGCGTCATTTGCAAGAATGAACCTCACCGCAAAGTAACCATTTTTCAGGCCGAAGCCAAGACCCAACGCGAGAAGTACGAGAAGAACAAAACAGAGAGCGAATCGAAGATTAAGGGTTTGAGTGCTGGCGCTCAAAACGTCTACAATGAAATCAAAAAGGTGGCTGACGATGGTTCCCTGACGCTGGAGGACGAGTACAACAAAACGAAGCAGTTGATTACGCTGGCTCCGAACGCCGTCCGCGACGAACTCAAAGCCAACAACATCACCTTGCCCGGAATCCCAGTGTTTTATTAGAGTGAAAATTTTACGGTAGACCTCTGTGAAATTACTGTGAAGGTTTACAGTAGACTTTTGTCTCCTACAGTAATCAAGTTTACAGCGATTTTGAATAGGTTAAAGCTACAATCAACCACTAATAAATGAGTAGTTCTCGGAATTTGTTTTGCATGCAGACCAAAAACGCTTTTCGATGTAAGGTGTTCCAGGTGCACACTCATCGAATTAACACTCGAATATATGAGATGTTGAAATTGCAGACAATTTTGGTATGGAAATTTTCTCTGTCTACAAAGCCAACTCCAAATACATACTAGTCCGTTCGTAAAGTCGCTGGAATGTTTTCGGCGACATGCACTCCGCGAAACCGAAAGTTCACTTTGCACTGTGCAATTTTTGGCTTTTCGCACAGTGCAATAGGCTTTTTTGGACTGTCGCTCGCACCCTGAGTTTTCGTGCACAGTGCGCGTCGCCGAAATCATTCCAGCGACTTTACGAACGGACTAGTACTATTTCAGGTTTCTGTAGGAACATGCTTGCAAGACAATATTGCACATTCATAACAGGCGAGCCAAAAAGTCTTGACACGTCTGTACGGAGCGCAAAAAAATCTTATACGGTGACGGGGATGCTAAAATTCGATGTTCACAACGACAGAGCAAAGTGAATCCAAGAGCAATAAATTTCAACTGCACACTGAACCTCCCGTTCCATTATATCAGTTTATGGAGAAAATAATGAGCACAGTATCGCTGCGCTGTTTGCGTCGCTGAAGTCAAGAGCAATTTGATTTTGTCGCGGCACAACTCATGTTCTCGTCGGAGATGCCATTTTCAATGAACATGAATTGTGTTGCGACAAAATCAACTTGCTTTTCGATTCAGTGACACCATTTATGCAGCGACATTGGGCACACCATTTTCCCGACAGACTGATACCTCGCTCTTTTTAAAGTGCGCTGAGATTTTGACGCAAAACATAATCGCAATTTTCAACTCGACATTGTGCTCAGATTACTTTGACCATCATTTGGTTAATTTATGTGCAAAAAACTACCTTCATTTTTGATGGCAAAGGAGCCATGTATAACATAATTATAATAAAAACTTATGGCCATTAGCCCATTACGCACAATTTTTCTATGGCTTTCACTTATTCTCCACGGTTTGCTGACTTTGCAAAGGCTCGGCGAATTTTTGTCCGTCTAAAAAAAGCGGCACAAAAGTGTACGCTTCCTTTGCCCTTTGGCGAATAATTATGTGGGAGAAAGCACCTGGAATTTAAATTTGTTTTTGGAATTGCCTTGTTCGATCTGCCGTATCGTTGTGCAATATAAGAGCGAAGGAATAAGAATTTTTTCTCGAGCTCGATAATGTTTGCTGGATCCGCTACCAATTTCAAAAAGTAGCGGAAACCTCAATTTGCAACCTCCAAAAAAGACGTCGGAAGCAAATCGGCCATTTTGCGACGGCGCAAAATTGGGAGGTAGCAAATCGGCCCTTTTGCGACGGCGCAAAATTGGCAGGTAGCAAATCCATAGATTTGCGGCGTCCCAAAACAAGCCCCGCCCCCTCAATTTTTCAGCCATCACGTTTTGGCTTTTTTGACGGAAAAACACCGTTTAGGGTGAAAAACTTAGCTGATAAATCATACATTTCGAAATTATGAATAATAAAAACGTCCCTCTTCATCGCTATATTATTTATTAATAAAAGACGTACGTTTTCATGTAAAATATGCGGGTTTTCCACAATATTGTCTAAATACGGCCGGATAGTCGATGGATGGGGTTGAAGAACATGGCCGCTTACAGATCTTTCTGGAAATCGAAATCAATATAAATTTCCTTCTGATTAGAAAAAAAGCCTTCTGTTACCTCATAGTTCATGTGTCTAATCCAAGCATCGAAACAGACATAATGTTGAGCAAAAATACGGCCGACTGGAGTGAAACCGAGTTCCAGGCAACAATTTATTACCTAAAAACAGAATAATAATACTTAAATCAAATCTTACCTCCTTTAACAACTACCACACGGCTTTTCCCTTGTCCGATTTCGTTGTTTCTGCCTCCTGAAAACGGTTTGTAAGACTCTTGCCATGAATAATATTAAAAAAAAATTGGAAATCTCGTCTAAAGTCAAAAAATAATAACAAAACAGCTTACCATGGCTAAAAAACGGTTGATTTGATTGATAACGCCGAGGACATCCTTGTTATTGGACCTAAAATCCGTTCTCGGACTGCGTGGCATTTCGTTTTCACGGGCCGCGAAAACATTCGCAACTTCATAAATTCTTTTTTTCCTGTTTTCTTATGTTTCCTTTTGTTGAAATTGGCCAAATAGATGCAGAGAAGCTGAATTAGAAGACAAACCGGCTCAAGGTGATCTCCATAAACATCGGGGACGAAATTGGCGGGCAAAAAAGGCTTTTTGACTCCATGGTAAGTTGTTTTTTTATTATTTTTTGATTTTAGACGAGATTTCCAATTTTTTTCTAGGCAAGAGCCTTATAAATCGTACACAGGCGGCAGAAATAATGAAATCGAACAAGGGAATGGCCAAGTGATAGTTGCTAAAGGAGGTAAGATTGGATTTAAGTATTCTTATTCTGTTTTTAGGTAACAAATTATTACCTGGAATTCCGATTTCACTCCCGTCGGCCATATTTTTGCTCAAAGCTATGCCCATTTCGATGCTCGGATTAGACACATGCAATATGAGGTAAATGAAGGTGTTTTTTTCTGAAAATGATAAGGAAATTTTACATTGCTTTTGATTTCCAGGAAGGTAATTTGGCGGCCATGATCCATCCCTCGACTTCGGCCATATCTGGCAAAACATGTTCTTCAGTTCCATCCATCGACTCTCCGGTAATGCTTGGACAATGTTGTAAAAAACGCATATTTTATACGAAAATGTACGTCTTTTATTAATAAATATTTTAACGAAGAAGACTTTTTCTTTCATAATTTCGTAAATGTACGATTTACAAGCAAAATTTTTCACCATAAATGGTATTTTTTTGTCAAAAAAGGCCAAAACGCGGTGGTTGGCTGCAAAACTCAGGGGGCGGAGTTTATATGTATTTGGGACGTCGCAAATCCGCGGATTTGCTACCTCCCAATTCCGCGCCGTCGCAAAAACGCCGTTTTGCTACCTCCTCTCTCGCGGAGGTAGCGAAAACGCCGATTCGCGACCGACTTTTTTCGGAGGTCGCGAAAAGAAGGATTCGCTACCGAGACCACGTCGCAAATCGATCATTTCGCTACTTTTTGAAATTGGTAGCGAATCGAGCAACCATTCTCGAGCTCGAGAAAAAATTCTTATTCCTTCGCTCTTATATCAGGCAATTAGTATAAAAAAGGTCTGGAAATTATAACATTTAGCATTACTTTGTTTGCTCTAATAGTTGATGTTGCGTCGCGCTTTTTTTATGTGCCAATTGCGTCGCTGAACTGAAAAGCTTATAATTTGCTTTTGCCGCGACACTATTCATTTCCTCGGCGGAGATGCGATTTTCAATACGACAGAGCTTTGATTATTTTTCCGTCAGCCTGATACTATAACATCCTCTTCCACTTGCTCCTAAATCCCATTTCCAAAGTGCATAATTTACATTTTTCGTAGCGTTATCGAAAAAAGAGGAGACAATTTTTCGTTCCGGAAATCTCCCGTTCCCCGGCCCATTCTCACGTAATCCTACACGCCCTCTTACGCAACGTTAGCTTTCCGAAGGCCAATTTGCGATGAGAGGAATCCTGTGAGGCTTTAGATAATGGTCCTGAAAATGTTTCGGGATTTTTCTCTCCGAACTTTGTTTTATTCTCCGGATAATGGAAGGAGTAATTTCGAATACAAAGTTATGTTCATTGTAACCGTAGTTGTACTAGGATACGAGGGCAGGATTAAAAGTGCTATAAATTTTGAGGCGTCGCGGGTCTTGCGAACAACGAATTTACGGGCAGCCAAGATTTACCGATTACAATTACAATTTTTTACCGTAATCTAGGCAGTATGATAGAATTTTTGCATTTACAATTTCCTGGTACTGATAAGTACACGAACCTATTGAATTCATCCGCCGGGTTTAAAGTTGTGGGAGTTTGTTTTGAAAAAAAATAAAAAAAATGCCTGGCTACCCTTATGATAAATAGTCAAGCCACTTTTACGCCTGGAAACTTAATTCGCAGCACCAAACTGCCAAATCCATAGATTTTCCTGTTGTAAGCAAAGGTTGACTGACTTCGATGCCCGCACAATCTCCGCGGTTCTTCTAGCTGCCCGCAAGTTTAGGCCCGCCAAATCCGAATCTGTACAGTTACATATGTATAACATATTTCGTATCAAACAAAATGGGGTTGAACGTGGATTCAGGGAAACAAGAATTTTAAGATTTGGCCAAAAACTAAAGAAGTTATGGCCAATTCAAATCGGGCTACAAAGATGCCCCGCCCTGTATTCTGTGATCATAATTTTAGTGGAGAAAATTGGAAATGTTCAGTCTGAATGATGAGGTTTCAAAAAATAGAACTGTATTTTACAGGAAAAGGGTGTCGAGTGCTTCTGTAAATTTCCCACTCAAGTAGATCATAGGTTGCATGTCAGTTTTGGAAAATTTAGCTCCCTCTTTGCAGGCAGAAGATATTCAACAATCTTCGCGACGCCGACTGCGGATGATACGGGCAAAACATCTTTTGTCCGTATCAGGGAAATAATGAACACATTGTCGCTGAGCCAATCACGTCACTGAAGTGACACGCAATTTGATTTTATCGCGATACAATTCATATTCTCGGCGGCCATGCGACATAAAGCCTATTGTGCATAAAGCAAGAAGTTGCAAAGTGCAAAGTGAAATTTCGTTTGTGCATGTCGCTAAAATCACTCCAGCGACTTTGCGAACGGACTAGTTGAAACCCGAGGTTGCCACGGCTCTGGAGCCGACTCTTGGCTCCGGCTCGGAGAGGCTCCGGCTCCGAGCCGGGAGCCAGAGCCGGAGCCGGAGCCAGTAATTTTGGGTACGGCTCCGGCTCCCGGGCCCAAAGTCGGAGCCAGGCTTCTCAACGTTCAAAAAAGTAAAGATTCCATGATTTTGTTAAACCAAATTGCTTGAAAAATACTGGTAAAGATGTGATGCATACTGCAAAAACGTTAGGTGAATGATCTCTGGCACTAATAACTTTTTATTTGGAAAAATATTTTTAGAATTTTTTTTGAACGGGAGCCGGGATTCGGAGCCAAGGACCTTTTTAAATTTTTCATGGGAACCGGGAGCCGGAGCTGCGAATTTGGCCTCGGCTCCGGCTCTGGGAGCTAAGAGCCGGTGTCGGAGCCGAAATTTTGACCGTGGTAATCTCTGGTCGTAACCTCACTTTATGGACTTTTCTGTAAACGCTGCAACGTCGGTCCGGACGTCCCAATCTTCGCGTATTATTCAATCCCGTTTTTTCGAGTCGACCCGAAACCCGTGGCTTAATTAAAAACGATTCAGCCCTGTTTCCGGCTTTTCAGAGGGAGATAAACTTCGGAGCCGTTCGACCCTGAAAGTCCCATTTTCTTTTTATTCCTTGCTGCATAACAAACCCGATTACTCCAAATTACGGTCATCTGTTTGACCCGGCTCGCTGCACTAATGTCATGTTGTGACAAGCCGATTGATGGGTAAGATGTGATTAAAGGTGATTGAATTAGACGGAGAAACTGTGGATTATTCCCGGGGTTTTCTTAACGAACGAAAGAGCGGGTGCACTTTTACTTTCAAGGAAGATTTCGGATGTGGTCAAAGTTCGAATTTTAATGAAGCGTTCATAAACTAATTGTAAATATTATATGAATATAATAATGAGCTTTCAAAATCACATCGTCGCGACGAATATGAATTGTGTCGCGGTAAAATCAAATTGCTTTTCTTCAGCGACACGGTTGCCGACATTACGGTCATTATCGTCCCGACAGACTGCTATTTTTTCTGCTGTATTATAAGCTACCCTTCAAACTTGTCCGCCACACCGTTAATCCGCCCTTCCCTCCCTTGTTTTATGTAATGCCACGTGATGCGGTTCATTACGTTGGGCCTCGCTGAACTTCCGTAATCGAAAATTCGGGCCTCCAAAATTGCCTTACTTATAAGAGCGCGCATTTTTTTAATTCCCTCTTCCCTTCTACACCCCCTACCACATTATGACATCCATTTTCGTGCCCCAAATTCGATATGTGCACCGGCCGCGCGTCCTAACGAGATCGTCGGCCGGCTCTCGAATTATGATGCCCGCCAATCGGAGCGCCGCCTCGCTGACTCTGCACTTTTCCAGCATGAGCCTGCTGCAGGAGCTGGTCCTCATCTTTGTGGTCCCGCTCTCGATCTGCATGGCCATTTGTCTGCTGAGATTGTGGCTGTTCTCATGTTCGAAACGGCCGTTGAAAGGTGAGTGGTAGGGTTTTGAGGGTTTTGAAAAATTTTTGAACGTCTTGCCTTGGTGGGATCAGAATAATTTGTGCTGCGACTTAACGATGAGACCGATCAACTGTTCGTCCAAGAACGGATGTATGTCCTACGTGTGTACAGTTTAAAGAAAATTTTAGCGTGGTCCTCGGAAGCGGTAAAAAGTCCTTAAAACGGTAGAAAGAGAGAGCCGTTGATCAATATGTAGTTTTTCTCCATTTATGCAACTTTGGCGCTACGACTTTTCGGGTCAACGACAGTCCGGGTCAACGATACTATGGATCGTGTCGGCTCATCGTTGTATGCATAGGGAGGCTAGGAGAACGCTTCTTTAGTAAGAATAATAAATCGGGTCCTAGGATTGCTTATCACCTATTTTGAGGTATTTTACATGTACTCACATCAATAATATTTGGATAAAAGTTCCGGGTATTCGTTTTTTGCCCAAATTTTGGACTTTTACATTGTTAAGGCTGCCAAAAATCAAAGCGATCATTTTGTTTTAAACTTTTCATTTTTTATCATCCCCAATTTTTTCTTAACCCCGATCGTTCCAGATCGCAAGAAATGAGGAGAAATGTAAGAGAAAAGGGGTTTTTTGTCCACGTTTTGCCCATTCCTCGCGGAAACAAGAGAGCAGGTTTATTTGAATTTTTTTTGTAAAATAAAAAAAAAATTAAAAAATATTTTTAAGATGAGGAAATTCTTTTTTTTAACACAAACGTTATTTTATGCCTGACATTTTTGCCCATTTCCACTTCTCTAATTACATTTGCAGATATGAGTACGTGGCGAGATGACACCTCCGTTGTAATGAGCCGAAAAAACACGCGAAGAGAAAAAATGGTGGAGATTGCGGAAGAAGTTTGAGAACCACATCACGGAGACTTTGACGGGTAAAACATGTATTCCCAAACAGCTATACGGATCACTGCTTCTTGATTACTTTTACAATAACTTTTGCAGATATATTTGACAATGATTTTTGGTGGTTTTATAAACTTACTAAAATTATGTTTTTGGAGTTTTTTTTTATTTTTTATATTGGATATCAAGAATAGAACGGGCATGTTGTTTTCTGGACAAAACTACTCGCAAAGTGATGGTATTTGTCAAATTGTATAAGAAAAGAAAAAAGATTGAAAATTATACGTTGTTTTGCAAACAATTTTTCGTGTTCAAATCGTTCAAAAATCCTCATTTTATTATGTATTACGAAAAAGATTGAGCGATTGAAGAGTCATCAATTTTCGATAAGATTACGACGTGTGGCTGAGTGGTCTAGTGGTATGATTCTCGCTTAGGGTGCGAGAGGTCCCGGGATCGATCCCCGGCTCAGCCCAAGTTTTTCCTTTTGTGCAAGCAGAATATCTTTTTTCTGTTTTTGGGATTTATTTTTTATTAGTGTTTTACACACAATGCACGTGAAAAGTCATCGATTTCCAAGATAATTTCGTCGCGTGGCTGAGTGGTCTAGTGGTATGATTCTCGCTTAGGGTGCGAGAGGTCCCGGGATCGATCCCCGGCTCAGCCCAAATTTTTCCTTTTGTACATTCGAAAAAATGAAAAATTTTATCGAAAAAGCTTATTTTTTCCTTTTTTTTCCGGGCAAAACCCAGATTTCATAAAAAACCGCCAAAGCAAAATTGAAACGGGCCGGGCCGGGCCGACCTGTTCCGGCCCGCGGGCCGGGCCGCAACTTTCGGCCCGGGCCGGCCCGGCAAAATTAAAATTCTGAATTTCAAAGCGAAAAGTTGGGTTGCCAATAAAATTAAAACGCAAAGCCAAGAATGGGGTTTATATTTTTCTCACAGTAAGCGTAATTTTATAAAAATAAAGCACGGAAGTACTGAAAAATTGCTAATAATAAGTAATTTTACTAGTAAAATCTATTAAGTACTAATGTATACTAGTGTTTGTAGTAATTTTTTGAACAAAAACTCAAAATAAACGTAACCGACATCCTTAAAAACACAATTAAGAAGTCGTGTGAAGCAACACTATCATCTTGAAGTTGAAAACCTTGTTAAACGTGGTTCCACCCTTGCTGAATCTGTAAAATTGGTCTTGGGGCAATTTTTAATAGTCTGAAAACGGATCTCGGGAATTTTTTGATTAATTTTAAAAAGGCAATGCGTTGGTAAGTAATTTTTTGCTTTAAAAATGTACTGTGAGTTGTTATAGTAAAGAAAAATATGTCATATCTAATAGCGAATTAAGGTTTTTTACTTCTTCTCAATTTTCGGGCCGGCCCGGGCCGGGCTGCGGGCTGGGCCGGGCCGGGCCGAAGAAAAATTGAAACGGGCCGGGCCGGGCCGACCTCTTCCGGCCCGCGGGCCGGCCCGAGAGCCAAGTCTAGGCTCAGCCCAAGTTTTATCTTTTGTACATGCAGAATGTTTCTTCGTTTTCGGAGTTTCATTTTTTTTTCATTTTCTATAATGGCTATGAAGAATCAACAATTTTCGAGAGGATTTTATCGCGTGGCTGAGTGGTCTAGTGGTATGATTCTCGCTTAGGGTGCGAGAGGTCCCGGGATCGATCCCCGGCTCAGCCCAAGTTTTTCCTTTTGTACAAGCAGAATATTTTTTTCTGTTTTTTGATTTTTTTTTTGTATTGTGCGTATAACGGATGTGAAAATCATCAATTTTTGAGAGAATTTCGTCGCGTGGCTGAGTGGTCTAGTGGTATGATTCTCGCTTAGGGTGCGAGAGGTCCCGGGATCGATCCCCGGCTCAGCCCAAGTTTTTCCTTTTGTACATACAGAATCCCTTTTTCTGTTTTGGATTTTTTTTAGTTTTTTACATATATATAATGGACGTAAATAATTGTAAATTTTCGGGAGGTTTTTGTCGCGTGGCTGAGTGGTCTAGTGGTATGATTCTCGCTTAGGGTGCGAGAGGTCCCGGGATCGATCCCCGGCTCAGCCCAAGTTTTATCTTTTGTACATGCAGAATGTTTCTTCGTTTTCGGAGTTTCATTTTTTTCATTTTCTATAATGGCTATGAAGAATCAAGAATTTTCGAGAGGATTTTATCGCGTGGCTGAGTGGTCTAGTGGTATGATTCTCGCTTAGGGTGCGAGAGGTCCCGGGATCGATCCCCGGCTCAGCCCAAGTTTTTCCTTTTGTATAAACTTTTGTATAAATGAATCCCTTTTCTGTTTTTTGCTTTTTTTATTTCATATAATGGATGTGAATAGTCATCAATTTTCGGGAGAATTCCGTCGCGTGGCTGAGTGGTCTAGTGGTATGATTCTCGCTTAGGGTGCGAGAGGTCCCGGGATCGATCCCCGGCTCAGCCCAAATCTTTTTCCATCTTATATCCTACCCTAGACAAAAAGTCGCGATAATATTTCACAATGCAGATAGGGGCGTCACTGCAAAAAAAATGCCTTGCATTGCGCATTCAACCCAGAGACACATTTTGCACGGCGTATTTTCGTTTCTTTTTTGCCTTATGTCGCGCGCGATTCCCATTTTTCGCAGCGACAAATTATTTTTTTCAGGGTGCGACAGAAAGTACGCAAAAACCTCGGACTTTTTTTTGATGAAAAAAAATTGAAACCAAAACCCAAAAAAATCGTAGAGGAAATTTGCTGAGGGCGATTTGGAATTTTAAAGAAAATTTTTTGTAAAAGTAATCGTTAGAAAGGTTTGGCCAACTTTTTTTTTCAAAAATCACACATCAAATACGATAAAATATTTATCTTTCATGACAAAATTTTCAAAGAAAACCCAAAACCAATCCCACAGCAACCACAAAATTCCACGCGTTTCCCGGATTTGGCGACGAACTTCCTTGTAAATTCAACTGGTCGATAACAAGTGGGGACTCGATTGTCAACAAGGGTACCAAAGCCAGTCTTCGGCCTTTATGCTCGCCGGAAAAGGTCCGCAAATCGGAGGGAATTTCGTAGTGTTCACCCCTGAAAAAAAATAAAATAAAGAAAGAAAACTGACGTCATCAAATTGGTAAAAATGCAGAAACGTTCGCCGCATTCCCATGGAACCGAGAAGTTGAAGGCTCGATACATGTAGGAGGTCTGATTTAGCCCGGATTGGTTGAACATTTCGAGAATTCCAGTGTCTCGGTCGATTCCACAGGTCTGAAAAAATGAGAATAAATCAAAAGCGCGCCTGCTCTTTTTGTGAGGGAAAGCGCGCGCCCTTCACAACTGACAGGGCAAGTACTCCAAGTGCGACGCTCAGATTTTCTTTAAATTTTGCGCACACGTCGGGCATGGACGAAATATCAATTCCTGAAAGTTTTAGCTCGCGCTTTGAGGGTGCCGCCGAGATATCGTATGATTTTTGCCGCCGAGAAAGCACGCTAAACGTGGAGAGCGGTCAGAGAGAAAAGCGCTTTTTAGCCATAACTTTGGCAGCTTTGTGCGGAAAATTTAGATTTTTTGTAGAAACATTATCTTTTACGGTAGAAATAGGCATGAAACTTTTCGTGACGAAATTCGGCAAAAAGTCCTAAATTTTGGCCGCCTTTCGATCTAAAAATCTCGGTTGTTTCTGCAAAGCGCGAGATAGGATTCTCGCATATATCTTAGAAAAAATTGTTTTAAATTTGTGCCAAGTTTCATCAAAATCTGAGCGTCGCACTTGCAGTACTTCCCCTGTGAGTTTATTAGTTGGAGATGGAGGTATTTTGCTACATTTTGTGATACTTCCTGGATGCAAAATGGTACGTGTTTTGCCATTGGCTCATGTCCCTCACTGTAATACTGTTCAAACACTTTTCATTTTCCCATTCCAGTTCAAAATATTATGCAAAACTCACCACATTGCTTTCAAAACAATGCCCGAAAATCGTGAGCAGGGTGTTGTTTTCGGGGAAATAGCCAGGGAACGCTTCATTCTCGTCAATTGAGAAGACGAAAGGCTTGGGGTTGGAGCTGCTTTGCATTTGTTGCGACGTGAACAACCGGCCGCGTTTGAAGACCAGATTCCGGTAGGTGAAGGATTGTTGGAAATCGGGGGTGTTTTCAAGGTTTGTCGCAATTGAGGGCTCGCTGAAATAAACCAGAAATTTTTTTTCGAGAATTGAAAAAATATTACGGTAAAATTAAATTTTTTTGCACAGTGCGAAAATTGAAATATATTTTTTGGGGCTAAGGTAGTACAACCCCCAGTTCAGTTCAGCCCCCCTTGACCCAGTATAAACCCCCTCTAATCTGAAGCGCCTACTCGGGATTGGGTTCTCTCGGCTACGATCATCGTTGCCTGAACCACAAGAACGAATTTGGACGGTAACTGGGGGTTTGAGCTAAAACGCCGTGGGTCATTTTACTCTAATTTGCATTTTTTGTATTATTATAATTTTTTAATTATGGGGGTGTGAAATGGACAAAACAGTGGGGGTTTGAACTACCTTTCGTGGGGGGCTGAACTACCAAAGCCCCTATTTTTTTGCACGGTGCAAAAATTAAAATATTTTTTTTGCACAGTGCAAAGATTAAAATAAATTTTTTTGCACAGTGCGAAAATTAAAATATTTTTTTTTTGCACAGTGCAAAAATTTAAATATATTTTTTTGCACAGTGCGAAAATTAAAACATTTTTTTTTTGCCCAGTGCAAAAATTTAAATATATTTTTTTGCACAGTGCGAAAATTAAAATATTTTTTTGCACGGTGCGAAAATTAATATTTTTTGCACAGTGCGAAAAACATATTTAAATTTTTGCACCGTACAAATTTTGAAGCTGATATAACTTCTACACTGTGCGAAATTCCCAATAATTTCCGCACAGGACAATGTTTCCCCCAAATTTTTTGTACCCCCCAAACCTACTATTTATTTTCCGATATGATTTGGGTCGCTTTTGCTGCGAATCTGACAAAGGAATGGATTTGAAAGGCATCTCCGAGTGGCGACAATCTAAATTCCGGAATAATTGTCATGTTTTCATCGACGCGACCCTTCACATGGGCAATGATTTCAAGGGGCTCGTTGAAAGCTGCAAATAAATTCGATGACATCAAAACGAAAAAGTTGCAACTTTTTTCGGTCCTTGAACTTTATTCACAAGGAAAGTTTTCTATGGGGTATGGAGTTACAGGTCGAGACATAAAGTATTTGCGTGGTATTGCGAGAAAAGTTCTGAGGACTTTTTCACCCTTACAAACCAAAATTCCACAGTTAATTTCTAGATATTCTGAATCAGAAAAAAATTGCAAAGTCTTCAATGTATGTCTCTAATTCGATAACACAGAAGTACTTTCCTTGTCACAAAAACCGGGTTTTTACCAAAAACTGCCCGCAAGGCCACCAAAAAAGCATCAACAAACTTACTGGTTATTGCAAACTGTATTCTGTCATCTTGCCTGAAACTGTGTCGATTTAAAAGTTTCAAAGTCACAAGAGTGGGACGCTCAAAAAAGACAAATTTTTGGCCATAACTTTGCTAGTACTACAAAATAGCACCTAATAATAGCAGTTTATGGGGAAAATAATGAGCACTGGACGAATCGCGTCGCTGAAGTGAAAAGTGTAAAACTTCCTTTTTCTGGCCCCGGCGAAGGTTTTGCAGTTTGCGCCCGAACAATTCCGGTTGCAAGGAATATCAGGTTAGGCGTAGCCTTAGGCTTAGTTTAGCGATTAGGCTGTTTCCTATTTTTATTCGCAGTCTGCAGGGAAACCAGGGCGCAAGCTGCAAAGCGCGGGGCCAGAAAAAGGATTTTTTCCGTGAAAAGCAGTTTGTTTTTGTCATTCACTTTCTCCGCGGCGATGCGACTTTGGATGCGACAGAGTGCCTATTATTTTCCCGACAGACTGACAGTTCGTCCATGAAGTCGCCGGAGTGATTTTTGGCGTTTTTACTGTGCAAAGCAAACTTCACTTTCTCACAGTGCCCGTCGCCTGTTTCAGTCAGACGACTCGCGGAAGGACCGACATTCCTGCAAAAACCTACTCGGCACGGTGGTATGCAAATACCTCAATGTAATGCGCGACTTCTCCTTCTTTGATTACTCTTCCATCGGACATCGTAGGCACAAGGAGGAGGCCTAATAGCGCGTGAAACCACCGCATTCGTTCGGAAGTTTGGTAGAAATAAACGTTTTGGTAAAGGCTCTCCGGATTGGCCACAACATCAAAAACCATGGGAAAATGAGCTGCGGAGGAGACTTTAGCGAATGAAAAGATGGCTAGGTTCAGCTTAGTTTGACTTAGCCCATGCCTGGACTAGCGCTTAGGCTTGAGCTGCTTTTTACGCGCGTACCTAATTTCTTGGGCGCAGTTTGCATTGACTTTTCATTTTTTGGGTCAGACATGGCAACCAGGGCCAACTTTTATGTTCTATTTCACAGACAGAAGCAAAAAATATTATATTTTGTTTTAGGCTGAACCCAAAATCAGCCGTTTTTCCTAGGATTTCAAAAAAAGCGACATTTTGTACGATAAAAAGTAAATGTGTACTTACAAGGATGCACTTTATGTGAAGATCGACTTTGGCTAGTTAGATGCGCGCAAAAAGCGAGGCACTATCTGCTACTTCACAAATTTTATGGCTGCTTTTCCGGGATCCCTATACGTTGACTTTCGTCCAAACTTTGAAGCCGATTTTCGCGGCTATAGTCCCGGTCCTTGATTATGATAGCCAAGACACTTTTTTATGCTCGGTTGCCACCGAACTCACAACCTAGGGCGTGACCTGGGTCACAATTAATGTCAAAAATCGTCTGAATAATGCTACTAGTTAGGTGTCGCAGACAGCATTGGCATATCAGTTAGGTTAGGTCACAACCACATTGATTATAGCCACGGCCTTGGTCGTGGGCTTGGTGATGAGCTGACCTAAAAAAAGGGCCTTGAATGCCATAGTCAAGCATTTTTCGGGTAATTTTAGGCAACCTTCTTGACCTTTGACATGACTTAGGTCGTGAGCTCGGTTATGAGCGACCTATTCTCCGGTGTGAACACGGAGTAAGCTCCTTTGTTTAGATAATCAAACGCCAAATGAAAGGTTGCGCTTTCAATCTAATAATGTCCCAAACAAAGTCGGTTTACACATAAAGTGCTCTCCGTTGTAAGCAAAAATAAAGTTTTTTCTTTTTAATTTTTATGCCATCTACTCAAACATATATTTCAAAAAATAAACCAAGACGAGTGTAAACCAGAATCCTTCAATTCCAGCGGCCGAGTTCCCATAGCGTTTTAATTGTTCAACCACCAGAGGGGACTGGATGGTCAGCAATGGGACCATGGCGATTCTTTCTCCTGGTGCGCCGCCGACAAACGTCTTCAAGTCGGAGGGAATCTCGTATTCTTCGCCACTGAAAAAAAATAAAAATTAGAAAAAAATAAAAAAAAGGAACTGACGTTAGCAAATTTGTAAAATTGCAAAAGCGTTTGCTGCATTCCCATGGAACCGAGAAATTGAAGGCTCGGTACATGTAGGAAGTCTTTCCCTCGGATTCATCGAATATTTCGAGCTCTCCAGTGTCTCTGTCGATTCCACAGGTCTAAAAAATAAACTTATATACATATGTTATTGTTATGCGTATATATGTATACTATATATAAGATGGATCAGTTTCTAGGACAGATTACCGCCTATTTTGAGGTATTTTACATGTACTCAATAATGTCTAGATAAAAGTTACGGATCTTCGTTTTTCGCCTCAAATTTTGGTCTTTTATAATAGTAACTTGAGGTACAGAAAACTAAGGTTAGTAACAGCTTAAACTAGCAAAATTGGAGATATTGCATGTCTTCGCCAAGTCTCCGCCGAACCTTCGCCTAGCGCCTGCCAACCATCCAACACCTTTTCCAGGCCTCGTAGGTACTTCCTACAACCTTTTTTGGGCATCCGCCTGCCCTACGCCCCCTACCATCGATTTTGTGTTGACCCTAACTGCCGCGCGTAATTTCTACACTTACGATTTTTTCCCGATCGAAGCATTCGGTTGGAATTCTTCCCAACGTTTTATTATCCGGAAAATACCCCGGCAATTCCACGTTGGAGTCAATGTCATATAAATAGTAATTGAAGTTTTCCAACTGAATATCCTGCGATTTGTAAAATTTCAGGTTGTCCACGAAGATCAAATTCCGGTAGGTGAATGACTGGGGGGACGGTTGATCAAAGCGTCGAGAGATATTCTTCTCGCTGAAAATTTAAAAAATCGGTGGGTTTAACGTCCTAGCTGTACCCTAGTCTTGACTAACTCATCGTTTTTAGCCAGTCCTCGGCATTTTAATCCTCGGGTGAAGGCTCAAATCGAAGCTACAAAGATGCCATCTTTATTAACTTTGCCGTAAAAAAATAAAGGTAATTTCCCAAATTTTGATTTCCTTCAAGTTTTCTAATTAGCCCGGAAGAATTACTTTTTACTTACTACGGATTATTCGAGTAGATTGTGATGGATGTTTCGCTTAAGTGAACGAATGAATGGATTTGATAAGAATCGCCGAATGGGGCCAATTTTAAAACCGTGTTGACTATCTCTCCTCCTCGCACCTCTACCAATTCCTGCGTTTGGAAGACGGAGAGAGACTCGTTGTAGGCTGAAAACATAATAATATGTAGAATTGGTAAAGCTTCATATATTGTAACTAAAGGTGGCAATCGGGCTGGGCCGGGCCTGAGCAGATTTGAAAAGCCCTGGGCCGGCCTGGCCGCTTCGGAAAAATTAAAAAAAAGCTTACTAGTGAGGGCGAAATACAACTCTCCGTTACTGTCATTGCTGAAAAAAGTCAAAAATTTTTCCGAACGCAACTCACCCACGCGACTTAACAAAGACCTCAATGAAATTTTTTATCTCGCCTTCTTCAATTTGGATCGCATTAATTGCCGAGGAGAGAAGACATGGCCACAAAATGACAATCAACCGCCGCATTTCGATAGAAAATAAGCGAGAAATGATGGAAAGAATTTGATGGCCGCATCCAAAATTTTTTCTATGACCTTTCATTTTTGGGTTAATTGAGGTTGTCTTATTTTTTTACCGGTGCCCAATTTTTTTATCAAATTTTTGTTAAAATAAGAGTATTTTACAGTTGGCTGGGAATAAACTTTTTTGATACATTGCAAATACGTTGGACCACTGTATCCCGTTCCGCAATGTCCTCCCAGTCTCTTAAAATTACGAAAACTTCATTTGTAACAAATCATTATGGCGACGGTGACAAAAGGATTTTCATTTATTGGAAGTCTTCTTGATCTTGATCTTCTTGATCTTGGTTGTCCGGAATTAATCTCCTGCCCTTCTCGAGGAGATCGTTTGTCAGTTCATCAAGGAAAGCCAGGTCCTTCTTTAACGATTCTCTAAATTCGTCGCCCATTCCATTGAAGAAATCTTGGAATCCCTCACGAACCTGGGCTCGAGGTTTGCCTTGAGAGTCCTTCACCAATTGTTTTAGCTGGTTTTTTTGACTCGGATTTAGTTTGCTGAGGACGTTATCAATAGGTCCCGCGACAACGAGGCCGATGACGACGAAAAGAACAAGAAGTTGAGAGTTCATGGCTCTGAAAGGATTAATAGGTCATGTCTTAACACCTGCAACACTTACCGTGAGTAATACAAGACTTGAATGAAGTCGATGAGGTGATAATTGGCTGATTCAATCGTATTATATATGCCAATCCTGTTTATGGTAGTGTCTATTTCTATAATAGTATGAGAGTGCAAATAACCTTTCAGGTGTGCAAACACGAAGGTGTTGAGCTTTTGGCTTGCAGTTCAAGTCTTGATGAATTTCGTTGAACAGACCGCATATGGGAGCAAAATGAGCAGTAAACTCCATTTTAGGAAACATCCAAATATGAATCACTCTTCGTTCAGGCGTGAGGCTGTAGGCGTCAGCGAGGCCACGGCCCCCGCAACAGAACTCGACCCGTCGCCACGTATCGCCACGAAACCCGAAAGGAAATTGGTGTTCCGCCGCCATCGACCGCGACGTGAATTGAAGGAAGGTCAGTTTGGAAGGGAGGTATTTTGCGACAATTTGGTTCCTTCCTGGATGCAAAATGGGACGTTTTTTGCCACTGGATCACGTCCCTCACTGTAGTGGCTTGAGCCAGCAATTTTCCCTTGCAATTAGAGCGTGTGGACAATTGGTGAAGAAGCAACAGAGTGTGCGGCCGGCTACTCGCGTTTGAGGTATTGGGATCTATTGTGTGTTTGTGATGGAGGATAAACGAGTCATTGCTAATTGTAATAGTTTGTGAGAGCTGGTCTAGGACAGCGTATTGGGAGGCCCAAAGTCTGATCGTATTGACGAGGAATCTAGGCCCTCTTTGTGATGTTTTCAAGTACAATAAACAGTTTTATCCGGCAAGCTTTTGTTCTTTTTGTTTCTCATGATACACACTATTTTCCTGACAGACTGGCAACGATGGTGGTTTTTTATTTCAAGACAAAACAGCTGCTAAACCAATAATACTATGTAATATCCCGTTTGAAAAAATTACAACGAGCTCTTCAAATAACGTGGTTTGTAATTGCAGATTCCCACAGGGATTTCTCCATTCGCCAGCCGGCTTCGCTTATCCTGTATATACCTTTTGTAGGCGGTCACAAATTCCTTGTACTCCCTGTCATCGCTTTGATCCATTATCCCAAAACAAGGATCGGCATGACATGCGGAGTACGGCAGGGCGCCGGCCTGGCCCATTTGAGTGGTCGAAATCGCGAATCCTTGGTCGTAAACAGCCTCCACCGGGCTGAACGCCGTCGACAGCGCTTGGCCACTCAAAATCTTTGTTGGCAAATCCGGCTCCGCAGTGGTTGGGCGTCCGAGGCCAATCCCATCCGTGGCCCCGTTCTTGATCGCGTCGACCATTGCGGCAGCGGTCCGAAACCCACCGGTAAGGTAGACCACGACGCTCTTGAGATGCGGCTTAATCGCCTCGGTGAATTGGATAAAGAAGGCTTCCCTCTTTATGGTCGTTTCCTTTTGATCGAAGCCGAATTTCTCGTATGTCCCACCGGAGAACTCAATGAAATCGAAGCCTGTTTGCTGAAAGAAGAGTCATTTCCTGCTGTCTGTAGTCAAAAAATATTAATAAATAGTGTTAGTCCGTCGGGAAAATAACGTGAGCAATATCGCTGAGCCGATTGCATCACTGAAATGAAAAGCAATCTGCCGCAACACGGTTTAATTTCTCCGCGGCTGCGATTTTCCATGCGACTGAATGCTTATTATTTTCCCGACAGAATGATGGTAAAATTCCAGTTCGAGTTGAAAGAAACAAGTTGAAATTTTTGGCGCGCTATACGTGACAAATCTCGAACATAAAATAAAACGCTTGGCCTTCATAAATACGCTAATCTTCATTTGCGCCAAACGTCCATAAAACATATTATTACATCCACAATCTTAGCCGTTGTAATGGCATCTTCAAGGCCCAGACCGTGGCTCTGGAACTCAACAGAATTTAGCTTCGCTCCAATAATGAACCCAGTGGATGCTGGGATTCTTTTCCTGCAAATCATCAATTAATTCCCAAGTGCGACGCTCAGATTTTGTTTGCACTTACGAGTGAACACGTCAAAACAAAGCCACATACATTTTTGTGAAAACATTGCTCTCTACTGCAGGTTTAAGTACGAAAATTGTCATACCGAAGTTTGCCAAAAGTTTCATATTTTTTGCCAACATTCCAGCTCAAGGTTTCGGTCGTTTGAGCACAGCGAGAGACAGAAAATGGCTCATGTTTTATCAAAAATTACTCCAAATTTGTGTTATGTTTCATCGAAATCTGAGCTTCGTACTTGGAGCATTTCTCCTGTATAAATATGCCCGTTTCCCCATACCGAATCGCGTTGTATGCGTCCACAAGAATCTGCGCCCGTTTCTCCGCACTTCCACCGTATCTATCGGTCCTCAAGTTTGTCGTCGGAGAGATAAATTCAGCCAAAAGATAGCCATGAGCTCCATGAAGTTGGATCCCGTCAAAGCCGGCGTTTCTTAATTTCTCGGACGCAAAAACTATTCGCTCAATGACTTCGGTTTGAATTTGCTCCAAGGTCAGGGCAACGGGAAACCCGTAGCTGTTGCCAAAGGGCTTTCCGGCCAACGGCACGGCCGACGGCGCCAACGGATGAGGATTCAAGTGAAGGGGAGTTTGACGACCGGCATGGCCAAGTTGGGCGACCGCCAATGCGCCGTCCGCCTTTATGGCGGTGGCTAATTTACTGCAAAAAGTCGAATGTTTACTTCCCTAGGATGAGATGGTCACTCTGCCTTCAAATTTTTCATGTAAGCGCTATAAGGGCTATAAATCGTGAGCTAAAGGTTTAAGGTTGTACTTTGCAGATACAGCCAAGATATTCAAGGATTTTCGCCGCCGGAATGCCTTAATCACAGCATAAAAAATTGCGAAAATGCCGTTAAATAAGTGGAATCGTTTTACTTCAGAATCCCGGAGAGTCCCGGAAAGAAACATAGGTACTAACCCGTCTATAAAGGGCATTTTTAGGGACGCAGAGAGAAAATCAAGTTGCCTTTCCCTTCGGAGACGCGATCGGCGCAGCAACACTGTGCTCCGCCTTTCTAATCTCAAAACTTTTCTTACCGCAATTCATCCCCTTTTTTGTCGGACCAATTCTCCTTGCAAAGGACGTGATTCCCCGCCGCTTCCAGATGATATGGATCGTACATGATGGTGCCAGTGAGGACAAGGCCGAATCCTCCTTGGCCCCATTTTTCGTACAAATTATGAAGCGTTGGGGTAATATGCCCAGTAATTGCGACATTACACTTGTCAAATGTGGAGATATATTCGGAAAGAGAGGCCTAAAAGTCTCAAAAAATATTGCTTTTAACTCTCACCTTCATAAACCGATTTTTCGCTACTCGCCCTGAGGTCTTAAACCTCAGGGCTTCGGCTAGCACTGAGATATTCGCTGATCCTTTCACTGCAGTTCTCTTGATAACCATTGTTGGGGAGAAATAAAGGTTAGACGTTGGGAAAATTTTATCAACACTGATATTATTAGGGTACCTTATTTCAGAAGAAAACACCTTTTGTTTGGAAGCAAAATGAGCGCGTTTTTCAGAGTTTGTGCCCTCAGCAAGATTGCGTCATGAAATAAAACATTACAATTGCGCTCGTTATTTTCCGCATACACTCATACAGGGTGACCAAGTTTACGCACTTTATGGAACAACGAGTAGAAATAGATCTGGTAACGGCAGTCAGTATTCAACAATTTTAGCCCCGCGGCTTGCAAGTGCAGCTGACATATAAACGTGGTCACAGAAGTTCTTGCATTCGATCTTCGCCGATGAGGCGTAAACCACTGCAAAAATCGATGTGCAGTGATTTGGAAAACCCAGTGCAGGGTTAATTTTGGGTCGGAAATGATTTTTAAAATTCAGTGCATTTTTTTTAAGTCAGTAATGATTTTTCAAATTCAGTGCATTTTTAATAAGTCAGTAATGATTTTTCAAATTCAGTGCATTTTTTTTAAGTCAGTAATGATTTTTGAAATTCAGTGCATTTTTAATAAGTCAGTAATGATTTTTCAAATTCAGTGCATTTTTAATAAGTCGGCACTGATTTTCGAAATTCAGTGCTGACTTAGACCCGGAGCTCCGCCCCCTTTTTCTGGAGCCAATCAGGTAACAGCTCTCAAAATGAACGCAAAATGCGTTAGAAAAACGCCGTTTTTTCGCGGATTTCACTCCGTGCTCCGTTGTAGCCACTAATGAGGTTTATGAAGCACCTTATACTTTCAAATAAAACAGAATCCAGATTTTTTGACAACTTCCATCCTTGGAAGGAGAATCAACAAAAGTGAAACTGGAAGCAAGATGATTACTATGTTTTCTTTACTGGAATCATGACCAGTTGCTAATGTAAAGAATAAACCCGTATCCTATAGAAAGTTTATCTTCGAGACATAATACAAGATGTTTTACGGTTTCCATCGTTCTTTCTCCTCATCAAACACATCGTCTTCCAGTTGGGGTTGCGTCGTTGGCCGTTGGCGATGTCCCGACGTGGATGGACGATCGGTTTCCAATGGGCGGCTTCCTCCAAACATTGGATTGGAGGATTGGAACCGAGGACGCTCTCCAAACTGGTTTCTGCTTCCAAGTCCACTGTTGGAAGATTGCGGTGTGGGTCGTTGACTGGTTCCAAATGGTTCCAAAATTGGAGTCTGCTAAAATACGACATCATTATGCAAAAACTGAACCTAAGCAATAATAAAATGGAAATTAATGACTTACTTTATTCACTTCTCCGATTGTGGCTTCCTCAAGAAGGTTTCAGCACTCCATTCCACTGAATAAAATTCTGCCGGCATTGCATTCGATTCTCGATGATCTAAAGGCGGAATCAAAAATTTCAAACCCAACTTACCACCGAAACACCTTCGAAGGCGAACATCACAGTGCCGAAGAACAGTGGCAAATCCCGCAATTCTCTTCATTTCGTCAGCTCATCCGTCGATTTCAGGTTGCTGGAGAAGAAATATACCACAATCGCCACTGCGCCCAAGTAAATCACGTTGGCTGCGGTTGCGAATGGCCCCAATTTCGAGAGCTTTCGAATGGAACAGAAGCCCAGCACCGGAATGCAGATGAAAACCATCCAGACGGACTTTGGAAGGACGATACCAACATTCTCCCGGAAGAAATCCTCCAAATTGTCCGCCATGAAGACGAAATACTCACAACAGAAGCCGAGTTGAGCGATGAAAACATTGCAGTTGACGAGTTGTTTGAAGAATTATCCGCGATGTCTGATCCACGACGGGCCCGCTTCGAACGCACCTCGCATAATATTTCCATAATCGATTGCATCTCGTCCGTTTCTGGAAAGCAAATATTTTAGGTGTCTGCCGACCAAAAAATATTTTTTCTGCTAAATTTATCGTTAGTTTTCCTCGAAGAAGCCTAAAAACAGAAGAAAAATTCAAATACTTACCTTGAACAGACAAAATGGGGCGCAAATATTCATCTGTCGCATGCAGTAAAAGCAGACGGAGCAAATCAACACCAATAAAAATCATTCCCAGCTGAAAATAATACCCAAATCAGTCAGAGGACCCAAGCGACAAAACTTCGCGAAAAAAGATAAAAAAAGCCAGCAAAAGAAAAGAGTCTGATTCAAACAAATCCTGTAATTTCCCTGCGAGACACAAAACACGGATCAAGTCCTTGCGGATCATTTCGTAATTTTTAGGCCCAAAACTTGTATTTTTTTACGATTTTCGTGGCAAATTTTGCCACAATATAACTTTTTGGCTCTTATTTTTTAGGTAGCTGATGGAACAAGCAGAGTATTTTTTTACGACTTTCGTGGCAAATTTTACCACAATATAACTTTTTAGCTCTTATTTTTTAGGTAGCTGATGGAACAACCCAGTTGACCCTGTGGAATCCGACGAGATCCTGCGCACGGAAGACGACACATCAGATTTTGAGGACCAAATTGAAGCGAGTTTGAACGTTGAGTTGGGTTTCAGCGACGATCAGGTATGTTTTTCTTGTTGTTCTTGAAATTTAGGTATGAAAATTGAAAAAGAAGTAGAAAAGTTTGTTGATGCTCTAGTATAAGGCGTGAAATTAAAGCCTTGAGCTTTTGAAGTTTAATAAAAGTGGAAATCAGCCATTAGTGACCTAGAAATTACTGGATTTGGCAATAAATCTCAATTTTTTTTAGGAAAATCCGTCGGAAGAAGCCGAAGAACTTCTTGAAAATGATGTGAACAAACTCGAAATTCCTTCAGAAATTACAGAACAGCTAGAAGCCATTCGGAAAATCGCAATTTCTCCTCAAAAACAGCTCGTGGAAGAGGTCTTGGCTCAAAATCAATGTTCTTCGATCGACAATAGGCAAAGAAGAAAGTAAGTGGTAACCGTTAAAATAATGTGGTTTTAGGCGACACATTGAACAACAACCTGGTCCCCGCATCGAAGAATAATGTGATGGTGCACCCCGACTTCTGGTCGCTGAATGGACTGAAGAAGAAGTACACACGGGGATACGTCCCAGTCAATTACCAGGAACCAGCCAAAAGACACAGCCCGAACATCCGATGGTACCCGTACGTCAGCTGCCCCTTCAACCAGTCGTTCCATTTAATATTATTTAGAAGATCTCTTAAGTAGAATTCAATTCTGGTAGAACTTTTAGTGTAGTTGCTTCTTTTTATAGCGTTAAATTATTTATTATTTGTTTTTGGGAACTCGTTATATATTTTTGAAATCGTTTTTTGATTGTTGTTGTTTAGAAGGATAAAATTATATATTTACCATGTTGAATATCTGAAAACCCCAAAAAAAAACGACTAATTTAACCTCAAAATTGAATGGTGCAAGGCCTAGTTCAAGAAGGCGGAGACAATTTTCTAGAGCTGCCTCCTGATTGGCTGCAGAAAGGGGGGCGGAGCTTCTCTAAACTCAGCACTGAATTTTGAAAATCAGTGCCGACTTATTAAAAATGCACTGGATTTGAAAAATCATTACTGACTTATTAAAAATGCACTGAATTTCAAAAATCATTACTGACTTATTAAAAATGCACTGAATTTAGAAAATCATTACTGACTTATTAAAAATGCACTGAATTCTGAAAATCAGTGCAGGGCTATTAAGTCCGCACTGATTTTTCTCAGATTCGCAAGTTTGTTGACACTGGGTTTTCCAAATTGCTGCACATCGATTTTTGCAGTGGTTTACGCCTCATCGGCGAAGATCGAATGGAAGAACTTCTGTGACCACGTTTATATTGAACGACCTTCACCTCAAGAGGACGCGCTATTTCTGGCCTATTTCAATTAACCATTCTCTTATCAATGTTTCAGAAGTTAGGTGGATCAACTAACATTTCTCGCATGTGATAAAGTGTTTGTAAGGCTAACGAAGAGTGGCTTGTTCAGGTTGCCAGAAAGCAAAGCAGTTTTCAACCTTTTATTTTCTTATCCTCCAATTTTTGTTTAAACCGATCGTTCCAGCTTGCAAGAAACAAAGGTTATTTTGAAGACATTCTTATCTCTCCAAAAAAATAAAGTTGTAATTTTTCATACATAAACTCCACGGGTAAGCCATGTTGCTGAGCGAGAACTTCCCCGCAAAGATGTGTTTTTTTAAAATCATTACGGCCACCGACTTCTCAACAGTGTAATTCTGTTGTAAAATAAGAAGAGCTGCATTCGCCGCCTTAACGATGAGACCGATCAACTGTTCGTCCAAGAACGGATGTATGTTCTACGTGTGTGTAAAGTTTAATGCAAATTTAAGCGTGGTCCTCGGAAGCGGTAAAAAGTCCTTAAAAACGGTAGAAAGAGAGAGCCGTTGATCAATATGTAGTCTTACTCCATTTATGCAACTTTGGCGCTACGACTTTTCGAGTCAGCGACAGTTTGGGTCAACGATACTAGGGATCGTTTCGGTCGTCCATTTTATGCATGAGGAGGCTTGGAAAAGGCTTAGTTAGTAATAGAAATATAATAAAAAAACTGATTGGGTCCTAGGATAGCTTATCATCTATTTTGAGGTATTTTACATGTACTCACATCAATGACGTCTAGATAAAAATTACGGATCTTCGTTTTTTACCGCAAATTTTGTTCTTTTCCATTTTACAATAACTCAGGGTACAGAAAACTAACGTTAGTCATAGCTAAGATTTGAAAAAGTGGGCAGTCTTTGCCAAGTCTCCGCCGAACCTTCGTCGAGAGCCTGCCGACCATCCAACGGCTTTGCCAGGCCTCGTAGGCACTTGCTACAACTTTTTCCGGGCATCCGCCTGCCCTACATCCCATATCGATCGATTCAGTGTTGAGCCGAGCTCTCGTCGACCCGAAAAGTCGGACACGACAACTTTAGTCATCCTTTTAATACATAATTTTCACTATTCTTGATAATTTACAATTTACTATTTACAATTTTGCTCGTTTCCTCCAGAAGTCATCGTTTGCCAAGCATTCCCTCACAAACTTCTCGCATTCCTCAAAGTATTCCTCGGGGTGCTCGCGGAATTGCATACAATGACCTCCCTGTTCCCATGTCTTCAATTTCACCGTCTTCCCTTTGTCCAACTGCTCGATGGCGTAGTCGCGGAAGTTCTTAAAGCGAACAACATTGTCGCTCTTGGAGCAGAGGTAGAGCTGCTTCTCCGGCAGATCGTATTTCCGCAACTCTGGAGTGTAATGACCAAACAGGCCGAAGAAAATCAGCGGGCATGTTATGGCGGCGTTGACAAGGTTTTGAGGAACACATTTGAGCCAAAAGTTTCGCGTTGTTTTGTCTTTCCGTGGCCAACTGGAGAAGCGTTGGTTGAAATAATAAGAGGGAATGGAAGAGAGCTCACATGGACCGCTGAAAATGTGATAAATGAGAGGAAGTTTAATTTACGTCGCCCTTATTTACCATAAGGGTGATGCTCAGATTTTGATAAAACTTGGAACAGATTTAGAATATTTTTTTCTAAAATATGTATATGCAAAAATCCTACCTCGCGCTTTGCAGAAACAATTTTTGCCTCTGACCGCTCTCCGCGGTTAGCATACTCTCTCGGCGGCAAAGATCGTTCATCGGCGCTTGTAAAGCTCGAGCTAAAACTTTGAGGAATTGATATCTAGTCTATGCCCAAAGTGTGTGCAAAATTTAAAGAAAATCTTGCTTTGTACAGTGCATTTTTGACCCAAAAAACCCATTTGGCACATTTTTGTTTTTTGCCTTACATCTCGCGCGATTCGTGTTTTTTGCAGCGACAATTCATTTTTTTCATAGTACGATAGAATTCGAGACCACGATAAATTCTCAAACCTTTTTCCCGCGATTTGTCGGCGTTCAAATATACAACCCTAAACTCACGCATCGCCGATGATTCCTTTGACTTGACTTCGCTGTTCGTAGTTCAATGATCGCCACAGATAATAGAAAAGCCGTCCGCCATTCTGACTGAAGCTGTGAATTATTACGGGATGGTCTTTGTATTCGGCGACTTTCGGAAGATAAATTTCCTTGATAAACTCGTAGCCCTCACTCCCACTGGGCCAGACATATTCGTTGTACATTTCGCCGATATGAACAATCACTTCTTCACTAGAAATATGTGTTATTCAAAAACGTCTTCAGGGCTTTTCACGACTTTGATTGAAGCGCTGGGACTTGGGTTGAGACGGTGGCCGACTTACGTCATCAGCGTCGCAGGCCGCGACATACGAAAAACTAATGAGCGCCTCAAAATTTTAGCTTGCTTACAAGGATTTTGATTTTTTGTAGAAACATTACCCTCTATGGTAGAAATAAGCATAAATCTTTTCGTGCCAAAATTCGGCAAAAAGTGTCAACTTTTCGCCGACTTTTGATCTAAAAATCTCGGTTGTTTCTGCAAAACGCGGGATAGGATTCTCGCATATATTTTAGAAAAAATCATTCTTAATTTGTGCCAAGTTTCGTCAAAAACTGAGCGACTTAGGGTACTTCCCTTGTTAATCGAAAACTCAGAATTTGGAAAAAGGAAGCTGCAGCATGCTGTACAAAACAAAACTCACCAAAAATTTTCATAGAACCTCTTCAACGTTTCGAAGTGCTTTGGCTGGCTGTTCATGAAGCCAAGAATGAATATTAGCGGCCTTCTCTTCTCATCATCACTGTTCATCATTTCTACCACAAATTACAGAAAAAATACAAATTCTTCAGCAAAGAACCTTTCCACTTTCCCGCAGACCACAGCAAATGAGGTTACACTGACTCTAAAAGTAACGTCCGAAAAAAGCGGACGCCTAGAATACAACCGTCTTCAGACAGATTTTACAGTCGACTTTCCCGAAATTAGAAGCAGTGAGTTTAACTTTGTAGAGGGGGTTTAACATGTCCTGTCTGATTGTTGTTTTGAAAAAACTCCAAAAGCTATCTTTTCGCAATCGTTTTCGAACCAATTTCGCTCCGTTTATGAGATGGAATTCATTAAAATGCGGGCCCCGACGCAATGCTCTTAATGGGTTTTGAACGTACAGTTTTGAAAGTGAAAATTGAATTTTTAACAAGGAAAAGTCAGCAAAGTAACGGAAAATTTTAGAGAGCCTTTCGAATTCCGAAACAACAAAGACAGTCCCTAAACAGCGAGCAACTTTTCTAATTAACCCTTCTCTGACAGACGAAGTGCTCTAAAGTGCGGCGCTACGACTCAGCGACAGTTCGAATCAACGATACTATGGATCACCTCGGTTCGTCGTTGCACTGCATGGCGAGGCTAGGGGAAGGCTTAGTTAATAGAAATAATAAGCTTGATCGAGTCCTATGATAGCTTATCACCTATCTTGAGGTATTTTCCATGTCCTCAATGTCTAAATAAAAGTTACGGATCTTTGTTTTTTGCCGTAAATTTTGGCCTTTCCTATGTTACCGTAACTCAAGACACAGAAAACTAACGTCAGTAATGACTAAAGTTAGAAAAAGCGAATGTATTGCAAGCCTCCACCGAGCCTTCGCCGAGCATCCAACGGCTTTGCCAGGCTTCGTAAGCACTTCCAACAGCTTTTTTGGATATCCAACTGCCCAACGCCCCAAACTGTCGTCGACCCAAAAAGTCGGGACGCGCCAAGTGTCACGATCAGGTTGTGAAGGAATAGGCGTAAATTTAGATGCTTTTTAAGATTTTGAACGTTATTTCCTGACCAGCGAGGATAAGCTTTATTTGTAGTAAAACCGAAATTATGTAATATTGCAATCAGTCGCACAGTAGATCTTGTAGTAGATGAAGTCTAAATGCTGTTGGCTGTCTTTAAAGCCGTCGATCAGGTTCCTAATCTTTGGGCACTCCTTCAAGTGACGATCACAAGCCTCCAAACGCTGAAAGTATGAGTTGAAATTTTCCGCAGCAAAAAGTCAGAGCGGTCTTCTAGTGCAGCCCAAGGCACGTCAAATTGAGGTAAGCTAAAACGGTCCGGTCCGGTGAATGGATTGCCAATTCCCCAAAAAAGACGCGAAAACTCTTTTTGTCGGGGGAGAAATGGGGAAGTTTTGAGACGAGAGAGTACGTTTTTGCGCGTCTTTTCTCTGTCTTCTCTGTGAAATCATGGAAAAGTGTAAAAAACCGATAGCGAATTGTCTATTCCGGTCACCGGACTCCTCAGTTTGACGTGCAAGATCCATAAATCCATAAGCAAAAATAAAAACAGTACGTTCGGTACTGGTTCTTGGGCGACTGATTTGGGGTCGAGACAAGATTGGGTTGACATGGCCAAAAAGTTTATGGGTGGCTCCCTACCAAACAGTGGCTCTTTCATATTGCCTACAGGGCAATATGAACGAGAAGAACTCAACTCATCGATCTTGTTTCGCCGATTTAGTTCCTCGCATATTCATATTCTTATAATCTTAACGCAAGCTGAGGACCCCGATTTTTACTAGCTAACGATAGTAAAAATCGTTCCTCCACCTTCTCTAGTGCCTCTATCGCAAAAAACGCGAGGCATAGATTAAGATTTTGAGGCGTTATAATGTGGCGTAAATAGCAGGCTCACCGAATTCTAGGGAAGTCGCAGTATCCTACTTCAGGCATCTTTCCAAAGTTCCACTTACCTCTTCCCACGGTCTCAGATCCATTCCACTAACACTTCCCCTTTCGTCTTTGACGATAGAAATGGCGGTGTTGTGGATAAAAACCAAATGTCGACAGTCTTGACAAGCCTCTTCAATGATTGCTACCGCCAAGTTTATCACGCATAGCAATGTGAAAATCCGAGCTACAGAGACGTGTTTTGTCATGATGGTCAAAAACAAACTAAATTTTATAAAGGATTTTGATTGCTTTTAATTTCGAGTCTCAGAGACATCAATCCGATGGAGAAAATGGTTAATTATGCTAATCAAATTACAGTCAAATTACAACGATACATAATGATAATGAAAACGAGAAAAGAAAATCAAGCTTTAAGTTTCGAATTTTAGGAGTAAAAACGCTATAACTTTACAGGGGGGCGCTCCAATATTATACAATCTTTATTTTGAAAATGCAGATATCAAGTATAAACAAAGCGAAAGAAATCGAGAAGGAAACTCTTCAAGTTGGCTTTTGGTCCGAGGAAAAGCCAGACGAAAGAATTCGCTTCCCGACTTTTCGGGTCGACGAAAGCTCGGCTCAACATAGAATCGATCTGTACGAGGCGTAGGGCGGGTGGATACCGAAAAAAAGTTGTAGGAAGTGCCTACGAGGCTTGGTTGGTCGGCGGAGGCTTGGCGAAGGCTCGGCGGAGACTTGGCGAAGACTTGCAATATGTCCAGTTTTTCTAATTTACCAACGTTAATGTTCTTTACCGTGAGCTATTGTAGCATATATAGGACAAAAATTTGCCGCAAAAAACAAAGCTTCGTAACTTTTATCTAGATGTTATTGATGCAAGTACGTCTAAAATACCTCAAAATAGTTGATAAGCTATCTTAGGACCCGATAAATCTTATTACTTCTACTAACTAAGCCTTCTACAAGCCTCCCAATTCACACAACGAGAAACCGACAGGATCCTTAGTATCGTTGACCCGAAAAGTCGACCAAAAGAACTTCCTTTCTCCTGCTTTTCAGGTGATCATTGATCCTCATGGCTTCCCAATCAACAGGTTTCTATTCGCTCTTTTCTCGGGGATTCGATTCTGCACCAGTCCACGTAGCACGCGATCCAGGCCAACGAAACGCATAAAATGGTAAGCCGACATGAATGGAGCACTTCTGAAATAAATCGATGCTTTTGACGAAGTGTCACAGCCTTTATTGGATTTTTAAAAGTTGTTTGAACCACTTCAAAACACAAGTTTTTGGAACAACATTTTATTAAAACAGTTAAAAGCACCTTTAAGATTTTTTGGACGAAATGTCACAGATTTTATTGGATTTTCGAAAATCAAAGAAAAAAGTAAAAAGCCAAATTTTGAGAATTTTTACAGTAAAAAACTTAGAATAACCATGTAAAATTTATATGGTTATTCTTTGAGACGAAATGTCACAATTTATTGAATCTCAAACCTATGTTTCAACTTTTCTTACGCCAAAAACCAGCTGATCCAATACCAGAATCGTCCCAAGATTACTTCCGTTTCATTCGTCAAGATTCCATGAACAAATCGTTGAATGGTGTAGTTCAATTTCAAGTTTGGCAGAAGGCATGGAGTACTAAATATTAAAATTTCAAATTTCCATATCCCAGCTGAAAAGCGTAGTTCTCTTACGTCGACGCGTTAAAGCCCTTGGTCATCTCGGTCTCCACGATATATGCTGATAATACAGTGACTTTCACATTGCTTTCGAGTAATTGCAGTTCAGCGTGCAAAGAGGCCATGTAGGATGACATTGCATGTTTGGATGAGGCATATGCGGCCTGAAATGGATTTTGCCATGCTTTGTTGCAAGTTGTATGGTATATTCAAGTTTTACCGAACCAACGTTCAGATTTTGCCGACGCAACTTACTTGAAAAGGGATGCTGATAATGCCGGAGACACTTGACATCGCCACCACATGCCCTTCGTCGCGTTCTATCATCTCCGGCACAAATTCGTGATTCACATAGTGCTGTGCCAAAAAATTTGTCCTGAAATGCATGGGCATAATGCCTTGGTCTTTAGAAAGTCAAAAACGGCGTTCAATTTGGTTTCATTACCTTATGAACAAGTCCAGCTCATCATTCGGCATAGTTGAAGTGCAATGGGGCCAGCAAATTCCGGCATTATTAATCAGCACATCCACTTGCCCCACCTCTCGTTTCACTCGTTCCGCCGCCAAGCGGACCTGATCTTTGTCCCCCACGTCCACCACATAAGTCTCGACCCTCACGCCGAGCGCGACGATCTCCGCTTTGGTTTCAGCCAACGGAGGCGCCGAACGGCTCCACAGGACCAAGTTGGCTCCACGCCGCGCAAATTCCAACGCCAACGCCTTGCCGAGCCCACGACCGGAGCCGGTGATTAGGACGGTCTTGCCTTTGATCGGCTTCTCTCGCCAAAAACACGAGGGAGTGAGCTTCACAAGGATTGAGACAAACCAATACCAAAGAATCTTGATGATACAGTCGATTTGGTGAAATAAGAAGCAACGAGGGCCGGGTTTGGCCATGGCTTTTGACTGAAATTTTGGCAACTGGTTTGAAATAATGGAATCCATCAAAAAATCAAGGTTTGTAACGAACGTCAACCTTAAAGGACCAGTTCCATATCGCGAATTTTACGGGTTTTGAGACGAAATGTTCAGAAAATTACTCTTCCTAATGTACCAATGAAGCCATCCGTGATTCAAAAATAGCTCTACCGATCCTATATGGAGTTCGTAAAAAGGCGCTCTATTTATACCCTGTTAACGGCAACGCCAATGTTTCAATTATGTAAAAGAAAAATCATCCGAAGTTTGTTTCCTTTTGAAGTATTCATAAAACTAAAACGGAATTACTGTTTACCAGAGTAAAAATTGGCGACTGTAAATCTGAGTTGAAGGCAGCTCTTGAAGCTTGTAAATTTCAAAACACAAACCGAGATCGCCGACTTTTGAAAAGACGGTTTACAAGGAACGTCGAGTTTTGAAAGGACTGTAATCGAGGAATTCGTCAATACCTCCATATAGCAATACGTTTTTTATAGCGTGAGCAGACATGGATGGAGAGCCGGGCCAGCCCGGGCCGGACTTGCGAAACACAGGCCCCACTTTCTCGGGGCCGAGCCGAGGGCCAAAGAATTTCACAGGCCGCTGTTTGCGGGTTGTAAACGTAACTCCGACCTTTCCGTCCAAAATTGCATCCGCAACCTTAACAACCGTTAAAGGTGGTCTTCTCAGCGGAACAGTTGTTAATTCAGTTTGTCAAAACCCCAAGTTTCGCATAAAAACCCCATTTTGTAACGTTTCGGCGGGCTAATCCACGCGACCACACAGAGCGCGAAATTGCCTACGGTAAATGGGCGAGAGGAGTGAACTACAGAGTTCAGACGCGAATGACGGTAACACGTGTCAAAAATCAAACCATTTTCTGGAAAGGTTCGGAAAGGGGAGACTGGAACGATTAACAACTTGTAGTTTGTTTTATGGCGGAGTAAAACGTAATAAAAAAAGAGTTTCTGGATATATTTGTAACTGTGGATAAACCCATAAAAGGATATAAAATCGACTTTTATTTTTGTTTTTATGGAAATGAATTTGCAGCGATCTGTGTGGTCGGAATACGAGGAAAATAAGGTAACTGCGTCTGCTGTGAAGGATTCGAACAATTTTTTCCGTACTAAGCCCTAGCTTTGGCCTGATATTTTTTTTACTAGTCTTTAAAGTTTCTCATAAAGTTCAGCTCTTATTAAGCCTTATCTGAGACATTAGGACATAAAAAAACTCGCAAACCGAACGTCCCAGGCCTAAAGTCCCGTAGCGCCTTCGAAAGAGCATCGAAATTTCGGCGCCAAGACTTTTCGGGTCAGCGACAGTTTGAGTCAATGATACTATGGGTCGTGTCGGCTCGTCATTTTATGCATGGGGAAGCTTGGAGAAGGCTGATTTAGCAGAAAAAATAAGATTGAACGAGTCCTAGGGTAGTTTATCACCTATATATTAGGTCTAGAAGTATGACTCCGCCGTTTTTTTGTTTTGCATTTTTTTACAGGTTGCCGTATGGTTTTAAAATTTCTGTTAAGATCTTCTGAAAGAACTTTGAAAACGCTATCTACTGATATATTTTTTGTGTGACAAGGCTTGACACAGCGGTTTTTATGAAGCTTCAAAGATGACCAACTTCGTCCCTGGAAAATCGTCATTTGCGGGAAATTTTACTCTGCACGTGTAATGCGAGGGAAAACGTCGTTAATGCATCGGATGCTTAGAGAAGCTTACGCTAGTTGTGCTTAGTGAGAAAAAATACGTGGGGAATGTGTTTAACGGTTCTAGCCCCGTGATTTCCAAACCCATCTAAAAAAATTGAAATAGAAGGTTATTGGGTACAAAGCGATGCCGATACACAAAAAAAGTTAGCCGTGATGCTCAAAGTGCCACGGTTTCACTCAGTTTTCAACGAATGGAAAAGATCCAGAGAGAACGGACATAGGTGTCTTATGGATCGACCTAAAACAATATGGAGAACTTGCGAAATTTTGATAGACAGACAGAAAGGAAGCTATTTTTGCATCGTTTTATGACCGCAGGCAAGAAACGGAGCGATTTTGAGAACCCGAAGTGCAAGCGACCGCATAGTCTAACATTACCGGTAAGAAAGCTTTGCTCTGTATATGATGACAGAAACAAGATGTTCTTCGCTGTAGGCTCTTAAAACCCGGTAAAACGGTTACTGGCCTCCGTTGACAACAGTGTTCGTTGAAATTGAACGGAGAGCTATGATTAAAGCGGTCGGAATGACCAATTTTTATTTTGCTGCATGATCACGCTAGAACCCATGTTGAAAAACTGGTCAAGCACACCCCAGAACAGCTAGGGTGGGAGGCCCTACCCCGCCCGCTATACTCTACTGACAACGCACTTTCAGATAAGCACTTATTTCCACCGATAGCTCACGATCTGAGGCAGCAGCGCTTCGCTAAACACAATGATGCCAAAAATTGGATTGATATTTTGACGGCTTCAAAACAGCCAAAATTTTTCTTTGGTGGATTGAAAAGTTGACCAAATTACGGAAACACCTCGTAATTAATAGTAGAATATAAAATTGGATAAGGTTTAGTGTAAAAATTTTTTGCTATCATCAAAACAATCAGCAGAAAAAAACGGCAAAGTCATACTTCTAAACCTAATATTTTGAGGTATTTTACACGTACGCGCATCAGTAATCGCTAGATAAAAGTTGCGGATCTTCGTTTTTAGCCTTAAAAATTTTGGTCTTTTATAGGTTACAACAACTCAGGGTAAAGAGAACTAACCTCAGTAATTGCTAAAATTAGAAAAAGAAGACATTTCGCAGGTCTCCGCCGAGCCTCCTCCGAGCCTTCGCCGAGCTTCCAATGGCTTTGCCAGACCTCGTAGGCAACTCCTACAACCTTTTTCTGGGTATCCACTTTCCCTAAGCCGCGTATAAATCGATTTGGTGTTGAGCCGAACTATAGTCGACCCGAAAAGTCGGGACCCGGCACTTTCAGTTCCATAATATGCAAACGGCCCTTTTGCAAGGACTCCAATGTCCTCCTTTTCCCGTCCAACCTTTATATACCCATCGATTTCTTATGTCAGCGGACTTCTTGAGTGTCCCATAAAGCCGTCAAAGAATTATTATCGCCTTTCGATAACATTTATTTGATCAAACATGTTCCGCAAGTTCACCAAATTTTGAGAAGCTCGTAAATTGTCCAATTAGCCGCATAATTGGTCCTCAAAACAAGTGCCCTGACTTTGAAGTTTGCCGGCTGTCAATACGTGGCCCCCAAAGAGCAATATTGTCTTATCAGTAATTTATTTGATTTTGAAAGTGAAAAAGAAGGACAACTTATTCTTTTAGCGAGTGTCAGGAAACGGAGGGTTATCCATAAATTTCCAATGAAAACAAAGAATTCCAAGGTTTATTCGCACAAACTTCTTGCGTTTTTAAATAAATTTCTATTTAGAATCATCGAGGAAGATGAACCGTCGGTTTGTCACCAACCTCGTAGTATTTCCGGTAGAAGGAATAGAGCTCGTCGTTCTTACGGAATCTGAATAAAAGCAATAGTTTTTTACAATAAATCATCAATCACCTTGGCAATTCTAAGTTTAAAAACTCTTTTTAATCACATGTGGTCCAGCTCCAAAAAAATCAATAAATCTTGTGACATCTCGTCCAGCTTCAAAAATTCAATAAATTTTGTGACATTTCGCCCAATTTCAGAGAATCAGTAAATTTTGTGAAATTTCGTCCAGCTTCATAAAATCAATAAATTTGTTGAAATTTCGTCCAACTTCAAAAAATCAATAAATTTTGTGACATTTCGTCCAATTTCAGAAAATCCCAATAACAAGCTAAACGCTTCTTACCTTTCAATTTCCATGTATTTACTCAATCGGAAAGCCAGATTCGCTGCATTGGGCCTGTTCTTTGACTTATATTCCCAGCATTCGCGGTTAATTTTCATCATTTCACTTGGAATTCCGTATGGAAAATCGGGTTCGTAATTTCGTTGTTCCGCCAAACGTCGATGGATCTTTCTCTTCGAGGTCTTTCCATATGGATCCCCTTCCTTGAAAATGGCGTTGAAGAGCATTCTGAAACCGCGAGAGTCATTTTATACGATGAAAAGTATTTTAGATTCTTTAAAAATTTATTAAAAATTTTTCCAAGCTGAAATTTCGCAAATACTACATGTCATTTGGAGACTTCTAAAAATAAAATTTTCCGTATGTAGAGCCACATTTTATACGATAAATTCAAAAGTTTTCCAAATTTTCGCAAAACAATCGTATAAAATGTCGCCAAAATAAGACAAAGCTCGACAAACTTGCTCACCCAATACTCCAAATATCCGACTTCTCGCTGACAACCCCAGTTTCGACGACTTCTGGAGCCATTAATCGATCCTCCGCCTCATCTTCCAATCGATTTCCTCTTCCCACCATAACGCCCAGATCCACAATCTTGGCCAGCGGATAGGACTCAAAAATATGCACATTGCTCAGATCTAGACTTCCATGCAAAAACCCGGAGACATGAACATAATTCATGGCCAGAGCGATGTCGAAACAAAGCGCTAGCTTCATGGCAACTGAGAGCTAAAATAAATAAAAAAATACCGTAATACGAATGGACAAAGATTCAAAACGGCAATTTGATGAATGGCTTACCGTATTCGGAGAATTCTTAAAGAATGATTCCAGACTTTCGCTGTCAATATATTCGGAAACGACCTGAAAAATTCAAAAAATTGCTTTTTTCACAAACAAATTGCTCGAGGCAAAAAGCTTTTTCAATTTGAAATCTAAAAGTTTCCTCTCCAAACTAACTCTCTAAATACTAAGAGGAGTCAAAAATCCCACCAAAATTGGCGCCCTGTTGAACGCGACACCATAAATGGCCATGATATTCGGATGGCTCATCAACTTCTGCACCCTGATCCGCTTCATCGTTGTTTCCCAAAACGTTTTCGTCAGCACTGTGCCCCAACCGCAGGACGCCGACACCACGGCCACCGGCTGCGTTTGCCGTGTTCGCCGGCTCAGCCATCCCACGTTCAGTTTGCTCAGCTTGTCGCCGGCCAGGAATCGTCCAATCCGCAGCTCCGAGCGTTTCACTTCCCACGGCTGACGGCCAACGGGGCTGATCAGGAGAGCGCCGGTTCGGAGTCGACGCTTCTTTGCGCGGTGGGCTCTGAAAAGAATTTGATTCAAACTTCCGACAGGAACCACTTGTTTTAGCAATATAATATAAAAATAAAGATTTCTGACAGTAAAAGAATACCCCCCAAGGCTAGCAAAAAACCGCAGCGTGAAAAGTCAAAGCTGACCTGATCAATTCCACAATGGTCGGAAAGACTTCCTCTTGGTCCAATGTAACGCCATATGGACGAAAAACAAACTCCTCGTGCCAAATCTTTCCGTTATGTTGGTAGAACAACTTCAGGACCGCCGAAACAATTCGATCCTTTTCGTCGGTTCGCGGGTCCGCTATGACAAGAAAATCGCCGTCGTCTTCCAGTAAAAGCACCGCGTCTTCAACTGGTAAAAGTCCGTGAAAATACGGGGCTCGGTTCAAATGCTGAAAGCGTAAAAATGTCGGCAAAACTTGTTGCTGGCTTATTCCAAAAATTTTTTCCGCGAGCTGCGCGCTGGGCTTTCGAAACCGACTTTCACTGCTATTTTTCCCAAAAATAATCGGCTCTGAATGTCGAGTAAAAACCTTGAACATTATTAAGAACAAGTTTTATCTTTTCCAAGCCTGGGCCCAGCTTGGAAAATGCGTTTTTTCGCTTGGAGCGACAAGTACGTTTAAAGACCTTACATCAGCACCTTTATGACCAAAAACCATGGTTTCGCTCTTGGGAATTTCGTCCGACATGACAAAGGAGCTTGCGAATTCAGACGAGCATTCAGAGCTGATGGAAACAATCGAACTGGACTCCGACGAATCGGAAGAGTCCATTCTACGAGGAGCCAATATCATCCGTTTTCGTAGAGAACACTGAAAATTAAAAAAGGATTACATAGAAGAAAGAACCCCGCAGATTGGCCACCAAAAATGAAAAATCAATGTGATTTTTAAAGCAAATGCAAAAAAAATTGCCCAGAAAAAATAATACAGTGGGGGACCTGATGCAGTGGCAAAAAACGTCCCATTTTGCATCCGGGAAGTACCAAAAATGTGGCAAAATGCTTCCCTCTCCAGGTGAAAAAACTCACATCAGATTTCTAAAGCGTGCCCGCTCTTTTTGTGAGGAAAAAGGGGGCAGCATTTTGCCACATTTTTGATTCTTCCCGGATACAGAATGGTACGTTTTTTGCCACTGGATCAGGCCTCCACTGTAATTTAGCCGCCATTTGCAACTTTGTGACACTCATTCCAACTTCAATGTAGGTCCCTCTAGGGACGGCACAAAAGAATGGGGAAATTTCATAAAAAATCGCTCGAAAATATTGCAAGATTACATCAAGGAGACCAAAGAATGTCTGGTCTTTCCCAGACGGAATAGCAAGAGTTTCTTGGCTTCCAAGAAAGTCCGGCTAACAGAATAAACATTTCCAAACCCAAACAATTACACAAGAACTTTTACCCGGGCCAACCAGGCCGGGGTTCGAAATTGTGCAGGCCCGGGCTAGGCGTAGAAGTTTGGGTCGATCCGGATTGCAACCATGCTCAGGCCTCCCTCGACAAAAGCATTTACGGATGAGATACCCCTCCCTTTCGCCATACCTACCTCATTCCTGCCCGACGACAGCGGGGATTGTATAAAACTCTCGCTCCTCTGCGATCCTGACAAACAACTGGCTGGAGAAGGTGGTCGACCGGTCGACAACATCACGAGTAAAAATGAAATTCAAGATTGTTTTTGCTAGTATGGACTTTTGAAATTTGCATAAAAAATTTTTTTTACTGTTTTTATTTTTATTGTGTCTTTTTTTATTTTGTTTACCTCATTCCTTGTGCTCAGTCCACTGCTGGCCGGCAGTTTTTTGGAGGAATTGAGAGAAAGACCCGAAGAAGACAGCAAAATGGAGAAGCAAGGGCACAGGCATCGGGTAAGATAAGAAAAAATATTCTACGGGCGTATATAAGGGCCACAATTTTCGCAAATCGTCGGAGCTAACAGAGGAAGTACTCCAAGTGAGACGCTCAGATTTTGATGAAATTGGCACAAATTTAGAATAATTTTTTATATGATATATGCGAAAATCCTAGCTCGCGCTTTGCAGAAACAACCGAGATTTTTAGATCGAAAGTCGGCCAAAATTTAGGACTTTTTGCCGAATTTCGTCACAAAAAGTTTCATGCCTATTTCTACCGTAAAGGATAATGTTTCTACAAAAAATCAAATTTTTCCGCACGAAACTGCCAAAGTTATGGCCAAAAAGCGCTTTTCTCTCTGACCGCTCTCCACGTTTAGCGTGCTCCGGCAATCGTTCGATATCTCGGCGGCAAAACTTCAAAAAAAATAATTAAATTTTTTGATTCAAATGAAAAAAATCTCCAATTTTCCACAAAAAATTCAAAAAAATTAAAAAATGTCATTTCAAACTCACAAGGGAAGTACTCCAAGTGCGACGCTCAGATTTTGATGACACGTGGCACAAATTTAGAGTAACTTTTTTTAAGATATATGCGAGAATCCTAGCTCGCGCTTTGCAGAAACAGCCGAGATTTTTAGATCGAAAGCCAGCGAAAATTTAGGACTTTTTGACGAATTTCGGCACGAAAATTTTCATGCCTATTTCTACCGCAAAGGGCAATGTTTCCACAAAAAATCAATTTTTTCCGCACGAAACTGCCAAAGTTATGGCCAAGAAGGTTTTTTTACTTTGACCGCTTAAGCGTGCTCTCTCGGCGGCAACGGTCGTTCAATATCTCGGCGGCGATTGCAAAGCGCGAGGTAAAACTTTCAGGAATTGATACTTAGTTCATGACCGACGTGTGTGCAAAATTTAACAAAAATCTGAGCGTCGCACTTGGGGTATTTCCCTTGTAATATTTTTAAAAATTTTGCAAGTTTCAGCTTGTTTTCGAGCTGCGCCCTATCATTTTCGGTCAACTTCAGCCAAGTTTCAGCTAGCGTATTGGCCACGTGCCGGGCCTGAAAATTGCCGCAAAACTGTTCGGCACAGCTCGGGCCGGAAAATTTTGGAAAGCCCGGCGCGAAGCCATGCCTGAGCTCCACCCAATCTCTCCCAAAAAATCATTTTTCTTAAATCATTTTTTCAGCACTGCAAGCACCACGTCGTCTTGCGAGCCGATAGGCTGGGCACTCCAAGACCTCGGAGTCTGCCGAACGAGGATACGATTAGCTCCGAGGATTCGGTGTTTTCGAAAAAGGAGAAGAATAAAAACAAACTCGAGAAGGACGAGGAGAGCTCCGAGGAGGTCATTTATGATGCCCCCGGGCAAGGAAGTCCTGTAGCAAAAGCTAAGAAAGCCGAACAGAAGAAGCCGGCCTTGACTGTAGGTTTAATCGACATTTTATACGATGAAACGTTTTTGCAGTTTTGTTTTTGGATTTTTTTATTCCCTCCGAATTTTATTAGATTCAAAAAATATGCGTCAATTTTTCAGATTCCGTTAAAGGGCAGGCGCCCACCACGCATTTACTACGACCCTAGTCTGGATGGAACTCCAGAATCGTTGATTTCGGACACAACAACCTCGGATATCATCCCCTGGCCCTACATTATGCATCCTTCTCAGGCACTGAAAGTCCCAGAAGACAGACTGATGGTCAAGGACCGGCTGAAGCGAGACCACAAGGGGCAGTGGACGCTGGAACGCCAGATCAAACTCGATTGTTCCAAAGGGAATGGGAAATTGATCGATGAAAAAATTTTGAGCCACGTGATCGAACACAATGAACAGCTCCTAAAAAAGTAAGCCTCTGAGAACATGTATGTAGAATGCACCATGCCAGACTATTTCAAAATTCCTAACGTTTATATCGCGGTAAAGCAAAGTGCATTTTTTTCAGGACCTGCCTTTGTGATTGCCAGTCAAGCTCTAAGAAGAAAACCTAGTAAACGAGATTTTTCTCCGTCATTATAAGTATTGTATTTTCACGATATAAGAACTTTTGGTAACAATTTACTGGAAACAACAATAAACCTTTCTTTGGTGATGAAATGTGTTTGAAAAGCAATGTAATAATAATTGAAATGGTATTTACAATGGTTAGAATAGCGATGTAAAGCCTGAGGCAATAAATTTGGGAAGAAAAATTTTTAAAATTTAAATTTCACAAAATTTGGAATTTTCGAAAATCAAGCAAAATTTGAGAATAAGAAAGTTGCCGGAGGCGTTTTAAAATCCCGTAGACATTATTTTTTCATCTCATGAAAGTTGCCCTATTTGGTTTCGAACATTTCGCTCAAGAATTCCATCGCACCGTGCAGCGGATGCAACAGCCCCGCGGCGGTTTTGGCACAATCCTGCACCGGACACTCCTTCTCGCAGAACCACAGCTGACAATCGAAGTCGAACGCGCGCTTCAGCAACGTGCTCTGGTTCATGAACGCGTGCACATTCAGCACCACCTTCCGGTCGAGGTTGCTCCGATGAATGGGCTCCGCCCCCATCAACGGCGTGTAGTAGGGGTTGGGGCAGCCCTCCTGCGTGACGAGTTGGAGCTTCTCGTCCCGAGGCATGTGGTCGTTGCCGAACCAGCAGTCGGTGACCATGAAGTTCTCGTATCGCGGGTTTGGCGCCATTTCGAACTCGATTTGGAGCGTTTCGGTGGGGAAGACCTACAAAATGGGATTTACTCAGAATTCACTCAAACTGCGATTATGCGAATTGATTACGCCGAGCTCTGGTTTTTGGGGTCATTTTATACGATGAAACGTGTATTAGGGAGAAACTTTCAAAATTTTTGATTTTCATCGTATAAAATGTCGCCTAAGATTCGATGTACAGTGAAATCTTAGGGCCGTATAATCGAGAGCATTTCCGATAAAATTGGAAATAAACTTACATCAATTAATTTGTCTCCATTCAACAGCTCCATGTTGAAGGTCTCTTTCACAAATTGGTTCTCCAAAATTTGGAAATCCGGTTCGTTTTGATCACTGATTCGAGGATAGACCAGTATCGTACTTCCTGAAAAAAAATTTTTTGCATTTTATTAAGTTAAGGGTTCAGACTCCGCCCCTTTACTCGATCTTGAAACTAGGTCAACGGCCCGATCGAGGCGAATGCCCGATCGGTTGGCCAGTCGATGTGACCGAGAGGTTAGAGGGAGGTGACCCTCGGATCGCATATTTAGGCCCTCCGAGAGGATGGGGCCGAGGGGCACTCCGTGGTTTTGGGGTTCTATTTTATGTTTATTATTGTATTTTGCATTTTGGTATATCTAATAAAGACCTAAGGAGTATGTCGGAATTAGACGATCCAGAACCGGCCACGCCGCCAAATAAAACTGGTAGCTCAGAGTGGTTCCGTCTATTCCACATCGCAACTCTAGGTAACCCAGCCCGGTTGGAAGATGACTAGGTTGCGAGGTCTTCAGTTAGTCTTCGCGGCTCTCGACCATTGTCGAGACAGTAGCTGTCCTCAACGGTAGCTCCTCCAGCCACGTAGAGAGCGGGGGAGATGAGGCCGTTATTATAGCCGGTAGTCGCGAATGCCGGTCTATGGCGGTTTCTAAATGGGGCCTCGTTTCGCTAGATCCCAACCGGTCATGGGATGGGTTGTAGGTGTTCATATTTCTTAGGTTTAGTTAGATATACCTTTAATTTCAAAATTTTCTTTATCCTCAATTACGGTAGTGTCCCTGGCCAGCCGCATCTGGTCGACAAAATTTCTGTCGGTATTTACGACAGAGAGGCGCTGTAAATTCAGGTACCCTCTGCCCGTATTAAAATTGGGTCGCCACTTGGCGAGCCATTCGCCCGATTTACGACAGAGAGGCAGCGCAACAGCAGTTGCCCTCTGCTGGGGTTGTAAAATACGGTCGCGGCCCGTTAAGTCATTAATCCGTAAGGCCAAAGACGCGACCTGGCCACCAGACGGAAGGCCAAAGAAGAGGAAGGCTCAGGAGAATTGTCACATCTACTCACCAACACCTCGTGGAACGTGACTTCATATCATCAGCTGCCAAGGAAACCATACCCTCAAGAAACTCCAGGTAAGTAAACTATTTATTAAACCCAGTTTAATAGTAGGCAGCTTGCTGCACATAGTTGAGCTATTGAGTTCGTAGGTTTTTCAGGTTCACTGTTGTTTATTTTTCTGAGTCTATTCTTTTCTCTTTAGTGTAGTTAGTATCTATCAAAAAAAAATCCAAAAAAATTTTATCCGTGTAGTCATGAATTCTAAATTTAAAATTGAAATTGACGATCCGCTGCCCCCGGTCTTCACGACCGAGAAAGAGGCAAGCTATAAGAGTGCCATCTATCGGTCCATTTTTTGAAGGGGCCGACAGTTGGAATCTCAAGTCGAGCACGGCTTTAGCCGGCTTGGCCAGAATCCTAGTTGATGCGTCTGTTCGGTGTTTCATGACAAAATAATTCGTCAAAAAAAAAAACCAGATAAAGACAATCAATTGGATCATGGATAAAAAAAAACAAATCGTTAGTAACCCTTTGGCACAACAACCTCAAGCGTTTCCCGGAACCGTTGCGTTGTAAAATGTCCAAAAGAGGAAACTCAGGTTTATAAATCAAGTGGCTTCATGGTTTCGCAAGTGCAAGCAACCGATTGCGACAAGTTCCACCTACACTAGCAAACATGTGTGCCAATTGATATTGCATCCATTTCTAGCTTGTGTGTCATAATAGACCAAAGAAAGAAATTGAAGATGCCAAAATTTAGTTCAGTGGTAGAGTTTTTGGAGAAAATTAAATCTTTATCCAAAGACCACCAGCTGTTTTTCGTATAGCTACGTTTAAAGCTGAATATACATGGAAGAATTCGTTGGATCATCGAGGACGATGATTTTCCAAAACCCCGCAGAAAGGAACGTTGGAAAACTATTCGACCCATTTCATCGACAACTGAATTCAACAGCAAACAGACCAGACCGATGGTGGCCGAGCAAAGTATAACCAACCAGCCAGCCAGCCCTCAGTTCAGCGTCATCAAGGAATTTCATCGGAACATTTCGGATAACGATGTAATTCATATTCATAATTTGTATTATAGATTGTTACGATTTAATCTAGTCTTTCTGCCAATTTTTATTGTCCCCAGTCTATATATTTGAGATATAATAAGTGCTCAAGAAAGAGATCGTCTTGTCACATATAGTACCCGTACATATTGCTTGAGGACAAGCAATTTCTAAAAGGCCCGGAGGAGTTAAGGGTTCAGACTCCGCCCCTTTACTCGATCTTGAAACTAGGTCAACGGCCCGATCGAGGCGAATGCCCGATCGGTTGGCCAGTCGATGTGACCGAGAGGTTAGAGGGAGGTGACCCTCGGATCGCATATTTAGGCCCTCCGAGAGGATGGGGCCGAGGGGCACTCCGTGGTTTTGGGGTTCTATTTTATGTTTATTATTGTATTTTGCATTTTGGTATATCTAATAAAGACCTAAGGAGTATGTCGGAATTAGACGATCCAGAACCGGCCACGCCGCCAAATAAAACTATTATAAAAAAATCCGACAAAAGTTTTTTTTGTCGAACAATACTTACCGAAGAACGGTTCCATCGATTCCTCCACACTCTTCACACCATTCGAATCTTGATGAACATAGCCGCTGTAATTACACTTGATCCAGTAGATCCGGTCCAGCGGTGTGAGAAGCCCATCTAGCTTGCTGTTGTCCGGTTCGTAGATCAAGAACTGGCCAAGGGTGTTGTTCTCGAACTCTCGAATATCGCAATTGGGCTGTTCGACGCGATGAGTGAAGTTTTGGGGAAGTCCTGGAATTATTTTGGGATAAAAAAATTTAATTTTGTTTTTTGTAACGCTCTCAAACTTTCAACGAATATATCGAAAAGCACAATGCAGTGTAAAAATGAGTAATTGTTGAGGCAGAACTGTGCGCGTCAACGACAATTCGGGTCAAAACAAAATTGATCGATACGGGGCGTAGAGCAGGTGAACACCCAAAAAAGGTTTTAGAAAGTGCCTCCGAGGCCTGGCAAAGCAGCTGGATGTCCGGCGGACGCTCGGCGGAGACTTGGCGAAGACTTGCAATGTCTCCAGTTTTTATAACTTTAGCCATTACTTACGTTAGTTTTCTTTGTCCTATGCTATTCTAACATACCAAAATTTGCGGCAAAAACCAAAGATCCGTAACTTTTATCTACCTATTATTGATGTGAGTACATGTAAAATACCTCAAAATGGGTGATAAGCCATCCCAGGACCCGATCAATCTTATTATTTCTACTAACAAAGCCTTCTCCTAGGCTCCAAACTTTTTCAATGTGCAAAGAGAATTTTCTTCAAAAAAAAAGCTGAAAACCCCGCTAAACTCACCCAAGAACATGTTGATGACTCCACTGTGTTCTGAATGTTGATAGCAATCGTGAGCGCGCCTCATCGCGTAAAACCTTCCACTGAATGGTTCTCGGTCTCGAACCTCCACGTGGATTCCGTTGCCAGTGCAGAGTGTTTGAATGAAGTGTGTGGGGATCACGGGTGCTGTGGTCTCTTCTTTGGCCATACTGAGTTTGTTGACGTTGATGGTCACGGTGGCTGAAAAATTAAGGAATGGAATTTCAAAAAACTTCCAAAAACATGTCACGATGACGCTCTTTCCAAGTAAAAAAATTGTAAAAAATACCGAAGATGACTTATCAAGACAGCCAAAAAGCAAAAATTTATTTTTTGCCACACTTTTTTATTTTAAGGTGACATTTTATACGATGATGACAAAAAACAAAAATCTCCGAAAAACCTGTCACGATGACGCATTTTCGCAAAAATAAAATTTTCGAAACATAGTAGATTTCAACCTGAGCATGTGAACACAAATTTCTTTCGTTTTTCTTGCGTTTTTTGAACTTAAATGCGACATTTTATACGATGAAACCTGCATGACTTAAATCGACAAACATTCATCCCCTATGGCAGTAATAAAAAAACTCACGCCTTTCTGCCTCCTTCTCCTCCTCAGCCATGGCTGCACAATCCGGCTGCTCACAAGCCCCCACACAGTATTCGAAAGTGCACTCCACATCCAACGCACTGTGGTCCGAGTCGTCCATGAACAGGAAAGGCTGGATTTTGAAACTCCTCTGTCGCTTGTATTGACTGTCAATCTCGCCATGAACCAGCTTATTTTCGAAGGTTGGGCTAATGCAGCTGGAACAGACAAAATTTTCATATTGCATTGGGCATTTTCATATTGCTTTAGGCACTTTTTCTTAGGTAGTTCGAATCCTCCGACTTTCATCATGTTTTTGCCAAGACTTTCTTTCTCAACTGCCTTATAAAACCCTAGACGAACGTAACCCCCAAAAATCATCGCATTTCCTCACCCATGTTCCACATATCGTAATCGGCTTTTCCTTCCGATGGTGCACTCCTTGATGTAAAAGTCCTGATACTCGGGGGTGGTCTCGACCATTTCGAAATTCAATTCAATGATTTCATCAAGATCCACGTTCAGCTCCCCGTTCGAGTCGACCATTTGTTGGGAGAATGGGGAATGCGCGCGGTCGGGTGACGGGAAAACTTGAGAAACGCGGCCGAGTCCACGTCGAGTGGTCGACTTGCGACGCGCCGCTTCGGAGTAATCACAAGTGAATTTGAAGACTTGATCCATGGAAGTGATCAGTTCGGGCATTCGAAGCTTGTTCTGGGAGATGAGGATTTGCCCGGTGAAGAAGGGAACGTCTCCGAGGGACCATCTAGAATGTCATGAAACTGACGCTTAATCACACTGTTTTCATAATATTTTTATCAAGCAGTTTTTTTAACCGTGTCGCCGCGGTTTTGCTCAAACATTTACGCAATGCAAATGGCTTTTTTTGCGTCCCGACTTTTCGGACTACGACAGTTCGGGTCAAAACAATATTGATGGATACGGGGCGTCGGGCACAAAGAACCCAAAAAAGGTTGTAGGAATTTCTTACGAGGCCTGGTAAAGCCGTTGGATGAAAGGTGGAGACTTGGCGAAGGCTCGGTGAAGATTTGCAATATGTCGACTTCTTCTAATTTTTGCTATTACTAACGTTAGTTTTCTGTATCCTGACTTATTGTAACACATAAAAGACCAACGTTTGGGGCAAAAACCGAAGACCCACAACGTTTATCTAGATATTATCGATGATGCGTACATGTAAAATACTTCAAAAAAGGTGATAAACTGTCCTAGAACCCGATCAATCTTATTATTTCTACAAACTGGCAAGTCTTCTCATAGCCTCCCCCATGCATACAACGACGGACCGACACGATCCATAGTATCGTTGACCCGAACTGTCGCTGACCCGAAAAGTCGTGGCGACTTCCATTAGATTTGAACAAAAACGAAAAACTGTCCATGCACTTAATAAATAGGTGAGAACATACTCAACTTTGTTGAGTTTTGGAACCATATCCCAATTTGTTACCTCTGTTCGGCTCAAAACCCACCTCAGACTGCAATTTCCAGTGTGATCAAAGTCCTCGTCCGTCATCTGTCCGCCGAATGGCCGTCTCCTTCCGAATTTCCCCAAATTAAATTCAAATTGGGTCTCATTGACCACTCCCAAATTACAGGTGTCATAATAATCGACAAGATGGATCTCTCCGTAGAAGGGCTTGTCCATTTTGAAATTCAGATGGATCCCGTCGTTCCGGCAGACCACTTCAATTTCGTCTTGGGTGATTTTTATGTCCGGTTGGGTCGGACGGACCTGGCTGGTCTTTCGGATGGATAACTTGATTTCCGCTGAAAATACGACTGTTTTTTCTTTGCTTTTCCTTTTTTTGGAATGTCGTTTTACAATTTTTGCCAAGCCCTAAACATTTTGCTTTTCCAAATTCATGAGGGCATTTAAACAAAAAATAACTAGAGCAATTCAACGGGAAGCTCTGAAAGCTCCAAGAATACGCCCCTTATATTTTTTATTCAGTATATAAAAAGTCAAAATCAAAAGGATAAACCGGGCTCTTAAATTCCGCCCAACACTTACGTTTCTGTTCCAACTCCTCTTCATTCTGACCCGGGCACACCGGCCGATGACAATTTCCCTTGCAAACGACGTATTCGTAATGGACAGCGATCCCGTTCTTGGTGTCGCACAGGAAATCCATGGGCAAAAGGTTGAAGGTTTTTACGGTCCTGGTTACCGTGTTCATCTCGCCGACATACGCAATGTTGCTGAGGTTGGCGATTGGGCAACTGGAATTTGTTTTCTCATACGAGCCAGCTGTTTGAAGCGCGACGCTCAGATTTATTTTTGGATTTTGCACACACGTCGCGCATAGACCGCATATTAATTGCTGAAACTTTTAGCTTGCCCTTTGCAGGCATGATTGAGATATTCAACAATCCTTGCGGACGAGAAAGTACGCAAAAGGCGGAGCGCGGTCAGAGATAATCACAGTTTTGGGCCCGACCTTTGCCGGTTTCGCTGTGGTACCAATAAGCATGGAAGTTTCCATGCCAAATTCACCAAAAATTGTCATATTTTTCCATCTTGCTATCTAAAAATCTCGATCGTTTCTGCAAAGCGCGCGTTAGAAAGAATTATTCTAAATCTGTGCCAAACTTCATCAAATCTGATCGTCGCACTTGGAGCACTTCTTCTATCAGCTATGTGTAAACCTACCCCTCTTTGATCACCTCCAAGTTGTCACAAAACGCGCTGGTTGTCAGCCTGGTAATCACAAAGTCATATTCCTCCAATGGCGGTAATAACTCGAAGCGGGCCTCCGCCAAGTCGTCCACCAACGCCGTGACTTTCTTCTCGCCCAATTCAATTTTCTCTCCGCCCTCGACGTTGGGGAAAACTTGACTGAAGCCGCCGATAAAGGCCTCGGGGATGAAGCGGTCCGTCGTGTTGAAGTAATGCTTCCTCAAGAATTCGGTGTAGTCACAAGACACTTGGATGATCTGGTCTTGATGAGTCACAATCTCGGGCGCATTGAGTCCGTGTGCTTGGAGGACGACTTGAGCCCGATAGGAGCCGGGAACGACAATATTTCCGAACGCTGAAATTTGGCGTCAACAAGGGGACTGCGTAATGTCAGCGACGTGTTTGGCCTAGCTGTGTTTGCTAGTCACTTTCAACCTACCACTGCCCTTCTCCAAGTACAAATCACAGACGGGCACATTCAGCTGACCATCGATATCTTGCGTGCGCACATCCGGCAAAACATCAACGTCATGCATTAAGCGGCTGAAGCTTCCGTCCGATTGGACTCCATTCGGATCGTCTTGCCCCCTCAACCCAAACTGCTCTCCATTGTCGAAGGGCTGGAAGTGGCACAAATGGAAGTTGATTTCGTCCGCATTGTGATAAGCGTGACGGAAAACAACGGGATCCAGCAACGTTGTGATGTGGCCCGTGAATTTGCGCTCAGTGCGGATGTGAATCGAAATTCCCGACGCCTTGCAGACCGTCTCGATGCTGATTAGTTTCAGTGGACTCACTGGTGCCGATGGGGAGCGTTTTCGGTTGACCGCACCGAATACGGTGGCTGAAATGACGGAAATTTTGTTTCGGGACAGTTTTATTAGGTCGTCCAGAAAGTTGGTTCGTTTTTTCATTGCTTTGTTTTACAAGGAATGTTTGTTCTTCGGCAAATGGAACATATGTATTAGGTTGGGGAATAAGTCCGCAACGATTTCTTTATTGCCTCGTCCTGCAACGATTGTTTGTTGTTTGGAAAAGTTTATATATGCATTCGAAAGAGTTCTGTCTCCTCTACAAAACTGTGCTTTTAGTTTTTTTTGTAAATTTAATTTTTAATGATTTTTTGGGCTTAAAAGTGAACCATCTAGGAGGCAAAAATTTGCGTTTTCGACACCTGCTTTTTTCGCCGAGCAGCACGTGGACGCAAACGGCGGTCTTTGTATCGAATCATCATCGGGGATGAAAATCGTGTCTGTACGTCAATATAAAGCAAAATGTTGACTGTTTCCTGGAGTGGGTGGCCCCAGGGGACAGTCAAGCAAGATCCCCACCCAAAAAGGCCATGATCTGCATTTGGGGGGACTGGGAAGGCATGGTGCATTGGGACATGCCTCAAAAGAACGCCACTGTCAACAAGGAGCTCTATGATGCCCAACTACACCTCGAAAATCGGGCTATTCGACTGAAATCAAGGCCAAGTCATCTTGCTCCACGAGTCATCTTGCTCTCATGTTGCACAAGTCGTCAAAACCGCACTCCATGAGTTCGAATGGGAGGCTATTTAGCATCTACCATACTCTCGGACCTTGCGCCAACCGATTACCACCTTTTCCGCTTTCTGTCAAACCAAATCCGAGGTGAAAAATTCGATGGCGAAGAGGACCTCAAAAACTTTTTAAGCCCAAAAAATTATAAAAAATTAAATTTTCAAAAAAAAACTAAAAACACAGTTTTGTAGAGGAGAAAAAACTGTATCAAAAAGTATATATACCCTTTGCCAAACAACAAACAATCCTTGCAAAACAAAACAATAAAAAGCTCTACGAACTTATTCCCCAACCTAATATTTGATACAGCTTTTTCTCCTCTACAAAACTGGCTGTATCAAATAAATATATACCCTTTGCCAAACAACAAACAATCCTCGTAAAACTAGGAATGAAAAAAACGAACGAACTTTCTGGACGACCTAAGACCGAAAGGACGTAGCGGCGGGCCCATACTTGCGGGCAACCACTTTGCGGGCATAGAGAAGAACCAAGGAGATTCGTAAACTTAACAGTCCAAGGGAGCTGTCAATGCAAAATTTCTATCATACTACGTAGATTGCGGGAGGAAAATCGTAATTCTAATCGATAAATATCGGCTGCCCGCGAAGTGGTTGCGACGCCGACGTCGCGGTTACCCAAAAGTGTCACTAACAAGGAAAGTACCTTTTTGGTGGCAAAGTATCTTTTCGATGACAATTTACAATTGCAACTTACGTTTCAACGACGCTTCAACAACCACAAGACTTGCTAAAATCAGCAAAAGCCGAAACCTCATGTTTCCGTCACGACGGTACTTCAACGAATTCGGAACTGCTTTTCAGATCCACAACCTTCGCCGCCGGCCCTTCTGATAGCGGAACGACATGGAAAAAACGGCTCGACACAGTTTCGGAATGGAGTCAAGGTCAGCCTGATCGCACCTTTCTGTGCGAGCCGGCAGCTCCTTCTTGCGCGAAGGCGGATTGATTAAGATGGGGATATTGCGGATCGTTGATGACTTGTGAAGTGGACGGAAATTTGGGTTTCCGGGGCAGTTTTGAAAACCCAAGACAAACATTTCCTTCATCGGCGCCCACAATTGTATCTTTTCCCTCGATTGAACGCCACTGCAGTGTATTTTGAGCCGCGGCTCGCCAAAGAAATTGACCTTTGGATTGCGTGTCTTGCTCTCGTTGGTCACTTTACAACGTAATACCATTCCATGCCTTTCCACACCGTTTGTGTAAAGCAGTGGTCCTTCTTTGCAGGCGCAAAGGTGCAAACAAATCCAACAAAGCGATGACATTCTAAACCACAAGGAAATACATACTGTACAAAATTTGCTGTGAATAAAATTTGAGCTCGCAGAAAATCAGTAAAGAAAAAGACGATTGGGAAAAACGACAATTGGAAAAAATAAAATTACAGCGGTCAGGCCTATGTTTAGTTTCGAAAATTAACTACTGACTAGAAAATTTCGGGATTTTTTGTCAAGTACAATATAAAGGTTCACAGGGGATTCGTTTTTACTTATAAAAACTTTTATTTACTTATAGGTAAAAATATTTCCCAAAAATTCACTTATAAGTTAAAAAAAGGCGGAGCCTATTTTGATTTACTTATAAGAAATTATATTTACTTATAAAAACCTTTATTTACTTATAATTACCAATAAGGACTCCGAAAAGAAAACAGTTGAGCGCCAAAGACGCTTTTGGCTTTTTGAACGCATGGGCGAGACTTAGAAATTCTAAGTTTTGCGTAGCAGTACTGGTCAAAGAGGGTATTTAAACGTTGGATGGAACAAGGTAAGGTGTTTCTAGTGAGTTATTTTCTTTTACAGGACTGTAAACAGTGGGTAGATGAAAAATCCGGAACATAAGAAACTTCCCGATTAGGAAACAAGTCAAAATGGAAAAGCAGACAGCCTGGGAAGATCTAGGAACAAGCATGATCAATCAAGAATTTGGATGGAGAACTCTTTCCTCGATTTTGGTAGGTGTTTTAAACTGCTTCCACATTTCAGAAGGCCAGAAACTTTTCAAGACATAGTTTTCTTACGTTGTACTAGGTCCAGGTGAACCCACTATTTCAGATAATCACAAAATGTTCGTGGAGGAAGTAAATGGACAACGTGTACACAATGTCTGGAAAAAATGACTCTCGGATGCCTCAGGTATGTCGATAATATTCACCTAGACCTAGTACAACATAAAAAACATGATGTCTCAAAATATCATTGCCAAATTTCTGATCCTCAAACTAATTTTTGGGATGGGAAAGCAAAAAAAAATGAGTTCAAGGACAGCTCATAATAAACTATCTCCGACAATTTTATTTACTTTTTCTTTATCTTTGACTATTTTCAGTGCATCTAGCCGCAGGAGTGCCCATAGAAAATCCGCACAGAAACAATCCTTGCCCCTCAGGACACAGAAGATGCGCTAACCACATGTGTAACCGGTAATATATCAGTCAAGTTGTTTTTTACTTTGTTTGAATAAATTTTTATCTATCCTGCACTGTGCATAATTTTCTGTTACCTATAAGTATTTATAATTACCTATAAGTGAATTTCCCGGGCGCCGAAAATAAAAATTACCTATAAGTGATTTGAAAATCACTTAAGAGCGAAGGAATAAGAATTTTTTCTCGAGCTCGAGAATGTTTGCTGGATTCGCTACCAATTTCAAAAAGTAGCGGAAACCTCAAATTGCAATCTCCAAAAAATGCGTCGGAAGCAAATCGGCCATTTTGCGACGGCGCAAAATTGGGAGGTAGCAAATCGGCCATTTTGCGACGTCCCAAAATAAGCCCCGCCCCCTCAGTTTTTCAGCCATCACGTTTTGGCTTTTTTGACGAAAAAACACCGTTTAGGGTGAAAAATTTAGCTTACAAATCGTACATTTACGATACCATGAAAGAAAAAAGGTCCCTCGACTCGTTAAAACATTTATTGTAAAATGACGTACATTTTATGAAGAATATATTTTATTTTTTCCACGATTTTGTCCAAATATGGCCGGAGAGTCAATGGATGGGGCTGAAGAAAATTTGTTTTTCCACAATATTGTCCAGATATGGCCCAAGAGTCAATGACTGGGGTTGCAGAACATGGTCGGATATGGATCTTCCTGGAAATCAAAAGCAATATAACATTTCCTTCTCATTTTTAGAAAAAAAGACCTTCATACATACCTCATAGTGCATGCGTCTTCCGAGCATCCGAGCATCGAAATGGAGATAGTCTTGTGCAAAAATACGGCCGATGGGAGTGAAATTGATTCCAGGTAACAATTTCAATCTCTAAATTACCTAAAAACAAAGTAATAATACTTAAATCAAATCTTACTTCCTTTGGCAACTACCACACGGCTTTTCCTTTGTCCGATTTCAATGTTTCTGCCTCCTGAAAAAGATTTGTTAGACTCTTGCCATGAATAATGTAGAAAAAATTAGAAATCTCGTCCAAAATAAAAAAATAATAAAAAAAACAGCTTACCATGGAGACAAAAAGCCTTGTCGTCCCCGGTGGGTATAGCGATCACCTTGAGTCGGGTTGTCTTCTAATTCAGCTTCTCTGCATCTATTTGGCCAATTCAACAAAAGGAAACAAAAAAAGGAAAAAGAATTTGCGAATATTTTCGCGGCCCGTGAAGACGAAACACAACAATTAATCTCGCTTGCAGTGTTTTGTCTCACCACGAAAATGAAAAGGGGTTTGGCATTCTGCAAAATAAAAGAATTTCCAAAGAATATTTTTTTTATAAAAACGATTTTCTCGCCTTCCAAGTCCCGTTTCCTAGCCAAAAGTTCCTTTAGACGTCGGCAAGTTGCCAAGACATGAGTATGAACCATCAAAGTCTAAATTATTACATAAAGACACTATAATTGATAAAATATATAAATCTTCATGACTTTTTTATATTTATTTTTCCCATTTGCAGAATGCCAAAAAGTGCCAAAAAGCCGGGAACTGATTTTTGTTATGGGGAAAGATTGATGTATAACTCCTCAGCCGAGTAGTAAATGTGCCGCGATTTTTTGCATACTGTTTGATAAGAATGTGTCAATGTTGACTTCCAAGTTTCATGCGATTTTTCGTTATTATAAGTCGGTTAGACCACGGGAAAGATTGCAATTGTTGAATACTTAAGGTGGCTATATCTTGCAAACGGTAAAAACTGCAAAAATTATTTTAGGTGGTGCAGATAGAGTTCTATTCCCTCTTTCTTATTTACTATTCACCCAATCACCCGATGTCCTCAAAAGTGAGAGGCGATAATATTTGTTGGACCGTGTTTTTGTAACGAAGTGTTCAAAAATTTCAATCAATAATTGAGAAGATTAGCTAAAAAAGCGCTTTTCAATTGGGATTAATTGTTGTGAAATGCCACGCAGTCCGAGAACGGATTTTAGGTCCAATTTTCGTGGGATTTCTGTTCATTCGATCCGAATTGAAGGCAACCGAGGGCCGAATTCCGGGTTGGACAATTACGTAAGCTTTATTCTTGGTATGTTATTGTTTTAGTTGAATAACAAGGATTTCCTCGGTCTTATCAAAAGAGTCTGCCGTCTTTTGGACAGTCGAACCTTTTGAAAGAGCTGTTGAAGCCGATTGCTCCGAAGGCCGAATTTCAATGTTTGGACGTAGTTTATGTAAGCCTTGCTCTTTGTTATTATTTTTTTAGTAATAACGACAAGGATCAGGATGTTTTGGTTTTATCAATAAGATATGGTCCGAGCGGGATGCGTCAAATTGGAGATGTGTCTTGATCAAACTCGAAAAGAATGGAGTGTGGGAAGATCGATGCATCGACGAGTCGTTTGGAAAAGTCGTTGAAGGCAGAATTGTCCATTACACCCGGCGCAGAAGGCCATATGTTGGAGACCACATGAGGATAGTTATCTAATATGTGCACGAATTGGTTTCTGTCAAGAATTGGGTCTACATCGTGGGTCTACAAGATAGTAAGAAACATTTTTATTTTATTTTCTTGCTTTAGGAGAAGGAGGACTGGCCCCATCAAACCCCGCGGCTACGTCTGTCTTAGCCGTTCAACCCCGCACAGCAGGTCCCAGGAACTCCCCAGCAGATCCAGGACCTCCCCGGCAGTTCCAGGGCCATGTCTCCACACGGACTTGCAGTATTGTCCAGAACACCGTGATTTCAATGCTGTATCCTCTGTTGTTTCATCCCTGGCCATATCATACTTATTAGAGATGTTGTTAGTCTTTCTATTGGCCATATGTTAAGCTTTATTATTGTTTACCTGTGTGTCCCCAAGAGGCTGTATTTTTATTTATTTAGTTGTGAATTAGTAGCAAGAATTATTTTATACCGGTTTTAATGTAAAATATCTCTGTTTCCTCTCTTACGCCTTGTTATTTTTTGGATTATTAGTTTTAATAAATTGTTATTGTCAAGAAAAATGTATGGGAGTATGAATAGTGCTTTATACACTCGAAATATATTCAAAACGGCAAACCGGAGCGCTAGAAAAAAAAATGCCGCCGGAGTGGGCGGAGTCAATTTGGGAGGTCGCAAATCCACGGATTTGCTACCTCCCAATTCCGCGCCGTCGCAAAAACGTCGTTTTGCTACCTCCTCTCTCGCGGAGGTAGCGAAAACGACGATTCGCGACCGATTTTTTTTGGAGGTCGCGAAAAGAAGGATTCGCTACCGAGACCACGTCGCAAATAGATCATTTCGCTACTTTTCGAAATTGGTAGCGAATCCAGCAAACATTCTCGAGCTCGAGAAAAAATTCTTATTCCTTCGCTCTTACTTATAAGAACTTTTATTTACTTATAAAAACTTGAAGTTTTTATAAGTAAATAAAAGTTTTTATAAGTGATTTTGAGTTCCCTGTGTTGAAAGAAATCTCTCAAAATGTTTTTAAATTTTGTCATTTGATGCTACAAAGTATCTTACAGTCTGTTTCCCACCTTTTCAACCGAATTTCATTCAAAAATCGTAAAGTTTCCATGAACATCACGTTCCATTTGGAGTTCCGCCACGAAAGTGCACAATCTTTTTGGCATTCGGTCAGTATCATCAATTGCATCAACAGAACGAGTTTATGTATTGAGCGGCTTTATTAGACCCAAACAAGTTTTTTTATGTAAATTTTGTCGTTTCTTTGGATTTGGTTTCGCTTTTTTTTGTGTACTATTTGAATTTAGTCCTTCCCAAAAATTGGTTGATCTTTGTTGGATCTGGCCGGAAACTGATCGAAACTTGAAATGCCAGACTACCTCGGAGAAGATCAACGCAAACAGAAAAAGGATCCCACTAAAGAAGAGGAGGAAAAGACTTTTCAAGGTAATTTTTAGTTTTTTTTGTCTGCGTTTAGGATCTGTTACCTAAAATTAGGTAAAGATTGCGTGTAAATTTAAACAAAAGCTAATGAACGTTTTACAGCGCTCGATGAGGGAGATATTGCCATTCTGAAGAGATATGGACAAGGGCCTTATGCGGAGCAATTGAAAAACCTTGAAAATAACATTGAAAGTTGTCTGAAGCGGGTCAACGAACTTTGTGGTGTAAAAGAGAGTGACACGGGTTTGGCTCCGCCAGCTCTGTGGGATATTGCCGCCGACAAGCAGGCTATGCAACAAGAGCAGCCTTTGCAGGTTGCGCGTTGTACCAAGATCATCAAAGGCGAAGGACAGGATGCCAGATATCTGATCAACGTCAAGCAATTTGCCAAGTTTGTTGTCGACTTGGCCGACACTGTTGCACCCACCGACATTGAGGAGGGCATGAGAGTTGGTGTGGACAGGAATAAGTACCAGGTAAATGTGATTTTCCCGACTTTTTCGCGTCGCAATATTATATTATTTTAGGTAACAAAATTAGACAAATTGTTAAATTTCTGTAAATTAAGAGTGAATGTTTCCATTTGTTGTCTTATTTGACGAGTTATAGATCCATCTTCCTCTTCCAACCAAAATCGATCCGACTGTCACGATGATGCAGGTCGAGGAGAAGCCAGATGTCACTTATGCCGACATTGGTGGATGTAAAGAGCAGATTGAGAAGCTCAGAGAGGTCGTTGAGACCCCGCTGTTGCATGTAAGTCTTTGATATTTGTTTTTCGAATTTTAGAAACTAAAAATACCTTTTTCTTGACATGAAAGCGGATTGAAATTTCGACCAAGTCAGTTTTAACGCCGTCGTTTTAGCCCGAGCGCTTCGTCAATCTGGGAATTGAGCCTCCGAAGGGCGTGTTGCTCTATGGTCCTCCTGGTACCGGTAAGACCCTCTGCGCCCGAGCCGTCGCCAATCGCACCGACGCCTGTTTCATCCGTGTGATTGGCTCGGAATTGGTCCAAAAATACGTTGGAGAGGGTGCTCGCATGGTCCGCGAGCTCTTTGCAATGGCACGAACCAAGAAGGCATGCCTCATTTTCTTCGATGAAATTGATGCGGTTGGCGGTGCGAGATTCGACGATGGAATGGGAGGAGATAACGAGGTGCAGAGGACCATGTTGGAACTGATCAACCAGTTGGATGGGTTTGATCCGCGAGGCAACATCAAAGTTTTGATGGCGACCAATCGACCGGATACGTTGGATCCGGCGCTTGTCCGACCAGGCCGTCTCGACCGCAAAATCGAATTCGCTTTGCCCGACCTGGAGGGACGCGCCAACATCTTCAAAATCCACGCCAAACAAATGAGCGTCGAGAGGGATATTCGATATGATCTGCTGGCCAGGTTGTGCCCCAACGCGACTGGAGCCGAGATCCGATCCGTCTGCACCGAAGCCGGCATGTTCGCCATCCGCGCGCGCAGAAAGATGGCCACGGAAAAGGACTTTCTCGAAGCCGTCAACAAAGTCATCAAGGTCTACGCGAAATTCTCGGCCACCCCCAGATACCTAACCCACAACTAAATTATTTCGCGTATAAATTGAAGTATGTGCACTGTTGTATGTTGGTAAAATTCTTATATCGTCGACTTGATTGACGTTGGAGAAAAGAAGTAGACCGCTAGAACGGAATGCCAAGATTTTTTTGCATCTAAGATTTTCGTGGTGGGATGCAAGTCAAAAATTGATAAGACGCTTTTTGATTTGAAACAGCATATTGTTCAAAATTTGCTTGTTAATAAAAAGTTAGTGGCCACAATGTAAGGCAAAGTCGAATATAAAATATTTCATCAAAAAATTGTGAAAAAATTAGACAGTTTACAAAAAACCCCCACCTTTTGACCCTTTTCCAAAAATTTACTCAACTCTAACGCAACATTCGCCGGTTCAAGTTGAATTACCTGCCGCCAGCGGCGAAGGCGAAAATGGTTTGCAACAGCGGCAATAATTATGAGACGGTAACCGGAAAAGACCTTTCAAGGAGGCTATTACAAGGTCGTTTTGGGTAGATTGAACCGCTTAATCCGATCAAACCAACATGATCTTGCTATGGCTGGTTGTTTTAGGCTCTGCAATACGTGTTTCGTTGCCTTGCACGTCGACGACGACCGTGCAGGACCCGTTAGGTAGGTGGGAAAACGGGGAGCGACAATTGGGGAAACTGAAGAGTATTGTTTTCTTTCGAAATTAGCATAATCGGTGGCTCTGATTTTGAAAACGCCATTAATTTTTTTAATGTTTCTTTAATTAGTACTGTATAGTAATTTTTTGAAAAAAAATTCAAAAAAGAATACAATTTTACAGTATTAAAACTTACAGGGGAAGTACTCCAAGTGCGACGCTCAGATTTCCTTTAAATTTTGCACACACGTCGGCTATGGACTAAATATCAATTCCTGAAAGTTTTAGCTCGCGCTTTGCGGGCGCCGCCGAGATATCGAACGATTTTTGTCGCCGAGAGAGCACACGCTAAACGTGGAGAGCGGTCAGAGGCCATAACTTTGGCAGTTTCGTGCGGAAAAAATTGATTTTTTGTAGAAACATTATCCTTTACGGTTGAAATATGCATGAAACTTTTCGTGCCGAAATTCGGCAAAAAGTCCCAAATTTTCGCCGACTTTCGATCTAAAAATCTCGGTTGTTTCTGCAAAGCGCTAGTTAGGATTCTCGCATATATCTTAGAAAAAATTATTCTAAATTTGTGCCAAGTTTCATCAAAATATGAGCGTCGTACTTGGAGTACTTCCCCATTTAATGAAAAAGGTAACAATCAAAAAAAGAATAATTTCGAAATCAGAGCCATAGATTATCCTAATTTTGAAACTTACAGCGATGAAAAAGAATACTTTTCAGTTTCCCCAATTGACGACGTTCCGTCGGAAAAGGATCGGGGAGTTACCAATATTTTGAGTTGTAAATTTTATTGCAATTAGTCGAATTTTTTAGGAAATTTACAAGGTCTTTAAATACGATGACCAGATTTTGGTATAACTTGCCACAAATTTAGAGTATTTTTTTAAAATATGCGAGACTCCTAACTCGCGCTTTGCAGAAACCACCGAGATTTTTAAGGTGGGAAATGGGAAAAAAATAACCATGTTTTTGCAACTCTCCTAATTTTACATGCTCTCTCACTAAAAGATTGTTAAATATCTTGACCCTACATCTAAAGCGTTATCTAAAATACATGATTTGAAGACATCTGAAAGTAATCTCAACTAAGGGCATCTTTTAATCAACAAAAAAGTCGGTGATAAAACCCATAAATTTTGTGACATGTCCTCGAACTTTTGGAAATTAAAAGACAGCCTAAAAATTGTTGGGATTCAAAACTTGTTCTGCAAAAAAAGCGTAAAATGGTCAAAAAATCTTTTATTTTCCAGTTTGTCCTTACACTTGCAATACTTATGACCTGGGAAGCACCGACTTTCAAACTACAGTAACCACCGATTTCGAGACCCAATGCCCCGTGTGGTCCGTGTACTGTTTCAACAATTACTTTGTAAGTTCGCGAGCTCTTTTACCGACGCATGTGTCGATTTTTTAGATCAACGGCGAGGAGGTGAATCGAATAGCAAATCTAATGTGCGGACCGAATGGATTTACCTATAATGGCGCCGCGATTGATACGATTACTTGCAATCAATAGTTTCTATTTCTATGTGACACAATTTGTTGTACATAATAGTCATGTTTATATTGCCGTAATTGCTTTGTAATTCGGTCGAATGCCTTGAATACCAATGATTTTATAGAGGCTGCTAATTATTTCTTTAGATTTTTTGAGCGACATGACCTTATATCAGGTCATAGCGGCGATTGTGTTGTTTAATTTTCATATTGGTCCAACCGAGACTTGTACCAGCACATCCGTTAACCACATTCCACCAACTCCGCCCACTCCAATGGGTAAGTCTGAAGGGTTTTCCGGCTGGCGGAACAAAATTAATAAATATAATAGCTTTTTTTAACCCTTTGCGGAAATAATATAATGGTGGTTCAGCCCATCGAAGCTTTATTTGGGACTTATGACAAAAAATGTTATAAAAAGTACCTCCAGTTGACATAACCCTTAAAAAAAATTTTCTAACGGCCTGTAAATTAGAAACTGCCCCCTCGCTCAAATTTTGAGACTTGACTGAACTGATGCACTACAAACGCTTTTTTTAGGCTGCAAAACATGCCCAGCGGATGTTTTCTTGAGAACCACAACGATAACGGATAACGCCGACGGATGCATGCAAATAACAATATACTGCGCAATGTCTGATCAAGAAATCTCGGTAATTTTCTTCACTCCTATCCTCTTTTTTTTGATTTTTACAAACCGCAATTTTTACTATCGATTTAGTTCAACAACGGGGCAATTGATGCGACAGAACGCGGACAAATTACCCTTCAATGCGGCGATGGAGGCTGGGTGTATAATGGGCAGGTGGTAACGGAAGCCACATGCACGCCTGTATAAAGATATCTCAAACGATTTGCTGTACATATTGAAGACAACGAATAAAGTTAAAATCACATGCCAACTGTAGCTGAGAGAGAGAAAAAGAAAGTTTATAAAAACGGGACGACACTTGCGGGCACCCACTTTGCGGGTAGCCGACGTTTTCCGAGTAGAATTACGATTCCGAAACGGGAAAGCGCGGACGGTAGCTAACAAAAAAAGAAGAATGCAAAGTGCAAATTGTTGCTAGGAAATAAATGTAATGAACCAGTACATCTGCGTTTGAACCTATTCACTTCATAGGAAACAAAATGTAAAAAAATCTTTCTGTCCTGTCATGAAAGCAAAGCCGGGTAAAATATTAATGTTTAAGCCTGCGGGGCTTTATCAAGGTTTCGTATAACATTTATTGTACATTCACATAATAAAGTCCACGATTACCCCTTTCCAACGCCCCGGGCACGACCCTTTGAGCCGTTGCGAGGAGCAAACTCTGCCGGGATATCCGTGCGAACGGCGGGCATCTTGGCCATAAGGAGGTACCTCGTTAAATAAAAAGTGACAACTAATAAGATCAAATCTAAACCTCACAAAACGAACAAAAAATTTTAGCTCTCCATTTCCTGCCCGATATATCCGAAAGCACTGTTTGACTGATAGTTTTGGTAGAAGAGAAGTCGATCAAAAACGGGATTCGTTTATATCCACGTAAACTTGGACTCGCCCGGTAGCCTCGGCTGGCCCCTGGCCTTCCCATGGCATCCACTTCCCGCAACTATTATGCATTCCCCTTAAAAATCGAAACGTCGATCGCTCAGGAACACCAACAGTTTCACGATAGGCTCAAGAGTTCAACTGTTTCGCTTTACTCTTTTTCCCTCCTTCCGCCAAATCCGAAAGCGCAACAAAGCGGCGCAACCACAAGTCAATACACGGACAGCAACAAGGTATACGAGAGGAAGGTAATTATGAAACGGTAACCGGAAGAGGTGGTTCGAGAAGCCCTCGGTTATAATACCTGGTCCGTTTGAGGTTTGATCCGCTGAGATTTTTGGGATGATTTTGTTTTGGACGTTACTTCTATTCGATGTGTTTCCAATGGCGTCGCCTTGTACCTCAACTACAACAGTGCAAGATCCGTTAAGTACGAAAGCGTTGGCTTCGAAAAAATACGAAATTTTTTATTTTCCAGTTTGTCCTTACACTTGCAACACTTTTGACCTGGGAAGCCCTGACTTTCAAACAACAGTAACCACAGACTTTGACACTCAATGCCCTGTGTGGTCTGTGTACTGTTATAACAACTACTTTGTGAGTTCTCCAATTCTTTCACTGTTGATTTCACTGTAAACTTTTAGATCAACGGAGAGGAGATTAACCGATTAGCCACATTAATGTGTGGACCTGACGGATTTACTTATAATGGCGCTGCAATAGATACGATTACTTGCAATCAATAGTTACTATTTGTATATTATAACTGCTCCTTGTACATAATAATCATATTTAAATTGTTGCAATTTCTTTATAATTTGGTCAAATGCCTTGAATACCAATGTAGAGATTGCTAATTATTATTAGTTTAAATTTTAGAGCGGCATGACCCTATATCAGGTCGTAGCGGCGATTGTGTTGTTTAATTTTCATATTGGTCCAACCGAGACTTGTACCAGCACATCCGTTAACCACATTCCACCAACTCCACCCACCCCAATGGGTAAGTCTGAAGGGTTTTCCGGCTGGCGGAACAGAATTAATAAATATAACAGCTGATCAGTTAGAAATTTGACACAGATTCAATCTAATCTTCCCATTTTTAAGGTTGCAAGTCGTGTCCAGACGAACCTTTTTTAAGGACCACAACGATAACGGACAATGCTGACGGATGTAATCAACTCACAATATATTGCGGAATGGCCGATCAAGAAATCTCGGTAAACTTTTGGCTTTTTTTCTCTCTTCCTTCGCATAAACTAAAATTGTTCTATTCAGTTCAACAACGGAGCAATCGACGCCACGGAGACTGGCCAAATCACTCTTCAATGCGGTGATGGGGGATGGGTGTATGATGGTCAAGTTGTAACGGAAGCGACATGCACACCTCCATAAAAGCTTTGCAACTGATCTCCGCAATTTTGTTGTACATACTAGTAGACGAATAAAGTAATATTCAGCTATTTTATCGAGTCGTAATCAGAGATTGCCACGGCTCCGGAGCCGTGGCCGCTCAGAGCCGGAGCCGGAAATTTTTGGGGTCGGCTCCGGCTTCCGAGCCCAAAGTTGGAGCCAGGCTTCCCAGCGGTCAGAAAAGTAAAAATTTCGCGATCTTGTTAAACCAAATTGCTTGAAAAAACACTGCGGAGGATGTGACTTGACTGCAAAAACGTTGGCTGTATGATCTCTGGCACTAATAACTTTTATTTTTGGAAAAATATTTTTAAAAAAAATTTTGCATAGGAGCCGAGATTCGGAGCCGGAGGCCTTTTTTAAGTTTTGCACGGAGCCAAGAGCCGGGGCCGGAGCTGCAAATTTGGCCTCGGCTCTGGGAGCTAAGAGCCGGAGCCAAAATTTTGACCGTGGCAATCTCTGGTCGTAATTAACAGTTATTATCGCATCTTGTCTTTTAGCCACTATCAAGTTTATATAATACTCAGCCACCGCCCAAGACGCACATCGCGCTGGCTGAAGCTCGGTTCCGCCTGCGGAATAATTATCCAAAACAAAGAAATTTAAAAAATGAAAATTTTCTCGTCTGGGACAAGTACTCCCTGTCTACGACTCCAGACGCGAAAACACACTCATAAAGGGTGTGCCAGCGCCCCAATGAACGCCTACTGTTAAAGGTTTAGACCTTTATGCTGCTAGTGTGCAACGTTTTGCCCGCATATGCAAACTTAAAGGTGCCATTGCCCGATTGGATGTAGTGTATCATTTTGCATCGTATCACCGTGAACCGGGCCAAATTTCGTCGAGGAAAAACGGGGGGTAGCCTAACCAGAAAATGCCAGACTTTTGCCCATAATTTCCACGAGAATTGACACAGAACAATTTCGTCGGAACGGTTCCTATAAGGAAAATTCTATACTTTGTCTAAATACGGCTAAATCCAAGAGTTCAGCTGTTACGTTAAACTCCCTCCCTCCCTCCTTCCGCCAGATTCGCAAGCGCAACAAAGCGGCGCAAACAAAAGTCAATACACGGACTGCAACAAGGCATACGCGAGAAAGGTAATTATGAAACGGTAACCGGAAAAAGTGGTCCGAGAAGCTTTGGTTTGTAATGGTACGTTTGAGGTTCGATCCGCTGAGATTTTCGGGATGATTTTGTTTTGGACGCTACTTATATTGGATATCTTTCCAATGGCGTCGCCTTGTACCTCAACTACAACAGTGCAAGATCCGTTAGGTACGAAAGCGTTGACCTTGAAAAAATATGAAATTTTTTTATTTTCCAGTTTGTCCTTACACTTGCAACACTTTTGACCTGGGAAGCCCTGACTTTCAAACAACAGTAACCACAGATTTTGACACGCAATGCCCTGTCTGGTCTGTGTACTGTTTTAACAATTACTTTGTGAGTTCTCGAATCTTTTTACTGACACATTTTCTCGATTGTTAGATCAACGGCGAGGAGATTAATCGATTAGCCACTTTGATGTGTGGATCCGATGGATTTACTTATAATGGCGCTGCAATAGATACGATTACCTGTAATCAATAGTATTTTTCTATGTTATGACAATTTCTTGTACATAATACTCGTATTTATATTGTCGTAATTGCTTTCTACTTCGGTCAAATGCCTTGAATGCCAATGATTTGGTAGAGATTGCTATGACTGTTTCTTGTATATAAAGATATAATACTTCCGACTCAAAGCGAAGCTATTGATTATATACTCAAAAGGTTAACGACCTTGAAATATCGATTTTTTATTCTTTCTCTTTTTCCAAGGCCTTTTCAGATTTTAGGTCATAATGGCTCGCTACCTGATAATGCTAGCAATGATGATACGGACTTTAGAGTTCGGCCTTGTTGAGGCCTGTACCAGTACCACCGTGACGCATCTACCGCCAACTCCGCCTACTCCGATGGGTAAGTTTAACGTCCTTGACGTGGGACAAACAGATTCGAAAAAAAACTTGGCGTATATTTAGAGCAAAGTATTTTTAAAATTAGGGGAAATTCCTACCTCGCGCATTCCAGATACCGCCGATATTTTTTTAGCGAAGGTTGCTCCAAATTTTCACTGCTTTCCAACTTTAACTTTAAAAATTTAGGATCAGTTACTACTAGAGTGTATTATACTCCACAAAAATTCAAAATCTTCTTTGCAACTGCCTTCAAAACGCTTTAATCTCATCTTTATTTAGGCTGCATAACCTGCCCAACAGAAGGCCTGGAATTCCTCTTTGTGAGGACCCACACAGTCACCGACAATGCTGACGGTTGTAATCAATTAACTTTATACTGCTCAACACCGCAGCGTACCATTAGTGTAGGTTAATATTCGATCTCGAGATTAGCAAATTTTGTGGAACTGTTGAAAGTTTTCCATAAATTACATTAATTTTAGTTCAACAACGGAGCGATTGAGACCGGCCAACAGGGTCAAATAACTCTTCAGTGTGGCGAAGGTGGATGGGTTTTCGATGGACAAGTGATATCAGAGATGACATGCACTGGCTAGCTAAGTCATGCTTTGTTACTATGTCGACAGTTATTGCCGTTTGTACATATTGAAACATAATATATATTATAATAGATGAAGCTAATAAAACTTAAAAATCTTTGCTTGGACATTCTTGAAAATGGTCAGAAAGTGGGTGCGTGCGTTATTGCGAACCTAAACCGACAGTAATCTCCGTGTTCATCTCAATTGCGGCCTTTTTCCCGTGAGAGAAATACTTGACACCTCGAGTCGAGACTTTCTCTCTTCCTTTTTCGGGGCAAAAATCCTCGCTGCCGGCTTTTCTTGCGGCACACACGAAGAATGGGAGCGCCGCAGGGTAAGCGAGGAGAATAAAGACGACGGCACACTCGTCTTCCTCCTCCATACGCCTCCCGCATCCCCATGGCTGCGTTTTTGGGCCGTTGGCCCCGCGTAATTCGCCTTTTTTCTGCCGGCTGTTTCGTTTTTTCGCCCATTGTTAGTCGGATTAGGCATGCTTCTAATTTGTTTGATTAATAAGTCGACCAGAAAGGCTTTAAAACCCGAGTGGAAAGAAGTTAGGGATGGTACTCGGGGGACTTTGATGATTTTTTCATTTTTATATTATTTTAGGTACTTTCCGACAATTTTATGTTTTCGAACGTCTTGTGATGCATTTTCATGAGAGTTGTGGTCGGTATAGCTCGTCCGGGGTAGACATGGCTAGTGGGCCGGGCCGAACGAGTTTTAAAGGCCCCGGGGCCGGGCCGACCTCTTCCGGCCCCCGGGCCGGGCCGACCGGGGGCCCCCGCCAGGCCCCCAATCGGCCCCCAATGACTAAAATTCCCAGTTTCAAAGCGAAAATTAGTTGCCAATAAAAATAAAACGCAGAGCCAAGAACCGATTGGGTTTTTTGAAGCACTTTAGGCAATGGTTGGTAATTTTTTGTTTCAAAAACTTATTGTCTATTGTTATAACAAAAAAATGGGGGCTAAGGTAGTACAACCCCCCAGTCCAGTTCAGCCCCCCATGGCACAGCACAAACCCCCTCATCCAATCTGAAGCGCCTACTCGGGATTGGGTTCTCTCTGCTACGATCATCGTTGCCTGAACCACAAGAACGAATTTGGACGGTAAAAAACTGGGGGGTTTCAGCTAAAACGCCGGGGGTCATTTTACTCTAATTTGCATTTTTTGTATTATTTACAGTTCGGCCCCCGGTCGGCCCCCCAAGGGGCCGGGCCGGGCCGAGAAAATTTGAAGGGGGCCGGGGCCGGGCCGCGATTTTCGGCCCGGCCCGGCCCCCCAGCCATGTCTAGTCCGGGGGAAGGTTTTAGCTTTGAGAGGCGTTTGGCCCTGTTTTACAATTGTTTTTTTTTATACTTTGAAGACTAGATATTGTTTTAGGTAAAGGTGGGGAAATATTTGTTTATTGCTGATCATGCCGTTTAATTTGTGTTTCCCAAGTTAGAATAAAAGTTGCCTCTTTCGCGCCTTGTTTCGTCACGTTTTACACGGTTTTACGCTTGTGTTCAACGGTACACTTGGCAACCGCTCATGATTTACGCGAAAGGTATTTTTAGCTTATGTAAACTGAATCCGATGTCAAATAAAGTTTCAAAAGGACCTTCTTTAACTGTTTAAAATTTTTTGACATTTTTTATCGGTATTTTTATTCATTATATTGCACTAGAGGTTTATTCTCTAAAATTTGGCATGTAAGCGTTTTGCGGTTTTATTTTGTCAGAATTTTTAAGATTTATGACTTCCTCACCCTCTCCAAGAGCTCGGAATATTATAATTGCGTAGTTTACTTTGTTCGAGAGCTTTTTGTGGGGCTGTGACCTTATTTTAGACATGTTTCGATATTATTTTATTGATAGTTTTTATTCTACAGGTCGTGCAAATGTCGTGAGTGTTAGTCGCCAACATTTTACTAAAATTTTTTGTTTTAGTCTAGTCATCATGTCTAAGGTTATCAAGTCCGAGCCGGACAAGGACGATTTTCTCCAATATGAAGAGGAGCCCATTGAGAATCTGATGATCGAAATTCAACCTTGGCAGGATTCGGAGGAATTTGTGGATGTTGTGAGTCCCGAAGACGATTTACTTTACGACCATCAACCTACAATCATAATATACCAACATGAAAGTGATCCCATTTCTTACGACGCTGTTCCGCCCGTGCAAAGCCGCACTGCCTATTTGCATGTGAGTTTTTCTTTAACTTTTTTTTGGTTTTTAGGTATGGTGGATGTGACGAACTTTTTTATTTCAGAGAAATCGCCAAAAGCGAAAGAATTCCACCGATGAGTTCAGCGACTACTCTACCGACCCTCCTCATTATTCCTCGGCCCTCCCGTCGACCTCGGTCTCAAGCAGCAATTCCACCACGTCTAAGATGTTGAATCCGTACGATGATGATATTTATATCGATACGACCCAGTTGGCTAAGGAAATCACTACCGAGTTGAAGCATCGCTGCATTCCGCAAACGATTTTTGCGGAAAAGGTCATTGATCGATCCCAGGGCACTTTATCAGATTTGTTGCGCAACCCCAAGCCATGGGAAGAGCTAAAGGCCGGGAGAGATACGTATAGAAGAATGTATTCATGGCTGAACCAGCCGTTGGCACAAAGGTTGGCGATGGTTGGGATGAGCGAAGGCAAAGTGCAACTAGGTAATCATTTTTTTATTTTTTCTGAATTTAGGATTGGAAGTTGATGGAATCAAAAAAATAAAGAATCTCGATGTTTGGTCCAATTTTTGTTCGAAAGTTGAGCTTTTTAGTCTAAAATATAATAATTAATAGGGTTTGGGGTTTCTTTTTTCTTTTGCTCCGATTGACCTGATTTTTGGCATGGGGGTTCTTTTAGATGCGCTCTTTGAGTATTTGAAAAAATTTTTTGAAATTTTCAATTTTGAGTGGCCTATGACGTCATGAAAAGTCGAAACTTTGAGTCTTTGTATCTCGGTCCATTTTACAGCTACCGACTTGATTTTTGGTTCCATCGCGTATGGTACATAATGGGACAATCACTGTCGAGATTTTTTCGAAATTTCAAATTTTTCGGAAAAAATCCCAAAAAATGACCTTTTTTCGTAACCTTTGACTAGCAAGAAGAATATTGAAATGCAAGCTTCTACAGGTCCATATCGGGAAAGCAAATTCATAACTAAGAGATATCTCAATGTATGTGTAGATACGGCCATGTACAAAGTTACACTTCCAGAAAACCCCGTCATGATGACGGATTTTCTGGATTTTTTCGATTCCATTGAATTCCACGTACCCGAATTCCTATTAGGTCGTGTCTTTCTTTTTTGTAGTATACTTCGTATTTTAGCTATGGCTTACTGTAAAAAATACGATTTGCACAGTGCAAAGTTCGACAAAATGGTTCTCGGCTCCCAGGTCGAAATTCGAAAAAACGGCTCGCTGATCTTAGTTTTTTTGCCCGGAGATTGCCCCTAAATTTTTTCAGACCATTCTACATAACCATCGCTTCAGAACATCTACATACTTGAAAACGCAATTTTTCGAAATTTTCAAAATTTTGACTTTTTAAAAATTTTCTCCCTGATGTTCAACAACGATGTCAAAAACGTCCAACTATTGATTGTAGAGCTCGAAGAGCTCTACAAATTACCCGCTTACATCGTCTTCGTATCTCGGAAATTACGGCCGCCAGAGCGGCCGGAAATTTCGGTCGATTTTTGGTGCACCGTGCGAAAAAAATCGCCCTCAGGGCAATAAGCGGAGTTGAACAAATTGATCTCTCAGGGGCTATTGGGCACAGAATAAGCTACCATCGTGCCAAGTTTCACATCTCTATCCTCAATATTTCGTGCGCACTGTGCCGTCAAAAAAAAATTTCGAAATTTCGGCCAAAATTCGGCCCTGAGGGCTTGAAACGGAATTTTTTCGCATTTCTGTTGCCTCTATCGTTTTTATCACGTTGAACTGCTATAGAAACAGGTATCAATTCCTAAAATACGGACAAGGTGAAAAGGCAGTATTCGAATTTCCGAATTTTTGAATTTTACTTCAACGTACGAAAGTGAAGTTATCTTGGGAACAAGGTCGAAATTCAAAAATCCGGCTCTAGCGTTCCCTCGGTAATTTCACTGGCTTGACGAAACCCTTTGAATCCAGCCTTTTGATTTCGACCCTAAGGCCAGATCATTTTTGAAAAATTTTGGTGACAAAACTCCAAACCTTTAAAACCGTCAAAACTCGAAATTTTCTCATTAAAATTCAATCAAAGGTTACATATTCGGAATCTCCAGGTAATTTTGCATACAGTAGGATACATTTCGCCGGTACTTTTAGTGCAACAAGTGCCAGTTTTGAAAAAACGCCCACTTCCATGGCCGAAAACACAAAAAAAGAGCGCGGGGAAGAGAGAGAGCGGGCAGAGAACCGCTTCCTTCTTCGTTTGGCGGGAGAAAAGAGAGAGTGGGAAAGTGGTGGAGGGTGGTTAGACAAAGGTTTTCTCTTTCGATTCCGGTCAGAGATAAGACGGAGAGAGTGCTGAGTGTGAGGAGGGTGGTACGGAAACTGTCATCGTGACGCGTAATGACGGGATTTCTGGATTTTTTCGAGAAATCTTTGTAAAATTATTTTTTTGGTCCTGGATTCTCGGGATTTGGCCGTTTTAGGGCCAAATTTGACGGGGATTTCGGGAAAAATATTGGCTTTGGATAATTTTGAGTGCTGAATCTATTTTTTCGAGTTTTTTAGTTGATTTTTCCTTATTGTATGAGATTCTGATCAAGTTTGGGTGGAAGGGAGATTATTTTAGGTAACAAAATGTAGTCTCGCGGCGGCCGTAGGCCGTCGCCTCATGCCGGCGGGCTCTTTAACCCGGCTTAGCGATCTGGGACTGACCTGAGCTTAGCGATTAGGGAAAGCTTAGCGATCCTAACTTTTTGGTCTTAAAAACGCTACAACTTTCAACTAGGCTCAGTCTAACGCGTAGCGTTTTTCTGCCGCGGCCGGAGGCCGTCGGCAAAGCTTTGGCGAGCGTTTATGTTGTTTTCGACGTTGAACAGGTCCAAATCGCGCGCATTGTAGCGAAACCGGGCGCAGGGCTGCCCGAGAGACGTGAGCAGCCGCAGGCTGCGAAGTCTCGAGCCCTAGTCTAAAATATAATAATTAATAGGGTTTGGGGTTTCTTTTTTCTTTTGCTCCGATTGACCTGATTTTTGGCATGGGGGTTCTTTTAGATGCGCTCTTTGAGTATTTGAAAAAATTTTTTGAAATTTTCAATTTTGAGTGGCCTATGACGTCATGAAAAGTCGAAACTTTGAGTCTTTGTATCTCGGTCCATTTTACAGCTACCGACTTGATTTTTGGTTCCATCGCGTATGGTACATAATGGGACAATCACTGTCGAGATTTTTTCGAAATTTCAAATTTTTCGGAAAAAATCCCAAAAAATGACCTTTTTTCGTAACCTTTGACTAGCAAGAAGAATATTGAAATGCAAGCTTCTACAGGTCCATATCGGGAAAGCAAATTCATAACTAAGAGATATCTCAATGTATGTGTAGATACGGCCATGTACAAAGTTACACTTCCAGAAAACCCCGTCATGATGACGGATTTTCTGGATTTTTTCGATTCCATTGAATTCCACGTACCCGAATTCCTATTAGGTCGTGTCTTTCTTTTTTGTAGTATACTTCGTATTTTAGCTATGGCTTACTGTAAAAAATACGATTTGCACAGTGCAAAGTTCGACAAAATGGTTCTCGGCTCCCAGGTCGAAATTCGAAAAAACGGCTCGCTGATCTTAGTTTTTTTGCCCGGAGATTGCCCCTAAATTTTTTCAGACCATTCTACATAACCATCGCTTCAGAACATCTACATACTTGAAAACGCAATTTTTCGAAATTTTCAAAATTTTGACTTTTTAAAAATTTTCTCCCTGATGTTCAACAACGATGTCAAAAACGTCCAACTATTGATTGTAGAGCTCGAAGAGCTCTACAAATTACCCGCTTACATCTTCAGCGTATCTTTAAAATTACGGCCGTCAGAGCCGCCGGAAATTTCGGTCGATTTTTGGTGCACTGTGCGAAAAAAATCGCCCTCAGGGCAACAAGTGGAGTTGAACAAATTGATCTCTCAGGGGCTATTGGGCACAGAACAAGCTACCATCGTGCCAGGTTTCACATCTCTATCTTCAATATTTCGTGCGCATTGTGCCGTCAAAAAAAATTTCGAAATTTCGGCCAAAATTCGGCCCTGAGGGCTTGAAACGGAATTTTTTCGCATTTCTGTTGCCTCTATCGTTTTTATCACGTTGAACTGCTATAGAAACAGGTATCAATTCCTAAAATACGGACAAGGTGAAAAGGCAGTATTCGAATTTCCGAATTTTTGAATTTTACTTCAACGTACGAAAGTGAAGTTATCTTGGGAACAAGGTCGAAATTCAAAAATCCGGCTCTAGCGTTCCCTCGGTAATTTCACTGGCTTGACGAAACCCTTTGAATCCAGCCTTTTGATTTCGACCCTAAGGCCAGATCATTTTTGAAAAATTTTGGTGACAAAACTCCAAACCTTTAAAACCGTCAAAACTCGAAATTTTCTCATTAAAATTCAATCAAAGGTTACATATTCGGAATCTCCAGGTAATTTTGCATACAGTAGGATACATTTCGCCGGTACTTTTAGTGCAAAAAGTGCCAGTTTTGAAAAAACGCCCACTTCCACGGACGAAAACACAAAAAAAGAGCGCGGCGAAGAGAGAGAGCGGGCAGAGAACCGCTTCCTTCTTCGTTTGGCGGGAGAAAAGAGAGAGTGGGAAAGGGGTGGAGGGTGGTTAGACAAAGGTTTTCTCTTTCGATTTCGGTCAGAGATAAGGCGAAGAGAGTGCTGAGTGTGAGGAGGGTGGTACGGAAACTGTCATCGTGACGCGTCATGACGGGATTTTCTGGATTTTTTCGAGAAATTTTTGTAAAATTATTTTTTTGGGCCTGGATTCTCGGGATTTGGCCGTTTTAGGGCCAAATTTGACGGGGAATCTGGGAAAAATATTGGCTTTGGTTGATTTTGAGTGCTGAGTCTATTTTTTCGAGTTTTTTAGTTGATTTTTGGTTGCTGAAAGTATTTCTGATCAACTTTTGGGGAAGGGGAATTATTTTAGGTAAAAAATGTAGTCTCGCGGCGGCCGTAGGCCGTCGCCTCATGCCGGCGGGCTCTTTAGCCGGGCTTAGCGATCTGGGAGTGACCTGAGCTTAGCGATTAGGGTAAATTCTCAATCTAAAACAAAGTCGGCTTAGCGTTCCGAACGACACAAGTTTTTACTAGGCTCAGTCTAACGCGTAGCGTTTTTCTGCCGCGGCCGGAGGCCGTCGGCAAAGCTTTAGCGAACGTTTATGTTGTTTTGGACGTTGAACAGGTCCAAATCGCGCGAAGATCAGCAATACCGGGCGCAAAGCAGCGAAACCGGGCGCAGGACTGCCCGAGAGACGTGAGCAGCCGCAGGCTGCGAAGTCTCGAGCCCTAGTCTAAAATATATCTATTAATAAGGTTTGGGGTTTCTTTTTTCTTTTGCTCCGATTGACTTGATTTTTGGCATGGGGGTTGTCTTAGATGTTCTCTTTGTGAATTTGAAAAAAATTTTCAAAATTTTCAATTTTGAGTGACCTATGACGTCACGAAAAGTCGAAACTTTGAGTCTCTGTATCTCGCTCCGTTTTATAGGTATCGACTTGAATTTTGGTTTCGTCGCGTATGGTACATAATGGGACAATCACTGTCGAGATTTTTTCGAAATTTCAAATTTTACGAAAAAAATCCCAAAAAATGACCTTTTTTCGTAACCTTTGACTAGCAAGAAGAATATTGAAATGCAAGCTTCTACAGGTCCATATCGGGAAAGCAAATTCATAACTAAGAGATAACTCAATGTATGTGTAGATACGGCCATGTACAAAGTTACACTTCCAGAAAACCCCGTCATGATGACGCATTTTCTGGATTTTTTCGATTCCATTGAATTCTGCGTATCAGACTTCCTATTAGTTCGTGTCTTTCTTTTTTGTAGTGCACTTCGTATTTTAGCCATGGCTTACTGTAAAAAATACGATTTGCACAGTGCAAATTTCAAAAGATTCGTTCTCGACCCCCAGGTAGAAATTCGAAAAAATTACTCGCAAATCTTATTTTTTTTGCCCGAAGATTGTCCCTAAACTTTTTCAGAACATTCTATGTAGCCATCGTTTCAGAACATGACGGCACTTAAAATGCAAATTTTTCGAGATTTTCAAAATTTCGACTTTTTCGAATTTTTCTCCCTGATGTACAACAACGATGTCAAAAATGTTCAACTATAGATTGTAGAGCTCGAACAGCTCTACAAATTACCCGCTTACATCTTTTGCGTATCTTTAAAATTACGGCCGCCAGAACGGCCGGAAATTTCGGTCGATTTTTAGTGCACCGTGCGAAAAAAGTTGCCCTCAGGGCAATAAGCGGAACTGAGAAAATTGATCTCACGCGGGCTATTAGGCACAGAATAAGCTACCATCGTGCCAATTTTCAGATCTCTACATTCAATATTCCGTGTGCACTGTGCTTCCGAAACAAAAATTCCAAATTTCGGCCGAATTTCGGCCCTGAGGGCTTGGAATCGAATTTTTTCGGATTTTAATTTCGTCCATCATATTCAGCACGGCAAACTGCAATAGAAACAGGTATCGACTTTTAATATACGAACAAGCTGACAAAGCAGTAGTCAAATTACAAAATTTCTGGATTTTGCTTACTTTGACGAAAGTTACATTATCTGAAAAACAAGGTCGAAATCGAAAAATCCCGCTTTCAGTTGCACTCCGTATTTGGACTCTCAACATGTTGCCCAAATTTGGTGGAGATGGTCCAAAGTTTTGAACAGTTATCCGGTCGCAAAAAAATTATACCAAGTTTCGCAAATCTTACATTTGACCAGAACTCAAAAATTTCCAACTAAAGTAGGTCTAAAAGTTACATATTCGGAATCTGCATGTCATTTTGGATATAGTCGTATCTTTTTTCCCGGTACTTTTAGTGCAACAAGTGCCAGTTTTGAAAAAACGCCCACTTCCATGACCGAAAACACAAAAAAAGAGCGCGGAGAAGAGAGAGAGTGGGCAGAGAACCGGTTCCCTCTTCGTTTGGCGGGAGAAAAGAGAGAGTGAGAAAGGGGTGGAGGATGGGTAGACAAAGGTTTTCTCTTTCGATTTCGGTTAGAGATAAGGCGAAGAGAGTGCTGAGTGTGAGGAGGGTGGTACGGAAACTGTCATCGTGACGCGTCATGACGGGGTTTTCTGGATTTTTTTGAGAAATTTTTAGAAAATTATTTTTTTGGTCCTGGATTCTCGGGATTTGGCCGTTTTAGGGCCAAATTTGACGGAGAGTTCGGGAAAAATATTATCTAAGGATACTTTTGAGTGCTGAGTCCACTTTTTTAGTTGATTTTTGCTTATGCGATTTTGATCAGCTTATGGTGGAAGAAAAATTATTTTAGGTAACAAAATGTAGTCTCGCGGCGGCCGTAGGCCGTCGCCTCATGCCGGCGGGCTCTTTAGCCGGGCTTAGCGATCTGGAACTGACCTGAGCTTAGCGATTAGTGTAAGCTTAGCGATCTTAACTTCTCGATCTAAAACAAGGGCGGCTTAGCGTTTCGAACGTCAAAAGTTTCTACTAGGCTCAGTCTAACGCGTAGCGTTTTTCTGCCGCGGCCGGAGGCCGTCGGCAAAGCTTTGGCGAGCGTTTGTGCTGTTTTCGACGTTGAACAGGTCCAAATCGCGCGCAAAGTTGCCTTTATCCGCAGGGCCGCCCGAGAGACGGTAGCAGCCGCAGGCTGCGTTAGTCTCGAGCCCTAGTCTAAAATATAATAATTAATAGGGTTTGGGGTTTCTTTTTTCTTTTGCTCCGATTGACCTGATTTTTGGCATGGGGGTTCTTTTAGATGCGCTCTTTGAGTATTTGAAAAAATTTTTTGAAATTTTCAATTTTGAGTGGCCTATGACGTCATGAAAAGTCGAAACTTTGAGTCTTTGTATCTCGGTCCATTTTACAGCTACCGACTTGATTTTTGGTTCCATCGCGTATGGTACATAATGGGACAATCACTGTCGAGATTTTTTCGAAATTTCAAATTTTTCGGAAAAAATCCCAAAAAATGACCTTTTTTCGTAACCTTTGACTAGCAAGAAGAATATTGAAATGCAAGCTTCTACAGGTCCATATCGGGAAAGCAAATTCATAACTAAGAGATATCTCAATGTATGTGTAGATACGGCCATGTACAAAGTTACACTTCCAGAAAACCCCGTCATGATGACGGATTTTCTGGATTTTTTCGATTCCATTGAATTCCACGTACCCGAATTCCTATTAGGTCGTGTCTTTCTTTTTTGTAGTATACTTCGTATTTTAGCTATGGCTTACTGTAAAAAATACGATTTGCACAGTGCAAAGTTCGACAAAATGGTTCTCGGCTCCCAGGTCGAAATTCGAAAAAACGGCTCGCTGATCTTAGTTTTTTTGCCCGGAGATTGCCCCTAAATTTTTTCAGACCATTCTACATAACCATCGCTTCAGAACATCTACATACTTGAAAACGCAATTTTTCGAAATTTTCAAAATTTTGACTTTTTAAAAATTTTCTCCCTGATGTTCAACAACGATGTCAAAAACGTCCAACTATTGATTGTAGAGCTCGAAGAGCTCTACAAATTACCCGCTTACATCGTCTTCGTATCTCGGAAATTACGGCCGCCAGAGCGGCCGGAAATTTCGGTCGATTTTTGGTGCACCGTGCGAAAAAAATCGCCCTCAGGGCAATAAGCGGAGTTGAACAAATTGATCTCTCAGGGGCTATTGGGCACAGAATAAGCTACCATCGTGCCAAGTTTCACATCTCTATCCTCAATATTTCGTGCGCACTGTGCCGTCAAAAAAAATTTTCGAAATTTCGGCCAAAATACGGCCCTGAGGGCTTGAAACGTGATTTTTTCGGATTTTAACTTTCACCATCGTATTCAGCACATTGAACTGCTACATAAACAGTTATTAATTCCTAAAATACGCACAGGTTGAAAGAGCAGAATTCGAATTTCCGAATTTTTGGATTTTGTTTACTCTGACGAAAGTTACTATAGCTCGGGAACAAGGTCGAAATTCAAAAATCCCGCCCGACACATGATAGACAATTTGATAAGGATTCTGCAACCAGAAGCTGGGATACGATTCCGAGAGATATGATCAGAAATCGTGTTTGAAGCGGCGGTCCCAAAAAATCCCGAATCGGAAAAGTCTTCAAATCTCAAAAATTTCCAACTAAAATTCGTCTAAAAGTTACATATTCGGAATCTCCATGTCATTTTAGATATAGTCGTATCTTTTTTCCCGGTACTTTTAGTGCAACAAGTGCCAGTTTTGAAAAAACGCCCACTTCCATGACCGAAAACACAAAAAAAGAGCGCGGCGAAAAGAGAGAGCGGGCAGAGAACCGCTTCCTTCTTCGTTTGGCGGGAGAAAAGAGAGAGTGGGAAAGGGGTAGAGGGTGGTTAGACAAAGGTTTTCTCTTTCGATTTCGGTCAGAGATAAGACGGAGAGAGTGCTGAGTGTGAGGAGGGTGGTACGGAAACTGTCATCGTGACGCGTAATGACGGGATTTCTGGATTTTTTTGAGAAATTTTTGTAAAATTGTTTTTTTGGTCCTGGATTCTCGGGATTTGGCCGTTTTAGGGCCAAATTTGACGGGGATTTCGGGAAAAATGTTGGATTTGTATAATTTTGAGTGCTGAGTCTATTTTTTCGAGGTTTTAGTTGATTTTTCCTTATTGTATGGGCTTCTGATCAAGTTTTGGTGGAAGGAAGATTATTTTAGGTAACAAAATGTAGTCTCGCGGCGGCCGTAGGCCGTCGCCTCATGCCGGCGGGCTATTTTTTCTGGATTTTTTCAATTCCATTAAATTCTACGTACCAAACTTCGTATTTGGTCGTGCCTTTCTTTTTTGTAGTGAACTTCGTATTTTAGCCATGGCTTACTGTAGAAAATACGATTTGCACAGTGCAAAGTTCGACAAAATGGTTCTCGGCTCCCAGGTCGAAATTCAAAAAAATCACTCGCAAATCTTATTTTTTTTGCCCGAAGATTGCCCTCAATTGTTTTTGGACCTGTAGTCATCGTCATCTCTCAGAACCAGTTTCGCCAAAAAAAAGTCGATTTTTCAAATTTTTCAAATTTTCAGTTTTTCAAATTTTTACCCCGGACGGTCAACAACAATGTCAAAAGTGCCCAACTATAGATTGTAGAGCTCGAAGAGCTCTACAATTTACAAGCTTACACCACGTTCGTATCTCTCGAATTACGGCCCCCAGAGCGGCCGGAAATTTCGGCCGAAAAATGGGCACCTTTTTCAAAAAGATCCCCTCAGGGCAACAAGCGATGTTTGAAAACTTGACTTCCTGGATGTGATAGTAGACAAACCAAACTACCATCATGCCAAGTTTCAGGTCGCTGCGTTCCGTATTCGCTGTGCACTGGGTCATCAAAAAAAATTTCGAAATTTTGGCCGAATTTCGGCCCTCAGGGCTTCAGATGGAATTTTTTTGAATTTTTATTTGTTCTGCCGGGTTCAGTAGGTTAAACTGCTATAGAAACGACAATCGAATTCTAAAATACGACCAAGCTGCGAGAGGAATATTAGAATTACAAAATTTTTGGATTTTGCTTACTTTGGCGAAAGTTACATTATCTGAAAAACAAGGTCGAAATCGAAAAATCCCGCTCTCAGGTGCACTTCGTATTTAGACTTCGGAGAAGTATGCAAAACCTCAGTTGTAACATACAACTTTTTGGTAAGATATTTGGAACGAAAAAAAAATTTCAAAATTAACATAATCACAAAATCGACCAAAACTCAAAAATTTCCAACCAAAATTCGTCTAAAAGTTACATATTCGGAATCTCCACGTCATTTTGGATATAGTCGTATCTTTTTTCCCGGTACTTTTAGTGCAACAAGTGCCAGTTTTGAAAGAACGCCCACTTCCATGACCGAAAACACAAGAAAAGAGCGCGGCGAAGAGAGAGAGCGGGCAGAGAACTGTTTCCTTCTTCGTTTGGCGGGAGAAAAAAGAGAGTGAGAAAGGGGTGGAGGGTGATTAGACAAAGGTTTTCTCTTTCGATTTCGGTCAGAGATAAGACGGAGAGAGTGCTGAGTGTGAGGAGGGTGGTACGGAAACTGTCATCGTGACGCGTAATGACGGGAATTTCTGGATTTTTTTTGAGAATTTTTGTAAAATTATTTTTTTGGTCCTGGATTCTCGGGATTTGGCCGTTTTAGGGCCAAATTTGACGGGGATTTCGGGAAAAATATTGGATTTGGATAATTTTGAGTGCTGAGTCTATCTTTTCGAGGTTTTAGTTGATTTTTCCTTATTGTATGAGCTTCTGATCAAGTTTTGGTGGAAGGAAGATTGTTTTAGGTAAAAAAATGTAGTCTCGCGGCGGCCGTAGGCCGTCGCCTCATGCCGGCTCTTTAACCCGGCTAAGCGATCTGGGACTGACTTGGCGATTAGGGTAAGCTTAGCGATCTGGACTTTTTGACCTAAGACAAGGTCGGCTTGGCGTTTTGAACGCCGAAAGTTGCTACTAGGCTCAGTCTAACGCGTAGCGTTTTTCTGCCGCGGCCGGAGGCCGTCGGCAAAGCTTTGGCGAGCGTTTCTTCCGCAAAAGCGACTTTTCATCACAATTTATCTTCAAAAATGGCTCAAATCGTGCGCAAAGCAGCGAAACCGGGCGCAGGGTTGCCCGAGAGACGTGAGCAGCCGCAGGCTGCGAAGTCTCGAGCCCTAGTCGGTAACTGTAAACGGAATTCTTTCAGAAGTCCAAAAGAAGCCCCGTCCTGCTCGTTACGTCATCAGTGAAGCTGCGAGTCGTCGAAAAGCGCGGGCCTCCATCCCCAAAAAGTCCCGATTTGTATTCACAGAAATTCAAAAGCGAACGCTTCATGCCATCTTCCGCGAAACCCAGCGACCCAGTCGGGAAATGCAGCACACCATCGCGCAACATCTGTCGTTGGAACCGGCCACCGTCAGCAACTTTTTCATGAACGCCCGCCGTCGACAGAAGTATCAGCCGGATTGGGCGAGAAAAATGGGATTTGAGAGCGAAGATGAGGTCGTGAAGATCAAATTGGACAATTCAGATGAGGATTAGGCCTTGAAGAGTAATGGAAAGCAACAGGCATGGTAGCAAGGATATTGTAGTAGCCTGGAATTACTTTTTGTTTTATTTTATTTTTTTGATTTTTTTTTGATTTTTATAGATGATGCCTAAAATTCTGCAAATTATTGCATTTTATGTCTAGTCAATGCTTTAAAATTATCAGATCTCACGTAGAGGGTTATTTTTTACCCTCCAAACTTATATTTTATATTAATATTTTACAGTTTTTTGCCTTTTTTCTGACAGTGTCTTATATTTTGGTCTTATTCTTGTCATAGTTACTAAATTTGTGGGGCCCTTGAAAAACTTGGATGTAAATTATGTTTTACACGCCAATTTGTTTTTTGAAAAAAATCAAATCGAAATTTTCTCAAAATCTAAACATAGGATTTTGAAAATTTTGAAAGCGCATGCCTAAAAGTATTAATTATCGAAACTTGAAGAGGATCTAAAGCAAAAGCATGTCGATTTTGACGAAACACCGATTTCGCCAAACAGTTTTTCCATTTTTTGCGTAGACGAATTGCCGTGTATTTTACCTTGTTTTTCAAAGGATTTCACAACTTTTTTTTGACAAAGAAAGTACTTCTATGGGGCATGGAGTTACAGGTCGAGACATACACCAAAAAACGGCAAAATTTTTCTGATTCTGAATATGTAAACGTTAGCTGCCTAATTTTGGTCTGTAAGGGTGAAAACCCCTCAGAACTTTTCTCGGAGCACCACGCAAGTGCCCCTTTTTTATATTGGAACTACTAATTAAGGTGTATTATTTATCAAATTTGATATTGTAAGGCTTGTCAAGATACCAGGGTTTACTTTAGCTCAAAAACAAGCTTATGATTTGGTAAAAACTTGATCAAAAAGGCGCGTGATGTTGCGAGACAAGTTCTGAGGATTTTTTCGCCCTTACAAACCAAAATTAGGCGTCTAATTTTTACATATTCTGAATCAGAAAAATTTTGCAATTTTTTTGATGTATGTCTCGACCTGTAACTCCGCACTCCATAGAAGCACTTTCCTTGTGAAATTTGTAAAAAATTTTTATGCTAGTTTTGTTTTTTGGCTGTTTTGATCTCACATCAAATTATCTCGTCGGATTTTTCGATGCTATCTCACTTATGTCTAGTCTAACGCCTTCTTTGATTTGAAATTATATTTTTCTTCCCAGGGACGAATAATGTGCAGTAAATAATATATTGTCGTTAGTGTATATTTTTGCTCGTAATAAATATTTGTGCAATATTGAGGATTTAGTGGCAATTCGTGCGAAATTTTATTTGTAATAATTTCACATTTGCTTCCTCATACGACGCTCAGATTTTATTGAAAATTCGCTCGAATTTGGATGAGTTATTCTAAAGGATATTCGAGATTCACAAAGGGTTTGCAGAAACAACCGAGACTTTTCATCTGAAGGTCAGAAAAAACGTGTCCCGACCTTTCGGGCCAACACAAAATCGATACGGACAAAAAAAGGGTTGTAGAGAATGCCTACGAGACCTGGCAAAGCCGCCGCTGACCCGAACTGTCTAAAACAAAACTCCTAGTTTAATCACCTCATTCTAAAAAACTATTTAACCCTTTCCGGACGAGTCGGCACCTCCATGCAGAAATGAAAGAGGGTACCCTACTGAGTAACGGCATAATAGTGGTTCAGCCCATCGAAGCGTTATTTGGGACTTATGACAAAAAATGTCCTAAAAAGTACTCCCAGTTGACATAACCCTTATAAAATTTTGCTAACGACCTGTAAATTAGAAACTACCGCTAAGTTAAAGTCTAACACTCCTACTACTGTTACATCCAAGAACTGTCCAAATCGGACCACTACGGGATTAGTTATCGACTTTTGGAAATTGAATTTTAAATTTCGACCAATTTTTGGCCCAAAATTGAGTATATCTTCCGCCGGAATCAACCATTTCAGTCTAAATGTGGTTTTTCTGAATCTAGAGTGACGCTAGCTTCTTCCCAGAATGTTTCCAGAAAAAACCTACAGGGCACGTTTCTGTAAAAAGCGAAAAGGTTGAAAGCGTAAAGGTTTCATCGTATAAAATGTCGCCGCAAGCCGAGAAGGGTCGGGCGCAGCTCGAAAGGCGAAAATAATATATATTTTTTTGAGAAATACTATTTTAGTGTGAAACTAAAGCAAAATCCAATGAAATTGCCTGAAAACGCATTAAAAATATTAAAATGACATTGAGTTAATGTTTGCGTGCTCTGTCTGTCTGTATTTCATCTGAATTCAGCTTGTCGACACTAAAATAATATTTTTCGAAGAAAAATATTATTTTCGCCTTTCGAGCTGCGCCCGACCCTTTTCGGCTTGCGGCGACATTTTATACGGCGAAACCTTTACGTTTTCAACTTTTTTGCTTTTTACAGAAACGTGCTCTATAGGTTTTTTCTGGAAACATTCTGGGAAGAAGCTAGCGTCACTCTAGATTCAGAAAAACCACATTTAGACTGAAATGGTTGATTCCGGCGGAAGATATACTCAATTTTGGGCCAAAAATTGGTCGAAGTTTAAAATTCAATCTCCAAAAGTCGATAACTAATCCCGTAGTGGTCCGATTTGGACAGTTCTTGGATGTAACAGTAGTAGGAGTGTTAGACTTTAACTTAGCGGTAGTTTCTAATTTACAGGTCGTTAGCAAAATTTTATAAGGGTTATGTCAACTGGGGGTACTTTTTAGGACATTTTTTGTCATAAGTCCCAAATAACGCTTCGATGGGCTGAACCACTATTATGCCGTTACTCAGTAGGGTACCCTCTTTCATTTCTGCATGGAGGTGCCGACTCGTCCGGAAAGGGTTAAAAACGGGTTTGTTCAACTGCTTGACTCACGCCTCAAGATTCTGCAATTTTACACTAAAAACTACGGAAAGGCCCAGCGAATCCTTGAATAGCATAATTCCATAAGCAAATGTATTTTCTGCGGAATTCTGAGGAATTGCATTAATTTATTTGAGCAACTGCGTAGTTTAGCGACAAAATTCGGCACCGTGTCCTGAAGTCGCAGACCTAATGGAGCTATATAAAAGGTCGGCCAAGCTGAACAAAAAGAAGCGACACATCGTCACCTATTAGGTGTTGCTCATTATTGAGAAACAACTGATATACTCGTATTTTCTTGGGGATTCTGTTACAGACTTGGTGGCCACATAGAAGAAAGCTTTCCGCCCGTCATGCGATATCCCGGAATATGTAGCGTTCTTGTCTCGGTTCAGGCTTATGCTTGACCAGGTTAAGCCCAGGGCTGGTCTCTATTAGCTTCAGAAAACCCTCTCTGGGTTCTTCTGTAAGGCTCCGACACTTTGATTTTTTCAACAAGGTCAAATCAAAACTGGAACACCAACGTCTCATACCTTGTGTCGGCAGCTTTCCCGTTGAAAATAATTTTAGCCAACTTCATTAGATTCGTTTTTTCAGAAAATGAACGCTTGTTTTCTAATCTTCACGACTTTTCTTGCCATTGCGCTCTCCGCTCCAAACTGGCCTTACAGTGAGCTGCAACGGCGGCTAAACGAAGAGCAGTCGCAGGAATTTCGGAGAATCTTTCGAGATGGCCTGGATAGTCCAAGAACCGAATTAAATGCCAACCTGCGAACATACATCGCCACTTTGCCGCAAGAGCTGCAAGATGTGGCAGCAGAGGAAAGGCAGCGTCTCGATGATTCGATTCAAGCCGCCAGACAACGAGTTCAGGCGTTAAGCGCCAACGCGCAGAGCCTTTACCGACAATATGCGGAGATCTACAACGATGAAGGAATAAGTCTCCGCGAAGCCACAAGCAGAATCAACGATCTCTGCCGAACCGCGGATCGCACAACGTTGAGAGAATTGATCAATGCTGATGTTTTCAATGCCCGAAATGCTTAAAAAGTGGGCAAAATTAAAAAAGATATTTGTGGAAAATAAATTTGATGCATCGATTTGTTGATCGAACCGTTACAAATGAGGTTTAAGAAAGCCTTTCAAACTAAATGCGTATAATAAATGTAATTGTTTACAAAGAGCTCACCAAAACTTCGAAATTAAAGTAAATATTTATTATCTTTGCGACAAAATTATGGTGATGTTAAAGTCATTTACATACAGCCAATTTAAAGAAATGAAGCCAACAATTCTTATATTATAAATCCTTTTCGGCCTCTTCGAACAGATCGTCAATGATCTTCTTGTGCTTTGCGAACATCTCCTTCAACTGCTCCGGGATGTCAAGTCCGTCCAAGAAGTCTTCAAAGTCCTGTTGCTTCTTGTCATCGGGCTGGTCTTCGTCGTCCTTGACCAGTTTTTTCAGCTGTTCTTTCTGCTGCGGGTTGAGTTTGGCTTTGAGTTGCTGGAAAGGACCGGCGACGACAAGGCCGGCGACGGCCAGGATGATGAGGATTTGGTACTTCATGGCGCTAAAAAGTGAAACACTTTACTTTAATTAAACTTTTTAGCTCTTGCAACGCAACTGCTATAAAAGGAAACGTTTACATAGAGGACAACTTTTGGATGGCTACAAGATTTTCTACGACATTTTCTCCTTCGAACTTACCGAGAAGACAGTTGATCGGGCACAAATGAATAATGAATTGACGGAAGTTCATCTCCATTTTATACTCAAACTGTCCGCTGTGACCTAGCGTTAATCTTTTCATAGAACTTGCAAATTCTCCGCACCTGGTTAAATACATACAGCTACGTGTTGTGGAAAATTTTTCGGCAATCTCGGCGAACCTAACACTACAAAAATTCGTTTGAGCAGCCGTTGATTGTCTGCCCTTATGGGCTACATTTTTATCGCGATTTCACACCCGCTGGATTGTTCCTAAAATAGTTTAATTAGTCATCGACGTGAGTTTTGTGTAGGCTGATGAAAATGGACCCTATTGGGTCCAAGCGTTCGCCAACCATCCAAAACGGCTTCCGCCGGCGAATGTCACACTATATAGGAGCACTTACCTTGTATAATAGTTTTCCCAAACTCATATTTGTCTGTCCGGTTGGTCAACGTGTCGTCGACACATATTGTTTTGTTAAATACAAATAATTCAGACTTTTTTGTTAAATACAAATAATTCTGAACCTTAAAATATGTATGTTTATTTCAACCCCAAAAAGAAAAACAAAATTTGAGACGTTCAAAAAAACGAGTAAACGTCTTGAAATGAAACTAAGTCTTCAAGCTCATTGACCAAGCTTTGATTCGTTTGTTCAATAAGGTGCCGTGTCTTCAGCAACGTCGACACAACGGATAAGTTGTTGTCATCATGGTAGTCGACAATTTGCTTAAAAATAACTTCAGCTTGCGGACTTAAAAATTGTATTTTCTCCGCTGCCTTAAGGGTGTTTGATCTGTGTTGGATGGCTTGTCGCTGCAAGTTGAACAGTTCTTGAAGCGGCGTCGGAACGGTCAGCACAAACTTGTCGAGATCCCTTCGCAGCTGGCTCTTTGGCTTGCCGAGATTTTCTTTGACAATCAGCCGAAAAGCCTCTCTCTGCGATGGTTTCAACTCTTGCAGAAAAACACCAAACTTTGCTATGCACTCGGCCGATGCGACCAGAGAAGCGACCGTATAGAGGAATAGCACATTCATTGGTCTGTAAAAAATGTTTGCAGAACCAATTTTCCATGTCGCATAGATTTATGGCCTCCTCACAACAAGAAGTGTCCAATTTTTTATTAGAAATAATCTACTATTAATTGGACAGGTCGGCCCCAGGGTTCTAAAGATTAATCGCGAACGAGTTCGCCTAATACCATGACTTACTGGAAATGTCTTCCGCAATCTTCTGTAGCGTTTTTTAATATTAGGTCAAGGGGTCTTTTGGAAGGCCTAGTGAATAAAAATAAAAATAAAATTTTACTTGAAAATCGATAATATTTCGGACTGCCTTGGTTGCCCCCAACACTTGTTCAAACAACGTAATCTTTGTCTTTATTTTTTTTTTCATTCTAATTTATTTTTAATTTATCCGCAATGAAATGCTTACGACGGCAATTTTTACCAAAACAGACACCATTCAAAAATATGTTTATTGATCTTTCAGTTTGTCAAAATCAAAGTTAAATTCGTTCTTGTGCTTCTCCAGGATATCGTTAAACATGTCGTCGATGTCCGCCGGCTTCTTCAACAGGTCCTGCAAGTTGGCGGGAAGGGTGTGGATAAACTGGTCCAATTCGTTGATGACTTGCTCTTTCGGCTTGTTCTTGGCGTCCTTGATGATCTGGACGAGCTGCGTCTTCTGATTGTTGTTCAATTTATCGTAGAACTTCTCGTATGGATGGGTGATGCAGAGGACAAGGCCAACGATGGCCAAGGCCACAACGATATGTGTTTTCATTTCTGAAAAAAATGCGCCGTGGCTGTCAAGCGCATACGACTTGATTATATAACAAAATGTCTAAAGAAAACTTACAGTAACAATTGGATTTAAAAGTGCCCAAAAATGGAAAACTTTTGCACATCGGGGTGTTATATATATAGCGCCAGATTGATATTTTGATCAGAAAAAGCGTTAGTCACTATTTCTGCGGCAACTGTGCAAACAATTTCCGATAACGCCGCGGATATTGCCGATTTTCACCGCCCTTTCCGCCTAAACTACAAACTTGTGGGCACAGAGTTCGGAGTTCATGCAGCATGAATAGAAATATGTAAAATATCTGCCAGAGATGGACATCAAACAACAGCTTGTTCATCTGGCTGGGTCTTTCACGCTTGCAAGAACACTGTCCGTAAGACCGGCGGATTTGTTTCAAATAGAGTTCACCTTATTCGAGGCAAAACGCTACTTTGATTAAATCTTGGTCAGGAAACAGCTTCCATTATATCCTCTCGTTATCCTCTCAAATATCACAACACAGAATGGCCGAGTGAATGGCCGCAATACAGACAATAGATTCCAATATCCTCTAGCACGAGTTGCCGACCGTTCACCCCGCTGTTTCTTCACGAATTGTTCAGCGCTCTAATGGTCAACCGCTCGCTCAGACCACTACTTCCAGACTGATCTTCCTTACTTCCAAAATCCACTTCTAGGTCAATTGCGGCGGAATGAACGTCCTTTTGGGATTCGTGGCGATACGCGGCGACGGGTCGAATTCTGTTGCGGCGGCCGTGGCCTCACCGACGCCTACAGCCTCACGCTTGAACGCAGAGTGATTCATATTTGGACGTTTTCTAAAATGGAGTTTACTGCTCATTTTGCTCCCATCTGTGGTCTGTTCAACGAACTTCATCAACATTTCAACTGCAGGCCAAAGGCTCAACACCTTCGCGTTTGCACACCTGAAAGATTATTTACACTCTCATACTAGAAATAGACACTACCATAAACAGGATTGGTATATATAATACGACTTAATCAGCCCAATCATCACCTCATCGACTTCATTCAAGTCTTGTATTACTCACGGTAAGTGTCGCAGGTTTTAAGGCATGGCCTTTTAATCCTTTCAGAGCCATGAACTCTCAATTTCTTGTTCTCTTCGTCGTCATCGGCCTCGTTGTCGCGGGACCTATTGATAACGTCCTCAACAAACTAAATCCAAGCCAAAAAAACCAGCTAAAACAATTGGTGAAGGACTCTCAAGGCAAACCTCGGGCTCAGGTTCGTGAGGGATTCCAAGATTTCTTCAATGGAATGAGCGACGAATTTAGAGAATCGTTAAAGAAGGACCTGGCTTTCCTTGATGAACTGACAAACGATCTCCTCGAGAAGGGCAGGAGATTAATTCCGGACAACCAAGATCAAGAAGATCAAGATCAAGAAGACTTCCAATAAACGAAAATCCTTTTGTCACCGTCGCCATAATGATTTGTTACAAATAAAGTTTCCTTAATTCAAAGAGGATGGGACTACACTGCGGAACGGGATACAGTGGTCAAATGTATTTTTGATTGCAATGTATCAAAAAAGTTTATTTTACAGCTAACTGTAAAATACTCTTATTTTAACAAAAATTTGATAAGAAATTGGGCTTCGGTAAAAAAACAAAACAACCTCAATTAACCCAAAAAATGAAAGGTCATAGAAAAAAATTTGGATGCGGCCATCAAATTCTTTCCATCATTTCTCGCTTATTTTCTATCGAAATGCGGCGGTTGATTGTCATTTTGTGGCCATGTCTTCTCTCCTCGGCAATTAATGCGATGCAAATTAAAGAAGGCGAGATCAAACATTTCATTGAGGTCTTTGTTAAGTCGCGTGGGTAAGTTGCGTTCGGAAAAATTTTTGACTTTTTTCAGCAATGACAGTAACGGAGACTTGTATTTCGCCCTCACTAGTAAGTTATTTTCAATTTTTATACGTTTTTTTATATTGGGAAACACTTTCGTTTTACGGCACAGAAATAATTTTCTCTTAATTTTGCAGGTTGGAGAATGGAACTGACAAAAATTTTTAGCTTACAGTTGCCAAAAAAATTCGCAAAGGTGTAGTTTCGAACGTATATGAAGCTTTACCAATTCTATTATCATGTTTTCAGCCTACAACGAGTCTCTCTCCGTCTTCCAAACGCATGAATCGGTAGAGGTGCGAGGAGGAGAGATAGTCAACCCGGCCTTAAAATTGGCCCCATTTGGCGATTCTTATCAAATCCATTCATTCGTTCACTTAAGCGAAAAGATGACTCCAACATGGAATTGCCCGGATACTTTCCGGATAATAAAACGTTGGGGAGAATTCAAACCGAATGCTTCGGTCGGGAAAAAATCGTAAGTAATCAGTATAAAAATTACGCGCGACAGTTAGGGTCAATACAAAATTGATCGATACGGGGCGTAGGGCAGGATGTCCAAAAAAGGTTGTAGGAAGTACCTACGAGGATTGGAAAAGATGCTGGATGGTCGGCAGGCGCTAGGCGAAGGTTCGGGGAGATTTGGCGAAGCCTTGCAATATGTCCAATTTTGCTAATTTAAGCTGTTGCTAACCTTAGTTTTCTGTACCGTGAGTTATTGTAGCATATAAACAACCAAAATTTGAGGCGAAAAACGAAGATTGTTTTGCATAATTTGCAAGTGCTGGCACTTTCCTCCTCTTTTTCAACATCACCCATATCGAAACCCCCCAAAAAATCCGGCATTCCTGGTGATTTTCAATCGAAAATGTCCGAAATTTCTCGATCATTTTCAACCGAAAAACCCTGGTTTTCGGGGTAGAGATGCCTCTACTTCAGAAGGTCGTAGCGACCTCAGTTTGCACTTTGAAACTCGTTATTTTGCAGACAAAAACTAATGTCTTTTAAAAATACATATTTCAAATACGACGTCTCTGCGCCGCCTCCGCCGGAAGTTAAAGCCTTCCACTTTCCTTCACGTTTTTTGTAAGACCCTGTAGATGGTAAATACATGTGAAATACCTCAAAATAGACGGTAATCTGTCCTAGGAGCCGATCCATGTGATATGCAACACACATACGTATAACTATAACTTATGTATGTATATAATTTTATTTTTTCAGACCTGTGGAATCGACAGAGACACTGGAGAGCTCGAAACGTTCGATGAATCCGAGGGAAAGACTTTCTACATGTACCGAGCTTTCAATTTCTCGGTTCCATGGGAATGCAGCAAACGTTTCTGCATTTTCACCAATTTGCTAACGTCAGTTTTTTTTATTTTTTCTAATTTTAATTTTTTTTTCAGCGGCGAAGAATACGAGATTCCCTCCGACTTGAAGACGTTTGTCGGCGACGCACCAGGAGAAAGAATCGCCATGGTCCCATTGCTGACCATCCAGTCCCCTCTGGTGGTGGAGCAATTAAAACGCTATGGGAACTCGGCCTCTGGAATTGAAGGATTCTGGTTTACACTCGTCTTGGTCTACTTTTTGCGATATATGTTTGAGTAGAAGGCATAAAAAAGGCTTAAAAAAACTTGATTTTTGTGTAAATTGGAGGGCACTTTCAAGCATTGTCTTCGCGGCAGTACAATAAAAAATTTTTTTGACATTTTGTTACTGAAGCTGTGAAAAGCGCGTTTCAAACGCATCTGTGCTTTAAAACTTGATCCCCTTTTAACCACTTTATAGAGAGAGAGTAAAGTATCAACAAGAAACTCGGAGCCCTTTACTTCAACTTCTTTGCTCTTTCAAGGACCTTCTTCATTGTCTCATCCATGTTATCCATTTGTTTTAGCAGAATCTTCTTGATTTCATCGGTAAGGCCATTGAAGAAGCCGGCAAAGCCCTTGGCGACTTGAGCGTGTGGCTTCGTTTCAGCTGCTATAAGGCCTGGAAAAGCCGTTGGATGATCGGCGAAGGCTCGTCGGAGGCTCGGCGGAGAATTGGCGAAGACTTGCAATATGTATCTCCACTTTTTCTGATTTTAGTTATGACTAGCATTAGCTTTCTTTACCCTGAGTTACTGTCGTGCAAAAAGCCTTCATATAAAAGTTTGTTTCCCAACTAACTGTAAAAAACTCTTATTTAACAACCTAGGATGTCTTGCGCCACCGCCTTGTCGGAAACATAATTTATATACAGTCTGGTGCAGAGACGCTGAAACATCCGGTCGGGATCGGTGGTGTTGAGGAACATGGAGACCCTGTAGGCAGAGGTGCTATCCGGCTTGGTTTTGTGTCCCGCGTCCAAGACTTCGTCAATAACGAAATCTTCGGAGTGCGTAAAGTTCATTTTGAAAAGCTCCAATGCGGTGCGGCTGATCCACTGAAAAATTGGAGGCTAATTGCCGGAAAGGCACTGGTTTGAACGCTAGGTAGTGTAAATTTCAATAATTTTTGGGAAAAAGTTCCTTATTCTGGCCAAAACGTATAACTTCGCGCAAAATAGTCAACATGGGCTGAAATTTGGAACGCAGTTTCAGTTTACTATTCTGTTCCAAATGACACTCATATACGTACATACATAGTTAAAGAAAATTTTTTTGATCTTCTCGCTATATATCTCGCTATATAAAGTTACTTTGAAAAACCGGTTGACTCACTTCGTACTCAGATTTTTTGGCAGGTGCAAAATCGTCAATGGGACGGCTGCAGTTATCCCAGGAATCCGCAAACACCATTGCAGTGATCAGTAGCGCCGACAGAATAACGAACTTTCCCATTGTGAAGGAGCAAAAATACAGGTATCGGATTTACAAGACTTCGACGAAAACGACCGCTCGGTGCAGTTGTTTTCACTTCGACCGAGCGACTCGCCAGAAACCGCCACTTTCCAAAAAATTTTTTAATTGGATCTTTATGCAGTTTTTTTGGAAGCTTTTGTTATCAAGGGGGGATCAAGGTGGATTCTGAGAGAATGATTTTATTGATTTGCCAAAAATGCGACACTTGCGGGCAACCGACATTTTTCGATTACGATTACGACTTTCCTCCAATAATCTCGTGGTATGATAGAATTTTTGCATTGGCAACTCTCTGGTTGAATGCATCAACCGCTTCTAAACCTATGGGAGTTTGTTTTCAAAAAATGTTCTCTGAGTCTTTAAAAATGCCTGGTTAACTTTACATATAGTAAGGGCCCCCGCCTCCCAATGACTAAAATTCTGAGTCTCAAAGCGAGAATTGGGGTTTCCAATACGGCCCGGTCCTGAGCCATGTCTAGTATTCGCCGAAAAATGGTATGGTAAAGGGGTAAACTCTAAGGGGGCATCAAAATGAGTTTTTTGCTTAGATTTTTTTGCTATACCTCATAAAACGTAGCTTCAACTACTCAAGATGCATTTTAACAGCTACCCCTATGACTGAAATATTGGTTGCTTATTATCACACATCAATGGCCTACAATAATTTTTTTAATAATATCTTTTCCGACTTAAAACTGATTAAAATTCAAAATTTTGGTTATTGCCTCATTAGACGCGGACAAGGTAATACAAAATTATTAAAAAGCCGAAATATCAATTTTCAGGTTTATTCAAGACTTTAATCTGTACAATGAAGACTGCAATTGTGTTGGCTCTCCTAGTTGTTGGTGTCGCCTCTCAACAAGAGCCTCAGGTTTTGGATATATCTGCTCCTGAGACCCTCGTAAGTGAAACGAAGCCAAAAACTGAAGGGCCCTGTACGACACGAAAGATGTCGAACTTATGCCAAAACTGCATAAGTAGACACGACTCCCGGGATTTTCGGCTCGACCCGGGGCCATGTCTAGCCATAAAGGGCGTGCGAGATGATTAACTTGGCTTTTGAGGAGTACTCGACAAGGGAAGTACCCCAAGTGCGACGCTCAGAGTCGGACACAGACTTGTTTTATTGCGGAAGCATTACCCTCACAATCAGCAGTAGAAATAGGTATACTTTCACTTTTCGTGCCGAAATTCGGCAAAAAGTTTCCAATTCTCGCCGACTTTCGATCCAAAAAAATTTCGGTTGTTTCTGCAGAGCGCGAGCTAGAATTCTCGCATATACTTTGGAAAAAGTTAATCGAAATTTGTGCCAAGTTATATCAAAATGTGAACGTCGCACTTGTGGTACCGCAAACAACATATGGATTTGCTTACGAAGTTGCAATTTTTACTAGCCGAATTGTGGCCTATGCAGAATCCTTTCCCAAAATTTGAAGAAGATATGAGACTTGTATCCCCTTTCAACTCTCTTTTCCTTCAGGCAATAGCGAATGATTTGACGCGGCAATACGCAGAAAAAATTAACGCTCCGGGAAGCATTCGATTGAACCGAGTGGAGGACGGGACCGTGTTGGGAAGAGGAACCCGAGTCGAACAGTACATGATCAGAGCCATCGTGACAACCATGCACGGATCACAGTCATTCTGCACGCGGTTCGATGCCCTTCGCACTGACGGAATCCTGACTTTGTACAAGTGGAATATGTGTTAGAAATTCGACTTTACAACGGCTTTAAGAATTTTTTAATAAAACATGCTTGATTTAAGTTGTATTGGATTGATAAAGCAGACATTTTGAGGGACGTGAATGTTTCTGCGTGGGCATTAAGGAGGATTCAAGAGGGCAGTGCAGCAAATTTGAAGCTGCAGTTGCGGTTTCACGGCTTGAGAAACAAAATGTCAGAGAAATTAGTTGGCTGTTGTGCCAATGATTACAGGAACTGTGACATTCTGCTTGTGTACTAAAAATTACTTTACTATTTTGCAATTGCCTTCTTCCTTTGTGGCAGAAGACAAGAGGATATTTTGAAGTTTCCGTAAATAACACTACGCAAAATTAGCTGCGCCTTCAAAGCCGGACTTATCACCAAAACGAATCTAACGTAATTTCGTGTCTAGCTATTTAAAATTCAAAATTTCAGCAATAATCAGCCCATTAGGCGGGCTGAAAATGTAATATGAAAATATTAAAAATCCGAAAAATCAATTTTCTATCCATTCACAGCTTTAAATTTTTACAATGAAGACTGTAGTTTTGATAATCCTGCTAATTGTTGGCGTGCTTGCGCAATCTCCCATGTATCTGGATCCGAATGGCCCGGAGGCTACTGTAAGTCCTATTAGTGCGACAAGCGAGGTGTTCCCGCTTGCAGAACGTGATCAGTTGCGGAAAACGGCAATTAGGAGGCGTAGGGAAGGTGGATGCCTATAAAAGGTTGTAAAAAGTGCCCACAAGGCCTGGAAAAGCCGTTGGATGCTCGGCGGACGCTTGGCGGACAATACGCAATTTTTGGTGATTGTGGGTTTGATTATGTATAAGTAGAAGCAAAGGTACGGGTTACCACGTATGGGCTTTGCTTACGAAGCTGCAATTTTTACGAAACGAAAAATTGACCTATGCAGAATCCTTTCCCAAAATTTGAAGAAGATATGAGACTTGTATCTCTCCCCTTTCAATTATCTTTCCCTTCAGGCAATAGCGAATGATTTGACGCGGCAATACGCAGACAAAATTAACGCTCCGGGAAGCCTTCGATTGAACCGAGTGGAGGAAGCGATGGTGTTGGGAAGAGGAACCCGGACCGAACAGTACACGATCAAAGCCTTTGTGACAACCATGCACGGATCACATACCTTCTGTACGCGATTTTATGCCCTTCGCTCTGACGGAACCCTGACTTTGTACTCGTGGAATATGTGTTAGAAGTTCGACTTTACAACGGTTTTAAGAAATTTTTTAATATAACGTGCTTGATTGGAGCTGTAATAAATTGAAAAAGCAAACATTTTCGGGGACGTGAATGCTTATGAGTCTGTCGGGGTAATCGTATGGATTTGCCCTGGAAATCGCTTTTCGACGGCTGGACGCGGATGGAGTTTTGGGCAGGTCCGCACTTGCGGGCAACCACATTACGGGAAGCTGGAAGAACCACAGAGATTCTGCGGCCATGTTTGGAAAGCAGTGAAAAAGGCCGAATGGAAAATGCGCAGTGCAAAGTGCGGTCGACCAGGCGGACTCTGGCGTGGGCATTTAGGGGAATTCAAGAGGGCAGTGCAGCAAATTTGAAGTTGCGGTTGCGGTTTCACGGCTTGAGCAACAAAAGGTTCGAGAAATCAGTTGGCTGTTGATAAAACGGCGCAAAAGTATCAACGCCTTTTCAAAGCCGGAACTATCGCAAAAACGAATCAAACGTAATTTCGCGTCTAGCCATTTAAAATTCAAAATTTCAGCAATAATCAGCCCATTAGGCGGGCTGAAGATGTAATGTGAAAATATTAAAAATCCGAAATATCAATTTTCTATCCATTCGCGGCTTTAAATTTTTACAATGAAGACTGTAGTTTTGACACTCCTACTAATTGTTGGCGTGCTTTCGCAATATCCCACCTATATGAATCCCGATGACCCGGAGACTATTGTAAGTTGGATTAGGGCGATAAGCGAGGTGTTCCCGCTGGTAGAACGTGATCGGTTGCGGAAGACCACGGTATTAGCTATCGCTAACGTTAGCTTCTTTACCTCGGGTTATTGTAACATACAAAAGACCAAAATTTACGGCAAAAAACAAAGGACTTTTGTCTAGACATCATTTGATGTGAGTATACCTCAAAATAGGACCCGAGGAATCTTATTATTTCTTCTAAGCCTTTTCCTAGCTTCCTCATGCATACAACGACGAACCAATGCGATCCATAGTGTCGTTGGTCCGTACTGTCGCTGACCGAAAAAGCGGTAGCGCCCAAAGTCCGATATAAACGCCGAACCTCGAAAATTTCCCTACTCCAATTCCCTTACCTTTTAGCAATTAACCAATGCTTTGATAAAGCAATACGAAGCCAGAGTCAGCGCTCCCGGAAACGTGGGACTGAACCGTGTTCTGGAGGCTTACGTGACCGGTAAAGGCGATCGAATCGAGCAGTACCGAGTAAAAGCGATGTTGAGAATCATCTCCAAGCACTCGATGTCGTTTTGCATGCAGTTCAAGGCCGTCAAAGTGGAAGGAGTCCTGACGATGTACAAGTGGAACATGTGTAAAAACTAATATCTCCGATGCATCGCGATGTAACATTGTTTTCGGACACTTGAGCCAATAAAAAATGCATTTGTTTTTATGTTTTGCGATGAACGATTGATATCGAACAGGCACGTATGAAGAAATTCTATTTTTTTTATTTCACCCACATCTCTCGACCGGTCGATTCTCCATTCGACTGTCCTAAAATTTTGAATGGACGTTGATAATTCTACGACTAATTCTACGGCCTCAACTGAATTATTTACTACGTCTTACGGCACTGAATCCACGAAACCACCCGCATTGAGCAAGGAGCAGAAAGTGTTGGGGTTATGGATATCGATTGGTAAGACAAGATGTGTTTTTCAAGAGTCTTGTAACTTTTAATAAATAAAAATGATTGCGCTTCAGCGTGCATTGGACTCTTCTATTTGGTGCTGGTAGCACTTGCTGCCATCTCGTTGTTCTACCGAGTACGATATCAGAACGAGACGTTGAGCGAGATCTTCTGCGGAAAGAAGGCGCCGAAAGAGGTGGTCACTGCCTGTTCCACCAAGACAGCGCAGCAAATGGATGACGTTCCGTGTGTGCGCGTGCCCGCATTCCCAATGGTAAGTGGCGAGAACCAGTTTGGGGTGTATCTAGAAAAATGATTATATGTATTAATTTCTCCCACTCCTTCACGGCCTCAAATTGCATGCAAGACAACACTGAGTGCTTGGAGATAATTCTCATCATAGTTATTAGTCGGAATTCGATCGCCTTTACCGGTCACGTACGCCTCCTGAACGCTGTTCAATATCACGTTTCTGGGAGCGACGATCTTGATTTCGTATTTCTTTATCAAACCCACAGTTAACTGTTTTAAAAAAGATAAGGTAATTGGAATTCCAAACTCGCTGGGCCCGGCCCAGTCCGGCCCCAAAGCCATGTCTAATCAGAGCACGAAACCATTCCTATTTTCAGTCCGACTCCCAAACCAATGAGGTCAAGACGGTCGACTGTCGGACCGCTGAAACTATGGCCAGACCCGATCTTCAAGTGGAAAAGACCCAATCGCCGTCCAAAGAAGAACCCAAAAGAGAGGAATCTCGCATGGACATGAGGGTGGATCTAAAGCAAGACCCGAAACACAAGGACGAATCTATCATGATCTAGACTGACTATTTATCTTTGTTCGTTGAATATTTGACAATAAAATTACTAACGGAGAAGTTGATGATGAAAAAAATCGTATCAAAAAATTATATGTATGTAGTAATATAATTTTTCGTGCAAAGTTTTAAACAAAAAAATAGGATTTTTAAGTTAAAACTTCAGCGAAAAAAACTAGGTTTATTACGCGAATTTATGATGAATTGGCTAAACCGGCGTTCAAACTACAAACTTTTCTTATTTACACTTTATAGATCTCATATTTTAAATATTTGCTAGCGATCTCCGCGACAATTATGATGCAAAAAACCTCAAAAAGTCGTCCTACGACACTCCCCAAGTGACATTCATAAATGACATTTCCAGCTCACTTTTCATAAACCCCGTTTTCTTTCGGAAGTGCAAAATTTGACTGGCTTTTATTACACAAAATCTGATCTATTTTTCTTGAAACCACCTTTCCACTAGCCACATGGACAAATCACTTTTTCGGCCGCCTGCTTAAAGATTGTTTTCTCCCCGCTTTTAATTGTATAAAGTAATATTTTTTGTTCGCGTTTTTTTTTGCGGAACGGAAATGCAATGGAATCGAAAAGAAGGGCTTGAGAAACGTTTTTTACGAGAAATGGACACGGAGATTGAAAAAGAGATCTATGCCGATACGTGGGGATACGTCGGCTAGCTTGAGATTTTTTGTGACAAGAAGTGTAAATTTGGATTCGCAAAACTTACTGTTTTTGGAAACCTTGGGTCAAAAACGGGCGATTACTTGCGGGCAACCACTTCGCCGGGAAGCCGACGTTTTTCGATTAGAATTACGACTTTCTTCCAGTAATCTGCGTAGTATCCCTTATGCGAAAAATAATTTTGACGCTTATGTCAAAAATAATTTCTGATGTGAAAAATGCATGCTCTACTGAAAGCGGGAAGAGCAATTCTTGCACAAAAAACCACTCAATGTCAGCAAAAATATTTTTAAACAGACCTCTGTGGCCTCTTATTGTAAAGATTCAATCTTTGACAAAAACTCGTGTTTTTATGTTACAAGCTTTGTAGAACACCCTCCGGTTATTGCAGTCTTTGTAAAATTTGGCAATATCGATTTTGCACTGTACGATGAATTTTTCATCCTTCAGTTCATTCGGCTTTGTCCAGATTTTTTTTTTGCCAACATACAAAGCCCCAACAAGCGAGGAGTGTGTTCGATTGAGGCCGAGAGAACATTTGGCACGGAAAAATCGCCTGGGGCCACGGGTGGGAGGCTGAACAGGCGTGGTGGGCCTTCAGGGCATGGAACGATCTCTTCGCTTTCTTTTACTTTTTTCGTTCTCGAAATGATTCCGTCCGGCTTCTTGGGGGCCCCGAGGAGGAATTCCGATGCGATTTTTTCGATTGTTATTATGATATTACGTCTGTTTTTTTATTTCCCAGATTGCTTTCGCATTCCCGAAACTTGCAAGCGTAGAAAATGAATTTTTGAAACTTTCGAGAAATTTTGAAGACGGTCTTTTCACAGGATTGGCATTTACTATTTGACTAACAACGGAAGCACCCCAATTGCAACGCTAAAAATTTACTTAAACTTTGCACACTTTACGGGCAAAAGACAAATATTTTTATTTTTTAAAACCTCCGGATTCATTTATGTAATTTACGGCGGCTCCGTTTTTTTGTGTGTAATTCATCCCAACGCGTTAATTAACTGGAACCACAAACAAATTTAGTTTCATTTTTAGAGAGATGGTCGCCAAAGCGAAAAAAGAGCCGGAGGAGACGACTCCCAATCGAATTTGCTGTTGCAATTTAAAGGTAGGCCATAGATGAGGTTTCGCGTCATATCACAATTGACAAGGGAAGTACCCCTAGTGCGACGCTCAGATTTTCTTTAAATTTTGCACACACGTCGGGCATAGATTAAATATCAATTCCTGAAAGTTTTAGCTCGCTCTTTGCAAGCGCCGTCGAGATATTGAACGATTTTTGTCGCCGAGAGAGTACGCTAAACACGGGGAGCGGTCAAAGAGAAAAACACTTTTTGGCCATAACTTTGCCAGTTTCGGGCGGAAAAAATTGATTTTTTGTGGAAACATTACTCTCTATGGTAGAAATAGGCATGAAACTTTTCGTGCCAAAATTCAACAAAAAGTGTTAAAATTTCGCCAACTTTCGATCTAAAAATCTCGGTTGTTTCTGCAAAGCGCTAGTTAGGATTCTCGCATATTTTTTAGAAAAAAAATCTAAATTTGTGCCAAGTTTCATCAAAATCTGAGCGTCGCACTTGGGGTAGTTCCCCTGTGAATATATTCTACTCACAAACCTGGACCAGCCTCCTAAGCCATTGAATTCTGTAACATCTGCTGCAGATTTTGCTGACAACTGCCTCGAGCGCAACAGCCAATCTTTCTTTTGATTTTGCAGAGTTTGCCGTAGGCAAGTCTTGAAATTTTCAGCTCGCGCATTGCAAGAGCAGTCGAGACATTCAACAACCTTTACTGCCGAGAGAGTACGCCAAATGCGGGCAGAAAACGCTCGGAAAAATTATTTTTTTGCAAAAACTTGTTTTATGCGGTCGAAATAGCGCTGAACTTTTTTGTGTATAAAATCACTAAAACTTTCAAGTCTTGGCCAATTTTCGAGCCAAAAGTCTCGGTTGTATCTTTGTTTGAATACCTTTTTCCAGACAGCCGGCTATGTCGTTGGGTTGGTGGAGATTCTCCTCTGTATTCTGGCGGTTTACGGCCTTTTCCGCAACTTTCATCTTTTCGGAATGTCCTACTTCTTTTGGTTCGTTGTTGGTATGTTCATGAATAGCAAAGGCTACTTGTTCCTTGCCTCATTTGCCATACAAATATCTGACTTGCAGGAATCATCAGCATTATAATCATCCTCATCGCCATCGCCATCCTGTTCTACGCCATTCAGAAGGAGAAGCCGCGCTGGCTGTTGCCGCATCTCAGCGCTCAAATCTTTTTGATTCTGTTCTTGTTTATTGTGGCGCTGGTCACGGCGATTCTACTGATTTTGGGAGAGTACCGCGGAATTCGACGGCTTCTTGGGCATGGCGGCTTTCATATGAGCGATTCCTGTAAGGTTTACTTTACAGGGCGCAAAAAGCCCTGATAATTTGCACACTGCGGCGTTGACGCGTCGTTGGTGAATGTAAAAACCTTTTGTAAAACGATCTTTTTAGTCCCAGCTTCGCAAAAAAACGGCGATTTTTCTTTGCCCTATAAATGTGGGAAAATCTTTCAAATCAGCTTTTCTGCAAAACCGCTGAACAAATCTGATGCTCTTTTCTGACCGCTCTCTTCATTTCTCCTTAGCTCATGTTCCACCCGCGGGCACGGTAAAAGTGGTGGCTTTCGTGTCAGGTATATATGTACAAACTAAAAAACACGTCCGCTAACACGGGAAGTACCACAAGTGCAACGCTCAGATTTTCTCTAAATTTTAATTCTTGAAGGCATAATTTGGAGTTATATTAAAGTCGCATATGATCAAATTTGATTTGCCCCATTTTTCAGCCACTCGCGTCCTCGGCGTCTGGATTATCATCGTTTACCTGGCCGTGGCGATCCTGGAATGTTTCTTCCTTTACATTATTTGGAAACTGTACAAGTAAGCAGATAGTCCGGTCTTCAAAACAGTTTTTTCGTGCGCTTTAAGACAGTCCTTTTCTTGCAGACACCTTAGGGCCTACAAACAGCTGGAAGAGCAGAAGCGCGACATCCGTTTCGGCGGCGCCGCCTACAACGCCAACGATTGGTATATTGCGCCGGAAAACGACAAAGCCTACGGTGGGTCGCCGGATGCTGGCGACATCTATCCCTACGACGCTCCTCTAATCAACAACGCATAGAAATATCAAGTTCAAATCTCGTTAATTTGAATATTCTCTCAGAATTTTTTTATGTGCAAATTTTTTCTCATCGAAATTTTCAAAATTTGTTTCATGGCGTAAGTACTCCAGGTTCGACGCTCGGATTCTGATTAAACTTTCCACAAGAACTGAGCGTTGCGCACGGGGTACTTCGCTGGCTGGATAATTCTTAGAGGTTCATAATAATGTAACAAATTGTGTAATATTTTAATCTACGATGGATTGCAATTGCAATATTTTCATGCCTCAAACTGCCATTTTCAGTAATAAAATAAAATTTCTTTTAAGGGGTTTGAGGTCGGCCAAAAATAAGATTTTTTTGTAATCTACTTACAGGGGAAGTACCCCAAGTGCGACGCTCAGATTTTCATGAAACTTGGCACAAATTTAGAATAATTTTTTCTAAGATATATGCGAGAATCCTAGCTCGCGCTTTGCAGAAACAACCAAGATTTTTAAATCGAAAGTCAGCGAAAATTTAGGACTTTTTGCCGAATTTCGGCACGAAAAGTTTCATGCCTATTTCTACCGTAAAGAATAATGTTTCTACAAAAAATCAAAATTTTCCGCACGAAACTGCCAAAGTTATGGCCAAAAAACGTTTTTCTCCCTGACCGCTCTCCACGATTAGCGTGCTCTCTCGGCGGCATAAATCGTCCGATATCTCGGCGGCGCCTGCAAAGCGCGAGCTAAAACTTTCAGGAATTGATATTTAGTCTATTCCCGACGTGTTTGCAAAATTTAAAGAAAATCTGAGCGTCGCACTTGGGGTACTTCCCTTGTTAATGAGAAAGTGAACTTTTGCAAGGTGCGTACGACCGCGTCCAGACTTTTCGGGTTGACGCCGGTTCGGGTCAGCTCAAACTGCTGCAAAAAACGAAGATCCGTCACTTTTATTTAGATATTATTGATGTGAGTACCTGTAAAGTGCCTCAAAATAGGTGATAAGCTATAATAGGACTCGATCAATCTTATTATATCTCCTATCTAAGCCTTCTCCTAGCCCCCGCTATGCATACGACGACAATCCGAAAATTCATTGCGTATTTTATGTAAAACCGCTCCGTCTATCTCGGCCAGTGCTCGCACAGTGCACAGGCTTTTAGCGTCTCCTTGCATCTCCCTCACAGGTAATTCGACGCTCCTGGGGATGGGCTCGAATTTCCGGCGGTCTTGAATTTTCGGAATGAAAGCCGTCGAAGTTGGCGGGAAAGCGGGAGGGTGCTAGAGAAACGGAATATGGACAGAGAAATGCTGAGAAAGGGGATTTTATAAAAAAATAAAGACGTTTATAACCGGCTGCTTTATGCAACTCTTGTGTAATTTTGTGGATTTTATGTTTGCTGTTGTTTCGGGGATTCCACGGTGCTTAGTATCGTCTTGTTTGCTAAGTCCAGGCTTTCTTGGAGTAAGGGTTCTCTACAATAGAGTTCATAGCAAAACTCTCTGCAACGACAGGTGTGCCTCCTTTCGTCTTCAATAAACTGGTAATTACAGTATAGTTGTTTTTGTTTTCATCCAGCTGATTTTCGGATAAAACGGCAGATCCAGCGAGAGAGCGGGGGGACGAGAAGAGAGCGCCGAAAATGATGGACGATTTTGGGGTCAATCGGAAGAGCAAATCGCCGATTACGTAAGGTCTAAATTAATATGCGCAATTTTCCCAAATTTAGAGACAAAACAAAGGGGAGCTGGAATCATTAGCACGTTCGCAGTGCCTTTAAAATTAATTCTCGCCTTATAAAAACGATAATAAAGCCATCTTGTACGCAAAAATTTTTTTTAACAACCAATTTGCCCAATATCCGGTTTTTTTACGATCGAATAATTACAAGACGGCTTTATTGTCGTATTTATAATAAAAGTTAAGGATTATTTTCAAATCACTGCAAGTATGCGACGCCAAAAAGTTTTTCCAACCCTTGCTCAAACCCTACTCCGATAGCTCATCTATGTTTACCCACAGACGGTTTGATAATTAACTGACCGCAAAGGAATTAATCCTTAAATGAAGCGGAAGTCAATAAGCGTTAGAAAAGAGCCGAACCCTTGAAGTCATCCCAAACTCCATCCCTCCTTGCGCAATGCGCGGTCACACCTGGCCAAGAGGAGACGGAATTTAAGGGATTCATAGAGATGGACGCAACAAGTTCAAGGGGGGCTATATTTTGGCGGACTAGAGTCATATATATATACTGCTGAGGCTTGGCAAAAATCGCGGTCAATACTTTCCAAGGCGTGTCCGAGATTCCGAGTTGGTATACTATGGAAATTTCCGAGGCCTAGGGGTCAGAACTTACAAGGGAAGTACTCCAAGTGTGACAATAATTTTTTTTTAATTTCACAAACGTTTTGGGCATATTTATAGTGTCTTTGCGGCGGACAGAGACGCGGAGAGCCTTCTGGTCATGTCTTTGCCAGTTTGATGTGGAAAAAAACTTTTTTTCGGCGAAAAATAATATTCAATTTCAATTTTCTGAACTCTAATACAACTTGCTTTTGCGGATTTTACCGTTACATCACGCTTCTAGGGACTCGGACTTGAGTTGTAATACTTAAACTTCGAAAAAATTGGAGTGTACAGTAAATTTCCTCCGCAAAACTTTTTTCCACCACCAAAACAGCCAAATATTTCGCATTTTGTCTACAGTAACCCGCGCTCCGCCTCCCTCATTAAGCCGTTATAAGCATTCTTGGCGAATAATTCCGTAAAAATCTCATATTTCCGCCCGGATTTTGTCGCTTCCCCACTTTTGAGGAGCCTAATTAGTGGGCGCAAGACACATTCCCAGCGTTCCCGCCAATCCCAACGATTGGCCGAAATTTTTTTGGACTGCTTTGGAGATTCTTTGACTCTTGATTTGTTTAATAATAGTATTAATAAATATGTACAGTTTGTTTTTTTTCAATTCCCGATTTCTTTTATTTCATATAATTTCGAGTTGGCTTTTTTTCAATTTTGAATTGTGCGTCGATTTAGATGCCTGAGGACACAAAACCAGAGTGGACTGAGATTTCGGATCCAGCAGCACCCAGTATGACCATGTCTCAAGGTAAGTTTTTGAACCATTTTTCATATTGATATGCAAGCGTTTGGACGTATGTATGTGTTTATAATTCAGCAAAAACATCCTATTATAAAAATGTTTTTTCAGAATTCCCACTTTCAAATTACAACTCAACCACCTACACTCAGCAGGCATACAACTTGTACAACCCACAGTACTACCATCTTCGAAACGGATTGTATTTGGGCAATCCGAGCCTATACGGTAACATTTGAAAAAAAATTTTAAGAAAGTGCCCTGCGGGAGGTCTTGATTTAGACGCTAAGTGGGGTGAAATTGCAATGTATTTTTCCAGGATAACTTTGCGGGGACACCCAAAATTAGCTCGATCAACAGTAGTAGAGAATTTCGAATCCCGACTTTCCGGGTCGACGACTTCGGGTCAACACATAATTGTTATTGTAAAAGACCAAAGTTTGCGGCAAAAACGAACATCCTTAACTTTTATCTAGATATTATTGATGCGAGAACATGTAAAATGCCTCAAAATAGGAGATAGGCTATCCTAGGACCCGTTCAATCTTATTATTTCTACAAACAAAGCGTTCTTCGAGAGACACAACGGCGAACCGATGCGATCCATAGTATCGTTGACCCCAAACTATTGCTGACACAAAAGTCGTTGCGCCTTTCTTTAGATTTGAATTTTTCCAAGATTCCCTGTTGAGCCAAAACTAGTGTTGAATTTGAATTCTAGGAACGTCGTACCCAACATCATTCGACTACAATTACACTGGTTATGGCATGCCCTACTTGAACACATCCACAAGCCGGACCAGCCCCATCTCCACTATTCAGCAAAACTACCGAGTAAGGTTGTGTTTTTTGAGCCTCAAGTGTAAAACAAGGACTCTTGCCAATTTGATATTTCAGAGGAATCTGATGTCAACAAATGCCTTTCCGGTTTCGATGAACTTGAGTCCCAATTCAACAACTCAACCGTTTGATCCGACGGTCACTTCAACCACCAACAAATCCGAGAAAAGCAGTAAGATTTTTTTAAATTATATATATTACTTATATTATAAGTCAGCAGATATGTGTTTACAGTGGAAGTATTCCACTCGCGACGCATGTATTTTGGTGAAACTTGGCACAAATTTAGAATAATTTTTGGTTGGATATATGCGAGATTTACCACGATTTTAAAAGTTGCCAAAAATGCGGCCTTTTTAATGCTTCCAAAAAAAAGAATTTCTTCGGACAAAACTGCCAAAGACATCATCAAAAGATGGTTTCAAAAATCAAAAGATGCAGGCATTCGAAACGATAAAAAGCGCATTCGGTCTCTTCCTTCGGAAGAGAGCGGTGTGGCCGAGTGGCTAGTGCCGTAGTCTGGGAATCGAGAGGGGGAACGCCGCACGGGTTCGATTTCCCTTTTGGGCCGAATCAACTTTTTTTGAAGATGAAAGTCGGAAAAATAAATTTTTGTGCCAATACTGATTTATTACGTCTTAGAAACTCAATAAACATCATTTTAAGTCAAAATAAAAATTGTAAACCTGTGAAAAATTAAGCGAAAAGGGGTTCATATAGGACTTTAAGTCAACTTCCGATTGAGTTTTAACCCCTAAAGACCTAAAATGGGCAGCTAAGATTTATAATATATATCCTTGATCACCACATTTTTTCTGATTTTTTGAGATATGTCCGGTCAAAAAGTAGGAGCCCCCATAAAAGTACTTTCCTTGTCAAGCAAAACCTGCGCAAAAAAATTTTTCCAAGTAGAATTGTAAGATCGAATCCAGCATTGAAATCGTTACCATGAAGGCCGACGGTGACAATGAGAAGTTGAGAACTGTTTTAAAACCCCCATGTTTTCAGAGACTCGAAAACGGAAGAAGCCCTTAGTTCCGGCGGAAATCCAGCAAAACTACAAACGAGTGTTCATCTGGGAGCTCGACGAACTCTGCAACACCCACTTAATCCCTCCGACCGTTCAAACCCAGCTGACTCACTTAATCGAACAATTGCTCAAGGGCTACTTCGACCTGACCAGCTACGAAGCCCAAGAATACGATCATATAAACATTGAAGACGGGCCCTTGGAGGATATTTTCAACGAGACCGGTTCACTCTACAACAATTCCACGGACAGCTTCAACAGCAGCGAGGACAAGTCGAGCGAGTTAAGTTCGAGCCAAGTCCAGAGTTCGACCAGTTCGAATGCAGCGGCGGTCGATAATTTGAAAGTGAGGAAGATTGGAAATTTCTTGACACGTTTTGTTTTAGAAAATTGCGCAGAAGCAGCAGAATATGAAACGGATTTATAATCAATATCGAGCCAATATCTCCGGTGAGTTTTGCTTTTATTGATGACCATACTGTGGAAAACTGTAGGCCGGATTTTTTCGGGAACCTAGCGCAAGTTTACAGGAGAAGTATAGTGTCCTGAGAAATCCCGCGAAGAGTTTTACCCATCTACTTCTTTATCCTGCAGAATGATTTTTTTTCAATATCTTAGTTGAGCGCCCAGAAATCGATGAACACTTTCCGCAGATTTTTTTTTTCGGAATTGATGACAGGCTTAGGCACTTTTGAGATCATCAGGATTTCCAGTAAATCTGCCAATAAGCGCAACGTCTTGGGCCCTTTCATTCGAAAGAAACCCATCGATTTTATCACTTACAAACACATTCCAGGCCTATTAGGAGACGACGCGAAGTTAATGTTGAGTTGGTTCGATTCCATCGAGGCCATGGACACGCGCAGATGTTACAAAAAATGCCTGAAGCTCGCCATCGAACGGTCCACCCCCTCAACACTCTATACGAACGTTGTTGTTGGCCGTGAAACGCTGCCTTGCAGTTTGGCGCGGCTCTTGTTGAACAGAGCGGCGGAATTGGTAGCAGTGGAGAACATCTACAGCGCCGCGAGGAATGACAGAGCCGTCGTCCTGGAGAAGGTTATTCAGAAGTTCAAGAAGGAGCCGATTGTCATCATTACGGCCAATCCGGAGACTGTTCAGACCGCCAAAGCCGTAAGTTTGTACGTATAGTGGAGGACCTGATCCAATGGCAAAAAACGTACCATTTTGCATCCGGGAAGTATCAAAAATGTGGCAGAATGCCTCCCTCTCCAAGTGAAAAAACTCCGATTTCAAAAGCGCGCCCGCTCTTTTTGTGGGGGAAAGGGCGCGCCTTCAAAACGAAGTTTTTTCACTTGAAGGGGGAGGCATTTTGCTACATTTTTTGATACTTCCCGGATGCAAAATGGTACGTTTTTTGCCACTGGATCAGGTCACCCACTGTAGGCAAAATCGGACCGCTTTTTTGGCTAGGCAAACCCATACTTCGTTAGTTCATTCTAAAAATCTTCATTTCAAAGATAGCGACGTATGGTTTTAGCTAGCCAAAAAATTATTTCATTTTCCCCAATTGTCGACGTATCCAGGCAAGGAAAACGTAAAGAAAATCTTGGGACATATAACATTTATTTCCCTTCAATTTGTACCGTAAACTGAAAAAAATCTGAAATTTCAGCTAAACCTGGCAGTTTGGCAGATCCGCGATGCCAGTGATGTGGAAAAGTTTTACGTGGCCATGGATCGAGTCCTTTGCTGACAAAGTACACCACCTATTTGTACAAAAAGCCCCATCCAATCCCAGTTTTTTTCCGAAAAATTCGTATTATTTTTTAATAAATATTCCAAATAGCATGACACCTCATGGGATTAAAAATTACATTTGTATTACAAAATTAGCTGTTTATTTCACCCGTTTTATAGCAAATACCATAAATTATACCCAAAAATTACGATAATAAACAGAATCTCTGAAAATAAAAACTAGATTACAAATACGAAAAAGAATGAAATACCTAACCTATCTTTAGAAATCCGCTGTACACCCAACAAAATCAATACTGAACTTTGGAAAGACTCGGCTAAAAATGCAAAAGCATTGGAATTCACTAATCAAACTCAACATCTGGCAATGGGTTGAGTCGGTCCGGGCCCAACAGAGATGCGTACACTGCGTACGTATGAATGGAAGCTCCTGAAAAAGCAGATGAAAAAAGTAAAAAACAAATCGAATAAGATTTTTTAAAAAGCGAAAAATTTGACCAGCAACGCCCAGATTTTAGATCGGGCTTCGGAAATTTCGAAAAAGACCGGGCAGAGTTTTCTGGCGCTACGACTTTTCGTGTCAGCGATACTATGGATCGCGTCGGTTCATGGTTCTACGCATAGGAGAGACTGGGAGAAGGCTTAGTTAATAAAAATAATAAGATTGGTCGGATCCTAGGATAGTTTATAACCTATTTTGAGGTATTTTGCATGTACTCACATCAATAATATCTGGATAAAAGTTACGGATCTTAGTTTTTTGCCGCAAATTTTGGTCTTTTATATGTTACTTAGGGTAAATAAAGCTAACGTAAGTAATAGCTAAAATTAGAAAAAACGTGGCCATATTGCAAGTCTTCGCCAAGTCTCCGCCGATCATGCAACGGCTTTGCCAGGCTGCGTAAGCACTTCCCACAACCCTTTTTTGGGTGTCCACCTGCCCTACCCGTATCGATTGATTTTGAGCTGACCCAAACTGTTGTAGACCCGAGAAGCGTCGATTTTTAGGTCTGGAAATTTTAGGCTCGGCCCCCTCGAGAAAAAAATTTAGAACCAAAACTAAAAATGCCACGGCCACCTCAATAAATTTTGCGCTACACCTACACCGTCCATAGAAATCTAAACTTCAAGCCCAAATCAAGCGAAACTCTTACCTGCAACCACATGCATGTGCCAGATAGCATGTGCGAAAGGGACGATTCCATCCAATTTGAAGAACACTGCTCCCATCGCGTAAACCAATCCTCCCGCCACCATCAGAGGCATTCCATTCCGGTCGTGCATTGTGAGGATCCCCACATATGGTAACGAAGCAACCACTGCGTACAAGCAGGTCTCCACCGTCTTGTATTTCTCATGGTACTTCAGTTGATAACCGATTCCAAACATTGCAAATGCCCAAACCACCCATTTGAGAGTTGTGCCGGTGGTCTCCGGATGTCTTAGAGTCAGCCAAGGCGTGGCTGAAGCCGCAATAAAGAAGTATATTACGGCTCTGTCCGTGATGTGCAGGTAATATCGCAAAGTGCGTTTTTCCGGCCGGAAAAGCAATTCTCCAAGATGGTATGTGGTGGATGCGGTGAAAAGGAGCTGAAAAACATCAGTATGCGATTTTCCGTGTTCAGCCCACGGTACACAAAGACCTGGGAACAGTTGACCCAAAAATTGAACTTTGAGTCACCTCATCCGCCAGGCCAATTCGCCAATTTCCAATATAAAAACCGCATTCTTCGACCAAAATTAAAATTTTCAACGTAAAAAAGTCCTACTTACAGTGGTGAAGAAGCCATAAATTACCATCAGATGTTGTTGTAGGTCCCGATAGGCAGCTTCGATCAAAACCCTAGTGATCAGCAACGACGGAACAATGGCAATCCCGTGCGTAAGCGTGTTAGCCACATGCTCGAGGCGGGTTGGCTCGTAGGCTTGGCCGGGCTTCGCTCGAGCATTCATATACGGACTGGAAAAAGTCAAACAGGAAAATATCAGGCTCAAAAGAATGCGAGAAAAAAACTGAGGACATTAAATTTCGATTCAAAACTCACTTAATCACACCACAGTTCGTTTCATGCGGCGAAATCTCTGCCGGTTCTTCCACATTTTCCTCCGTCTTGACTCCATTACTTTCCACTGGCCGCTGACGAGTCCGAATCTCGGCGGTCATCGTAGTTGCTCTACAACAACGACAAAGAAATCGTAGAGAATGGAGAACCAAGGTCACCACCGCATCTGAAAACAAAATGAAAATTTGAAAAAATAAAAAAGTAACAATTTGTCAAATAGGCCCGGAAGTGCAAAAAAAACCTTTTGATAGAACAGAAAATCACTGTAAAATATTAGAGGGCAAACAAAACGTACATAAGGCGATACGACAAATAAAACAGAAAGTATTTAGGGCACAAACAGAGCCAAAATTGAGCAAAACTCGATAAAAAATGGTTTTAACTCACAAATAAGTCCGAAAAGAGAAGAAATCTCCCCTTTTTCAACCTTAAAAATGTCGTCAAAGGAGAGTTGAAAATTTCAGTTGAAGAAATTTTCAACGTTCACGGTTGTCCCCCACTCCCTTCTTGTCGAATTAAAAAAGAGAAAGAGAAAACGTCCGGGCTTCCCTCTCCAATGACGTCATTCGAAAAGGCCGCCGGACAAAACGGCACAAAAAAGAGGGAGAATATTTACGTTCTTTTTGCTTCCGCCGGCTTTATTTGGAGCGAAATTTATTATAAACAGAAGAAACCGCAGAAAGAAGTGGAAGCCCAATATTTTCGATCCTAGTTTTTCGAAATCAAAAAATAAATCATAGTAAATTTCACCATAAAAGTTCAGTAAAACGTCATTGTTTTACGCCGGAAGAAAAGCATTACCCGAACAATAAATATGAATCTAAAGCGCAAAAAATAACCGCAAAACCCGAAAAAATCTGGTTTAAAGTGCAGATTGAACAAAAATACGCTCCGAAACAACATGGCTGCACAAACAATCATCAAAATAAAACGAGAGAATTGTGTTATAGACATACTTTGGTATTCGAAAACAGGTCAAAGAGCAACTTGCCGTTCGTTTTTTCAAGTCAAGTGGCTCTCGAAATTCAATTGAAAGTTGAGATTTATGAACTGTTTACATGAACTGTCAACTCATTATTTCTATGTTCAAAAAATAACTAACAATAAGACTTCTTTTTCCTCGGACCCTCATAGATTTTTATAGTCTCTGTGGAAAATTAAATTTTAATACCTTGGCTCTCGTCAAAACATGATTGCGAAAACGTGGAGGGATTGGTGGGGCCTATTTGGAGACTTTGAGAGAAAACTGTAGTCAATTCATAAGCTCTTTGTTGGCTAAATAAGCAATCACAGAACTGGAAACCGTTTCTTAAGACGAACATTTTGATGTGGGGTAGTTCGATTTTCCGATAGGAAAAAATTCCGTGACCTGACCCACTCTCAAAACAGATAATTTTTCCTTTTCGCCACAGGCTAAAGACGGGGCAGGTCGGAAAAATTGTTTTTTCCGACCAAGGTTTTTTCTTTTGGAAAATCAAGCTTTCCCACATCAAAAAATCCCTCTTCCAATTATGAAACGTTTCTTCGGTTCTTTACTTGCATATTTAGCGAACAAACATTCATGAATTGACTAAAGTTTTCTCTCTCAATCTCAAAATGGGCACCACCTATCTCTGAAAGTTTTAGCAATCATTTTTCAACGAGAGTCAAGACATTAAAAATTCATTTTCCACGGACATACAAACGATGAGAGTCGGCGAGAGAAAAAAGTATGTTGTTTTTGATGACGCGAATATATTTTTTGAAGAAAACTTCAAAAAATTTTCAGCCAAATTTGACCAGAATTTCTTTGTTCAAGGAAAAAGATTTTTTTGGAAAATACAAATTTTTCCGAGTGATCATACAAATGAACCTCCGAAAGAAATGGCGAAGAATATTCGTTCGACTTTCTCTAAAAAAGAATGAACCATTTGACCTTCAAAGTTTCATCGGAAGAAGTCGAAGGCATATCTTCCAAGGACGAGTTGATTTTTTAATGTTAAAGTAATCAAAAAAGTTTTTATTTTTGAATACAGATTTAAATAAACTAATATTTTTTTCAAACTATTGCAAATTTGCTCATCAATATTCATCTTCAATGAAAAGAAATAAAAAAAAATTTTGAATTTAAAAAAAATCATAAAACAAATTCGTCCCGAAGATTAGTCATCAAAAAGATTGTAATCCCCGAGGCGTTTCCGACTCTTTATTTCTCAGGGTCTGATGCAAAATTGACTCTTTTTACTGATAACGATTGTTTGTTTTGTTTCAGGTTGTCATATTGCCCTTTATTAAAAATTTTTCCCCTAAAAATGTTTATTTCACAGCAACAAGAGTTTCATCCTCAAATTTTGCCGGCATTTAATGTCAAATAAGTTTTTGGAAATCCATAAAAAAATCGAAATGTTTTGATTATAAAATTACCGTGTCCGCCCATAACGACTAGAACCATAATGGGCAGTCCAAAACGGACTTCGAGAACCCGTTCGAATGTCACAGACACCCTCATTTCTTTGTAAAAAAAACCTAATCAAAAAAGTACGAAAGCCCACATTTTTTTAAAAAAAGTGTAATTCTGAAAACCTATAAATTTTGACCGAATAAGGTTGTCAAAAGCTCAGTCTGCAAAATTGTTTCTTCAACATGACACTTTTTTAAATTTACAGTTGTACCAAAATTTTACACTTACAAAAATCCATTTTGGTGTGCCCGTTATGAACCATTGCCAAAATTACATAAATTTCAATCTCCATAGAAACAGAATGGAAAAGATAAGGCTTGAGAACACAAGGTTTGATTCTCAACTTTGACATTCAAATCAGTTATTTATTTGATTCTGATTTAATTTTGTTCATGTAATGATATGATCATAATAAGAGCCATTGCGAGACGTACATCAAATTCAGCTATGAATTCCAACGAGTGAGACTTAAACACGAGTTACATTGATTATATTGATATATGCCGCAATTGTCATTGAACTCAACTACCCAAGACATTTTGAGACTAAAACAAGGTCAAATTATCCCGTCGTCGGAAGGGGAGAGACTTGATTTAGAGTGCTTAGGTCTTCATCCTCGTCCTCTTTGCTGGAAACGCGCATTTCTTCCATTTGGCGTTCTATGAATTCTTCTATATTATCATTATTTTGATCAAAGTCGACGATCCTTGGCCGTCGTTCCGAGTCGCTTCGAATCGACTCTTCTTGAACCACAAGAGGTGATTCCGTGTGGCTTTGAAGGTGGAGATTTAAGTTAGGTTCTACTGTTCGCGTGCGTGTTGATTCCTATAACATTTACTCGTCTTCGCAAATTAAAAAAACGAACACCAAATTCGATACGTATTTCTGTTTTTTCTAATTCGCTTCCAATCCCTACAACACCCAGAACGCCCCATTTTTGCGACCTACGTTACTAATCAACTCGCTGATTCTTCGTCCGGCCAATTTTGGAGTTGCAAAGTGAGAAGGCCCGTTCGCATGAACGTTCCCATCTCTTCCAACTGTCAGAATATTAAAACGCGTTGATCTAATACGACTCAGCGATATCTGTCCGACTGAATGTTCGGAGGAGAATATGGAGGAGCTGGTCTTCGAAGAGGAGAACTCGGACGAATTCGGCGTTCCTTGCAGCGACGCCTGGACGGATTGATGCGAGGTGATCGTATAGGCATCTATCTGCAATTAAATTCAATATTGTTTGGATATAAGGACATATTTTACTCTTTCCACTTCGGTTTGGACTTCAATCGAATGAAGTTCGAGTGTCCTCTCTCCAGCTGGCCGAATTTGCTTTTCTTCCTGCGAAACCACGGCAGGACTGTGAAATCCTCGTCGTCCTTGAAACAACTCATCATCTCCTATGGGGCTACATGATCTATCGACCTGGTGAACCGCTGGCCTTTGATATTTAACATTTTCCTCATCTTGATGAGGTGGATCATCATTAGCATACGGTTTTGAAGCCTCGGAAGGCGAAAACGGTTCCTCTCGTTGTTTCAATAGGTTCTAAACAAAATGAGAACACTCATAGGCTGAAAACAAACCTGACGCCGGACTCTGGCATTCTGTTTTGCACTTCGACTTTGACTACTGCTTGATGTAGATGGTTCGTCGTTTTCTTCGAGTTCACTGATTGTTATCGTCACGCTACTTTCATTCAAGGTTCCTTCACTGTCTTCACTAACTAATTCCGGGCTCTTAACCTTCTTCTTTTTCTTCTTATTGGAGTTTTTGAACTTCTTCTTCATTTTCTTCTCAATGCCCAAATACTCGTCGACTAAAACAACAAATTCGAAGAGAAAACCTAACTTACCATGACGCTTGACCAGATGATCGCATGTCTCTTCAGGATCGTGTTCAAAGAACCTTAGGCAGTCAGATTTGTCCACCAGAACTCCATCGTTAACTGTAATCTCTCTCTAAAGTAAAAACAGCATCAACATAATATCAAAACTCACCCTGAGATTCCTGTAGAACTTTCGGATACATTCCATGGCAATAATAGTTGCTTCATTTTGCACATTATCTCTAAAAAAAAGATAATAAAAAATGCCGAAATCACTCACAATCTTGATGGTTGTCCATTTAGAAACTTGATCAGCTCCTCAGGTCGTTTCGTTAGTCCTTTTATTGCCTGTCGGGCTTCCAAAAACTCCCCGGCATTCGCCATTTTATCCAATTCTCGGTCGAAATTGTTTTGACGCATCGAAATAATTTTGGAGGGAAAAATACGAAATGCCAAGCAGTTTTGCGGCGTTCGTTGTTTTCGCGGTGGGACAGCGTCACCCTCCTCCCGATCCATCACTCTCGAAATCTTGCACCGAATTGGCCAACGCGTTGCAACGAGCTAATCAGTTTATTCTCAATAAAGACGAGGTTTGACAGATAATTCTCCGAGATCAATCATTAATAACAATCACTTTATATTATAATATTAAACTGGTGGTGTTTGCTAGTAAAACTATGTACAAATAACGGGAGTTATAAACAACAATGGTTAATTCTATCTAGGATCTATCTATAATTGCTTTCTTGAGACGTCTGACGCTTCTTCTGAGCATGTTTCGTTCCATATTCGGCTGAATTTCTTCATTTTCCTTGCTCTTTTGATCATCTTCGACGATTTTGTACATCATTGCGGGGTTGACCTTCTTTGTCCTTCGAATACTGGCTCTGATGCTCTCTCGTTGCAACTGGCGTACCTCTTTCTTGGGTTTATTGAAGAACCGCTGCCTGAAGGGGAGGAGTGTTCGCTGAAGGAGGGATGAAGTTGTAGATGCAGACGAGGTCGGTTTGCGCTTTTCCATTATCTAAATTGTAAGAATTAGTAGGCAAATATCATATCAAATCTGTTTAAACCTTAGAGCTCAACATTCAAACGCGAAACCAACTTAAAATCACATCAAATTTCACTATCCAACCTCAGACGGCCTAATTTAAGGGAAAAATATTTTCGCCCAGAATTAAAAATATTTTTCCCCAGAAAAGAGCATTATAGAAAAACTCCTATTTTCTCCCAGAAAAAATATATTTTCTCCCAGAAAGAAAATATTTTTCCCCAGAAAAGAGAATTATGAAAAAAATGCTATTTTCTCCCAGAAAAGAAAATATTTTCTCCCAGAAAGCATAATTTTGTAAAAATAAAGCACGGAATTAGTAAAGATTGATGAATAAGTAACTTTACTAGTAAAATAAATTAAGTAGTAGTGTAAAACAATATTTGCAGTAAGTTTTTGAGGAAATACTGGGAATAGATGTAATCGACGGTGCTGATTTCGAAAATGATTCTCATTTTTTGTGATTTTTACTTTTTTGTGCTCAAAGAGTGCATTGACATCCTGTCTGTGTCGTCTTCTGCGCCAGGAAGAACATTCAGATTTACAATAAGAGAAACCCATCCTTATTTCCATTGGGAACAAAAGATATCCAAGAATAAACCATTAAAGAATTCATTCATACATGTCTTTGTATAAATCGTTATCTTACTTTTTTTTAAACTCAATTCAGAATTCGTCTAAAGTAATATCATCTGGAAGTTGAAAATCTGAAAAAGATTGGAAAAACGTGGGATTTCCAACTTTATTGTAAGTAGTAATGTAAAATACGATGCATGGGCCCCAGATAAGTCATAATATTGGATTCAAAATAACTGACATATTGACTTGTCGTTAGGGTCTCTCTACGTCTTCGACATCACTATCGTTTAGAAGGTAGAAATTTCTGAATATCTCTCATGTTTTATTCTTGAATGTATTTTTTTCCCCGATGAGTATAAGGATTCTCTTATTGTAAATGCTGTCGATGTACACATCAATGCACTCTTTGAGCACAAAAAAGTAAAAATCACAAAAAAGGAGAATCATTTTCGAAATCAGCACCGTCGATTACATCGATTTCCAGTATTTCCTCAAAAACTTACTGCAAATATTGTTTTACACTACTACTTAATTTATTTTACTAGTAAAGTTACTTATTCATCAATTTTTACTACTTCCGTGTTTTATTTTTACAAAATTGTGCTTTCTGGGAGAAAATAGTTTCTTTTCTGGGAGAAAATAGCATTTTTTTCATAATTCTCTTTTCTGGGGAAAAATATTTTCTTTCTGGGAGAAAATATATTTTTTCTGGGAGAAAATAGGAGTTTTTCTATCAGTCTGTCGGGAAAATAACGGCGGATCGTCGCGCCCCGGAATCGCCCATCATCGCATTGCGACTGCAAGCCGCGGCTTGGGATTTGATTCGCGATAGCGGCGAGGCGAGACATTTTGCTGCGACGATCCGCCGTTATTTTTCCGACAGACTGATATAATGCTCTTTTCTGGGGAAAAATATTTTTAATTCTGGGAGAAAAATATAGACCCCTAATTTAATGTTCTCTCCCAAAAAACGAAAAATCCGTCGAATCTCACAGTTATTACACTCCAATTCCAAAACAAAACTCTTACTCTTTCCAAATCTTGATTTCTCCTCGGTTGTAGAGTGGGTTGTCGACAAAGGGAGCAGGAATTGCAGGATCGGAGCCATTTGTCAATGCAGTTTTTGCAAAATGAATGTCCACAATCAAGTCTAACGGGCTGAAAACATTCTCAATATCAAACCGAATTCAACTCTAAGGTGTTAACTTATTTTCAAGGATTTTTTTGCTCATGTTCACCAAAATATTACCTAAAACTTGTAAGGTAATACATATACCCAAAAAAATCTTGATTTCTCTTGAAAAATCCCACCTGTCTGAAGAAGAATCCGCAAATTGGGCATTTTAATTGATCATCATCAATGGAGTACACATCAACCGTCATGCTCCAGGAAGATGAAGTAGAGTAGCGGTCCGAATCCATGTTAGTATACCTAAAATCATTTTTTCGATTACCAAACGCTGTAAAACACATAAAAATAATCCGGAAACGCTATTAAGAATTAAAGATACCAAACAAAACTGGCTTCCTGCCACTTTCACTAAAAAATCTAAAATTTTAGGTATCGAAACACCTAAAACGCTTTGAAAATCGCTCGTTCTACCACGGAACTCAATCAACCCATGCCTTAAAAAATTCTATGATGTTTTGAGGCTCTTATACAACATTATTTTCGATTCCTCGCCCAAAATGCCCCGTTTCCCAGCTCAAAAATACCCAAAACATTCGGCTGACCCCTCCGTTTTCCTCGCACTCGACCCGTTCGCTTTTGTAACGCGTCATTTGCATAATAACCAGGTATTTTTTGCGAAGGAGAGGAACATACGAAGAGTGTCTCTCGGAGGGTCAAAAAATACAAAACATTGACTTTTGATGGCGCCGAATTTTTAGAAAAATTTCCTTTTCAGGCCCGGCGGTTCGCAGCTGGCGCCCTGGTTTCCCTGCAGCCTGCGAATAAAAAGAAAAAATTTAAAAGTCTACTTCCCCTAAAATCGCCGGCAACATCACACGGCGGATTGAGTACGGAAAGGTCCGCCGTGCGGAAAGGTCCGCTGGACGGAAAGGTCCGCTGTGCGGAATGGTCCGCTGCGGAATGGTCCGCTAAAAAAAGGAACAGGGGGGGGGGAGGTTTTCGATGGCGCGGGTTTCAAAAATCGTATCCATTTTTTCTGAATTTTACAATTTTGCTTAGGCAGTAGTGTTAATTAGTAATTTTTTAAAAATTGTTTTGAATAATGGATTTAGGGGTTTTCGAGGGTGCTGATCTCAAAAATCGTATCCATTTTTTCTGAATTTTACAATTTTGCTTAGGCAGTAGTGTTAGTTAGTAATTTTTTAAAAAAATGTTTCGAGTTATGGATTTATTTAGGGGTTTTCGATCGCGCTTATGCGAGATAACAATGATTGGTCATAAAAGACGTAAGTTATATTCTACTTGGTGTTTTCATTTTTAGGTGTGACTGGTCTCGAATTTATCGATAAAGGAGCTGAAGTTCTGTCTCTCGAGCTGATGGATCGTTGAATAAGTGGAACTGTGCGGTTGGAAAGTCCGTTGGGCAGATTGTTCACGAATATTCAGAGCTGAGAAGTCTAAGTTGACATGAAAAGGATAAAGTCCGGCTGATAACTTCCAATAAAGGCCAGATCACACTAGTATCCGCTGAATTCGAGGAGGTTGTAAGTCAATGCTTTTTATTTTGTTCAGGCATCAAAAATTTGCTTTATATAGTAACTTATCTTATTTTAGGTATCATTTGACCAAGATCAAGGAATTACTGCGGCTGCTGTCTTTAATGGCTCGACATTGACCATCGAGATCAAAGTAAGTTTTTTTAAATGTTTTATCTTGCTTTAGGGAAGTTCTATCGATCGACAAATGGAGGTAGAGTTCACTAAATTCAAATCTATTGCGAAGGCCTGCTGCTTTCTTTTGGTAAGTGACGTGGCAATTCCTTTTATTTATTACGACATATAATTTATATTACACTTGCTACAAACCTATCAATTTCAGCTAAGGGTCAGTCATTCTTTGCAAGAGGGAGCCGCAAACTCTAAAGCCAGTCTGCCTTTTTACAGAGGCCTATCTGCAACCCGTTTATGACTTTGCAGTCAACGAACATCATCTGTATACAGCTGGAAAAGATCATTTTGTTAGAAAATATCGGCTACCAGCCTTGTGAAATATGAATTATTTTGTGCTAATTGTAACGGTGGTTTTAACTTTAGTAAATGCGGGTGTTTTCCATTTACTTATTTGATGTTGTAATTTAGATACAAGCTGCGTTGGGATGTAGCCTGACTACGTCGCTACGTGTGAAACTTTTTTCATCAAAATAATTTTTCTAAACGTTGGGAAGGCATTGAGCGGTCAATTAAGAACACCTTTTTTCCAAAATGTAGCATTTAAGAAAATCGGCGAAGTGTCATCGGAAAAACCCAAAGAAAGAAAAATCAATCATTGTTATCTCGCATAAGCGCCATCGAAAACCCCTAAATAAATCCATTATTCAAAACAATTTTTTAAAAATTACTAACTAACACTACTGCCTAAGCAAAATTGTAAAATTCAGAAAAAATGGATACGATTTTTGAGATCAGCACCCTCGAAAACCCCTAAATCCATTATTCAAAACAATTTTTAAAAAATTACTAATTAACACTCCTGCCTAAGCAAAATTGTAAAATTCAGAAAAAATGGATACGATTTTTGAGATCAGCACCCTCGAAAACCTCTAAATCCATTATTCAAAACAATTTTTAAAAAATTACTAATTAACACTCCTGCCTAAGCAAAATTGTAAAATTCAGAAAAAATGGATACGATTTTTGAAACCCGCGCCATCGAAAACCTCCCCCCCTTTTCCTTTTTTAGCGGACCATTCCGCAGCGGACCATTCCGCACAGCGGACCTTTCCGTCCAGCGGACCTTTCCGCACAGCGGACCTTTCCGTCCTTCGTGCACACGGCGGTTTCACACAACAGAAAAGCGGGAACTTCGTTTTGTCCTTTTTTGAAGCGGGGGCGCAGCTCGCGGAGGCAAAAAATGACGTTTTTTTACTGTAACTTTTAAACTAACAGTCGAATCGAAAATCGACCAGGGATTTAGAAAATAGAAGTTGTCTTTTATCTAATGACGTATTAAACACATTGTGGAAACGGAGACCAATTGTCTGTGGCGCTAAATTTGCCTATGTTGAGGATACCGTATCAAAACCAAAAGTCAAAATGGGAACTTGATATGAAGAAGTGGATATGTAAATACACGATTCCGAGTCGATAGACACCGAAAACGTCGAAAAAGGTTGACTGAGCGAGAAGTTATGACACCCAAAAAACATGCTGATTTTTGGCAATTTCGAAAAACTACAGTATCCTTCGAACAAACAGTCGGATCAAAAATCGACCAGGGATTTAGAAACTACTTTGTCTTAGCTATATTTTGGTATACAGCATGGCTAAGTAGGTGATCAAATGAAGAGACTTCTCTGTGGCCGAAAGTACATTGGTCATGTTGTAGTAGGTGAAAGTTGATCGTGAGACAAATGCAAAGGTGGTTATGAGGAGTTAGGGTGCTACTACAACTCAGTAAGCAATAATCGTTTAGAATCAGCGTCGATTTTGCATTAGCGAGGACTTGTGGTATAGTACCCACCATCACCGTATCCACTTCAACTATCAAGGCTTAAGCCAATAAAAGACCATATATTACGCTTAGACTGTGCTCCTCCATCTTTATGTTTATAAATTAAACATTTAACAATTATTTTAGCCTCATATAACCACAGCTGGTGTTCATCGGGTATGCCACTATATGTACAATATTGCCGGTAAGCAGCGTTTAAAAAAAGTTTCGGTTTTTGTTGGTCCCATAGGTTCTAATGCTTCCTTTACATCTTTGAACGGGTTTGCTTCCTCTATTTAATTAAAATACGGCCTGATTGCTGTTTTAATATTCATTTAAGTAAGCATGTTAACCGTCACTTCATTTGATGATTTTAGAAATCTTAATGTGAATTCTGAATTAATTATTGGTCTGAAAAGATCAAGAAAATTTTTTTTTATCCTTTTAGTATCAATTACATCACACTTCTGATGAAACTGTACGATTTCTTACTAAACATGTTTCATCGTATACCTTCCTCTGCAAGCTGCGCGTTTTTTATTTTTTTCCCACCACGAAAGATACCTTTGAAACCGCCGTGATCAATAAAAAACTTTCAATTCACGAATGGCACCATTTTTCATACAACGCATACAATTTTCTTCAAGTTTATTACGACAAAATAACAATAAACAAAAAATGTGAGAGCCCTGGAAGGTGCAAGCCAATATACCCAAGGTGTAAAACGAGAGTCAAAATGCAGATTTTTGTTGGACAAAAACCATAAAATAAAAAAAAACATCCGCAAAAATATGACTTCAAAAAAATATTGACTATAGACATAAGATTTTTTGTTTTAGGTTGAAATCCTATAAAAATCCTTCGAAAATAAAACAAATAACGAAAACGAAAATTTCGGCAATAATATGCGTCTAGTTGCTTCTCTCAGAGCCGTGCCTACCATCTGGAATGTGTTTGAACACCTCGACTGGGAACTGAGCCTGGCGATTGCACATCCATTCCGCCGGAACTTCGTCTTCTTTGTACTGCCCTTTGGGGGCGACAACTGGAGGTGGGAATCCCCACCACGGGCGGTCCTGGATGCGGGTACGTTCCAACCAGACCGGTTTCTTCGCTGGACAGTGCCTGGAAATACGGAATTTTATTTTTTTATATTGATATTTGACAAAAAAATTTTTACGGCAAATTCCAAAAAAAAGTCCAAGCTGCGCCCGAGCTTTGTTTTCGTCTTTTATGTTTTATGAGATACCATTCAACCCAATGAGCATGCAGGCACTCCTCGGAATCTGTCTTATTTCCAAAGATTTTTCTTTTTTTACAATGAAATTTGCCGTAAAAATTTTTATCGTCATTCAAATTTTAACGTCATTCAATAAAAAAAAATCAAAAAATAATACAGATCCCGAGGAGTTCCTACAAATCAACCTCAAATTCTTAACCCTTACATTTGAGTATGATTGTTCTCTCCGCTGGCGCCACAGATGCCGCAAGGTTCCATTTTCTGGAGGGTCGGACAGGTTCTTCTGGAATGGTTGTATGCGATCATCTCTTTGTTGGTGGATAAGCAATATCCACACGGCCCTTCGTCCTTTCTTTTATCCGACGAAGTGGAGGGTCTTCTTTCGCGCTGGGATTCGCCTAAAACAATATGGAACAAAAATTAATCGAGCTTACTTTGAACTTGAACCTTCTCTTCCCGATCGCATTCAACCGGCTTCTCATGACTTCTCATCTTCGTATCTAAAGGCTCTCCAGACAAATTGTGAGTCTTCTCGTTTATTCGTTCTATCTCCATTTGATCCACCTCTGGGCCGAAATTCAAGTTTCTTCGGGCTTTCGATTTGATTTTTGGCTGCGCCTGTTGCTGGGCCGTATTCTGTACACATCCTTGTGTTTCAAAAAGGCGATAAAACTCTTCCATGCTAAAAAAGGGCGTAGAATATCCCCTATTTATTTCCGAATGGATCGTCTCTTCAACCAAGTGTGAGGCTGGATACAGTTTATTGGCATTGAGGTCTTGGCTTGCCGGAGAATGGGCACTTTCAGGGACTGGAACCGACGGGAATATCAAGTTATCTTGAGCCGGTTGCGTAAGTTCCGGTGGGATGTCTTTGGCTGTGCAGTACAGAGGAACGACTGGGTAGGGAATTCCAGGCTGGTATCTTCCATAGAAATCCATTTCGTATGGGACAATTAATTGCATTCCAGTGTTGTTGCAGACCACCTGGTGAAATACAACTTGATCGGGTTGCGAGCGTGGAGGGCTGTTCTTCGGGGTGCTGTGTTGAGAATGAGGGGTCTGCTGGCGCTTCGATGGGGTGAAATGGAGAGGCTGAAGAAAAAAAGGCTTCGATTTCGATCAAAAATTTCAATTTCAAAACAACATCTAAAAAAGAGCTAATTCTTTGATCCTTACCATTTCTTGGTCCATATTCTTCTCTGGGCTTGAGTTGGGCGATTCATCCACGTATTCAATTCCACTCTCTTGGAGGCGCTTGATCATCGCTGCCTTTTGTTTCAGCGACAAGGATGGGTTCAATTCGATGCCTTTCTTTTCCGGACTTCCTTGAGGTGTAACCTTCTGGACCTCCGCTTCAGGCGGAGCCATTGAATCCGGTGGAGAATCTTCGAAGGTGAAGACGATATCCGTCTCGTCCTTGGGGAACTTTAAGTGCTGAAATGAGACGCGAGCATGATTGAAGAGCATCATAATACAACAAATATGTCCACCTTTTTTTAATTTTAGCTATTACTAACGTTGATTTTCATTACTCTGAGTTATTGTAACACACAAAAGACCAAAATTTGAGGCAAAAAACGAAGATCGGTAACTTTTATCTAGATATTATTGGTGTGACTACATGTAAAATACCTTAAAATATGTGATAATCTATCCTAGGATCCGATCAATTTTATTATTTTTAAGAATTAACTAAGCCTTCTAATAGCCGCCCCGACGCATACAACGACGAATTCACGCGACCCATCGTATCGTTGAGCCGAATTGTCGCTGACCCGAAAAGTCGTAGCGCCAAATTGGACGGGGAGAAACTGGACAGAGGGAAACTCGACAGATTTTTTACTGCAATCGTACAAAATGTCGCCATTGAATTTTTTCATATTTTTTGCACCGAAAAAAATTGTCGAATTTCACCCTGTCCAATTCTGCTCTGTCGAGTTTCCATGAAGCCTGTTTTGCAATCCACATTTACCCCTCTTGTATCTAAAACACAACCAACAATAAAAAATTTACCTCCTGGACAATTCTCGGCGTATCTTCGTCCTTGTAGTAGTTGTGGTCAATTATCTCGTTAACCTCATCCAGCCCAGTTTCGTCGAAGGATCGGGCCATCCGATCGACCATTTCCATTTCATCGTCTCTGATATGCAGGAAGGATTGCGTTCGTTCGCGCGCGGTCTTCGCTTGATCCTGAGGTTTATAAACCCTGTCGCTCGTTGAGTTTGCGAGGTATCGTTTCATTTGGAAGCAAATTCCGGTAAATTTTTTGTTAAAACACTGAAAAATTATTCTTTGAAGCACCTTTTTGTCCCAAAAAACCCATATATTTGTAAAAAACGAAATAAAAATCCACGTTTTTCTGTCAATTGATAGAGGGAAACAGTTGACCCAAAACAATTTCTTGTCGAATTTTGAAACCGTTCCTTATAATTTATAAGTAACAAGTGTTTTATACAATTACACCTCCGAAATATGATCAAAATTATGTAAAAAACATTGTTTCAAAAAACTATTTCAAATATTCACTCGTCTCAACGAAATCCATCAAAAAAACCACTAGAACTGAACCCTCAGCTCGATTCTTTATTATTAAACACAACGCAAATGTCCTTTAGAAGGTTAGAAAATCCAGAAAAATCACAACAAAAACGTTAGGTTCAAGAAGAAGTTAAAAAACAGTAGTTATAAAATATCTAAAAAAGAATGCATTGCTATTGTATGTACACTTATTAGGGGAATAATTGACAATATAAAATGAGAAGACAGGTTGGAAAGCGTGAAAACAATGAAGAATTACAGTTCAACAACATTCGGAGGTCCATTTCGGCATATTATAGCTGCCTTTTGGGAGAACCTTCATAAATGGCAAGTCCCGTTCAGAGAAAATCTTCGTTTGGACTCGGTTTAGGGTCAGTTGAACTTTCTGACGACGGGGGCAGTGCCTGAAAGTCAACTGTACAATTTAAAACATTATTTATCTTAAATAATGCCGGGGTTTTCCAAACTCGTAGGAAATAAGACTGCTACCAAAAGTCCTCTTACATTGCGGTATGATTATCCAATCCACGAGCGCCACAGATTTTGCAAGGTCTCAATGACGACAGGATTGGGCACAAAAATTTCGAATGCGAATAGGCAATGGTCTTCCTCTGTCCAGTGGACAAACAATAGGCGCAAGGGCCGACAGCGTCGATATTCACCTTGGGATTAGATGGAAGTGACTGGGAAAATACAGCCAACGATCTCACTGGACCAACATCCCGAACTTCTCTGTTCTTGGGGCCAAAATCGGACGTCAGATTCAGCTTCTGGACTCTGGGGATTGAATTCTGGAACTTGGGGATGTTCTCCTTGCTCGAAGAGCCACTCGAGCTCGATTCTGTTGATGGATACCGAGACTCCGCGAAAAAACGACGTGCTCTGAAATCAACATGTCAAACGTATTCTGCAAAAATCATCCGACGCTGAATTTAAACTTCCCCATCAAAAAACAATCCTGAAAACTATAAAATAGACCCCAATAACAACAAAAATGGCCCAAAACTTACGTCTCCTCATATCCAGGGGATCCCATCTGGTTTGGTGTGTGAATCAAGTTCTGGACTCGTCTAATAATTCCATTTACCATTCCATTATAAGAGTTCTGTTCTCCCAGCGGTCCAAATTTCCTTCCAATATCCAAAATGTTATTTCTACCTTCTCCCAAGGAATTGGATGTTACACGGACTGGAACTGGGTGGAAAATCAATCCAGCCCGTCCAGGGTGTGTTCGCTTCCATGGAACGTCGTTGGCTGTGGAGCAAAAGGGAGGAAGCGGATAGGTCGCGACCTTTTGGCGGTCTTGCTCAGAAAGAGTCTTCGAAGAGGTATCTTCGAAAGTAAAAACAATATCCGTGTCGTCATTGGAGAATTTGAGGTGCTGAAAAAATGAGGGTATCATTCATTGCAAAAAACAGCAATAAAATCCATTTTTAGTACGATTTGGTATCAAAAACACAAACAAAAAGAAAAAGGTTTACCTCTTTTACAATCTTCGGCGTATCTTCGTCCTTGTAGTAATTGTGGTCGATAATCTCGTTGATTTCATCCAGACCAGTTTCATCGAAGGATCGGGCCATTCGATCGACCATTTCCATTTCATCGTCTCTGATATGCGGGGAGGACTGGATTCGTTCGCGAGGAGCATTCGGTTGATCTTGAGCTTGACAAATCACGTTGTTTAGTGGAGCCGGAAGATACCTCTTCATCTGAAAACAAAGTGTTATCCAAATTTCTTTTACCAAACGCGAATTTTGAAGTTTGCTTCCGATGGCCCGATGCCGTAGTCGAAAACAAGAATAACAAATTCCGAGCATCAAACTCAAAGTTTGTGAAATATCAGCCCAACACAAAACAACTAATTGTAAATAGCCTAAGTTTCCTATCTAGTCCTACTAAAACCAACATAGATTGTAAAAAAAACAAAACCTCTTATTCAAATCAACTATAATGTCCTTCGTAAGAATGCGTAAACCACATTCAACATAGAAACCGTCATAACCTGAGCAGATGAAACGCAACGTGTCGCAACGTGTCAACGCGAAATCTTGAGAAGCTTTTCTTCGAAGAAACGACGTTTTCGAGCAAAGTTGGCAACAGAGAGACACTCGACCCAAGAAGAGAACTGTTGACCCGCAATTGGGACGAGTTGTTCTGCTTCTGCAAGAGTTGCGAAACCAGAGTGTCGGATCTGTGGTTTAGAAGGCGCTAGCGTGATTTCGGATTATCAGATGGATTATTACCTTTTCGCGGTATCAGAAATAAAACTTACTTTTTTTCTCATGAATAAGACAATTGTTTGTTTACTAGTATTTTTCAGGCAAATCTTCCCATCAGAACTAAATTGGCTCGCAAAAACGCTTCGTAACCTCGTAATGACTGGTGCCATGACTATTCAAGACGATCGAATGGTCCGAAAGTTCTGTCAGACTTATTACAAAGCCTTCGATTCTCGTCGAGACAAGCTGATCTACCTGTTCCAAGCCATGGAGAACGAAATGGCAACGTATCCAGCCTTCACATTCAATGGAACTCATGTTGTTGGCGCCAATCAAATTCAAGGGTTCCTGCATCTTCTGGGGGATACTGAGCATGAGTAAGATCGTTTTATTTTTTGTTGGAAATTGACAAAATTTTGCAAAAGGCTATTTTCTTATCACTCTAAACGCAACGTTTCACATCGCATTTGTGGCAATGATGGGTGTTGCGTGGAGTTACAGGCATTTCATGCATACAAAAATGTGATTGTTACCTAAAAAAATTTTTTTGCGGTTTGATGGATAATCAAGTCTTTGCAGGCTTTTAGATGGATTTCAGAAACAATATAAGGCGCGTGCGTTCTACTTCTCTTCGGACTTCCTCGCAGAAAACCCGCATTTCTTGTCTGTGGGCCCGCACATCGTTCTTTCGTAATTGGAAAATGTTTTTTTAACGGGACGGCGCTATTATTGATTGAAAAAAGAGGGAAGAAGCGCCGAAAATTCTAATTTACCACAACCTAATTTACGCAAAAACCATCGGCACACATACTCATTGAATGATATTTTCTGAAATTTCGATGGACTAAGCTCCTTTAAGAATCAACATGACATCTGTTATCATCTTAGCCTTTCCATATTCATCTAAAACATCATGGGTGTTTCTGTTAAACATTCGGTCATATCTCGCAGTTCCAACGAAACTTGGGTATACCCGATATGCCAGTTGATGCAGAAGAATCCAGAGAAAATATGTGTTCAGTTTCAGAATTTTCTGTACGCGATTTTTTTTTCAATTCCCGGATTATGTTGGACTAAGAGGTGGTATCGCCGAATATCAGATTAATAAGATTATTAGTATTGTTGACGCTCCTTAAATATATATTCATGTATTTTTTGTTAAATATGACGCTATTTATGCTGTTACACATCACTTTATGCATGTGGCCACAAGAAAAGGAAAATTATAAAAAATGCACAATGCCACATTTTTTTGGCAAAAAATGTTTTTGTGGTGCAACCGGCAAAAATTTTTAGCTTCGCAAGCCAAAAAAAATTTTAAAGCATTACGCCAAAAGCTTGTTTTTCGTGGCGATACAAACCATAATTAGCAGAAAAAAACGACGTGGCCCGCTAGACAAGAAATGCGCGTTTCTTGTCTAAAATTGCGCAACATTGCGCAATATTGCGCAATTTTCTGCTCTCTCCCCGTGAAGATTTTTTTCTTTTTTTCTCTGCTCAGCCAAGAATTGCGCATTTCTTGTCTAGCGGGCCCACAGACAAGAAATGCGGGTTTTCTGCGAGGAAGTCCGAAGAGAAGTAGAACGCACGCGCCTTATATGCTATGTTCTTTCCAGAATGATTTCATTATCCCCACAACATCTTCAGACCCAACCAGGCAAGTTTTTGATCTGCGTGACTGGAAATGTTTCTGTTGTTAACGGGATGCACCATTTCTTTTCCGAGAGTATGGTCACAACGCTGGAAGATGATCGGCTTCGGATTCTGAGTACAAATTACCGCTTATTCTAACGAAATGTTTATTGTTTTGTTGTTATAATAATGTTTTTACAGTTCATAAATTTTTATAAATGATGCGTTATAGATGTTCGGTGACGTTATTTAACGTCTTGATACCTTTTAAATTTTTTTTTGTGAATTTGAAAGAGAGAGAAGGTTCTTCCGATGATCAAGTTAGATGGCAATATCTGGGTTTGACTTGTGAAGAACAACGTGGATACCGGTCATAATAATTGCGGATATTATGGCCATAACTGAGAGGATTATCCAGATGAATCCCTGAAGGGTAAAATGGTTGAGGGGACCAAGATAAACTTTTTGGCGCTGCGACTTTTCGGGTCAGCGACAGTCGGGTCAACGATACTATGGACCGCCTCGGTTCGTCGTCGTATGCATGGGGGAGGGAAGGAGGAGGCTGAGTTAGTGGAAATAATAAGATTGATCGGGTCCTAGAATGGCATATTACCTATTGAGGTATTTTACATAATACTCACTTCGGTAATATCTGGATAAAAGTTACGGATCTTCGTTTTTTGCCGCAAATTTTGGTCTTTTACATGTTACAATAACTCAGGGTAAAGAGAACTAACGTTAGTGATAAATAGCTAATATTAGAAAAAGTGAGCAGAGCCTTCGTCAAGCCTTTGCGGAGCGTCCGCCGACCGTACAACGGCTTTGCCAGGCCTCGTAGCCACTTTCTACAACCCCTTTTTATGCATCCACATGCCCTACGCAGCGTGTCGATCGGTTTTTATGTTGACTCGAACTGTCGTCGACCCGAAAAGTGGGGACGCGAACTTTCTTACCCCGCGCTCAAAAGTCCCGAGAATTTTCGCACCGTGCATTCTTCTTTCAATTCCATCCGCACGCTGGATTTTTCGCATTTGTCGCCGTAATTTCCCGTTTTTGCACTAGCGACGCACGTCAAACTGAGATAAGCTAAAACAGTCCGGTGAATAGATTGGCAATTTGCCAAAAAAAGACGCGAAAAAACGTTTTGTCGGGGGAGAAATGGGGAATTTTTGGGGCGAGAGAGTACGTTTTTACGTGTCTTTTTTTCTCTCTTTCTCTGGAAATCAAGACGAAATGTAAAAAACCGATAGCGAAGAGTCTATTCCGGTCACCGGACTCCTCAGTTTGACGTGCGACGTGCACGTTTGCTTGCGTCAAACCCGAATTTGCGGGCGCGACGTCTAAAACCCGAACTTTCGCACGGTGCGAAAATTGTCAGGACTTTTGAGCGCTCGAGTACACGCTGAAATTACCCTCACCTGATACCAGTTCAAAGTGTGGGTGTAAATTGTCTGCAAAACCGCGGTTTTGAGGAAAGAGGCAACTTGCTGAAGTATAGAGTCCAAAGCGAATACTCTTCCTGTCTATAAAAAGATAGCTTCGTCAATTCAATCTTCACGTTCTTACCTCTTGTCCATCAACTAAACAGCTGTACAAAGTGAAGATCAGCGGGTTGGTAAGAGCATGCATAAAACCGACCGCCATGCTGATGTAGATCAGTAAAGAACTTGTGGCTAGTCCAATTAATAACGAATCAATCCCCATGGAAACGGTTGCAATAATTACGATCGTTGTATCCTTGAGTTTTAGCAGTTTTTTGAGGATAAATAAGCCAAAGAGCAGACCAATGATTTCTTAAATCGACTGTTTTTGCTATGAAAATACGATGTGATAAATCGACGAGCTCAAAGTCGTTTTCCATTGCATCAATAAAGCATTCCGAAACCCGCCAAATACTTCTTTCTGTGGCCCCAAAAATACCGTTCTTTTGACGAGAGCGCCTAATGTCGCTTTCTGTCTTCAAAAGAGCGCTACAGTGAGGACCTGATCCAGTGGTAAAAATGTATCATTTTGCATCCGGGAAATATCAAAAAATGTGGCAAAATCCTTCCCTCTCCAAGTGAAAAAACTCCGATTTCAAAAGCGCGCCCGCTCTTTTTGTGAGGGAAAGGGCGCGCCGTTCAAAACGAAGTTTTTTCACTTGGAGAGGGAAGCATTTTGCCACATTTTTGATCCTTGCCGGATGCAAAATGGTACGTTTTTTGCAACTGGATCAGGTCCCCCACTGTACTGTTGGAGGAGAGGTATTTAGAGGTATTCAGAAGGCTTTTTGGATGCTTTCGGAGGCGCTTTTGACCGCTCCATCTCTGTCACGCACTGTCCACGCTTCGACGGTATCAGTATAATGAAAATATGGGAGGTGATTTTTAAATTTTTCAGTTCAGACAAAAATTCAGTGCAAAGTTAACTCCGGACTGAATTTGCCGCTTCTGACTGGATTGAAAAACAAAGTTTGTAGATCACCTTCCATATTTTTAGAGTGGTTCTCTTGCTAAAACTTACGTGTGAAAGGCCGGTATGATTTATATTCGGCAAAATCATCGGTTGTCCAGTGAAACGGATCCAGTTTAGTGTACGTTCCAATAAGATCCTTCTCCTCATTGAAGGCCGTCCGATTCAAGAGTACGCAAGTGAATGTTAGCCACAACAACGTTCGGTTGTAGTTTTCACGTTGTCTGATTACCACCTTTACCGATGCCCACATCGAAAGTAAGCCGTCTTTTGCGATCCTTGCAAAGCGGTAATCCCTTGGTTGGTCTTTGATATTCGGAACGAAGAAAATGACGTAGGAAAGAACTATGAGGTTGATGGCTTGCATTACGAAGGCCGCCGTGGTTTCGTGGAACTGATGGGATAAAAGTTTGGTCAGTTGAGAGCCAATAAGATCGCCGACATTGAGAATAGTGTAGGTGATGATCATTCGGATTGATAGCTGAAAAAGCTATGCAAACGGCGAGGATTTTCAGAAACGAAAACTTTGCCAATGAACTTACCACCCTCTTCACTTCGAATTGATCTGATAGATATGCGTTTACGGAGGACGTAACCATCCGAAAACCTCCGGTAATCCCATTCGAAACCGCAGCGAGAAAGAGCCACGCCAATGGCCAATCGGTGTTGTCCCACCAAACAAAAATGTAGATCATATTCCCGACGAACATCCCCAGAAGCCCCGCAATCATTGGGACTTTACGCCCGTGTTTGTCGCTGAATGAGCCTTAAACCGGGTGTACGTGCAACGAATGTTTGAGCTCACCGAAGAAAATGGTAGCCATCACGGCTAGTGGCATGTTGACGTAACTGTAATTTTGATCCCATTCCACCATTTTTTTATTGTAAAACTTTTTCAACAACACGCTGTCGTTGGCCACATCGCTTGTTGGGACATAAACGCGTTTGACTTTGTCCTCCATCAATGTTGGGGTAATCACAATCCTGGCGGTGTCGCATATTGCTATTGCCAAGATAACCAACTCCATTCGGATTTGAAAAGATTGAATTTGATGCCACATTTTGGGTAGTAAAAGGGGAGTTTTTGAAACATCAGCAAGCGAATCGGCGTTTTCTTGGCCCGGAAAAGACGGTAAGACTTTGCAGTTGGATTCAATTATTACCTGCGACACTCCTTCTTTTTGGTCCATTGGTTTTGCCCCCGAAAATAGAGAATGGTTGCAAGAACGAAAAGAATAGGAATGTGGAGCATTCAATCCGACATACTCTTTTTTGGTAATGATAAGGCTTTGACGCTTTTTTCTAATCATAGCGTTAGATAATTAGCCTATAACACCAACAGAAGAAGGAGGTTAACCTTGTCGAAAGAGGCGTTTGTAGTGTGGAAGGTAATTTTTCGACAATAATTCATTTTTCAGAGCATTTTTCTTACCAAGTTTTTCGTTATCAGTCTGTCGGGAAAATAATAGTGGCGGGTCGTCGCAGCAAAATCCTTCGCCCCGTGGAAGAAAGGGTGCAGTCCAAACCTCCAGCTGCGGCTAGCCGTCGCAGAGCGGCGATGGACAATTCCAAGCAGCGACGACCCGCCACTATTTTTCCGACAAATTAATATAAAATTGACCGTAATTCCAGTATGGTTCAAATCATTTTGAGCGTTTTCGCTATATTTATATCTTTCACACCGCCAGGCTCTTCTTTTTACTTGCCCCCCACGGCTTTAATATCAATCTCCCTTTGCCTCAATCCCACCATTTTTTCGGCTTTACGTGCCGTGGAGAGGGGCTTCGGAATTTTTGGACTGCACGCAAAGAAAGGAATTTTTGGCATGCTTCAGACGGCCGCTACGGGTCCGCACGCCCATGCGGGTGGCCTAATATTTGAAAAAAAACGAATTCCTTCAGCTTCCGAAAGCATTTTTGAGGCAGCGTCGGACCGAAAAAACGGCCTCGTCGGCAAACCCTTTTTTTGGCCAAAGGCGCCGTCAAAAGCGGGTGGCGCTTGGGTTTCTGCTCGTCGTTTCCCCCTTTCGCAAAAGGCCTAAGGCGTTTTTCCGACAAAGACCGGCGCCGCAATTCCGACGGCCGCACGCATCGTTTAACGGAGACGTTTTTTGGGCATGTGCATCATGTCGTACTCGGAGGACGCTACACCGCGGTGTAGTTGTTACACCGACACATGAATTCCGCGCGGCCACGGCGACGAGGACGACACGCCGAGCACGTTCAATACAAACATTTCGCTGCGGGTGGCCGAAGAATGCGGCCGGTTGGTGCTGGGCCAGTATCTCGGCCAAGAAAGGAAAAGGGGAAGGGGAATGCCTTCAGTGAGATGGAAAAAACGAAAGAGGGGGTTATAAAACACCCTGTCTTTTATGAAACCAACTGGGATTTCGTGAAATGGAAATTTTTTACGTTTATAACGTAGGTCAAACAGAATTTACGCAATTTGTACTTTTAGTTAATGCGAGTTTTATTTATTTACAAGTCCTCTGAAATACCAAACAATCAGTAAAACTACGAGAACTGCAATGGCCCATGTGTACAAACTGGCTCCGTCACTTTTGCGCAGGGGCTTCAGCGGGTCGTTGGGCGTTTCCCGTTTGTGGATTCCTTTGATCCTCCTTTCTTCCACACCCATTATCGCTTCTCGCGCTTCCGGCCATGGAAAGGGTCCAGCTAGGCGATAGACGTAGGGCACATTAGGGCCAAAAATTAACTTGTTCCACAGCTCAAAGTCGGTGAAGAACAACCTGGTCAACGGGGGTTTGGCCCCAATCATGGAAGACATTTCATCCATGTAATCCACATAATCAATTTGAATGGTATGTCGTGGGACGTTGATGTAGCGGCGGAGCATGTTTTCGTTGCTCGTCTTTATGTCACGGAGCATTTCGGCTTTGGAGGGAAGTTGCAAATTTCCCAACGCCTGTTCGTAGAAGACGCGAACTTGCATCTCGGCCGGAGCCATGATGGAACCTATCGGCTGGACCAGCCCAATGCAGGCCAGTGTGTTCTTATCCGCGGAGTTCGGAGGGAACATTTTTTTGTAGAGTTCTACGCGATTATCAATCACTGGAACCAAATTTCCATTGTCCAGGTACGGGAAAGAGAATGAGAATCCAGTGCAAAGCACGACTTCATCGACATCGGCGAAGCTACCGTCTTCGAAGACCACTCCGGTCGCATTGAACTGTTTAATGTCTCCTTTGACAATCACAGTGCCGGAACTAATCTTGTCTGAAAACAGTCGATAAACAATATTAGGAAAGCGGTGCTTGTATTAAATTGGAAGAAAGCCTTAACCATATTTTTCTAAGCTGGAATGACAAGGTCTGCGCGAAGAAAATAACCGACCTCGAACATTTGCAAAAAGATGGTGAAAAAAATTGGTATCCTAACCGAAGAATAATTTTGCCGTTTTCCCAATGAATCATGCAAGAAAACCTTCTAAAAAGCCGTTTTCGTTCGTTTACTACATTAGTTGTGGCTCCTTCAGACAACCATAAATGCTTATCATTATTCTTAGTGATTAGATTTAGCGCTTACAAACATTATAGTTTTCACTACAAAGGTTGGGTTGTTTTATTGTATTCTATTTCTGTCCGCAAGACTTACTGTGAATTTCGTCGCATATTGTCGGATGCTGCGCAAGCACTTTATGTTTCGGTCTCAAACCATATTCGTCGTGGTCGAAAAACTCGGTAAAGCGCTTCTCCGACATTTTGTTCAGCAAGTCGGGACTAAGCCATTTAATTAGCCCGATGTAGCGCCGATTAAAAGCCATGTCGTTGGGATACCCGTTCTTGGTGTGTTTTGCGTTAATCCAAGCCCCGCGGCGCGTTGAAATGTATACTTGTTGGGCACTGCGCGAAAGCTCGCACGCCACATCAACGGCTGAGTTCCCGATCCCGACCACCAGGACTGTCTTGTCGTCATAGCCAACGGGTTTTTTGTAGGAATGGGAATGGACAATTCGGCCCTTCCACTGCTCTTGCCCCGGCCAGGGCTTCGGGAAGTGAGGAGTAGCGTGATGGCCAGTGCAGACAAGAACAAAGTTATACGTCTTTTGCTGCGATGAGCCGTTGCTGGAAAAAGGATTCGTAAAAAATTTTCAGTTGGCTTCGAAACTACGAGATCGTTGATAAAACGTGAAGTCATTCTATGACAAAGCAATTCTTACTCGTCCGTAAAATGCACGACCCAATTTCCAGTACGGTCGTAATCCGTTGCCCTTTCAACATTCTTCACGTAGTGCCGGAATTTAATGAACTTCCGCAGCCCGTTGACCTCAGCGTATCGATCCAGATACTTCCACAGTTCTAAAAGACAGGATTCGCTCCTTCCCTCGGAAACTTACTGGAATGATGCATGTAGTTGGCGTCCTCGGGGTTTGGAACAAAGTCCGAATAAGCGGACATCTCTTTGGACGTGTTGATGACAGTCTGCTTCATGACCGTGCTGAACTCGGTCTCCTCTTCCTTGTAATTCCATAGTCCACCGAGCTGGGATTGGGCTTCCAGGACTGTGGGTTCAAATCCATATTGGACTGCCCATCTGCAAATTAAATACAACATTTAGAGGAACTGAAACCCGACTTAAGAATCGTGCGTTGTGACCGAATTTTTTTTTGTCTAAATTCGACAAAGTCTTTGACGGGATCTGAGCGTCGTTGGTCGATAAATCCGATAATTGACTGGCAATAACGACAGGAAACAGTTATAGTGACATTCTACGTGGTTTCTTGTCATTATTTTACTGTTTACAATCTTGCCGCCTTTGTTTTTACGGCAAGACATAAAGGACTTTATCGATATTTTGCTCTCACATCCTAAAAGCTGCAGTGGTCCCCTCAATCAAGAATTTCTATGAATTTTTTCCCCTACTTACTTTGCCGCAGGCAATCCACAGACTCCGGCGCCAATAACGCAGACTGTTTTCTTACTCATTGCTTTTGATCAGAGAGTTCCCTTCAAAAGCATAAACTGCTCAGCCACCGCTCCGACTTATATAGTCCCGCTGGAGCATACGTATCTGTTGCACAGGGAGGGCCTCAAAGGAGCGGGAAAGTACATACTTCTTATCACTTTTCGAATGGAACACGCTCTACGATCCATCACAAACCCCCGAGCTCATGAAATCACTATTTTTCATAAAATCAGGGTTCAGTTGCCATGCTCTGCCGAGGAAAAACATTGCTGCATTCATCAGTATTGGACTTTAGAATCGAAGAAATTCCGCTCGAATGTTTTGGCGTTTGACCTCTTTAATTGCGCTTTAAAATTTGTATTTATCGTGCAAACCCCAAACTTTTTTGTGCGATTCAAAACCACAATTCAGCGTCCTTTGATAGCGGAAAATAACATGTGAGAAAACAGTAAATACCCGTTGATTCTTTCGCAATTTCATTGGTTCGGCAAAAATATCAGAAACAATACGAACCGAAGAAAGTTTGTGTTGTCGAGGCCCTGACGAGAACTCACAAGAGCCCTCACAAGAACGCCAACGTATCGAACTTGGCAGAGGCTATTTGAATCATACATTCCATTTACTCGTATTACCCGTCAAATAATTTAACAAACTTAACATAACAAGTCGGATATATCTATTTTTGATGCCGTTGTTCGGAAGGCTCCTCTCGAGGTCCAATCCTCGTTGCTGATGTTCCATTCCGCGCATACCACCGACCTCGGGTTGTCGGCCAGGACGATCTTGTACATGGCGGAGAAGGCCAGCCTTGTGGCCTGCGAGCGCTCCATGGAGAGGACCTTGGAAATGAATTCCCTGAAACAAGACAATTAGCCATTTTCTAGAGTCTCAAACATGCTTAAAATAAAACAGATACGGAATACTTACAGTAGGTCGTGTTCCTTGATGTTGTTAATAAAATCATTTATCAATTGTTCATTGTAATTTTCATAGTAATTCTCGATGATTTCGGTCACCGACGTTTTCTTGGCGCTCTCAAAGAGAAACTCATCCACGTTCCTGCCTTCGCAAATACGCTTCTAAAAAATCATAAAAAAAGAAATCATATTCCGGCAAGTCTTCATGTTTCCCACAAAAATATGAAAATTTCTTACCAATTTTTCCGAAACCTCTTCTCTGATCGCTCTGAGTTCGTAGCTCCCTTCAATCTTCAATTCTAGACATTCGTCTTCTACGGAATATTTGAGCTCCAACGCATTCGCTGCGCCAATTTTGACCAACTCCGTCCAGAAAATTCCTCCAGGCATTGAAGCGTAATTGGCGACGATCAGTATGGCAGCGTGGGTCTCGGAGAACCTCTCAGTCTTGTAGTGGGCTCGTTCGAAGAGGGAGGATCGGGCTGGCAAGTTGTCTTTGGCCAAAAGCCGCGTTTCGGAAGTCGGACCCCAGTGAAATGGGGTTGAAGTAGGGAAACGCATCTGAAAACGGCAAAAATATTCTTCAGACCGCACCTAGAACGGCGAATGGACCAACAATAAATAAAAACACCTACCTGAAGTACTTCAGTTTCGCAATTATCAGATCGTTTCTTCAAAAAATCCGCAAAATCCATCTTCTTCTCCAATTTGATCTCATCAAGACCGCCAATAATATGCAGATTAATGGGTGAGTTGATAACCTTCTTTCTAATCAGCTCCAGTTCGTCGATAAGCGCCTGAGGTTCGTCAATGATTCGGTTCAAACATGTCAGATGGAAGTTTTCCAACAAAACGGGGTTGAATCGTCGTCGGACATCGTCGGAATCAAGTTGCACATGATTTAGAATAACGCTGTTGAGTGCACTCAGATCGCTGGATGCCTTTACGGACTCGTAGAGGAGCTGCTGGATTGAGGATTTCACCTGAAATATACGTAAATCGTTAAATTAAAAAAAAAGAAAACAAAAACGAGAAACAAAAAAATCTCACCTCGTCTTGACTAAAAACACTGTAAATTAAAGTGTGATGGAACCACTTTGAGACAAGCTCAATGTTATTTTCTTTTGGTTTTATTTCGATCATCACCATTCCCATTTTCCCATGATTGACCAGCTTCGTCGACCATGACTGAAGCTCATCCAGTCGTATTCTGAGGACTTCTTCTTTGAGTAATCGCCCTTCCGGTGTTGAGACCGCTGAATTTTGAAGCAACTTTATTAAAAGTGGGACAAAATTCAACAAATTTGGTTCAAAGTCGTCCAGTCTGATATTGAAGCAAGCCTGAAACATTTTTTGGTAACACTACAGGGTCTTAAAAAAGCGCGAAGAGTTGGAGGCTACAACATCCTGCGGAGCAGAGACTTCGTATCTGCCACACGTAGTCTCAAACGACATCAATTTTTCTCTATGAGACGACTAGATTTTAAAAGACAAACTGAGGCCGCCACGACCTTTTGAAGTAGCACATTTTAACCCCGAAAACCAGAGATGTCGCTTAAAAATACATATTCCAATTACGAAGTCATTGCGCCGCCACCGCCGAAGGTAATAGCCTCCGAATTTCCTACATGTTTTTTGCAAGACTCTGTATTTTATCATTTTTTAATCTGCAGAAAGAAAGTGATAAAAAACTTTCATTCCGGACCCGGTGAAAAAAATGAGAATGTCTTTTTCAAGAGTGGATTAGAAACCGGCAGCTTCCCTCAAACGAATCAACATGGACAAGATAGAAAAGCAGAGATTCCTTACACTCAACCCGCTCTTGTTCTCCTCAATTTCATGGAATATCGTCGGAATGCTCTGCACGTTCAAAAATTTCTTCCAGGCTTCAATTCCCTTTGGCAATCTTTTCGTGTCCGCCTCAATGATCCATGTTTTGTGTGCTTTGAACGGAAGTTGAGTTGGGAATACGCTGGTTTTGACGTTTTCGTTGGGACCAGCGTGATGTTCAAGCAGATGAATCTCGGCGCGCTCAGCCTTTTCGAAAATCTCGGACTGATTCGCGTACTTTTCCATTTCACATGATATTCGAATATGCTCCTATAATTCATGAAAACAAAGCCTTGAAAGTCACAAACAGACAAAATTAAACCTTTAAAATTTTCCTTTTACCTGAAAACACGGGTCCATCCTAGTTTCGGAGGCATTCGTTGGCAGTCCCACCAGCACAGCGCAGTTCTCGTTGAACCATTCAGTCACAAACTCGGTCCATGCTTCGTTCGGTTGTTTGGCGTGGTGTTCGTAAAAGACATGCGGATTCAAATTCCTCGCCAGCGCGAATTCGTCATCAATCGCCAGCGAATACTGTTGGAATCGTCGGATCCTCTCGAAAAGTTCGGGTTGGAAGGTATCCTGGGCAATGCGTTGTTGATTTTCGTGGATGAGATCAAGTGCTGCCAATTCTATTCTGGAGTGATCGATGAATTCACGAGCTCTGACCAGTCCTAAGAATCTGAACTTTACGCTTACATTGGACAGAAAAACACTTACTTTTCAGCGATCATATTCGTCTTTTCCGAAGGAACACCATCGAATTCAACGCTGATTTCCCATCTTGGCAGAACCTTCAACTTCACCTCAATCGAAGCGGCGTACTCCGGCAAAAACTCAGATTGAAGCGAGGAAAACTTGCAAAGATAGTTGGCAAATACTTCGGCAGCAGTTAGAGTAGTTATGTCCTGTAAAAAAACAAAGAATATAGCCATTAAAATTAAAAAAGTAAATATTGAGAAAAAAAGTAAATATTTAATTTTCAGCTCCTGATCAAAAATTTGGCCCACTTACTCTCGCATTTCCGCCCAGGAATCCCAGAACAACACTAGGTTCGCCAGTTTGTGACAAACCCGCAACCTTCGTAACATTCTCGTAGTGACAGGACGGATTTGGTATTTCCAGATTACAAAATGGCCTCTCGATTGGATTTGGATCCGGAATGAACGTCAAAGAGTTGAACAAGGGAATATCGTACGAATTCACATTGCCCACAACCGTAATGAAGATGTTGGACGGCTTATAATATTGAGAATGGAATGCCTTGATCGAGTCTAAGGTCAGGAAAGTCCGAACCGAATTGCAGGAACCAACTGGAGCTAAAGCAATATAAAATAACTGATGAGAGAGCCGAAACTGAACTTACATTCTCGCAGCAACGAGGCTTCTTCGAACAGGATCCGAGTTTTTTGTTCATCCATCAGCTTGGTCAAATGATGCTCAGTGCCCAACAATTCCTCAAACAAACATCCGGACTCGTGCGAAAACTCGGCGATTTTGTAGATTTCGTTGAGAAACTTTTCGTCAGTAAATTCGGGAAACAGCAGCGAGCTGTACAAGGCGGTGAGAAAGTTCAGAAATGCAGATTCACTTAGAGTTCGGAATGTAAATGATGTGTGACTCTAAAGAATAGCAAATGAGATGAGAAAATTCAGCGAAAATAAGCGGGGTTTTAGTTATCCGCAGATGGTAGGTACCTAAAAGCCAAGAAAAAATAAAACAAGCGCTTACCTGAGAAATGTTTATCAAAGTTCGTTTATTTGGGCAGAAACAGTTAGCTGCAAGTTGCGGAATGAAATTGACCGAGGAACATGAACGGCCTCCAAGCAGCGACATCTTTGCTGTCGCCAGAGCAACTCCATCACCATAACCGGGATCTGTCGCTAAAAAACAACAATATTACCTAAACAACAAAAATTTAGTTACACTGGTCCTCGAAGGGGACGCTAGAGCAATTTTCTCGGGCAATTGCCTCATAAACAGCCTTGCAAACTCAGACACAAAAGCGAAACCAAAAAATCTTCCATTTTCCGCACAAATTCCGTTGCATTGCCAAAAATTTTCAAACCATTACCTAAAACACATGAAAAAGAAATCAAAATCTTACCCAACGTGACATTCACATCCACCGCTTTGCTATTACTTCTTGCAATCCCCAAATGAAGTCCATTTGAAGGCGATTTGTACAGTTGGAAGGGTATTTTTCCACCAAAGAACGTTTTTCCGCAGGGAATCAGCCGGACCTCTTGAGGAAAACAGTCTCTATCGCTGTCGACTTCCATTCTCCAACACCGGCAACAAACAGGTAATTTTGAACTCCGTGAACGCCCGAAAAAACATTTGTTCTTCCTTTTTCGAGCGGGAAACGCGATGATGCGGAATGCCAAGCATCCATGGCGAATGCGAATTTCGCGTAAAAAATGGGAATTCAAAAGAATTGCTAGGTAAACGTGATTAAATTGTGCAAAACATTGGCCAAATATTACATGGAGAGCATATTTATAAATAGCACACAACGAACTAATTTTATTAATGCCATACAATTATTTGGTATACACGACTTATTCGCATCTAACAGTTTCGACATGAACACCACTATCCGACGGGACGGAATAAGCAAACCTCGACATTCCGCTGCAAGCAGCCGAATAGTCTCCTTTCTTCGATGCCACAACAATGGCTCCAAAAAAGTTGGGATAGTACTTCTTTATCCTCAAAATTGCAATTTGCGCTGCCTTTCTGGCTGAAATCCCGTTTCGAAGTTGCTCCACGGCGACCATGCTAGAAAAAGACATGTAATGGGATGAAAAAGTGTGGGCAAAGTTCCAGCTACACATACCTCGGCAGGAATCTCATCATTTGATCGCCATCGCCAGTGGCTGCGGCTCCTCCGAAATCATTGTCAACATAGGCGCCAGCCCCAGGAATGGGCGAGTCTCCGATTCGACTGAAAACGAATTAATTTAGCTTGCTAAATTTCCCATTACAGAGCTCTGCAGAGGACAATTTCCAATCTTGCAAGCAAAAATTACCCCGGGATTTTATGACCTGCCCCATTTGTTGTTGTGCCAACTGAAATATCGCCGTTTTCATCGACAACCACCATCCCCAATGTGTCATGACTTCGTTGCGAGAACCTCTCCAACTCTTGAATCAAAGTTCTAGGACGCGCAACCTTTAGGAGACTGCTCTTTATGGGTTTATACGGTCCACAGCCAGTCTTGGAGTTGGGTTGAACGTTTCGCCAAAAATTCGGCTGACAATTTTGGTCGAGCCATTGTTGATGCATTTTGGCAGACTCCTCAGTTGTGAGGTTCTCCAATTTGAAACCCATCTCGACCGCAAAACGAGTGGCTGAAATACGAATGGTTTTAAAAAACTTGGAATTAAGAAGCCGTTGTCAACCCTAAGAGCTACCAGTAATCAGAACAACCGTAATAACTGGGGTTTAATTTTCCGTAACCAACCTTGATCTCCCGCCAGAAACGAGTGAGTCGTGTAGTTCATGACACTCCAGGCCACTCTAGCCGCTGACTTTACCCTTCTCAAGTCCCCAACAGCCCCCATTTCTTGGCCCGGCCCGTCCATAATCAGTGCGTCCAGCGTGGTTTCGCCGGTCTCGTCAGGAGACCCTCCAAAGCCCACGGTCCGATCACATTGCAGCTTTTCGCAAGTTTCGAGGCCCTGAACCAGCGATTCCAGTCGATTTTGGCCATTCCGCAGGGCCACCCATGCATTCTGCGCCGCTCGACTGAAATCCACTGTTGCCCACGTGGAAATAATCAAAGGGCCGGCCGAAACTGGTACGTACGGTACAGAAAATACCAAGCAAATTACGTGTATTGCGGAAATCATAGTAGTTCTGTGATGGGCCTTTTCGGTCGCAATCCACGAATTTTGGAGCCGAAAATCCCGAAAGGGTTTTTATTGTTCTTTTCATTTCCAAGACAGCTGACCCTTTTGTCTCCGTTATCGGCCATTCAATCGACCCGAAAACATCTTTAATGGAAGGTCAAATATTAAAAAAGCGAAGAGCGTTTATTGAAATTCGTTTCCGCTCTGCAGTAATATACATATTGGACGTAGAGTCAATAAAAGGGCTTGGTAGATTAGAATTATATTCTAAGTCAAAGTTGCAATAAACACAGGTTGAAATGCACATGTTATATTTTTTGATTTTATTATGTTTTGAGTCAAGTGCCATAAAAATAAACAGCTATCAGGTTTTGTACAAACACTCAAACTTTATAGACAGCGGGCGATGAGTGGGAATTATGCCGTGACTGAGGGGATGCCATTGGAGTGGAAGTTGAGTTGGGTGCATCTACTGATCCACCGACGGAAATGCTTAGACTGGTCGGCGATGGAGCATCCAACGCCTCTTCTTGCCGGCGCGCAAAGTCGCGGACTTGGGCCTAAAACAACGAGTTAAAAATCCTCTTCTACAATTGTTTATTACGTAGCTAGCCCAAGCATTAATATGATAATGTAGTCAATACGCGATTGGCAACAAAGTTTTTCATTCCTTTTTCTTGCTATCCCTCTGGCGTTCTTAACTGTGTCTGGTTAACATTACACTATCGCACCGCAGTAGGGTTAAGGTGCTGTCAAACCCAAAGGCAAAAACTCTCACAAGGGAAGTCACTTTTTTCGCAGATCGATCCATACTGGTGACCTAGTGGACTGTGAAGGCCTCGAGCTGTGTAAGAAGAATCTGGCGTCCAAAAGTGTTTACGGGCCCTGAGGGCAGAGTTATGGCTCATCAAAGTTCGCGCAAAAAAGGTTCCGAAAAGACCCTCCAAAAAACGGAGCTGGAAAAGTGAGCTTCGGTAGCAGAGTGGTTTGCAGATTTTTCTTTTGTCTGGAAAGGCCAGAGTTCGATTTCTCTTCCCGGCAATAAATAAAAATAATATTGTAAGAGTAGGGTAAGTTACAAAAAAATATTTTAAAATATTTTTTGAAAAATATTATTATCCTGTCGTTAAAAAAATGACGATTTTGTTGATATCGTCACTAAATTTATCATATGCCCAGACAGCAAGCGTTTGAGTCAAGCGCTTCCATGATATCACGATCACCAAGGGCGTCTTCTAAAACGTTAGAGATATGCATATTGAGAATCCCAGTCCTACCTTTACGCCAAAGTTCCCGCAGTTTTCTCCATTGATACGGCGTCTTGATCCACCGTAATCGCCGCATTACTCCAGAAATTGAATGCGATCCTCGGTGGAAAAATGCCCTCGCATCCCTCACTGTGTCCAAGCTCACAACGACTTCCCCAAATTTTAACGACAGGATAATAGCATTTTTCAAAAAATATTTCAAAACAATTTTTTTTGTAACTTACGCTACTCTTACAATATTATTTTTAGTTATTGCCGGGAAGAGGAATCGAACCTTGGCCCTTCCAGACAAAAGAAAAATCTGCGAACCACTCTGCTACCGAAGCTCACTTCTCCGTTCACGTTTTTTTGGAGGGTCTTTTCGGAACCCTTTTTGCGCGAACTTTGATGAGCCATAACTCTGTCCTCAGGGCCCGTAAACACTTTTGGACGCCAGATTCTTCTTACACAGCCTGAGGCCTTCACAGTCCACTAGGTCACCAGTATGGATCGATCTGCGAAAAAAGTGACTTCCCTTGTCAGCTCATGCGTGTAACACTTCAAATTTGAAAAAGACCTATTTTGAGTGAGTGGTCATTTAGCAATGCCATAAAATACACTCACAAGGGCTCGGCAAAACCTCGTCCCCTGGTTTCTTCTTGAAACATACACCATTTGAAAGAGCGCAAAAAACTGGTTTAGGATCACCTTTAGTTAGCTGCTAAGATTCACTTACGTGCTAGCTAGCGAGCATTTTTTAGTTCACCCTTCTTTCGAGAAAACAAAGGCGATCGATTTCAAAAGCACAGCGGAGCAGTGCTTCGGTGGCCTAGTGGGGTAAGGCGCTGTACAAGGAGGACCTGCAGACCAGGTTCGAATCCCCTTTTGAATTTTTGGATTTTTTTGGCTATTATGAATGAGCAGGGCTAGCAGACAGCCTTTAATTTTCAAATTGATTTTTGAGGTACTATGGATTTGTTTTGTACGAAACATCGACAACTTTTTTCGATTTTTTTTGATATAGGGGGTACTTGGTACTGCAGTGGGAACCCAAGATGGACGAAACTTTCAACGGCTTTAAAATTTTTTACTAGGAATGCTCATTTATGGAAAGCACATGAAAAACGAGTCTGAAAACGGTCAACATGTTTAAAACCTCCTAGTTTGCTCGGGTTACAGGACCTAAAACATCGCGTAACCAGTCATTGTGAACATCGACCTGAGAGTTTCAAGCTTGATAAAAATTTTATATTTTTTGAACTTGGTGGAAGCGTTCAATGTCCTAGGTGACTAATATTTATATGAAAAGTGATTATTCGATCTCGCTGACCTCTTAGAAGAAAAGAGTCCCAAAATCTAATTGGGATTTTTTAAAAAACGCCCGCTAGCTAGCACGTAAGAGAATCTTAGCAGCTAATTGAAGGTGATCCTAGACCAGTTTTTTGCGCTCTTTCAAATGGTGTATGTTTCAAGAAGAAACCAGGGGCGAGGTTTTGCCGAGCCCTTGTCAGGGTCCACCGGAGATACCGCCAATATATGTAGAATGTGCGTAAGGCTACGACCCCTTCAACAGTTACTCACTCGAATCTCAGGCGGCAGCTCTTTTGATGGCTTAATGATTTCAGCGATATATCGAAATCCCCGATAGGCAACTTTCAACAAGTAGCATGTGATGACCATCAAGATCGTAGTTACAGCTATCGCAATTGTATGTTTGATGTAGAAGATGCGGCCGATCCGCTTGAAGTAGGCCACCTGTTCCGGGGGCATATCCGGAGGGAAAACGGTACCATAGGCTTCGTTAATTTGTAGACCCAATAGCACAATAAAGGTCAAGTATCCCAGCAAGTAGAGCGACTTAAATTGAGGGGTAGAGTTACCGATTTGAAACCGCTAAAAACTGGGCTTACGTTTATTATAAGATGAGGCCAATACAGTCCATGTTTTTCGTATCTCTGCCCGAGCATCAGAAGAAAGTAAGCCAAGACGCTGGGTAATGCGAGTGCAGTCATCTCCCAACTGTCTGTGTCCCAGCACACGTACAGGAAGTAGAGCACTGTCACGACAATGCCAACTATCCCGCAAATAAATGAGCCTTTCTGAAATGTTACGTCAACAGAGAGCCAAGTTACGTGTCTCTTTAAGCGTCGCAGATGTTATTACGGATAAAACATGACCAAAAACTTGTTGAAAATGTTTTTAAAAGCTAGGCGTTAGGTGAAGTAAAAAATTATCTGCTTTGCATAAACTTTTTTGCGTCACAACTAGCCACAAAGCAATGGTATTCCACGATGTAAACGTCGAGAGACTTACATGTACATGAGTGTGACATAGACAGTACCAAAAGTCTGGGGGTAACTCCTTCTTTTCCTTCTCCTTCCTTATCCGTTGAATTTCGTATGTGAGTGGGTTGTCCATGCTGAAATTATCTTCATTCAGTGTTGAATGACTCGGTTGTCTTGCGAATTTCGACGAAACAGGCCTCAAACATTGTAAAGACAAAGAAACCGTATTAGATGTTTTATGGAGGAACGGTTTTCTCACATACTTTTTCAAAATAATTTTTGCCGAGCGAGGATTAGACAGTAGCAGGTATAAGTTAGCTATGATGCATCTGATGCACAACATTTTGCGCTCGAAAAGAGTAGAACTAAAAGTCAAGCTAAACGCATTCCTTTTCCAAGTGTTAACCTTCTTTTCTAGAAATCACGATCAAAATAATATCAATGTCAAATGATCAATAGTTTTGAAATTGCGGAAAGCAAAAGTTTCCCCCCATAATTCATGAAGTTCCAGTCGCAACGGTTGTAATAAGCATACCCAATAAAACGTTTGTGGGAAAAGAGAACGTTGTAGTCTAGTGGGCACGCAGAAACTGCAGATGACAAAACAAGGATATCGGAAGCAAGAGGCAAAAGATTTTACAAACTAGTGATTGTTGTGGAATCTATTGCCGATGTCTCGGCTTAATAAAATTGCTTTTTTTTAAGAAAATTTTTTTTGCAAATCGCTCATTAATTCGTGAAAGTTATAGCTTGCGCTTTTCAGTGGCAGCCGAGATATTCAACACTGTTTGCCGCCGAGAGTGTACGCGAAAAATCGAGAGCCGTTACACAGAAAAATACCTTTTCACCATAGCTTTGCCAGTTTTGTGCGGAAAAAAATATTTTTTCGTGGAGGCGTTATACTCTATGTATGTACATTATACTCTATGTATGTAAAAAAAAAAAAAAATAAAATCTTTAAACCCAAATTTTTAATCTAAAAGCCTCGGTCGTTTCTGCAAAACACGAACTAAAAGTACCGCATATAAATATCTTAAAGTAGAATCTAAATTTTCAAATGTGATCGTCGCGTTTGGAGTACATTCCCTGTAAGTTGATAAACAACTCAAAAGGTAATATGTATTCCTGAAAAGGTTCAATCGATTATCACCAACGCTCAGTAACTAATTATTCTCATCAAAACAAAAAAGTTTTTAATTGTCGGTGTATTCGCACGTAGAGTAAGCCCATCATCGACGCAACCGTTGATAAGTCGTCTTTTGGCTTATTTACCCTTTAAAGCGCGCTTGTTTAATTTACTTTGGCAGTTTTTGTGAGTTCACACAGAAAAAGAAGTTAAACTAAACTACAACGATGATTTGTTAAATTGCGATTTATTTAGAGACCTTAAAAACTTTTGTCAAAAACCTAACAATAAGACACACAACCGGATAAATAAGAAGGCATGGATGCGCACACTTGAAACTTTTATTACATATATACATGTAGAAAAGTCGGTTAGAACAGAGCACTAGTCAGTTGAGACCATTGGCGAAAGGTCTTGTTATTACTTACGGTTACCAAAAACCCCGTTCCAAAAAAACAACACCATTTTCAGGTTCTGAAAGCAATTGGAAACCCGCAAAAGGCGAAGCCATCTGACGGTTCGGGGAGCGACAAAAAAAGAGATTGAAATTAACTGACGACTTCCTTCTTTGAAGACTATAAAGGTTTACGTGAAATAACGTGGAATCTAGCAAGACGATGAAAAGCACAACCACCACGCAAACATATCCGACTCGAACGTGCGGAAAGAAGTGTTTGGAGCAGACTAGACAACGGAAGACAGTCAAGAAAATTGCGGTACTTGTTTGATACGCAGAAACATTAAAGGAAGGATATCAAAAGCAACGACGCATCTTTTGTCCTCACCTGAGTTCGCTGTGGCTTCACTGGACCGTAGCGTAACTACAAAGCTGATACTTTTCTCGGTGCGTCGGATGCACATTCATTTCAACACATGCGGCTACAGTTTGCCAAGTTTTAAGATAATTGAATCAATTTCAATTTTCGTGTACCCTCTGCACGGCTAAAAAAACTTGTTTTAAGGTGTTTTTGTATAATACACTACACATATACGTTTGTAACCATGTACGATTGGCCAAAGTCAGTCGGGCGATCATGATATATTTATACACGATCAGGCCCCCTTGTTCAATTGTCTCTTCAACGCATGCAAGTAGATTTTTATGAGACTTATGTCGACCTTATCATCGATTTTGCTTGTACTACCGCGAAAATGCACAGTGTTACGTACACCACTTGTTATTAGAGGCACACGAACGCCCTTAGCAAATATTCTGTCTGCGCGCTTGGAGTCGAGCCGGAGTCCGCTTTACCGCTTGTGATGGCATAGGGGTTGCAAAAACCAAATTGCATGTCCTCCAGTATACTGAAGGAAACTGTCTTATGGACGCGATATCAACTTTTAAATGTCGGTATTGCTCAGCAAGGTGAAAGACTGATTACCGCTGTTTGGCAGAACAAAAAAGCAGTTGCTCTGGTTTTGATTAACACCAGCCCAGTCTTTTATCAGTACCATCAGTTCAATTAATATTTTATTCCCTTCAGGCTTCAGCAGACCCTTAAGACGTAAGCAATTTGAGTCTTTTTCCATATGTGAGTTTGACTTGTTATCCGCATGTTTTTAAATCAAGCATAGGACCTAAGGCGCGAACTTATGATTCATCAAGCCTCGGCTTTAAATTTGTGTTGCTTTTTCCTCAGCTCAGGATAAGTCTGATTGTTAGCCTAGCTTAGGCTAAGTCTAATCCTCAGCTCAAGGCTTAGGCTTAGGCTTAGGCTTAGGCTTAGGCTTAGGCTTAGGCTTAGGCTTAGGCTTAGGCTTAGGACTTAGGCTTAGGCTTAGGCTTAGGCTTAGGCTTAGGCTTAGGCTTAGGCTTAGGCTTAGGCTTAGGCTTAGGCTTAGGCTTAGGCTTAGGCTTAGGCTTATTACTTAGGCTTAGGCTTAGGCTTAGGCATAGGCTTGTAGACTTAGGCTTAGGCTTCGGCAGATTCTTAGGTCCTAGCTTCGGCTGAATTTCACGGATCTTTTTGAATTTTCGCTCTAGCCCTCCGGGAAGTATGTGGTTTTGGTGTTTAAAAAATTTTTTTTTTAGGTTTATTAAGCCTAAAACATTTTTTTTGCTCCGTTAAGCTTGTGAGTGGGCTCATTCGAAAGCGCTCGGTGCTGCGATGATGGGAAAAATAGAAAAAATTTTTTACACCCTTGTCTTTTATGCAAATTAGGCCAAATTTGCATTTTTCCGGCTTTCTACTTTTTCGTCCGTTAAGGTCGGGAGTGGGCTTGTTCGAAAGATGATCGTCCACTAATCATGGGAAAAATAGAAAAATTTTTTTCCAAAGAGTGGGCGCGGCCTGCGCGTGGCCGAAAAATCAAAGTTGTGCGTTAAGGTCGGGAGTGGTGTGATTCGAGAGAGCTTCGACAGGGCTACGAGGCAAAAATACCCCCATCCCGATCGGCCGCTTCATCGGCGAGAAACGGCCGAAAATGTTTTTCCGAATTTTGCGGTTTTTCGGCTCCAGCCACGCGCTCTGCCAATCGCCCCTCCCAAAACCTATTTTTTATGACTTAGAATTTCGGTGCGCATCCGATGGAAGTGGTCCCGAGTCGCTAGCTGCAAAAAAGTCGTCATTTTTGAAAAAAATCGGAAGTTATTGACCAAAAAACGCGGAGGACTGGGTGGCGCGCTTCGCGCGCACCCCTACCCCTTTCCGCTCCCCCTTCCCATCTACACGCGTGCTCCACACACCAGCGGAGCGGACGAATTCGAAAAATTTGAAGAAAGTTGCCTCAGGCACTTAGCCTCAGGCAATTTGGCCTAAGGCTATTTTCGGCCGTAACTTTGGCCAATTTGTGATTGGACTCGAGATTTCTTTTGCTCCGGGATTTGCGTTCGATTTCACGTCTTTTGGTTTTTGTCCCGTCTTTCTAGCTGATCTCCTTCATGGTGAGACTTAGTTATGCCTGAGGGATTTAAAAAAAATTTTCGTCCGTTAAGGTCGGGAGTGGGCTTGTTCGAAAGCTGATTGTCCCATGATGATGGGAAAAATTTGAAATTTGAAGAAAGTTGCCTCAGGCACTTAGCCTCAGGCACATTTAGCCTCAGGCTATTTTCGGCCGTAACTTTGGCCAAGTTGTGACTGGAGCCGAGATTCTTTTTGCTCCAGGATCTGCGTTAAATTTCACGTTTTTTGGTTTTTGTCCCGTGTTTCTAGCTGCTCTCCTTCATGGTGAGGCTTAGTTATACCTCCGGCATTAGGCTTAGGCTTAGGCTTATATATATTCTTTAGACTGAGGCTTCGATTTCTGGGATTTTTGAAATTTTTTTTGATTTATACACAGTTTGGCCGTGCACCTCCGAATTTTTTGGTGCCACTTGTCAATTTTGCCTGAGGCGTATTTTAGACCCGTTTTTTCGCCGTAACTTTAGGCTTAGGCTTAGGCTTGGGCTTAGGCTTATATATATTCTTTAGACTCAGGCTTCGATTTCTGGGATATTTGAACTTTTTTTTGATTCATACACAGTTTGGCCGTGCTGTTCCGAATTTTTTGGTGCCACTTGTCAATTTTGCCTGAGGCGTATTTTAGACTCGTTTTTTGGCCGTAACTTTGGCCATTTTGTGATTGGACTCGAGATTTTTTGGCTGTAGGTTCTACATTCGATTTCACGTCTTTTGGTTTTTGTCCCGTCTTTCTAGCTCATCTCCTTCATGGTTAAACTTGGCCTTAAAGTTAAGCCTTTTGCGAGAGAGAATAGCGAAGAGAGAGGACGGCAGAGGAGAGAATTAACTCCAAAAATAGCCGTTTCCCCAGCCGAAACTTGACTAGCGATTCGGGTAAAGGAATTCGAATTTTTTGTTTGTTGCAAGCTTTCGGGGTTGCTTGCGGTGGGGTGGGGGTGCGGCGCGGGTGGGGTATTTTGGGAGGATGGGGTAAGGGGTGATTTTTTTTTCCTTTTGTTGTGCATGCGCTACAATGCGCCGATTGCACGTAATTTTTGGCTGTTTGCACTTGATGTGCAAAATTTGCAAGTAATTTTTGGATTTTTCCACTTGATGTCCAAAACTTTTGCAGTTTTCTCATTTTCGTCGATGTCTTGGATTTTTGGAAGTCTTAATTCGGCTTAGCGAGTAGGCGCAGGCTTAGCGAGTAGGCGCAGGCTTAGCGAGTAGGCTTAGGCTTAGCGATCAGGCTCAGGCTTTCAATATATTTAGATCGAGGAATTAACTCTGATTTTTTAATCAATGGTAGCCAGTCGGCTGAATTTCACGGATCTTTTT